TATTTTCATCATTATTATTGTTATTATTATTATCATCATCAGTATTATCAGCATCATCAACAGCATCTTTTTAGCAATGATAACTTGCGGACAGTTCAGAGGAAAAGTGAAAGGAAGAGCAAGCTTGGTTATGGATATGAAGGTGTAATAGTAAGGTTCAAGTTAGGCCAGTCTCTTCTCTAAAGGGGGTAAGTTTCCAAAGAAGCTGTGGTGCTGCATTAGTCGTTAGTCCTTCGTCAGAGCGAAGGGCTAACGCTCGCAACGTCAATTTACGTTATCAACTCAGTTGATGATACTAAATTACCCCGTCTCCTCTTTGTTAGGAGTAGATATTAAAATTTCAAGCTTTCGCCGATCCATGTCATCATCAAGATGATATGCCGTGGATCGATATTATGAATCGTCGAAAGCTTGAAATTTTAGTTTTAGCTACATCAGCCACACCTCGGCAGCAAAGGGCAACATCCAAAGAAAAACCCTAAGCAAGTTACCTCTCGTTCCTTTACCAGAAATAGGCGTTTTACACTCCAAACATCTCTTTAATCGGGCTGCACATTCTGCAAATATATTATTACGTTAACAGGTACCAAGATCAAGATGCCTTTTTCAAACTGTGTTAATCTTCTCCACACTTAATCGTGGTCGTTCCTCTTAGAATCCTTCTTACCTTTTCGCGATTGTCTTCTCAAGGAAACTGGTATTTCAAAGTTGCTTTCTTTTTCGAGACAATTTTCAATGAACGACGCTTGAATTAATTCAAACTTAGAATTATTTCAAAATTCGATTGATGAACACAGAAAAAAAATACAGCAACTAACACAAAAAGCAGAGCTACCTGTACATACAACAGTGTGACCACAGGGTTTGAATGTAACAACAGCCTCAGTCTCCTCACATATGTAACACAGCACTTTTTGACGATCAGGTGTCGATGGATTTTTTTCTTCATTTTCTGTCTCCTGATCCATATTTACATCGTCGTCTGCTAGTTGTGTTTGTGATGGTAGGCCCTCACTATCGTCCATTTCTGTGTCGGTATTTTTCTCTAGCATTTCTGCAGGTTGAACAGCGCTGTTGTTTGAGATGTCTGAGGCCCAGGTTTCCACTTCAACTCTATTAGTCACTTCCAGCACCACATTCTCCTTGTAAACAAAAAAATCAGATAAACTCAACTCCTTTGATAAACTATAGATGTAAGAGAGTTTATACCAAAAGCGAGTCCTAATAAAGCATTTCAGTCTAGTAAAGTGTCATTTTTTCTTATCTAGAACAAAAAGGTATCTTCGAAAAAGAATTTTGAATGAGTAACACCACTTATCCAGCTCACGAATCAAAATGAATGTAAGAGAGATGATCGGAAAACCCCCAACAACCGTCCTGTCTAAAATAGAAGGCCTTTCTGTAATATTTTGACACTATTATGTACAATATTCGAGAAAACCATCGTCATAATTAATACAGATAAAAACAGAAGGTTTAAAAGCAATAGGCGATTGAGGGCGTCAGACTTCTTATGATGCTTCCAGAATACACATTTAAGGATTATCCCTGTTGTAATTTTTATTTACCGATATGAAATGGTATCACATAAGTGCTTTTAAAACTTCGCATGAACTTTTCACCTGACACAATTTGTCTTCCACCATTGTATTTTCCACCATGGCCGTTTCCTGTGGTACACTTTTAGCTCTTTCGCCTTCTTGAACGTCTTCACTCTCCATCTCGTCTGACGTCTCCTGTGATACTGATTCTTGTTGATCTCCACTCCACAAGTCACTTATAACGCGACGCAAAAAAGTGTCTTCTGCCTCATCTGTGCTACTCGTACTATCTGTTTGATTTTCATCATCTTTTTCAGTTTCGCCTGTCAGTGTCGCCGCACTCGCTGAAGATGACGCATCTCCTAATTCAGGTTCGGTTTGCGACCCGCTCACGGACCCAAAACTTGGAACTTTCTTGTTGTGTGTTGTCCTACAGTTGTTGAACAAAGTATAATTTTCCGTTAAATATCATATATGTGAAAGGGACTAAATTCAGGCAAGAGATACGGAGACTAGCGAGAGAATGTTCTTAATTGTGATCGGGATATAGGTGTTTTAGAAGCGAGGTATATAGATATTAAAAATATATACAAAAAGCATTTGAATACCCTCCACCGGCTGCAATCTTTCGAATGAGTTGCTCAACTTCTGATCCTCGACATATGGCCAGCGGTGTTTTCCCTGAGCCATTAACTTTCAACACGTCAGCTCCATAGCTTAACAAGCAGCGCGAGACAGCGACAAAGGACGCACTGCTCTTTCGTTCACCAAGTAGTAACTCCAGACCAGGCTTAAATAAAACAACACTATTCCGTGTAGAAGGCCAAAGACACTAATAAAGAACCAACTGATCACCTTTCCCTTTATATCAGTTGTACTTACTGCAAGCAGTGTGAGAACCTATTTCAGATCGCAGCACTACGGTGAGATCATGAATTAAGAAGACGATTCTCAAAAGGTGAGGTAGATGGTAGAAATTCTTTGCTTATCTACGTTCCCCACTTAGTTGTTTTTTCGACGCTGAGCAGCAACATCGCTTGAAGAAATAAAACTGCAGTAAATTTACTTCACAACAGCATCATTGTCCAAACCGATGTGAACAACACAAACGCTAGTTTTTGAAAAGCCTTTACACCTCAAACGGACGACACATGCATAACTATCCAAATCATTTCATGACTATTTTACATAACTTATTTTCTCACGCTAAAAGGGAGGAAAAGCTCGACAGATTAAACTTTATGAACTTATTTACCATCGATCCCAGACTTTTCTGTAGTGCGTGTTCCTTCATTAAAGTGATATGAAGCACTGTATCTCCGTCATTATCCACTGCATTCACATCGGCTCCGTGGTCTAGCAACAGTTCCACCATGACCGAATACCCTTCATTTGCAGCTAAATGAAGTGCTGATTGATTTTCAGCGGTTGGAGTATCGACCTCACACCCCGGCTATTAGATAAAAATATATTCTCTCATCGTTAATGTACCCTTATCAGTAAGCATCTAGATTCATAATTTAAATGTTTAGAAAACTCCTTTTGTTAAAGTTGTCAATGAAAATAATACTCAGTGGCCTGAAGGTCAGCGGTTGGACTCTAGACCGAGCCGTTTTGGTGACAAGATCTGCCTGGCCACTATGTTGTCTTCTAAAGCGCCTCCCACTGGCCAGGAGAGGACATCTTGGCGAAGTTCATGGAATGTATGACGGAGTAGCATCTCAGCCAAAGAAGTGTTGATGAACAATGTGCGGGAAACAAGGATATTAGTTTGTTGGTCACTTGGCCACTGCAACACCTACACGTAAGCCTTAAAGCAATCAATTGTTTGCAGTGAACCGCTGGCCTTAGATATCACCTCTTGTTACTGGTTTTTACAGGGGAAGAATAGGTGTAATAGTAACCCCTAGTTTTGTGGTTATCACCCCAACTAACCACACGCAAAACGTTATACTCCGTATTGGATTGAACACAAGCGACACTCCTTAAATTCTCACAAAGGCACTTTAAACCATACAACGAGTCTTGCACGAGTCTTTAGATTATGTTACCTTTTGTAACAGGATCTTAGCTATCTCAAGGTGATTATTAATTGCTGCAATATGAAGTGTCGTAAACCCATCATCTTTGAGAACATTCAAGGAATTCTCGGTTTTGGCAAATATTCTTTCCACGGCGCTGCAAATAAATGACAAAAAAGATTTAGGATACTCTGGATGTCAAAGCAATTAACTTAGGTAACAGCATAACAATTATTTTGAGACTGAGATTTGGTCTGGTTTCCTCCTGATCACTCAGATTGCCCCAATTGCCCAAATCATATGAAAACCAAGCCAACGACCCTAACGATTTGGAAGACCATGAACTTCCAATTGGGTCAGATTCACATAAACTTAGTTTTCTTATGAGGGCAAGTATGTCCCGGCCGCAATCGTCTCGAAAATTGCGACGATCAGTTGAACATTAGGCCTTTCGTGTGGGTACATCATTCAGTGTTCAGATGCTTAACACCTGAATCAGTCGGCTATGTTTAAGCTCTGATTAAGCTGTCAAACTGAGTAGCGATCAATAAAGTTATTTTTGGCATAGTTACCGTTTATTTCCTTTCAAAACAGCGTATTGAAGATAATTGAAACCTTTTCTGTTACAAAGAGTGTAACAAATTCTTGGACAGTCTAACAGCATAACCACCATGCTGTGATGTTGTGCAAGGATGGCATCATGGAGAGGGGTATCACCTGCCTCGTCCTGAAAATGAGTCGAAGCGTGATATAAGGAGCCACGTGATACTACTCGACTTTTTATACATTATTTTGATTAGCAGTTTGGTAGCAGTATAGTTTATCACAAAAAGGATGGTATGAAAAAATCTAAAATTGTAACAAACGTCCAGCAGTCCGGTACAGAGACATTTGAAGTCGAGCAAAGTCGAAACAAATATATATCTTGTGCCTTTCATTAACCGATTAGAGATTTTTCATGTTTTTCACGAGCAGTCGAACTGGGTTTAAATTTGACTACGACATGCGTCTAATAATATGTCCCATGTTTGCTGAATTAGTCGGCCAGTCGACTAAGAGAGCATCAGGAATTTGTATTCCCAAGAGAACTGATATCTTCAAAGGACCCACGAACCTGTAGATTGACGTCACACTCAGGGCACTGTGTCAGGATCTGTACTGCCGTTTCGTTTTTCTTTTGCACAGCTGAATGTAATGGTGTGCTCTTATTACTTCCATGTTGAACATTTGGGTCAAAACCTCTCTCCAGTAAAAGTTTTAATGCTTCACTGCTTTCGTCTCTAAATGATCGAGAGGATATATGTCCAATAAAAACACCAGGCATTTTAGAAATTCTCCATTAATTTAAGGAGTTTCTTATTGAGTTTTTCTGTGTCATAGAAAAAAAAAACAACAAAAACAACAACAACATACAGAAAAACATATGAACCATAGCTTGTAAATGGTGCTTGTTGGGTTGTCATTATACAAAAGTGAATGTAATCAGAGCCAGTCAGAACAAAGATGAACATCTTGATGGATAAATAAACAATAACAACAACAAAAACATGCTATCGACAGTAGCTCGAGCAAAAGTTACTGATGGTGGGTAATTTTTTTTATCGATTGGTTGATGTGATGGCTGAAGATTTCGAAAACAATCGCTTTGAGAAGGAAAGAAAAACTAAAGCAATCTTAGATTTCTCAGTTTCGCAGCTAATTTAACATTACTTTGATATTTCGGTCATCTTACCGATAAGTAGAATGATGCATGGCTGTGTATCCCTGATTATCCTGTATTGAGAAAAATTAAAGAATATGACAAAGAAGGCTCCTCTCCTGAAACACTGAGATATGTAGAACATAACCATGTAAAAATAATAACCTAATCTTGTCGATCATGCATCTCTTTGTTATCCTCCTCAACCAGTACTAACAATTACAGTAATTTGAACAGGGCAAAAATTACAGTGATGGTTAAAAGTACTGGATTGAACAAAAACTTTCGTTACCCACCCGTATATCCATGTTAGCTCCTCTCTCAAGCAATTCCCTAATGATGTCACAATGCCCCTGACGACATGCCATATGGAGAGCTGTGTGACCACCCACTAGCTTATCAATCTGTGCGGAGCGAAAAGACACAAACCCTTGATCATGTCAAATTTTCTTAAACGCCACGAAATTCAAATTTGATTCCAGCAGTTTAAAAAATATATCCTTTTAGCTATCGCTCTTTCCTAAAACATAAGTTACGCATTACTCTTCTTATGCTGATATTTCTTGTATTGCTTTGATTAAAGAAAACTGTTGAAACTAACTGTAGAAGTAAAAGGAATGAAAGAAAAAAGGTACCAATTCTGGGTTAGTATCCAAGATTTCCTTGACTCTTGACAGATTGTTGCTTTGCACGGCATTCACGAGGCTGATGTCCGCCTGTTAATGAAAGAATGAGCGCTTTAGACCTGTTATAGTGTGGTTGTTACAGAAAGACAACTAAACGTATTAGGATCATCCTCGTTGTAGTTTTTTCTTACTGAAGCAAAATGGTATTTCTTTAGTGCTTTAGGACTCCTTTTGAACTTTTAACGCGACACAATGTGTTTCCCTTTAGACAGCACATTTTCCACAAGGGCTGTTTCCTGTGATACACCTTCAGCCGTTTCGCCAACCTTAATGTCTTCTTGATCTCCTCTACACAAGTCCTTTATTACGCCCCGTAAAAACGTATCTTCCGCCTCATCTGTGCTACTCGTACTATGTGTTTGATTTTCATAATCTTTTTCAGCTTCGCCTACCTGTGTCGCTGCATTTGCTGAAGATAAAGCATCGCCTAATTCAGGGTCGGTCAGCGACCCGCTCGAGGATCCAAAACTTGGAACTTTCTTGTCGTGTATGGTCCTACAGTTGATAAGCAAAGTAGAATTTACTTAGATATCATGTAAACGCAATTTCCACACGCACTGAAAAGGCTTTCATTCAGGTGGCATCCTTCGCACTGAATATTTGTCCCCTTAGTAGTAATGTGCCTTTGATTCAGGCAAGAGATACGGAGACATTTTTTGTTACCAGGATAAAAATTTCGTCTGCATTTAGGTGTTTTGGAGGCGAGAATCCGCTCTACTATAACATAGAAAGGCGTACTACAGATATCAAAAAATAATCAAAAGCATTTGAATACCCTCCACCGGCTGCAATATTCCGAATGAGTTGCTCAACTTCTGATCCTTGACACATGTCTAGCGGTGTTTTCCCTGAACCATTGACTTTCAACACGTCAGCTCCATGGCTTAACAAGCAGCGCGAGACAGCAACAAAGGACGCACTGCTCTTTCGTACTCCAAATAGAAACTCTAGACCAGACTAAAATAAAACAGCACTAATCAGTGTAGAAGGCCAGACTCTAACAGAGAACCAACTGATCACCTTTCCATTTGCATCAGTCGTACTTATTGCAATCAGTGTGAGAACCTATTTGAGATCGCAGCACTACCGTGACGTCATAGCAAAGTTAATTGGGCGGATGATTGGCAAAGGTGTGGTAGATGGTAGAAATTATTTGTCGATCTCCGTTCCTTACCTAGTCGGTTTTACGAAGTTAGACAACAACATCGCTTGAAGCAAGAAAATAACAGTAACTTTACTTTACAACAGTATTATAGTCTAAACCGATGCAATCGACACATGAGCTTATTTTGGAGTTGCCTTTAAACGTCCTGGTAAAGTAACGACACATGCATAGCCAACCATGTTATGACTATTTTACATTACTAATCCTCTCGTGCTTAAAGGAAGAAAAAGTGAGATAAAATATACGATGTTTCCTTCGACATTCTGTTGGCCTGTTCCAAGCGTTCAGTCAGTAAAACAGAGCGTAATGACCAAAGAAGTCCTAGTGGCGGAGGAGTGAAAAGGCAAAGGTATACGTGACCTGACCCCTTCACTCCTCCGCAACTACAGCGCTTTTTATTATCGAGCTTTGTTTTACAGACTGAACGCCACGAACAGACTCACAGCACGGTATTTTATGAAGCTACTCATTTTTCATTACCCCCAGATTTCTCTGTAGTGCGTGTTCCTTCATTAAAGTCATATGAAGCGCTGTATCTCCGTCATCATCCACCGAGTTCACATTGGCTCCGTGGTCCAACAACATTCCTACCATGACTGAATACCCTTCATTAGCGGCTAAATGAAGCGCCGGTTGATTTTTAGCGGTTACAGCATCGACCTCACACTCTGGCTGTTAGATAAAACATATACTCTAATTATCAAAGTATCTTTATCAGTAAGAATTCAGATGATCATTAAAATGGTTTTTTAAACTTTTGTTAAAGTTGTCGATAGCAAGAATACGCAGTGGCCTGACGGCTAGCAGTCTGGACCCCAGACCCGGATTCTTTACCATTGAGATCTGCCTGGGTCACTGTTTACAATTGGATAATAGACGTAATAGTAATGTTAAATATCCCAGCTAACCACATGCACAAAGTCATATTCCGATCTGAGATTGAACACTTACGACACTCAAATTTATTTAAGCAGTTTAACCACACAAGGAGTCTTACGCGCGAAAAAAAAGTTTAAATTTAAAAAAAAATGGAAAAAAATAGATAAATTTTTTTTATAAAATTACCTTTGTTAAAAGGATCTTAGCTATCTCACGATGATCATTAATTGCTGCAATATGAAGGGTCGTAAACCCATCATCTTTGACAACATTCAAAGAATTCCCGGTTTTGGCAAAAATTCTTTCCACGGCGCTGTAAAAAATGAAACAATAGATTAATGTTGTATTGAATGTCAAAGCGAATATAGGTAACAGCATAAGAGTAATTTTGTAACCGATGTTTGGTCTGGTCTCCTCCTGATCACTCATTGTCCCAGTTGTCCAAGTTATATAAAACCAGGCCAAGTGATGACCAACGACCCCAACGATCAGAAAGATCATTAACTTCAGGTTAGACCTTAGTTTGCGTATGAGCTTTTTAGCTTCCCTATGATCACAAGTATTACCCAGTCGTCTCGAAACTGCGACGATCAGTTGAACAATATTTCTTGTGTCTGGGTACTAATGATCCATCAGATGCCAAGCACCTGAATTAGTTAGCTGTAGTACTTTTCCTTTAATTAAGCTGTCAAACCGAGTAGTGATGTGATTATTTTTGGCATATTTACCGTTTATTTCCTTTCAAAACAGCGTGTTGAAGATAATTGAAACCTTTTCTGTTACAAAGTGTGTAACAAATTCTTGGACACTCTAACAGCATATCCACCATGTTGTGGTATTCTGCAAGGATGGCATCATGGAGAGGGGTATCACCTGCCTCGTCCTGAAAATTGTCAAATTGAGCACGAAAATGGTAGAATGAAAACAACACGAATGGGTGCAAACTTCAAATAGTCCAGTGCAGCAGCCAAAACAGTTGAGTCTTAGGACTTTCCAACGGCAAGTCTTAGACTTTTTATGTAAGTTTAAATAAACAAAGGGCAACATAGTTTTAAACTTTAGAAGGAAATGCTTCTTAATAATATGTGCAATGTTTGCTAAATTAGTCGGACAGTCGAGAAAGCATCAGGAGTTTGTATCCCCAGGAGAACTGATATCATCAAAGGAACCAACGTACCTGTAGATTGACGTCACACTCAGAGCACTGTGTCAGGATCTGTACTGCCGTTTCGTTTTTCCTTTTCACAGCCAAATGTAATGGTGTGCTCCTATTACTTCTGTGTTGAACATTTGGGTCGAAACCTCTCTCCAGCAACAGTTTCAATGCTTCACCGCTTTCGTCTCTGAATGGTCATAAGGATAGGAGTGCAACAAAACATCGGGCATTTTTGCGTTTTTGTTAAACTTAGGGGTTACTTATTTTGCTTTCCTAAGAATGTTCACGTGACTGTTATAAGGGAAAATGTATGAGCAATAACATGCAGTTGGTTTGCGTTGGCTCCTGCAAGTGTCGTAAAACCAAAAGCTAAGCAATCATGGCCAGTGAGAGCATGCAATAATGTCTTGGCGGATAGATGAACACAAAGAACAATCACATGCTGTCGAATTAAAGCACAGCAAGAGTTACTTCGTTTTCAGTGGTTTTCGTTCTTTGTTTTTCTATTGAGAGGATAGCTTAACTTTTCGGAAGCAATCGCTTGGCGTAGCACAACGAAATAAATCTGGGAATATAATTATATGTTTGACTAGCTAACTTAGAATTACTTTTTTTATATGTCAACTTACTGGTAGGTAGAGTGATGCATGGCTGTGTATCCCTGATTATCCTGTATTTTGAGTAAATAAAAGTATGAATGAGGAGGTTCTCTCCTGAAACACTTAGATAAATAGAATACGAATGCATGTCAAAATAATAACATATGCTTGTCGATCATGCGACAACCACGACAAAAGTTGGTTGGTTGGTTTTCTTCCTCGTGCAACACCAGTGATTACAATAATTTTAACAGGGCAAAAAATAACGGTAATGATAAGAAAATTATGACTACTCACCAGTACATCCATGTTAGCTCCTCTTTCAAGCAATTCTCTAATGATTTCACAATGCCCCTGGTGACATGCAACATGAAGAGCTGTGTGACCACCCTCCAGCTCGTCAATCTGTGCAGAACGAAAGACACAAACCCTTGATCATGGCAAATTTTCTAAAACGCCACCGATTTCAAATTTGATTCTAAATCATAAATTGATATTACAATGATGTGTCTTAAATCTTATCCTTTTAAATATCACTGTTTACTAAAACCTAAGTTACACAGTTCTCTTCTTATGCTCATATTTATCATTTTGCTTTGATTTAAGAAAACTGTTCAGACTTGCAAATGCCCTTTGCAAAAGTAAAAGAGATGAAAGGAAAAAGGTACCCGTTCTGGGTTGGCGTCCAAGATTTCCCTGAGTCTTGAGAGGTTGTTGCTCTGTGCAGCAATCACAAGGCCGGGGTCCTCCTGTTCCTGAGCTTGACGTAGGAAGTCTCTAAAGAGACTGAAAAGCCCTGGAGAAAAAATGACAAAAGGATTGGTGAGGATAATTATACTTATGGCAGTATACTTATTATGCCATCATTTTAGCCAATCAGACGCATAGTTGTAGCTAATGACGACCTAGTCACTGACGTTTCACGCGCTTTAGAGGTTTTTCTCTTCTGACCTAGATTGGCCATTTTTACTTTAACTTTCAATACATTTGTGCCATAACTTTACCTAAGGGATCTTCGCTGCCCACGTCACCTGCCTCTGTTAACTGCTGGGGTTCTGGGTCAGTGACAGAGGTCACAGCAGCCGGGCTCAACATCCATCTGGTGCCTTCTACTGACACTAAAACATCACCATCACTATCAACCGCCAATACCTTTCCAGTGCGACCAAGGATCTACAAATGGATTAAAATAGGATATTATCCTGTTTAAAACTGCTTATTGTTTCAACGGTTTGTGGAGGTAGACGTATAATTGGCTCCAGAGTTGTGGCGTGTATCGTTTACCCCTCTAGCTTCTTTTAGTTTACATCTCTAACTTCCGCACATGCCCACAGGAGTTTGCGTTTACGTCCAAGTGAAAGCCTAAAATAACAACTTAAGTAAAAAATGAGAAAATATATAAACATTGAAAGAAAATTTAAAAAAAAAATGGTATTTCTGACGAATGAGTCTGCGAATAAGGCAGAAATAAATATTTTGTCGGCACGAGATACGACAAGGCCTGGGCCTTAGGCCCGAGCATCATGGGCAATGATGCAGTGGTATATAAGGGAAAGTATAGCACGTGGTGTCCATCTAGGCCTCAGAACCAACCGTTCACCTCTGGCTGATGACAAATTTATTTTAGTTTGAAAACATATTTTCTTTAGCTGTGAAGCCTCGTAGGATGGGCTGCCAACTGCTCTGAGTTTGGGCCATGGTTCCGACGCAGATTTCCTGTCATGTTTTTTCCCTAAAGGGAATTTTTCTGGCAGGTTTTTTCTGGCCTCTGTATAACCGTAGTTATGTCCTTGTAAGCGGTTGCCCATCTCTGTTAATCCAGACTTGGTGAAGTTTGCATGTTAGTAATGTATACCTTTTTTTTTAAATGTGTAAGGAATTGACTGTATATCAGGATTGTATATGGTATATCAGTTGCGAATATATGTATGTATGCATGCCCCGGGCTATATATGCCTTAGGTTGGTTCTCGGCAGGCTTCCCTAAATAAACTTATTTGGTGTATACTACTGTGTTATTTGTTGTGTAGTGGAGACAAAATTTAAACTTACTGATATCATGGACTCGTTCCATCCTCCATGTTCTTTTTGGAGCTCTTTGACTAAGTTCTCATCACTTTTAACCAAGACTTCATCGCCTTGCTTAAATTTTTGTATCTGGGTAAAAAAAAAACAACATATATATATATATATATATATATATATATATATATATATATATATATATATATATATATATTTAACAGTGGAATGTCCTTTAGCTAGCTATTGGAGTGTTTCCTGTCCCACTCCATATTACCTGTTCCTGTTGGCCAGTTAATCGAATAATTATGCTTTAAATTATCAGTACTCACAAGGCGTCCATTTTGTGCAGTCAGAAATTTAGCACATTGTGAGTGTTTTAACTTTGGAAAAACCATATAAATTTTGACTTAAGTTACTTATGTAAGATATTTCTTGATCATCTAAGCCACTCCTTTTGATATATTTGATTGCCAATGTTTACGAACATTAAAAAAACTCAGGACACCCTCATAACACCGATATAGTTAACTAATTTGAAGTAAGAAGCTCTTTGCGTGACAAATGATTGCGTTAGCATTACCTTTGTCAAAGCTGCTGGATTGTAAGGCCATCTTGTGTCGCGATATTCTACAACAACGTCACCATTGGTAGTGAAATCTTGTACGACTCCAATTTTTGCTATATACTGTGGATACAAGTAAACTGTTTCCTAAATGGGATTTGTTAACGACACATCACTGAATTGGCTTAAATGTGAGAGGATATGCAAGAGACAAAGGACATTTTACACTCATAGGGGAGGGCCAATGAAACCTTATGAGGAATTGAATGCTGAGGCTTTCAGGATCTCTGAGCCTCAAATCAGGGTTAAGCATTAAAATGTTTCTGGGTGTTTTAGATAGTGTTATGAGTCCGTGAAAACGAGTCCTAAACGAACCCTTTCCATGTCTGCGTTCCATCCCCCATGACCAGCAGATAACTCCTGAAGCTTTTCTACCGCAAGCTTCTGAAGGTAGACTTTATCACCAGTCGTAAACCCACTTTGGGATTTTCTTATCAGCATTGTAAGCGGTGGTAAGTGATCTCTGTAATAAGATCCTCCAACAGCTGGCGAAGTACACTTGAGGTCAACCTACCAGTTGGGAGGAAATAGAAGTATAGACTAGATATCCTTTGTGTAGGATTTTTTGACTGCAAGAAATTGCCAAGGTGACCCAGTTTCAAGTTGTGGTTGAATTAAGTTCTAGAGTTCTTGAACTGCGTAAGAAGATCTTCGAGATGTAACAAAGGGTTAGGGGTGCCAAAGATGAAACCATTTTCAAGATACAGTTGCGAGAAAGTCAACAGAAACAACTTTAATCAATTGGATCCCTGTTTATAATTAAAATCAAATTGATTTCATTACTACTTCTACTACTACTACTACTACTACTATTACTACTACTACTACTAATAATTATTATTATTATTATTATTATTATTATAAAACCGAAAATTATAACAATAAGAATAATAATTATAATGTTACTAATGACAATAACATTAAAGCAATAGTTCATCAGCCCACGGCGTCACCTTTCCATTTGTTCCTAATCTATAAATGTTCCCCTTTGGTCCTTTGTTCCAGTTCACTCGCACAGCATCATTAATAGTCTCGTCACTCCAGCTGGTGACCTCAGTAACCTCGCCTTCCATAGGAGGTTGGTTTTCCAGTTCCTTCCATTCCCAGTCTGGTCCTCTGGTCACTTTTGCTCCCTTAAACATTCCGCGGGCTTCAAGCTTAGTGGCGCCTTGCCTTTTGCCAACGCAGATGCTGTAAATTTGCATCACATGATGCAATTGAATATATAATTCATTAATACTTTTTAAGAGAATATCAGTTCATAATCTGTTGTTTTCTTCTACTAGTGACAAACATAAAATGTAGCTACGAACAATAAAATAAACCTAAAAGTATTTAATTGCTTACAAAAGTGTTGTTAAATTGTTAAATCACTATTAAAGTTCAGAGGCTAGACCACCAGAGGAACCGTAACGTCTTAGAGCTGATCCTTTTCCATTTAAAGTCAATTTTCATAAAAAAAAAAAAGAGCAACAAAAGAGAAAGAAAGCAAACTTAACAGATAATACAATGTTATTGAGTAAGACATTAAAGTTATATATGATCGGGTTCTGACAAAATAACGTTTTGCTTCTTGGTAAAAGATAATGAAGTTAAATTTGATTTAAGACAATGGAACACTTTTGGCATCGATGGGTTTACATGGACGCACAGGCCGCTGACCTGTTTGTTTGACAACTTACCCTCTGGCGCGACTCTTGTCGAATCGTTCAAAGCGATGATTGACATCATGGACATCGTTCATGTAACACTTGCTACACAGATCATAGCTGGGACAATCTAAACAGTGCCAACGCAGTCCATTGATAGGATCTTCTTTACAACCATCGCAGCTAGTAAATAGATGTTTCGCATCTAATAGAAGAGGTAACCAGAATATGAATTAGAGAGATACCTTACGTTTAGGGGTGAAGTGGTATGCCACTTTAGGAGTGAAGTGGAATCATCACAAATGAAGATGAGAGTAATCTTCGCAGTGATGAACACTACTTAAGCAGCAGTGAAAATATTAATCCGTAGTTTTAATATATGATATTCATACATGTGGATTCACAAATGTTCTTGGCATCTCATGCAGTTCAGTCCCCAGTACACAATATTCTTCTTTGTCTTACTTCGTCGAACAAAGCACGAAGGTTTCCGAAAATAACGGAAATATTCTCCTTGTACACAACCTTCTCTGTCCGACTTCGTTGAACAAAACACACAGATGTCCGAAAATACCGGAAATGTTCCACTGGTTCTCAAAAACAGCCCCATATGTTTTGATGACTAACGGAAATTGCAAAAGATATTTGGTGGCTACACGAGTTTGTGCGATGAATTCTACTAACATGTGTAAAGGACAAGTCGGCCGTAGCTTGGCGTAGCTCGGCATATTATGATATTGAGCTGTTCAATAGTTACCATCTCAGCTTATGCCATAATGTCACTAAATTCTCCACCCCCTCCCTCCCTTTGAAGAAGGAGGGTGGGGAGGGGGGGAAGCTTGGGAAGCGTTGATTGACATCTCAAAGAATGCGGACTAGACGTTTACTGATCTGTTACAAAACCTTTTCTCTAACGGCAAGAGTGAGACTCGCGCATGAATTGATAATGTTTGAGACTGAGTTGGAAGTGTTGTTGTGAACGCATCGAACGTTAATGGAAGCCTCTTTACATCACTTGTTTTGCCTTCCTGGAATTTTTCGGCCGCCTAAATCAATAACAAGTTAATAGCAAGTTGATAACAAGTTGAAATTCTCGGAAAACAGGGAAGACTCAATATATCAGGGCCAAGGTCTTTCGAGGTCATTTTTACCACAAACTACTTTCACGTTTAGCTTCAAGCTTTTAGCTTTCTGTCTTAATAATATAGCTCTGGGTTCGTGGCTAGGTGAACGCACCTTTTTGTGATACATTTAGATTCACGCTGTAATATATCCGCTTTCACTTAGGAAGCAAGCTGATAGGTAAGAAATCTGCGTTGTTATGAAGTAATGTTACACATAACAAGTCAAAAAACCGTGATCTGAGAGTTCGAACTGTATGCAAATTAATCTATGTGAAATAAAAAAAAACAAAGCGTGGATCGAAAAGTTTGCCGACCTAAAATTTTGCAAGGGAAGCATTTAATGAGAAAGTATAAAATATGAAACGAGGCTCGCTATTTAAATTTTGATCAAGGTTGTCACGGAATTTCAACTCCAGTTGAATATTGAAATTGAAATTGTTGCATTATTTGCTTTCCTCACAGAAGTACAGCGATTGCGTTTTATCTTTAAGGAATATAACATTCAGCTAGAGTTGTTTGGATAAATCTGGGCAAATATTTCCGTTTAAAGTAAGATTAATAGCAAGAAACTCTAATCGTCACTCACCGCCATTTGTGAGACAAAAAACGCGAAGATCGTGTTTCCCTTGCTTTCCAGCCCTGTAGTCGTGCTTCCTTCCACAATCCCACTGTACATAAACAAGCTGTGCTGTCGCAGGCGACTTCTTATCTTTTCCGACTTGAGCTACTGTACCTACAAAACCTTCTCCGCCATCTTGGTTTCCCCATTCCCAATCTTGACCACGAACAACTCGGGTGCCTAAAGGATTCATTGCCATAGCTATACCAGGATTTTCCTTATCACGTTTACATCGACCAGATCTGATGGAAGCTTCTCAAAACCTCGTCTTTTCCGATAAATAACGGAGTAGCAAATATATTGCATCAGAAATGTTCCTGTTTGGTGAACCAGTCGTTGGATGATTGCGATTCAGTACTCTTCTGCCGGTTTCACACAATGCTAACAAGTTTCCCTCTCAGTTCTAAAATTAATCGAGATATATCAGTGAGAACAACTGCCGATTGAGGCTTTAAAGAAAATGAAATGCTGCACTGGCGATAAAATGCTAATATAAGCAACATGCCATTCCTAGAATTATAAATTCATGACTGTATCTGTCGGGGATTCCCCAAACGTCATTCAGGACACATTATTGGTTAACTAAATGTTGCGTTACCTTGATTTCTTGTTATGGTAACAATAGAGAGTCCAAAATAGGGTTAGGAATGGACATGAAGAAACAGATAGGGATTGATGAATACATCTCGTGTTGATGACGGTATTTATTTTAAAAGTATTGCTTGGATGTTGGGTATAGTGAAAAACATTATTTTACCTCCACTGCTCTACGACGAATTCAGCGAAGAAATCTACAGATTTTGGAGAGTCGTTTGCTTTACAGTTCCCGGAATTAGAAACCAAAAATAGAAAAGCATGTTGCTTATAGTAGCATTTTATCGCCAGTGCAGCATTTCATTTTCTTTACAGCCTCAATCGGCAGCTGTTCTCACTGATATATCTCGATTAATTTTAGAACATTGAAGAGGAAAAAAAGTGGAAAATGAAAGAGAGCTGTCATAACATCCTGAAAATTGATTGATACATTTGATTGCGGTCCATTCTTTACCTGCTAAACGTGCTTTAAATATATTTTTCTCAACTAGAAGGAAAGTTTTCCTTGTATTTGTAGTCCTTTGTAGAGCGGCAAATAAGAATCTCTCAAAGAACGCCGAAGTTTCAGAACGAAGGGTATGTCGCTGTTAACGACCAAAGCCAAATGTTTTAAAAACTTTTACCGGCCCACGAAATACACGTATCTTTTATTTGGCGCCACCCCAGTCGGATCCTACATCAAACCCCTTTTTGGGACGCTCTAGTTTCGCTTTCAAGGCGACGCTTTTTTCAATTTTAATTACAAACCACCTGTCATATAAGGCGGAGCTTCCTTGAACTCTATAAAAACTCTTCATCTACGGCAGGTTTTAAACCAATTAAGACACCAGTAGATGACGTATTTCTGCTCATCTTTATTATTCAATAACAACAATTCTCGGGCAAGGAGCCTCGATACAGTTTATTGGTAATAATAACAATAATACGACTTAATATTTCTTCCGACTTCCTCATACGGAAAAGATCCCGGTTTTCCGTTTCTAGAGAAAGACCAGTATTCATCATCCCATTGGAACCATTCCTCCTTCCAGCGCATTCCTTGTACCTACTGACACTGATGAGAGTTCGATTTAAACAACAAGTGCAGCGTGTCTGTAGGAAGGATGATGTCGTTTTCGGCGTGCCCATCCGTGCGGCAGCAGTACTCAATTAACGTGTTTTTGGTCAACTTTCCATCCGGCATAGCTCCCCTATAATTGTCGTTGTTAACGCCATTTTCATCGTCAGCAAACGAAACCTGTTTGAAACCTGTTGAGAATTTATCATGTTTGTGGTTAAGAATAAAGCAATGAGGGTTACCGAAAAATGAGTCGATCAGAGCACAGTCAAAGATAATAAAGTTATGACGATATTATTATGGCACCTATCGTCAAAACTTTACCGTCTTACATTAAGGACAACCAACACGCACTTTAGATTTTTCGTGACTTTAATTTCCTTGGCCAAAACAACCTTATTTTTATTATGTATATTACACCTCTTCATACTGTCATTCCAAACGACGAAGGACTCCGGGGCCTCAAACATTTTTTTGATTAACGCACTGTTGAGGAAGTTAGCTCTGAAACACTACTCCTTCTAGCCGAACTAGTACTTTCACTAAATTGCTTTTCATTCGATAACAACTACTATAATCAAACTAATGGCGTAGCCACGAGCACTAAAATGGGATCCAGCTACGCCAATCTTTTGCGAACACCAATTTTTTAAGTCAATACCACGGCCCCAAACCTGAACTCTACGGCCGTTACATTGACGACTGCCTCGGCGCTACCTCCTCTACCTGAGAGGAGCTCAATTAATTTATAACCGCTGTCAATTCCTTTCACCTGGCAATTAAACATACCTGGGAAATTTCCAACACTTCTTTGGCTTTTATAGGCATCAAAATTTGTATTAAAGGCAAGGGTTTATGCAATAGCGTTTACTACAAACCTTCAGACTCACGTAGTTACTTGTTGTATTCATCATCGCCTCCATCACATGTCAAGAATTCCATACCTTTTCCACAGTTTCTCAGACTTCGTCGTTTATGCGGTGACGACTCTGATCTTTCTGAAAAATCAGTGGCAATGTGCCAAATTTTCGCTAAACGTGGCTTTCCTGTTTCTATCTTTTAAGCGGGCCACCACTGTGCTCGACAAATTGATCGACAGTAAGCACTTCAAACAGCTGAGAAGGAAAACGCTGATGGCATTCCATTCACCTTCACATTTCAACCCAAAACAAACTTTAAATTACTCCAAAACGACTCAGAGACTGGTACAGTCGAACCTCGGTTATCCGGACTCGGTGGGACTAGGGTAAATAGTCCGGATGATCGAAAATATGAATATTAATGAGACAATTGAGTTATGATCGTCTCGTGTGTTTACATAACCCACGCTCATCGAACTGATCAAGCATGACATTCCCTTAGCAACAAAACAATACTGAACCAATCAAAATTCAGCTGAACGCATTAGAAGGCTTCTTGTCTCTTTTTGTCTCCGAGCGCTCGATCTTTCGAAAGCGGAGCGTGTAATATGTATTTTCCGCTGGTATTCGAAGTAATTAGGCGTACTTGTTTCGCTTTGACACCTGCCACTCCCTTTATTGTGCCTTCTACGCTGTTATTGGTCGGCTTCTAGTACCTATACTCTCTACTGTTCACTGTACACCATTCACGTTTGCGGTTTCCTACTTCACAGTTTTACATCTTTTCGCGAGTGTTTTTTCAAGCGTGTGCTTCTAATGTCCAGCGAACAGGAGCAAACCGAAGGTTCTTCCCGCCCAACAGATACGACCCAACCGGTTCATGGTGGTGGCAACTCGGCATCTGTCGACCAGGTTTTTTCAATGTTTAAAGATTACCTGGAGAAGAAATTGGAGGTTAAAACCAAGCAGATCGAGCAAAAGAGCAAAATAGACAAAGAAGTCGTGCAATTGAAATACAAGGGCAACCAGAAGCAGTACGAGCTCAATGCAGAATTGGATTCCATCATTGAAAGCATAGAAACCGATTCAGAGCGCGGCGAACCAAATTTACCACTGATTAAGAAGTAATAATTACTGACCCTCATAAAATCCTATTGTTCTCTCTCAGCATTATATCGGCGATTTCAGTTGCATTGTTGGTGTACCAAAACATCAATATGAAGGGGCGACTGAAATCGTCGATGTAATGCAGAGAGAGAACAATAGGATTTTATGAGGGTCAATAATTATAATAGTTAATTACTTCGGTTCGCAGCATTATTGGGTATAATGCTGCGAACCTCAGTAATTATCTATTAATTATTACGGGAATTTAAGGGTAAAATAATTTACGTTCGTTTGAGCGAAGCGAATTAGAACGTAAATGTATTTTCCGCTGGTATTCGAAGTAATTAGGCGTACTTGTTTCGCTTTGACACCTGCCACTCCCTTTATTGTGCCTTCAACGCTGTTATTGGTCGGCTTCTAGTACTTATACTCTCTACTGTTCACTGTACACCATTCACGTTTGCGGTTTCCAACTTCACAGTTTTACATCTTTTCGCGAGTGTTTTCCCACCCCCCCCCCCCCCTCTGCTTACTACGTTTTCTTTTATTACTTTTATTCAGGCCGTAGAGGCGCTTCTTGCGCTACTCACGTTGCTACAAGTGTGGAAAACTTGGGCACTGGGCTAAAGACTGCAGATCCATGTTCTGGCCAGGAAGTTACCAGTTTTCCAACTACAATACTTACCCTGGACTCTCCTACAACAAGCCAGCCGGAAGCCATTCATCTCAATACCAATCAAAGCAGTGAAGAGGACTTGGCACAGGTAGAAGAAATCGTACAGAAATACGAACTTGAAAGCGGACAGTCTTTAACCGTTAAGGGTAATTTGAAGAAAAATCTAGGGTTTTGGAGATCTATTGGTGCTCCAAATTTCATTTTGACTATTATTGAAAAGGGCTACAAATTACCATTTGCTAGCCTTCCATTAGCTGTAAGGCTAAAGAATAATAAGTCTGCTCGACTTCATGCTAATTTCGTTGACCAAGCTGTTCTTGAGTTAGTTAATTCAGGTCGGGTTTGTAGGGTTGATAAGCAACCTTTTATTGTCAACCCCTTATCAGTATCTATTCAGCCATGTGGCAAAAAGAGATTAATTCTTGATTTAAGTCACGTTAACAGGTCCCTATTTAAACAAAGAATCAAATACGAGGATTGGAAAATTGCTAGGGCTTATTTTGCCAAGGATTCGTACATGTTTTCTTTTGACTTGAAAAGTGGCTATCACCATATCGAAATTTCGCAGGATCACCAAACGTTTTTGGGGTTTTGTTGGCGTGCTCCAGATTCCAATAACGAAGTATTTTATGTTTTTACCGTTCTTCCGTTTGGTTTGTCTACAGCTCCCTATATTTTCACAAAGCTTCTTAAACCTTTAGAGAAACATTGGAGAATACAAGGTACTTGCATAGCTATTTTCTTAGATGATGGTTGGGCGATAGTTCAGGACAAAGAAGGTTGTCTTATTAAGGCCCAAACCGTAAGGCAGGACTTGTATGGTGCGGGTTTTGTAGTGAATGAAGAGAAATCGGTATGGGAACCTACTCAAATTTTGGACTGGTTAGGTATAACCTGAAATTCTTTATTGGGTACTCTAAGAATTGTAGAGAGAAGAATTACTAAGATTACCAACACAATAGATCGTATTATTGAGGCCGATTTTAAACTTTCTGCTAGAGAGCTGGCTTCTTTCACGGGTCAAATTATCTCTACTGCGCCTGTGGTTGGAAACATTGGTAGGATAATGACCAGACATTGCGTTATGTCTACCTTGTGTGTAGATAATTGGGATTCAGTATTTTGTCTTGATGATTATTGCAAAGAGGAATTATATTTTTGGAAAGATAATTTGATTAACCTCAACAGCAGATATTGCTTTGTAAGTAAAGATCCTAGTTATTTTGTTTACTCAGATGCTAGCGCCACTGGAGGCGGTGCATTCATTGACTTTAACAATGACTTTGTGTGTCACAAATTGTGGACGGAGAACGAAAGTTTGCGAAGCTCAACATGAAGAGAGTTATCTGTTATCGAATTTTCATTGAAATCATTTGCCCCTGTACTTAAAGGATCGCACGTTAAGTGGTATACTGACAGCCAAGCCGCTGCCAAGATTGTTGAAGTGGGCAGCATCAAACTTGATCTACACAGGATCGCGCGGAGCATTTTCAGTATTTGTATCCAGTCGGGGATTCATTTAGAGGTCCAGTGGATTCCACGTACTTTGAATCAGCAAGCTGACTATATAAGTCGATTAATTGATACCGATGATTGGCAAATTACCAACGAATTTTTTCTATTTCTTGATGAACGTTGGGGGCCCCATACTGTTGATTGTTTTGCCAATTATTACAATCACAAACTCCCCAAATTCTTTTCAAGATTCTGGAATCCCAATACTGCAGATGTCGATTTCTTCTTTCAGCCTCTTGGCGGGGAAAATTGTCTAGTGGTTCCACCCGTGGGTATTGTTACACGTGTTTTGCATTATATGAAGTGTCAGTATGCCGTTGGTACACTTGTTGTACCCTTCTGGCCTTCAGCTCATTACTGGTCATTAATTATGCACAGATATGGTGATTCTCTTGTGGCCCACGTTATTTGTGCTGCGAGGGAGGTTCTTATTCATGGAAGAAATCATAATTCGCTGTTAGGGTCTCACCAATTCACAGGCTATATTATCGCCTTAAGAATGGAATTTACTGAGTAACAATTTGGAGTTGTTCATCAAGTGTGTTGGCACTGGCCTAAGCAATGGTTTGATTTCATGAGGCACTGGCCCAAACAATGATTTGCATCTTGTGACACTGGCCTAGCAATGATGTCTTGTTTTAAGGATACTGGCCCAGACTCCGCCCCAAACAATGATCCATTGGGCACTTTGGGATTCCCATCTTATTGTCACTACACTAAGGGCGTGCGTTTTGTTCCTTTTAGTTTGTATGTTGTGTTCTTGTTTTTTCAGATAATTTCTTCAAGCAAGTCATGGAAAGGTTCCCCAGTTCTTTCGTCATTGAATGCCATCAGGTTTTAGACGCGATGTTGAAATCCAGAGCAGATGCTACAGCAAAATCCTATATGCGAGTTATTAAGAAGTTTTTGGATTGGTGTAAAAGCAAGCAAATAAGCTTTGAGCTACCTTTTCCTTTAGGCGTCGTATCTCTTTATTTGTTCGAAGTCCAACAGTCTTGTAGTTCCAGTTCTTCTGTAATTTTGACCCACGCCGCCCTTAAATGGCTACATTCATTTGTTCTTAGTCTTGATGGTAACCCATTGGATAGCGATTTTTGCAGAAGTATTATCGAATCTGCCAAACGCCAGAGGTCACAACCGATTGCGAAAAAGAAACCCATTACCACAGAAATCATTAGGAACATATTGGACATTCATAACAAAGAAGATTCTAATCTGAAGGATCTTCGTATTGCCGCAATTTGCTCATTAGCTTTCGCAGGTTTTCTTCGGTATGACGATTTATGTAATATCGTTCCGAAGCATATTGAGTTTCATAATGATTATATAAGGATTTTCTTGCCTCGAAGCAAAACCGATATTTATAGGGAAGGGAATTATGTCTATATTAGCGCTTCCACATCTAAGTACTGTCCTGTCGGTGTCTTAAGAAGGTATTTGAACTTTTCTGGGATTGACAGCAATAGTAATCTTCCTTTATTTAGACCTCTAACTTTTCACCCTAGTAATTCGAGCTATACCCTGAGAAGTGGTAAGATTTCTTATACTAGATGCAGGGAAATTCTTAGAGATTGCCAGAGTAAGTTAGGTTATAATCCTAATAATTTCGGTCTTCATAGCTTAAGATCCGGTGGCATTACATCTGTAGTGCGTAATAGTGGTCATTCGATTTCAGAAAGACTACTTAAAATACATGGTAGATGGAAGTCTGACTCTGCCAAGGACATGTACATTGAAGAGAGCCTTGAGAATAGATTACAAGTAACTAAGTATTTACGCTTGTAATATCATTGAGCATTTATATTTCACACGTCCCTTTATTCTTTATATTAGCGTAAACAATAAAGCGTTCTACTGATGAATTGTAAAAAAAAAAAGGAATAATTTTTGTATTATGATTTAATGTACTTAATGTAATTAATGTAATATCATTGAGCATTTATATATTTCACACGTTCCTTTATTCTTTATATCAGCGTAAACAATAAAGACTTCTACAAATGAATTGTAAAAAAAAAAAAGAATAATAATTTTTGTATTATTATTTAATCTAGATGTAATAAACTGTGTTTTGGATCCGCTTACGCATCCTACCATACTGCTTGTCTGATTTATTTATTATGGGAATTTAAGGGTAAAATAATTTACGTTCGTTTGAGCGAAGCGAATTAGAACGTAAGCGCTGTTTTAAACACAATTTTCCTGACTTTTAACATAATTTCTGAATTTTTTTACCTCCTAAAGTTTTTAACATCTAAGGTCATTAATATTCATGAAAAGAACGGGACCAGAGAAAAAGTCCGGATAATCGATGTCCGGATAGTCGAGGTTCGACTGTAATATCTTTTTGCAACCTCCACTAATTTCACACAAAAGTGACAAAGTCATGGGCAACCTCTTAGTCAGAAGTTCATTTCAAACCAATGACCAATCTGGAACTTTCAAATGCGCTCCCTCACGATGCAGAACTTGTCCTTTCATTCATAACGTAGAGAAAATGTCGGAACCCAAGAGATCCATTAAGATCACTGATCACTTTACATGCACCTCCGCCAATGTAATTTAACGCATAACTTGCATTTTTTGCAAAAAGTCATACATTGGTGAAATAGGAAGACACTAGGTGACCGATTCCGGAGAACACCTTCGCGACGTAGAAAGAAGTGACAAGGACGTATCCAAACCAGTCGCGAATAACATATAAGAGTTTGCGGTCTTTCCCTATATCTAGGCAGTTCGGAAAGCCGCAAAAGTCTAGAATGAAAATTTACCTTCCAAATCTGCAATCTTAATCTCTACAGTATCAACGAGCGCTTTTCATTCAACTAATTTATTCTTGTTTCTCGCCACCATTTTACCACCAACAGCGTAGCTCCATTTTCTACACCTAAACCCACACACAACCCACAGTTCCTCCAATCGTTCTGACGAAGGGCTAACGCTCTAAACGTCAGTCTTTAAAATCTTTACGGTGGCTAATTAACGTTTCAACTCAATTGATAACACTAAATTATTCAGTTTGAACTCTTTTGATTCATAAATATATTCCTTCGTTCCCTGGAAAACTTTAAATATTTTGGACCATGAATATTTGGCCTGAATTGACTAGATTTCTTCTCGAAAAGCTCACAAAATGAATCGCTTTTATTCTTATTTCGTTGACCTTTGATGTAAATCTTAAATACTGTAGAACACGGAAAAAGACTGATTTCACTCAGCAGTGGTTGTTCATCGAACGAGCTTTCGTGGCGTATCGATAGATAGTGTAGATTGTGTACATTGTGTTTAAAAAAAAAAAGCCGCCGTGGCACCACACATAATTAAAATATTTGTATTTTCATCTCGATGGTCTTCTGGCAAATATGGCAGACACTAAGCTGCTTTACACAAATCTGACATGCGCCGTGACCACAACGGAAAATGATGTCCTTCTTCCTTTCCACACAAATACAACACACAACAGATTCCTCCAATTTCCGCAACTTTGCTTCAAGTTGCTGATATTGCGAGACCAAGGACTTGATGTTAATTCCAATGATAGGGTTACCATCTGCGAAGAGAGTTGGAGCGAACTGAACTCAATACTATTTCCAGCCAATTTCTCCAAAGACAAACCAAATAACGATAGTATTTTTCCCTTTCTCTCAAAATCTGGATATTTGCGAAAGCTCAGAAAAATCAAAATGAAATAAAAATGAAATTCAACAAACATGAAAAACTGGTTAAGAATTAAAAACCTAAGATTACCCGACATATCATTTGAGGGCCCAGCTGAAAACCGCCCTAGCGAGTTTGGATCCCTCATTGAATACCTTTACTACTGTTATTATTATAATTATTTTCATTGTTATTGTTATTATTATCATCATCATCATCATTATTGTTATCATCAACAGTATCTTTTTAGTAATAATAACTTGTTGCTTTCGGACAATTCAGGGGAAAAGTGAAAGGAATAGTAAGCTTGAATATGAAAATGAAGGTTTAATAATAAAGTTTAAGTAAGACCAGTCTCTCTTCTAAAGGGGGTATTTTTCTAAAGAAACTGTCGTTAGCCCTTCGCTAGAGCGAAGGGCTAACGCTGGAAACGTCAGCTTTAAAAATCTTTACGGTGGCCAATTTACGATATCAACTCAGTTGATGATACTAAATTACCCCGTCTCTTCTCTGTTAGGAGCAGATATTAAAATTTCAAGCTTTCGCCTATCCACGTCATCATCAAGATGATATGCCGTGAATCGTCAAAAGATTGAAATTTTAGTTTTTGCTACATCGGCCTCACCTCGCCAGCGAAGGACAACATCCAAAGACTAGAAAAATTAAAATTTGTGCAAGTTACCTCTCGTTCCTTTACCAGAAATAGGCGTTTTACATTCCAAACATCTCTTTAATCGGGCTGCACATTCTGCAAACGGATTATTACGTTAATAAATACCAAGATCAAGATGCCTTTTTCAAACTGTGTTTATCTTCTCCACACTTAATAATGGTCGTTCCTCCTTGAATCCTTCTTACCTTTTCGCGATTGTCTTCTCAAGGAAACAGGTATTTCAAAGTCGCTTTCTTTTTCGAGGCAATTTTCTATAAACGACGCTTGAATGATTTCAAACTTGGAGACTATGCTCACTTAAAATTTGAGCGATTAACACAGAACAAAGAACAATAACTAAAACAAAAAGTAGAGCTACCTATGCACACAACAGTGTGGCCACAGGGTTTGAATGCAACAACAGCCTCAGTCTCCTCACATATGTAACACAGCACTTTTTGATCATCAGAGGTTTGTGATGGTGGGCCCTCACTGTCACCCATTTTGGTGTCGGTGTTATTCTCTGCCATTTCAGCAGGTTGGACAGCACTGTTGTTTGAGATGTCTAGGGCCCAGGTTTCCACTTCAACTTTATTAGTCACTTCCAACACCACATTCTCCTTGTAAACAACAACAAAAAATATCCTCAACTTCTTTGATAAACATGGGTTGAAGAGACTTTATACCAAAAAGAGAGTCCTAATGTAGAATTTTAGTCAAGTAACGAGCCATTTTTTTTTAGAGCAGAGAGATATCTTCGAAAGAGAATTTTGAATGATCAACGCCACTAAAACCACTAACAACCGTACCGTCTAAAATAGAAGACTTCAAATATTTTGACACTATTATGTACAGTATCGGAGAAAACCATCGTCATAATTAATACAGATGAAAAACGTAAACAGAAGGTTTGAAAGCAATAAGTGATTGGGGGCGTCAGACTTCTTATGGTGCTTCCAGAATACACATCTAAGGATGATCCCCGTTGTAATTTCTCTTTACTGACATGAAATAGTACCACAAGAGTGCTTTTAAAACTTGGCATGAACTTTTCACCTGACACAATGTATCTTCCATCATTATATTTTCCACCAGGGCTGGTCCCTTTGATACACTTTCAGCTGTGACGCCTTCTTGAACATCTTCGCTCTCCATCTCGTCTGACATCTCCTCTGTTAAGTCACTTATTACGCGCTGTAAAAACGTATCTTCTGCCTCATCTGTGTTATTCGTACTATCTGTTTGATTTTCATCATCTTTTTCAGTTTCGCTTGCCACCGTCGCCGCACTTGCTGAAGATGAAGCATCCTCTGACTCAGGTTTGGTTCGCGACTCGCTCGAGGACCCAAAACTTGGAACTTTCTTATTGCGTGTCGTCCTATAGTTGTTAAGCAAAGTATAATTTTTAGTTAAGTATCATATGTATGAAAGGAATTTCCACGTTGAAACAGCCTTCCTTCATTTGAAATCCTTTGGAATAAATTCAGGCAAGAGATACGGGGACTACGCGGAGAATGTTCTTAGTCGTGGCCAGGATAAAAACGTCATCGGAATATAAATATTTTGGAAGCGAGGTATACAAATATTTAAAAAATACACAAAAGCATTTGAATACCCTCCACCGGCCGCAATCTTCCGAATAAGTTGCTCAACTTCTGATCCTCGACATATGTCTAGCGGTGTTTTCCCTGAGCCATTGACTTTCAACACGTCAGCTCCATAGCTTAACAAGCAGCGTGACATAGCGACAACGGACGCACTGCTATTTCGTACACCAAGTAGTAACTCCAGACCAGGCTGAAACAAAACAGTACTATTCCATGTAGAAGGCCAAAGACACTAACAAAGAACCAACTGATCACCTTTCCCTTTACATCAACTGTTCTTATTGCAAGCAGTGGGAGAACCCTTTTGAGATCGGTGCATTAAAGTGAGATCAAAGCAAACTTAACCGGGCGGACGATTCAAGGTGTGGTAGGTGGTAGAAATTCTTTGCTTATCTACGTTCCTTACTTAGTCGGTTTTACGAAGTCAAGCAGCCACATCGCTTGAAGAAAAAAATTGCAGTGATTTTACTTCACAACAGTATCTGTCCAAAACGGTGTGAACAAAACAAAAGCTAACTTTGGAGATGCCTTTAAACATCAGAATGACGACACATGCATAACCATCCAAATCATTTCGTGATCATTTTGCATTACTTAACTTCTCACGCTGAAAGGTAGAAAAAGCTCGACATGTTAAACTTTATGAACTTATTTACCATAAATCCCATATTTCTCTGTAGTGTGTGTTCCTTCATTAAAGCGATATGAAGCGCCGTATCTCCGTCACTATCCACTGCATTCACGTTGGCTCCGTGATCCAGCAACAGTTCCACCATGACCGAGTGTCCTTTATCGGCAGCTAAATGAAGTGCCGATTGATTTTCAGCAGTTGCAGCATCGACCTCACATCCCGGCTGTTAGATAAAAAAAAATTGTCTCCTCATCGTTGATCTACCTTTATCAGTAAGCATTTAGATTCATTACTTGAAATATTTTGTAAACTTTTGTAAAAAATGTCGATAACAAGAATAGGCAGTGGCCTGATGGTTAGCAGTCTGGACTTCAGACCCGGGTTGTTTGCCATTGAAATCTGCCTGAGTCACTGTGTTGTCTTCTATAACAGGAAACTTTCATTAGCGCCTCCCTCTGGCCGGGAGAAAACATCTTGACGAAATTTCATGAGATATACAATGATGGAGTTGTATCTCAAACAGAAAAAAACTGTTTTAACAATGCCCGGCAAACAAGGATATCAGTTTGGTGGTATGAACCACTAGGCCAGTGCAAAACTTACACGCAAGCCTTATAGCAATCAATTATTTACTGTGAACCGCTGACCTTAGGTGTCAACTCTTGTTCCTAGTTTGTACAGAGAGAGAGAATAGGTGTAATAGTAACAATTATTTTGTGGTTATCATCCCAACATGACCACAGGCAAAAAGTCGTACTCCCTATTGGATTGAACACAAGCGACAGTAATTGAAATCTCTTAACGACAATTTAAATCACGCAACGAGTCTTGCACAAAAAAAAAAAATCGGTGACAAAAATAGATGATATTACCTTCTTTAAGAGGATCTTAGCTATTTCAAGGTGATCACTAATTGCTGCAATATGAAGGGTCGTAAACCCATCATTTTTGACAACATTCAAGGAATTTCCGGTTGTAGCAATAATTCTTTCCACGGTGCTGCAAATAAATAAGAAAAAGGATTTAGGATACAATGGATGTGAAAGCGATTAACTTAGGTAACAGCACAACAATCATTTTGTAACTGAGATTTGGTCTGGTTTTCCCCCTCTGACCACTCAGATCGCTCCAATTGCCAACGACCAACGATCTGGAAGAGCATGAACTTCCAGTTGAGCCTGAGTCACATAAGCTTAGCTTTCTTACGACTGCAAGTATGTCCCAGCTGCAGTCGTCTCGAAAATTGTCACGATCAGTTGAAAAGTAGACTTTTCATGTGGGTACATCATTCAGCGTACCCTTACTCTGATTTAAGCTGTCTAACTGAGTCGTGACGTAATCATTTTTGGCATAGTTACCGTTTATCTCCTTTTAAAACAGCGAGTTGAAGATAATTGAAACCTTTTCCGTTATAAAGAGTGACACAAACTCTTGGGCAGTCCAACAGCATATCCACCATGCTGTGGTGTTGTAGAAGGATGGCATGATGGAGAGGGGCCTCACCTGTCTCGTCCTGAAAATGAGTCAAAGCGTGATATTGGGAGGAACCTGGTACCATAATACGGGCAGCTTAGGTAGCAGTATATTTTATCACAAAAACGATAGGATGAATATATATAAAAATTGGATCAAATGTCATAATACTCCATCGCATAGATATTTGAATTTGAGCAAAGCCGAAAAAAATTAGACGTCTTATGCCATTCTACTAACCGATTAGAGATTTTTCAAGTTCATTTAAGACAAAAAAAAAACACTCGAACAAGGTTTAAATTTGACTAAGACATGTATCTTATAATATATGCAATGCTTGCTGAGTTTATTGGGACAGTCTAGAATGCATCAGGAATTTGTATTCCCAGGAAAATTGATATCTTCAAAGGACCCACGAACCTTCAGATTGACATCACACTCGGGGCACTGAGTCAGGATCTGTACGGCCGTTTCGTTTTTCCTTTTCACGGCCAAATGTAAGGGTGTGCTCCCATTACTTCTGTGTTGAACATTTGGATCAAAACCTTTCTCCAGTAACAGTTTCAATGCTTCACCGCTTTCTTCTCTGAATGATCAAGTATTTTAGAAATTCTCCATTAATATAGGGAGTTTCTAATTCTGCTTTCCTGTGTCATAATAAAAAACAACAACAGCAACAGCAACAACAAAATATGAACCATAACATGCAAATGATAAGCGTTAGGTTGTCATTAAACCAAAGCGAAAGCAATCAGAGCCACTCAGAACAAAGATGATTATCTTGATGGATAAATAAACAATAACAACAACAAACACATGCTATCTATCGAAAGCAGTCTGCGCAAAAGTTACTTTCACTGCCTAGGTGTTATTTTTTTATCGATTGGTTGACAGGGTAGCTGAAGATTTCGAAAGTAATCGCATTGAGAAGGAAAGAAAAACTAAAGCAATCTTAGATTTCTCAGTTTCGCAGATTATTTAACATAACTATCATAATTCGGTCATCTTACTGATAAGTGGAGTGGTGCATGGCTGTGTATCCCTGATTATCCTGTATTTTGAGAAAAAGTGTATGATTAAGAAGGCTACTCATCTGAAACACTATGATATGTAGAATATAATCATGTTAAAATAATGACCTAATCTTGTCAATCATGTGTCTCTTTGTTATCCTCCTCAACCAGCACTAACAATTAAAGTAACTTGAACAAAATAACGGTGATGGTTAAAAGTACTGGACTGAATAAAAACTTTTGTTACTCACCAGTATATCCATGTCAGCTCCTCTCTCAAGCAATTCTTTAATGATGTCACAATGCCCCTGGTGACATGCTACATGGAGAGCTGAGTGACCACCCACTAACTTATCAATCTGTACAGAACGAAAAGACACAAATCCTTAATCAGATCATATTTTCTTAAACGCTGCCAAATTCAAATAATTTGATTCTAGAAGTTTAGAAAAAATATCCTTTTAGTTATCACTGTTTAATAAAACCCAAGTTACGCAATTCCCTTCTTATGCTCGTATTTATCATATTGTCTTGATTGTAGAAAACGTTTGTAAATACTATCTGTAAAAGTAAAAGAAATGAAAGAAAAACGGTACCCGCTCTGGGTTAGAATCCAAGATTTCCTTGACTCTCGAGAGGTTGTTGTTTTGTGCAGCATTTACGAGGCCGATGTCCGCCTATTAATGAACGAATGAGCATGTCAGACCTCTTATAGCATGGTTGTCACAAAAAGACAACTAGACGTATTAGGATCATCCTCGTTGTAGTTTCTTTACTGATACAAAATGGTACAACTACAGTGCTGTAGAACTCCTTTTGAGCTTTTAACGCAACACAATGTGTTTTCCTCTGGACCGTATATTTTCCTTAAGGGCTTTTTCCTGTGATACACCTTCAGCTGTTTCGCCTACCCTAATGTCTTCTTGATCTCCTCTGCACAAGTCCCTTATTACGCCTCTTAAAAACGTATCTTCTGCCTCATCTGTGCTACCCATTCTATCTGTTTGATTTTTGTCTTCATTTTCAGTTTCCTCTGTCAGTGTCGCCGCGCTTGCTGAAAATGAAGGATCGCTTAATTCAGGTTTGGTCTGCGACCCGCTCGAGGACCCAAAACTTGGAACTTTCTTGTTGTCTGTAGTCCTACAGTTGATAAGCAAAGTATCATTTTATTTAGATATCATGTAAAAGCAATTCTTACATGCACTAAAATGGCCCTAATTCAGAGGGCATCCTTCGGACTGGATATTTGAGTGTCCCCTTATAAGTAATGTGCCTTCGATTCAGACAAGAGATACAAAGACCACGCGGGGAATCTGTTTGCCGTGATCAATAATTTTGTGTTACCAGAATAAAAATTTCATCCGAATGTAGGTGTTTTGGAAGCGAGAATCCGCTCTACTTTAACAAAGAAAGGTGTACAGGTATCAAAAAATACACAGAAGCATTTGGATACCCTCCACCGGCTGCAATCTTCCGAATGAGTTGCTCAACTTCTGATCCTCGACATCTGTCCAGCGGTGTTTCCCCAGAGCCATTGACTTTCAACACGTCAGCTCCATAGCTTAACAAGCAGCGTGAGACTGCGACAAAGGACGCACTGCTCTTTCGTTCACCAAGTAGTAACTCTAGCCCCGGCTAAAATAAAACAACGCTATTTCGTGTAGAAGGCCAAAGACACTAACAAGGCACCAACTGATTACCTTTACATCATGATCAGTTGTGCTTATTGCAGGCAGCGTGAGAACCTATTTGAGATCATTATACTACATCGAGGTCATAGCAAAGTTAAGTGGGAGGACGATTCTCAAAGGGTGTGGTTGATGGTAGAAATTATTTGTCTATCTACTACGTTCTTCTTTTAATTGGGTTGACGAAATAAGACGACAGCATCGCTTGAGGAAAGAAAATAACACTAACTTTACTTCCCAACAATATCATTGTCTATGGATGTGGACAACACCTGAGTTATTATTGGAGTTAGCTTTAAACGTCCTGGTAAAAGCAAGGACATATGCATAACCATCCATGTTATGATTATTTTACATGGCTAATCCTCTCACACTGGAGGGGAGAAAAAGGGAGATAAAATATACAATGTCTCCTTCGACATCTTGTTGGCCTGTTCCAAGCGTTCATTTGGTAAAACAGAGCATAATGGCCTAAAGTGTCTTTTTAGCGGAGGAGTGAACTGGCTAAGGTATACGTGACCTGACCCCTTCACTCCTCCGCGACTACAGCGCTGTTTACTATGGAGCTTCATTTTACAGACTGAACGCCATGAACAGACTCACAGCACGGTATTTTATGAAACTACTTATTTACCATTTCTGCCGGATTTCTCTTTAGTACGTGTTCCTTCATTAAAGTGATATGAAGCGCGGTATCTCCGTCATCATCCACCGCATTTACATTAGCTCCATGATCCAGCAACATCCCTGCCATGACTGAGTGCCCTTTACCGGCGGCTAAATGAAGTGCCGAATGATTGTGAGAGGTTAGAGCATCGACCTCACATCCCGGCTGTTTGATAAAAAATATCCTTTTATTATCGAGTTATCTTTATCGGCAAGAATTCAGATTCATTATTCAAAAGCTTTTGTAAACTTTTGTGGAAGTTGTCGATAACAAGAATACGCAGTGGTCTGACGGTTAGCAACGGTTTGCATTGTAGACTCCAGACCCGGGTTGTTTACCACAAGGATCTGCCTGGGTCACTTTGTTATGTTCTATAGCAGGAAACTGTCGATAGCCCCTTTCTCTGCCCAGAAAAGGACATCCAGACTGAAAGTCATAGGATATACAATGATGGAGTAGCATCTCAAACAGGAAACATTGGTGATGAAATGTGTGGGAAACAAGGATATCGGTTTGTTGGTATGGATCACTTCTCCAGTCTAAAAACCTATACATAAGTCTTGTAGCAATCAATTGTTTGCAGTGAACTGACCGTTATTGTAAAAGGCGGTGTTATGTTTTCCTAGTTTTTCCAATGGGACGTAACAGTAGTGTTCAATATCCCAGCTAACCGCATGCAAAAAGTCATATTTCGTTCAGAGATTGAACACATACGACATTCTTTCAAATCTGTTAAAGCGGTTTAACCATACACAAGCAGTCTTGCACGCGAAAAGAAATTGAGATTTAAAAAAAAACCGGAGAGAAGTGGGTAATATTTTTTCTATAAAATTACCTTCTTTAAAAGGATCTTAGCTATCTCACGATGATCATTAATTGCTGCAATATGAAGGGTCGTGAACCCATCATTTTTGACAACATTCAAGGAATTCCCAGTTTTGGCAAAAACTCTTTCCACGGCGCTGTGAATAAATAACACAACAGATTTACGTTATACTGAATGTCAAAGCGAATATAGGTGACAAAATTTTAAGAAATCTTGTAACTGGGATTTATTCTATTTTCCTCCTGATCACTCATAGCCCCAATTGTCCAAATTACATGAACACTAGGCCAAGTGGTGACCAACGACCCTAACTATCAGGAAGATCATGAACTTCATGTTCGAACTTAGTTTGTATATAAGTCTAGATTCCCTATGACCGCAAGTATGACTCAGATATCTCAAAAACTGCGACGATTAGTTGACAACTATGCCTTAGATTTGGGTATTAAGCTATTGTACCTTTACTCTGATTAAGCTGTCTAACTGAGTAGTGCTGTAATTATTTTTGGCATAGTTACCGTTTATCTCCTTTCAAAACAGCGTGTTGAAGATAATTGAAACCTTTTCCGTTACAAAGAGTGTAACAAATTCTTGGACAGTCTAACAGCATATCCACCATGCTGTGGTGTTCTTCTCGGATGGCATCATGGAGAGGGGTATCACCTGCCTCGTCCTGAAAATGATCAAGCGTAATGTCAGGAGTCACGTGGTGCCTTTCGACTTTGTTTTATCGACTGGCAGCTTCGGTAGCAGTGTATTTGAGCTTGAAAACGGTGGAAAGTGAAAACATCAAGAATGGGTGCAAACGTCAAATAGTCCAGTGCCGCAGCCAAAACAGTTGAGTCTTAAGACTTTCCAACGGCAGGACATAGACTTTTCATGTACGTTTAAAATAAACAAAGGGCAATGTAGTTTTAGATTTTACAACGAAATGCGTCTTAATAATATGTGCAATGTTTGCTGAGTTAGTTAAACAGTCGAGAAAACATTAGGAATTTGTATTCTCAGGAGAACTGGTATCTTCAAAGGAACCAACGAACCTGTAGATTGACGTCACACTCAGGGCACTTTGTCAGGATCTGTACTGCCGTTTCGTTTTTCCTTTTCACAGCCAAATGTAAGGGTGTGCTCTTATTACTTCTGTGTTGAACATTTGGGTCAAAACCTCTCTCCAGTAACAGTTTCAGTGCTTCACCGCTTTCGTCTCTGAACGATGACGAGGATATAAGTTCGACACAACATCGGGCATTTATGCATTTTAGTTTAACTTAAGAAGTTACTTATTCTGCTTTCCTAACAATATTTACGTGACTGTTATAAAGGAAGAAATATATTAACAATGACATGCAGATGTTTTGTGTTGGCTCCTGCAAGAGTCGTAAAAACAAAAGCTAAGCAATCAGAGTCAGTCAGAACATGTAATAATATCTTAGCGGATGAATGAACATGGAGAACAATCACATGCTGTCGAATTTAAGCACAACAAGAGTTACTTCGTTTTCAGTGGTTTTCGTTCTTTGTTTTTCTATTCAATTGGCTGAGAGGATGGCTAAAGTATTCGAAAGCAATCGTTTGGCGAAGGAAAGCAAAATTAAAGTAATCTCTGAATCGAATTATAAGTTTGACAAGCTTTTATATGTCAACTTACTGATAAGTAGAGTGATGCATGGCTGTGTATCCCTGATTATCCTGTGTTATGAGTAAATAAAAGTGTATGAATAAGGAGGTTCCACTCCTCAAACACTAAGATAAATAGAATACGAGGCTGTCAAATAACAACCTAAGCTCGTCGATCATGTGTCTCTTTGTTATCCTTCTCGAGCAGCACTAACAATTACAATCATTTGAATGTGGTAAAAAATAACCGTGATGTTTAAAAGCGCTGTTGTTACCCACCAGTATATCCATGTTAGCTCCTCTCTCAAGCAATTCTCCAATGATGTCACAATGCCCCTGGTGACATGCTACATGGAGAGCTGTGTGACCACCCACTAGCTTATCAATCTGTGCAGAACAAAAAAACCCAAAACCTTTGTCATATCAATTCTAATTAACATATTAATTAGTATGTACAGTTAGCTTACTGAATACAATCAGCATTAGCTGAGCTGTGTCTAACTGGAATACAAACACTCAGCCCTAGTAGCCACTAATTTATTACAGCACGACGCAAAGTCAATGAGATCTAGCTGAACATAAAAATCAACATACATGTACCGATTTATTTCGTTACAAACATTAAGCTTTCGTGAAACCAACAGCCAGTATCAGTCTAACGCAGTGTAGTGGCATTCATATCCAGTCAGATCTCTCAACACCGCCTTTCCGCTTGTCAACAATACGCTTTCAGTAAGTGATGTGCGCTGATATATTCCTTTTTGTTTTCCGCCAACTTTCTCCGAACGCTTAGACAAACTCAGACCTGCCTAATTGATTTAAGACGCTGAATTGCATCACCCGACAAACTCTCAAATGTTTATTTTCATTAACATTTCCGGCTTTTAAACGCCACCAAGTACAAATTTGATTCTAGAAGTATTAAAAAATATACCTTTAGTTATCACTGTTTACTGACCCTAAGTTACGCAGTTCTCTTCTTACGCTCGTATTTATCATATTACCTTAGTTTAAGAAATTTTTTCAGCCTTGCAAATACTATCCGCAAAAGTAAAAGGAATAAAAGAAAAAAGGTACCCGTTCTGGTTTAGCATCCAAGATTTCCTTGACTCTTGAGAGGTTGTTACTTCTCGCAGCATTCACGAGGTCGATGTCCGCCTATTAATGAACGAATGTGTGCGTCAGACCTGTTAAAGTGTGGTTGTTACAGAGAGACAACTAAATGTAGTAGGATCGTCCTCGTTACAGTTTTTTCCATACTGATACAAAATGGCACAGCTACAGTGCTTTAGAACTCCTTTTGAACTTTTAACGCGACCTAACGTGTTTTCCTCTAGACCGTATATTTTTTACAAAGGCTTTTTCCTGTGATACACCTTCATTTGTTTCGCTTACCCTAATGTCTTCTCGATCTCCTCTGCACAATTCCTTTATTACGTCCCTTAAAAACGCATCTTCTGCCTCATCTGTGCTACCAATTTTATCTGTTTGAATTCCATCATCTTTTTCAGTCTCATCTGTCTGTGTCACCGCACTTGCTGAAGATGAAGCATCGCCTAACTTGGGTTCGGTTTGCGACCCGCTTGAGGACCCAAAACTTGGAACTTTCTTGTTGTCTGTAGCTCTACAGTTGATAAGAAAAGATTCATTTTACTTGGACATCATGTAAAAGCAATTTCCACATGCACTAAAAAGGCCCTAATTCAGGTGGTATCCTTCGGACTGAATATTTGAATGTCCCCCTATTAGTAATGTGCCTTCGATTCAGGCAAGAGATACCAAGACCAGGCGGGGAATCTGTTTGGCGTGATCAAAAATTTTGTGTTGCCAGGATAAAATTTCATCCGAATGTAGGTGTTTTGGAAGCGAGAATCCGCTCTACTTTAACATAGAAAGGTGTACAGGTATCACAAAAGCATTTGAATACCCTCCACAGGCTGCAATCTTCCGAATGAGTTGCTCAACTTCCGATCCTCGACATCTGTCCAGCGGTGTTTCCCCAGAGCCATTGACTTTCAACACGTCAGCTCCATAGCTTAACAAGCAGCGTGAGACAGCAGCAAAGGGCGCACTGCTCTTTCGTACACCAAGTAGTAACTCCAGACCAGGCTAAAATAAAACAAATCTATTTCTTGTTGGCCTGTTTCAAGTGTTCAGTTAGTAAAACAGAGCGTAGTGGCCAAAGGCGTCATAGTAGCGGAAGGGTGAAATAGCTATGGTATACGTGACCTGACCCCTTCACCCCTCCGCGACTACAGCGCTGTTTACTATCGAGCTTCTTTTACTGATTAAACGCCATGAACAGGCTCATAGCACGATATTTTATGACGCTACTTATTTACCATTACTTCCGGATTTCTCTGAAAAACGCGTTCTTTCATTAAAGTGATGTGAAGCGCTGTATCTCCGTCATCATCCACCGCATTCACACTGGCTCCATGGTCCAACAATATCCCTACCATGACTGAGTACCCTTCATTGGCGGCTAAATGAAGAGCCGATTGATTTTTAGCGGTCAGAGCATCGACCTCACACCCCGGCTGTTAGAGAAAAAATATACTCTCACTATCAAAATATCTTTATCGGATTGAATTATCAGATTCAGATTCATTGTTCGAAAGTTTTTATAAACTTTTGGTGAGGTTGTCAATAAAAAGAATACGCAATGGCCTGACGGTTCGCAACGTAGACTCCAGACCCGGGTTGTTTACCAATAGGATCTGCCTAGGTCACTGTGTTATGTTCTATAGCAGGAAACTTTCGTTAGCCCTTTCCCTGCCCAGGAGAGGACATCCTGACGGAATTTCATGGGATATACAATGATGGAGTAGCATCTCACTCACAGAAGGGTTGTTTAACAACGTACGAGAAACAAGGATATCGGTTCGTTGGTATGGAGCACCTGTCCAGAGTAAATTAAACCTCTACGTAAGCCTTGTAGCAATCAATTATTTGCAGTGAACTGATCGTTATAGTAAATGACAGCGCTTTGTTTTCGTAGTTTTTCCAATTGGAGAATAGTAGTGTTGAATATCCCAGCTAACCACACGCAGAAAGTCATATTCCATTCCAAGATTAAACACATACGACATTCTTTCAAATCTGTCAAGCGGTTAAATTAACCACAAAGGGAGTCTTGCACGCGAAAAAAAAAAAGATAATTAAACGGGGAAAAGTCGTTAAAATCATTTTTCTATAAAATTACCTTCTTTAAAAGGATGTTAGCTATCTCACGATGATCTTTAATTGCTGCAATATGAAGGGTCGTAAACCCATCATTTTTAACAACATTCAAAGAATTCCCGGTTTTGGCAAAAACTTTTTCCACGGCGCTGTGAATAAATGACACAGTAGAATTATGTTGTACTGAATGTCAAAGCGAATGTTGGTAAAAGCATTAAATTAAAGTAATTTTGTAACTAATGTTTGGTCTCGTTTCTTCTTGATCACTCATCGCCCCAATTGTCCAAATTACATGAAAACCAGCCCGAGTGATGACCAACGACCCTTGCAATCAGGAAGATCATGAGCTTCATGTTCGACCTTGGTTTGCGTATAAGCCTAAGCCCAGGTGTCTCAAAAACTGCGACGATTAGTTGAAAACTATGCCTTGGGTCTGGGTACTATTGATCCATCCAATGCCAAGGATCTGAAAAGCTATAGTACCCTTACTCTGATTAAGCTGTCTAACTCAGTAGTAATGTAATTATTTTTGGCATAGTTACCGTTTATCTCCTCTTAAAACAGCGTGTTGAAGATAATTGAAACCTTTTCCGTTACAAAGAGTGTAACAAATTCTTGGACACTCTAACAGCATATCCACCATGTTGTGGTGTTCTTCTCGGATGGCATCATGGAGAGGGGTATCACCTGCCTCGTCCTGAAAATGATCAAGCGTAATGTCAGGGGTCACGTGGTGCCTTTCGACTTTGTTTATTTACTGGCAGCTTGGGTAGCAGTGTATTTGAGCACCAAAATGTTGGGATGAAAACATCAAGAATGGTTGCAAACGTCAAATTGTCCGGTGCCGCAGCCAAAACAGTTAAGTCTTAAGACTTTCCAACGGCAGGACATAGACTTTTCATGTATCGTTTTAAAATAAGTAAAGAGCTATGTAGTTTTAGATTTTACAACGAAATGCGTCTTAATAATATGTGTAATGTTTGCTGAGTTAGTTAAACAGTCGAGAAAGCATCAGGAATTTGTATTCTCAGGAGAACTGGTATCTTCAAAGGAACCAACGAACCTGTAGATTGACGTCACACTCGGGGCACTGTGTCAGGATCTGTACTGCCGTTTCGTTTTTCCTTTTCACAGCCAAATGTAAGGGTGTGCTCTTATTACTTCTGTGTTGAACGTTTGGATCAAAGCCTTTCTCCAGTAACAGTTTCAATGCTTCACCGCTTTCGTCTCTGAATGATGACGAGGATATAAGTTCAACAAACATTGGGCATTTTTGCATTTCACTTTAACTTAAGAGGTTACTTATGCTGCTTTCCTAGGAATATTCACGTGACTGTCATAAAGGAAGAAATATATGAACAATAACATACAGATGTTTTGCGTTGGCTCCTGCAAGAGTCATAAAAAAAAAGCTAAGCAAGTCTAGACATGCAAAAATAACTTAGCGGATGAATGAACACGAAGAACAATCACATGCTGTCGAATTCAAGCATACCAAAAGTTATTCAGTGGTTTTAGTCCTTGGTTTTTTTTTATTATTCAATTGACTGAGAGGATAGCTCAAGTTTGCGAAAACAATCGCTTGGCGAAGGAAAGCAAAACAAAAGCTCTGAATCGAATTATAAGTTTGACCAGCTTACTTAAAATTACTCAACTTACTGGTAAGTAGAGTGATGCATGGCTGTGTATCCCTGATTATCCTGTATTTTAAGTACATAAAAGTGTATGAATAACTAGGTTCCTCTCCTGAACACTTAGTATGTCAAAATAATGATTTAAGCTTGTCGATCATGCGACGACAACGACGATGGTTGGTTGGTTGGTTGATTGGTTTTCCTCCTCGTGTAGCACTAGCAGTTACAGTAATTTGAACGGAGCAAAAAATAACAGTAATGATAAGACAAAAATTAAAAAAATTATTACCCACCAGTATGTCCATGTTGGCTCCTCTCTCAACCAATTCTCTGATGATTTCACAATGCCCCTGGCGACATGCAACATGAAGAGCAGTGTGACCACCCTCCAGCTCGTCAATCTATGTAGAACAAAAAGATACAAAGCCTTGATCATTTCAAATTTCTAAAACGCTACCAAATTCAAATTTGATTCTAAATCGTGAACTGATATTACACTGATAAATTTTATCGTTTTCGGTATCTTTGTTTACTAAAACCTAAATTACACAGTTCTCATCTTATGTTTTTATTTATCGTATTGCCTTGATTTCAGAAGTTTTTCAGACTTGCAAATGCCATCTGCAAAAGTAAAGAATGAAAGAAAAAAGGTACCCGTTCTGGGTTAGCATCCAAGATCTCAATGAGTCTTGAGAGGTTGTTGCTTTGCGCAGCATTCACAAGGCCGTGAGCCTCCTGTTCATGAGCTTGACGTAGTAAGTCTCTAAAGAGACTGAAAAGCCCTGGAGAAAAACATACAACAGTAATTGTGAAGAAAACTACACTTATGATCTGTGCTTTAAAGAAATTTGTCTTCTTGTTTCTCAGAGCAGTTTTCGATTGAGTGACATAGATGACATTGAATTGTTTATCTCGCTTTGTGAGTGGTCGAGAAAAGTCTTGCTTTCATCTTAGCCAATCAGATGCATAGCTCAAATCACTTACGTCCTAGTCACTGACGTTTCCATGCGATTCAAAGGTTTTACTCTTCTAGATTGGCCATTTTTACTAACGCTCTCAATACGATTGTACCCTAACTTTGTACCTAAGGGATTTTCGCTGCCCATGTCACAAGCCTCTGTTGACTGCTGGAGGTCTGGGTCAGTGACAGAAGTCACAGCAGCTGGGCTCAACATCCATCTGGTGCCTTCTACTGACACTAAAATATCACCATTACTATCAACTCCCAACACATTTCCAGTACGACCAAGGATCTACAAATGGAATAAGATAAGATATTATCTTGTTTAAAACTGTTTATTCTCCAATAGCTTTTTGAAATACATATATAATTGGCTCCAGATTAGTGGCGTGTATTGTTTACTTTTTTAGCTTCTTTTAGTTTACATTTTTAGCTTCCGCACATGCACACAGGAGTTTGCGAAGAAGAAAATTAAAAAAAAAAAATTAAACTTACTGATATCATAGACTCGTGCCATCCTCCATGTTCTTTTTGGAGCTCTTTGACTAAGTTCTCATCACTTTTAACTACGACTTCATCGCCTTGCTTAAATTTTTGAATCTGGGTAAAGAAAAATTATATGTATATATATATATATATATATATATATATATATATATATATATAGTGATACGACACTAGAATGTCCTTTAGCTAGCTCTTGGAGTGTTTCCTGTCCCACTCCATGTCAGTAATTCCTGTTGGCCAGTTAATCGAATGGCGATGCTTTAAATTATCAGTAATCACATGGCGTTTATTGTGTGCCGTCAGAAATTTAACACATCGTCAGTGTTTTAACTTTGAACGAACCATATAAATTTTGACATAAGTAACTTCTGTAGGATATTTCTTGATCATCCAAGATCTAAGCCACTCGTTCTAACATACCTGATGCCAATGTTTATGACAGTCAAAGAAAAAATTAGGGCTACTTCATAACACAAATATAATTAACTCATTTGAAGAAGCTCTTGGCGAGACAAATGATTGCGTTAGCATTACCTTTGACAAAACTGCTGGATTGTAACGCCATCTTATGTCGCGATACTCTACAACAACGTCACCATTGGTTGTGAAATCCTGCACGACTCCGATTTTTCCAATATACTGTGGATATAAGTGAATTGTTTCTAAAGTGCGAGTTGTCAACGACATTTCACTGAATTGGTTTAAATCTAAGAGGATATGAACTAGACTAAGGATATTGTACACTCAGAGGGGAGGGCCAATATCTTCTTATTGGGAATTGAATACTGAGACTTTCAGGGCCTCAAATTAGGGTTAGACACTAAATGTTTTTAAGAGTTTTAGATAGTGTTATGAGTTTGTGAAAGCAAGTCCCAAACGAACCCTTTCCATGTCTGCGTTCCATTCCCCATGACCAGCGGATAACTCCTGAAGCTTTCCTATCGCAAGCTTCTGAAGGTAGACTTTGTCACCACTCATAAACCCACTTTTGGATTTTATTATCTGCACTGTGAGCGGTGGTAAATGATCTTTGTAATAATATCCTCCAACAGCTGGCGAAGTGCACTTGAGGTCAACCTACCAGTTCGAAGGAAATAGAGGTAAAGACTAGGTATCCAATGTGTGGGATTTTTTTGACTGCAAGAGTTTTTCAAAGTGACCTAGTCTCAAGTTGTGGTTGAATTAAGCTCTAGAGTGCTTGAAATGGCGTAAGGAGATGTTCGAGATGTAAAATAGTGTCTGGAGTGCCAAAGATGAAATCATTCTCAAGATATAGTACTGAGAAAGTCAACAGGAACAACTTTAATGAATTGGATCCCTGTTTATGATTAAAAAAAAATTATTTCACAACTACTACTGCTACTATTAACTATTATTATTATTATCATTGTAAAACTGATGATAATAATAATAATAATAATAATAATGTTACTGATGACAATAATAATAAAGCAATAATTCATTAGCCCACGTCACCTTTCCATTTGTTCCCAATCTATAAATGTTACCCGTCGGTCCTATGTTCCAGTTCACTCGCACAGCATCATTATTAGTCTCGTCACTCCAGCTGGTGACCTCAGTAACCTCGCCTTCCATAGGAGATTGGTTATCCTGTTCCTTCCATTCCCAGTCTGGTCCTCTGGTTACTTTTGCTCCCTTAAACATTCCGCGGGCTTCAATCTTAGTGGCGCCTTGCCTTTTGCCAACGGGGATGCTGTAAATTTGCATGACGCAATTAAATATATAATTCATTAATACTCTTCAAGAGAATATCAGTCGATATTCTGTTGTTTTCTTCCACTAGTGACAAATATAAAATGTAGCTACGAACAATAAAATAAACCTAGAAGTATTTAGTTGCTGACAAAAATGTTGTTAAATTGAAGTAAAAAATTATTCAAAAGAATCATTGTTAAATCCCTATTAGAGTGTAGAGGCTGGACCGCTACAGGAACCGTGACGTCTTGAAGCTGATCCTTTTTCATTTGAAGTCAATTTTCATTAAAAAGAAAAGAACAACAAGAGAGGAAGAAACCAAACTTAATAGAGAATGCAATGTTATTGAGTAAGACGTATTAGTTCTGATGGCAAATAACGTTTTACTTCTTTGGCAAAAGATATTGAAGTTAAATTTGATTTAAGACAATGGAACATTTTTGACATCGATGGGTTTACGTGGACGCACAGGCCGCTGACCTGTTTCTTTGACAACTTACCCTTTGGCGCGACTCTTTTCGAATCTTTCAAAGCGATGATTGACATCATGGACATCGTTCATGTAACACTTGCTACACAGATCATAGTTGGGACAATCTAAACAGTGCCAGCGCAGTCCAATGATGGGATCTTCTTTACAACCATCGCAGCTAGTAAATAGATGTTTCGCGTCTAATAGAAGAGGTAACCAGAATATGAAATAGAGAGATACCTTACGTTTAGGAGTGAAGAGTTATGCCTCGACATCACAAATGAAGATGAGAGTAATCTTCGCAGCGATTATCGCTACTTAAGCAGCAGTGAAAAGAGGGACTGGAAAAAATTTAGCTCTGTGCGGGAGTTGAATCCATGACCTACAGGTTTGAATGTTTCCCAGTCTTTATTCTCACTGCTGCCTAAGAAGTGTTCACAACTACGATCATCACTTTTTTCTTTATTTATTAATCTGTGGTTTAAATATATGATATTCATAGATTCACGGTTGTTCTTGGCACCACATGCAGTTTAGTCCCTGATACACAATATCCTTCTCTGTCTGACTTAGCTAAACAAAACACTAAGATTTCCGAAAATGCCGGAAATGTTCCACTGGTTTTCAAAAACAGCCCCATATGTTCTGACGACTAACAGAAATTGCAAAAGATGTTTGGTGGCTACACGAGTTTGTACGATGAATTCTACTAGCATGATGTGTAAAGGACAAGTTGGCCCGTAGCTTTGCAGAGTTTGCACATGAGCATATTATGATATGGAGCTGTTTATTAGTCTCCCTCCTAGTTTGTTTGATAACGTCGCTGGATTCTCTACCTCCTACACCTTTCTTTTTCAGAGGAGGGGGAGGGGAGCTTGGGAAGCGTTGATTGACATCTCAAAGAATGCAGACTAGACGTTTACTGATCTATGTTACAAAACCTTTTTTCTAACGGCGAGAGAGAGACTCGCGCATGAACCGATAATGTTTGAGACTGAGCCGGAAGTGTTGTTGTGAACGCATCAAATGTAAAGGGAAACCTTTTTACATTTTTTTTTTCTCTCCTGGGGTTGTTAAGCCGCCTAAATCAATAATAGGTAATTTAGTGTTAACAACTGGGTTGAAAACGTAAATTAGCCACTGTAAAGGGTACGGTGGCTAATTTACGTTTTCATCCGGTACGGTGGCTAATTTACGTTTTCAACCCAGTTGTTAACACTAAATTACCTGCTATACTCTCTCACCGACGCAGCACCACAGTTTCTTTAGAAACTTACCCCTTTATTCATAAATCAATAATAAGTTGATAATAAGTTGATAATAGGTTGAAATTCTCGGAAAACAAGGAAGACTTAATATATCAAAACAAAGGTCTTTCGAGGTCATTTTACAACAAACTTTTTCAATAACTTGCTGTCTGACTTAAAAATATAGCTCTGGGTTTGTGGGGAACTGAACGCACTTTTTGGGATACAACAGATTCACGCTGTAACATATCCACTTTCACTTAGTGAGCAAGCTGATAAATGAAAAATCTGCATATTATGAAGCAATGGTACACATCGCAAGTCATATAAAAAACCGTGTGTAGTTATAAAAGACAAAGTGTCCATCGAAAAGTTTGACGGCCTAAAATTTTGCAAGGGAAGCTTTTAATGAGAAGGTATAAAAATTTGAAACGAGGATCGTTGTTTTCATTTTGGTTAGGATTGTCACGGACTTCAACTCCAGTTGAAAATCCAATGATTTATCCGTGTCAATTGTCAGTCCGCATGGTTTCTAAACCTCGTGTTAATGTGTTTAAATCGATTTAATTGAAATTTTTGCATCATTTGCTTGCCTAACAAAAGTGCTGAGATTGCAGTTTATCCTCTTTAAGGAATATAATATTCAGCTAGAGTTGTTTGGATGAGTCTGGGCAGATATTTCCGTTTAAATTAAGATAAATAGCAAGAAACTTAAATCGTCACTCACCGCCATTTGTGAGACTAAAAACTCGAAGATCGTGTTTCCTTTCGATTCCAGCCCTGTAGTCGTGCTTCCCTCCACAATCCCACTGTACGTAAACAAGCTGTGCTGTCACAGGCGACTTCTTGTCTTTTCCGACTTGAACTACTGTACCTACAGAACCTTCTCCGCCATCTTGGTTTCCCCATGTCCAATCTTGACCACGAACAACTCGGGTGCCTAGAAGATTTGTTGCCATAGTTATACCAGGATTTTCCTTATCACGTTTATACCGACTAGATCTGATGTAAGCTTCTCGAGATCTCGTCTTTTCTTAAACAACGGAAAAGCATATATTATGCATCAGAAATATTCCTGTCTGGTGAGCTAGTCGATGGATGACAGCGATTCAATACTCTTCTGCCGGTTTTACACAAAGCTAACAAGTTCCCTTCTCAATTCTAAAATTAATCAAGATGTATCGGTGAGATCAGTTGCCGATTGGGACTGTAAAGAAAATGCTTCGTTGGCGATAGAATGCTAATGCTAACACAGCATATTTTTCCTAGAATTCGCAATTCATCACCGCATTTGTCGGGGATTCCCCAACACATCATTCAGGACACATTATTGGTTAACTAAAAGTTGCGTTACCTAATAGTTCATGTTATGGTAATTTCTGAGAATCCAAGTGAGGATTAGGAGTGGACATGAAGAAACAGATAGAGATTGATGAATACAATTTGTGTTGATGACGATATTTATTTAAAGAGCATTGCGTGAATGTTGGGTATAGTGAAAAACATTTTACCTCCGCTGCTCTAAGACGAATTCAGCGAAGAAATCTACAGAGTAAGGCGAGTTGTTTGCTTTACAGTTCCCAGAATAATAAACCAAAAATAAAAAAGCAAAACACTGAAGAGGAATAAAGGAGGAAAATAATAGAGATCTGTCATAAAATCCCGAAAGCTGGTTGATACATTTGATTGCGGCCCATTTTGTACCTGCTAAACCTGCTTTAATTCTATTTTACGTAACTAGAAGAAAATTTTCCATTGTATTTGTGGTCCCTTGCTCAACGATTTTTCTAACCATGTCGAGCACAGTTATTTGAAGTCTGGACTATTAATAAAATTTCGGACCATCTGCCTATCTTTTCCATTTGCTTCGATCATTGTACCCGCGAACACTAAGAGAACATATTTGTCCGTGACTAAAATTTCCAACTTCCTAGAGGAATTAGATTGTATTGATTGGCTCAATATAGACGGGTATAATGATCCTAAAATCTGCTACCAAATTTCTTGAGCGATACACTAGATCTTACGAAAGCTCAACGACCTAGCTCAACGACCTATGAAAAAGGATCTCATTATCGTTCCGGATGATTTCAAAAAGAGCGCCGAAGTTTCAAAACGAAGGGTATGTCGTTATTAACGACCAAAGCTGGGTGTTTCACAAAGTTTTACCAGTCCACAAAACACATGTTTGTTTGATCTGGCGCCACCCCCCTCGGATCCTACATTAAACCCTTTTTTGAGACGCTCTAGTTTCGCTTTCAAGGTGACGTGTGTGTGTGTTTTTCAAAGTTAATTACCATAAGTCCATATTGTAATTCTAATTAAGATTAGTTATTTTAAGTGAGAAAGCCTGACTTGTTATAAGCCTCGTGGTTTCTTTCAGGTTTTCTGTTTTCTGTCATCAATTTTCTTACAAACCACCTGTCATATAGTTTTACCAGCATGTTTGGAGCTTCATTGAACTCTTTAATACTTACAAACCACCTGTCATAAAACTATTGAACTTTTTATTTTTCTACGCCAGGTTTTAAACCAATTAATACACCAGTAAATGACCGTACTTCTGCTGATCTTTATTATTCATTAATAACAATTCTCGAGTAAGTAGCCTCGATTCAGTTTACCGGTAATAATAACAATAATACAACTTAATATTTCTTCCGACCTCCCCATACGGAACAGATCCCATTTTTTCGTTTCCAGAGAAAGACCAGTCCTCGGTATCCCATTGGAACCATTCCTCCTTCCAGCGCATTCCTTGTACATGCTGACACTGATGAGAGTTCGATTTGAACAACACGAACGGCGTGTCCGTGGGCAGGATGATGTCGTTTTCGGCGTGCCCATCCGTGCGGCAGCAGTACTCAATTAGCGTGTTTTTGGTAAACTTTCCATCCGGCATAGCTCCCCTATAATTGTTGTTGTTATCGCTATTTTCATCGTCCCAGCGAATGAAACCTGTTTTGAAACCTGTCGAAAACAGCAATTCATCATCTTTGTGATTAGGAGATGAATGAAAAATGGGGGTTACAGAAAAGTGAGTAGACCAGAGCACAGACGAAAAGTATGTAATAGTTGAAAAGAGATATGAAGGATAACCCTCTTGTTGTAGATTTGGTTTAGCGGTTAAATCATTATCAAAACCTTATTTTCTTTAATAAGCTCAACTTTTTAGATTCATAGCTATGGAAAAGACTGAGGGTAGAAAACCTGACTACGAGTTCTATCATCATACGCCCTTTCACGACCCCATATCTCTCTTAGCAGGCTCAGATATAGATAAAACTTTATTTTATCTTTATAGCAATGGCGCGTTGTCAAGAGGTCTCTGCTTCAGAAAGATTCAACGTCGTATGAATATCTGCTTTTTTAATTACAAGAATGGCCAAGTATTATAGACGTTATTCGACTCATTATTATTATCTTTACGAAAACAAACCTTCGGGACAGTCTCCTTTCTTGAAGAGACAATATTGTCCTGGTGACCAAGTAAGGTCATATTTTGTGCCTTGATCCTTGGTTTTGATACAAAAGGCCTGTTGATTTGTCCAAATACTTTTTTTTCCCGCCAAGTGGTAGGGATAAGACCAGCTGTTACCGATCTCGTTTTCATGATAACGATACCCATGATGCCATGTAAAACCAGCTGCTCTAGGACAGCCGTGGGTGGTCATGGGAAGGCCATATGTTCCCTGGGGCCAGGTAAGCGGTATAACTACAGGTGGATCTATGAGAGGGAGGAAAAAGAAAAGGAAATGAAAAGGAAGGGAAGAACGACGAGAAAGAAATCAGAAGGGTATATAAAAAAATGTTTTAAATGACTTCAGAAGGCATCCAAACGCATTACTATTATGTCATCATTTCCGGCACGCTTTTCAGCGCAAGACCATAATTAGTTCCTTTTAGCGTTTTAAATTTCGAATACTGAACAATTTATATCCAACCTTTAAAAAATTGGAGACAATGACCGTAATTGAACAATAAGAAACGGAAGTAGGTTTTCCCTCCTTTTGACGAAGAAGTATTGATTTGAGTATGAGCCTCCACTTCGATTCATAGATTGCCAATGATCATTTACCAGATTGAGTCCACGTGGAAAATTTAAAAAGTTCCCTTACAGAGGAAAACTCCTCAACGATTTTAGGCTTGCGATTTAACCCTTTAACTTCTAAGATCTCATTAGTAATTCTCCTTACTGTCTGCCAAAGGATTCTTATTATGTTAGTTTGGAGAATTTGTATTGTGTCAACTAACAATCCCCTAATTAACATTTTTTTTTATTCTCATCACTTGTCTGCTTGCTATTGTATCGATATTGTAAGGAGAAACTATGTCCTGGTCATTTATGGCAGTTAAAGGGTTAAGAGACTTTTATTTACCAATTGGTACATTGGTACCCTTCAGCCGTGGATATTCCTTCAGGATTTGAACCAAATTATCCTTTCTAGATCTCAGAAGAGATTCCGTATGTTTGCATGGAGACCCAGATCCTGCACCCGACAACTGGTAAAAGTTTTTGTTCAGGGCCTCGTACACAGGAACAAGCTTCAATCCGATTGGCTCAGGCATGTCCATGCCTCCAGATGTAAGAACAATTTTGTGTTTTCCAAATTTATCCTCTTGTGTCATCTGTTCTCGGAATTTGTCCATGTTAACTGTGAGTGACCCGGAGAAGCCAGCAAAAGAACCAGAGGGTGACACAGACCCCTTAATCTATAAGTAAACAAATGAAAAATATCTAAGTTCTCAGTTAAGCTTCTTAGCTCAGACAGTGTGAGCCCCACAACGCCCTCTATGGGGAGATTTGGAAAGCTTCGGAAGACGTAGTTTCTGCAATGACAACAGTGAGATGCTTATTGTCCCAGAAAAGATTAATAAAACTTATAAATTTATTTGCCTCTCTGGTGAGAGGGTCAGACACCCCGAAATTAATGTGATTACAGAGAAAAAAGTTAGATTCCGTAGCTACTTACATTTTGGATGGCGTGTTTTATAAATTCTGTCTGGCTTTCTTTTGAGCGCTCGATGACTTTCTCTCCCAACTCAACTTCAACTACAATGTGCTGAAGTTAAATGAACATCAGTAATTATTTTTTCATAAAAATCAACCGAATTTTAAATTATAACAAATGTGCCAGCAATAGCTTCGTTGTTCCCAGGGTTTTTCTTCCATTCAGCCATTTTATGATGTTCCAAAATTGCTCATAAGGTAATGAAGGATTTTAGGTGTATAACAGTAAAATTTGCCCGACGTCCCCCCCCACACACTCAAACGCGCACACACAAAGGCTCCAGAATAATCTAATCTCTAGTCCTCCTCTATACTCTGTTTGCGATAAAAAAAAAATGACTGTTCCTTAGTTCAGTTTTTACGATCCCAGATAACTTACAGTTCCCCATCTTTCAATAAAGTTGAAGTACGTTCGTTCGGAGTAATCATCAGGTAGACCACAAACAGCAGCAGCAAAGTCCTCAGACACTGGGAATTTCTTAATTGGGGCCAAATCTAACTGATAACGAGCACGACCACGATTGCAGACCTTCTTCTCTTCATAAAACACATTTTTGTAGGTGGATGTCTCTTTAGTCATTTTCTCAAAGTCTATAAGGATGCAGTTTGTTATAAAGTTGATTACGTTATGATTATCATAAAGACATATTTTACTCCTACATAGTACTACATTCAACTGCCATATCATGCTGTCATTAACTACATTCAGTGAAAGGCGCCAAGGATTATACTCTTGAAGACAAGGAATACAAAGCTGATTCGCACCATGTCCGCTTAAGTGTCCTTGATAAAGCGAACTATGTTTTAAATCTTTAAATGAAGTTTATATTGCACTCACTTGAACTCAAAGTGAAAGCCACATTCCATAACCCTGCGTCATAACCACCTTTGAAAATAAACAAATGGGCCGAGAAAATATCAGAAATATCTGAATTAGATGATTTCTTTACAGGTACAGTTGAAACATGAAAAAATATAAAAATACTGAGAATATTGCAAAACTCGATTTCTTCGTTTTTTACTGCAAAATATTTGTTCAGCTTTTACCGTTTCTTATTATTGTTTATGTTTGACTGAGGCAATAAAATACAAGGAACAATAAAAAATAGCTTACAGCAAATAACCCCAACAGGTGTTGATTAAAATAAACATAATAAACCTAAACTGGTTTGAAGCTTAATTTGTAAGTGTCTGTTTTTTCCAAAAAACAAAGGCAGCAAAAGCGAAATAAAATTGAATGATTGAACTTGCTAATAACCTACCATTAGCGGATACATCAACAGTAAGTTTGTTCTGATAGCTTTTAGACCCGGAGAAAACCTCGTTCTTTGTCGTAGTAACGCAAGAAGACCTTGGCGCAAAGCTGACCTGATCTGGAATCAGATACTGCCTGCCTATAGACACTTTGTTTGTGTCGTAGGATAGTTTAAACACTTTCCTTGTAAAGAGCAATCCTGGATCAATACCTCCATTGGACAGATCACCGCCATCGGGGTTTCCTTCAAGAAGATTGTAGCCGACGCCAAGAAACTGAAGACCTTTAGGGGGTTCTTGATAGGCGTTGGTTTCAGTAACAAAATAAGCCAATAAACTTGTAAGGATGAGCGCAGAGAAAGGCAACATTTTTATCAATAAATGTCAACGACAACTATGTTCCGATGAAATTGAGATCCTGTAATAGAGTTAAAAGTTGGTTTTGGTAAGTAAGGCGTATGAAAAATCTACTTATTCTTACATTCTGGCTGGTCACCTATTGCCTGCAGCAATTTGCTACACAGTTATGCCAAACCATGAAATGCATTATTGTGCTTCATCCTGATGAGAAATCACAACAATGATTACGACTTAAAGAAGAAGGGAGGTTCATTTTTGTGAATTCTTGAGGATGCCTGAAGTTGTCTAACTATCTATATCTGGACTGAAACTCAGTTAGAATGTGAATTATGCTTGCATGAGGTTAACTGAAGCAGTAAAACATGAAATGAAAAATAAAATAGTTAAAAAAATCCAGAGTTTTATGTTCAGATCTCAGGTAATGTTATACTGACCTGCTCATCTATAGAATGAAGCTGATCCAAGTGTCGGTAAAAGCTTTATATATGTTCAAGATTGTTTGTTCCACCATTTTTCAATTAAAGAAACATAATAAAACCTGTTAGTTCAGAGGTCCAACAAACAAATTTGAGGGAAAGTGTAGCCGACATCTTGGCCCTTAACTCGAATAAGTATTCCACTATTACATTTTACCAAATATGGCCATGAGAGCGCGTAACGCACTGTAGAACAGGGCAAAAATACGGAGCAAAAAAAATTTTTTTTTCGCTTTGTAGACTTGAAATTTAAGGAAACGAGCCCTTAAGTGCGACAGATTTTTTTTGTTTGGTCACAAAGAACGCTTTAATGTTTTCGTTCGTGTTGTTTTAGTCTTTCGCTTACTCCTTACGTCATTGATACGTGCACAGATAAGGCCGTAGGATGTATTTCGCAAACTAAAATGAATATAAACCTAAAGGTGATCTGTAATAGCTAATAATAACTCCGTTGTTCGCTGGCTTATTATATAATAAGAGGGAACATTTTGATCATTGCTCGTATTTTTCTACGCCTCTTTGGGGCTTGGAAAAATACTACGCAACATGCAAAATATCTTCGCATATTATACTGTAAACATCGAATAAGGTGTATTTACAGCGTTCCTTTGGTATTATTAAAAGCAAATATTCTAAGGTTCTGTTGATCATCTCGAAGGAATATTATTTTTGTGCCTTTCTGCCAAGATGAAGAAGAATCAAATGATTTTCAAGAACTGTTTAGCAAATCTTGCAAAAATTTAAATTACGAGTCAAGAGTTCATGTTACAACTGAAACTTAGCTCTCTTCCAGTTACCATCGTTTGATGACTTAATTCCTTGCGTTAAAATCTAGTTTTCAAATCCGATTGCGTAACTTTAAGACAACTCTCTGAGCTGATTTAGCGGATAAATGTCTCTAACTCTCTTTTAAACAGCTTCTGAGCTATTAGTGAAAGAGCATGCTAATAAGTCCTCGTCAAATACATCTGTTCAAGGGTTAATATTTCCCAACAAAAACTTCCTTTCTTTTGTTTTGTTCAAATCTGGATATGCCTAAACTGGAGAAAAAAATCAATGATATAACGGCCTGCGATGAATTTTATTTACGAAATCTTCTCTACATTCCAGCAAGTTATTTTGGATCTCAGTGATTTATTCCCTTCTCAATATATATTTACAATTAGTTTATTCCTGCTTTTTTTTCTTTTAGTGCTACCCAATGGTCTTCAAAAAATATAAGATACTCATACTTATGTGTGTTATAGCAAATAATAAAATTTGTCAATAATTGCTCCTAAGTGCACTTTCATTGCTTTCCCATCGGAGTAGCTCCCTGATTTGAAAGTGACCTTACACTATTGTCGTAGAAGCTACATTGCACGTCATCATGCAAGTTCGCAATCATTTTAAAACTTCTCTCTATTGAACTTTTAATTACCATTCCAAGTGTATCATTTTGCGTCTTAACGTCACAAGAAGGAAATTGATAAGAAAATAATTAAAATAGCTAATGCAGTCTTAACAGAGCCCTTTCAATGCTACGTAATGTTGAATCGAGCCTGAAGACGTCATTTCAATGACAATTATAGCTTACTTAAGACTAAGTGGCGACAGAGGCATAGTTCAGTGCGACCTTGGCAGAAAACAACAAAGGATAAATCGTTAATTCTGCCTTCTGGTCTCGATTATTTGTGCAGTAAAGTATTTGCCCTCTGGAAGTAGGTGAGATAGGACTTTTAGGACTATGCGAAAAGTGAGTAAACTTAAATCAGAGTTCATTTTTGTCAATTTCCGTTGCCGAGATAGGTGAAACAATGGGAACTATTCAACTGTAACACATTTATCTTATTGGCGTCATTGAGCTAAACTGACCAATCACTGTCAAGAACCAAAAACGGAGAAAGGCTCCTCTTTATCCTAGTTCTTTAGAGTAAACCACAGCATAATCTTCGAAAGTAACCCCTAAATTAGAGAAAAAATCCCGTCTGTTCCCAACAATTACAATTTTGATGCCGAATCTCTCCCTTGAGAAGTCGCCCAGGAAGTAATGTTTTAGGAATGATGATAAAAAAACTAATCTGTTCGAAAGGTTCACCAATACTTGTCTCCATTGTTATTCAAATTTGCGTTAACATTTCACGAGACAAAGAGCTCCTATGGTTTAGGGATTGAAAATAACGGTTGCCGTGGCGACTAAACGAGTTATTATGGATATTTTAGCTATACAGGAAAAGTCATATATAAATAAGACGCGCTAAGTGTTATATCAGTGATTTATGGATGGTTATCTGGGAATCAAACATCGTTTTGCATGAAAGATATCTGTTTTGCCCAAATGTAAATAATTGTGGCAGTTCGTTTGGGATGACATATATCTTGCGAGCTGTTTTTTGGTTTCTCGCTAACAACAGACAATCAAACGCCATGAATATTGATTTATAATCGAGGCGAGCGATAAATGTGTTTTTCATGACGTCATTCTGACAACATAAATTAGTTATTCATGATTCTGGTGATACGATTTTAGACATACGACTGTAGGGAACTCCTAATGGCTCCAAGAAACGTCTAGGAATTGATAAATACTTATTAAGGCTTCAGGATAATTTTAAAAAGGTAAGAAACATAGTTGCTCACCAACCTTAGAAACTGTGTATTAATTCGGAAAAATAAAATATGTAACTGTGAAATAAGAGACAATATTTGACAAAAATTTACACCCAACATGTTTATTCACTACCTGAGGCCTTTAAGATCTGTGCATCTAATACAAAGAAAAGTGTGGCCAAAATATAACGTTACTTTTTGCGGCATAATAAATCGAGCTAAAAAACATTGGTTGTATAATATAACCGGTAAAATACTATACTTCAGCTAATGAGATATAGTTGGAGTTTGTAAAATAGTAAAACTGTTCAAAATATGGCAAAATAAAATATGAAAACATCATAGATTGACTAGGTATGAAGCGCTATGTGAATCTAAAAATATCACATTTGGCAAGGCTAGAATTTAGTCCTCAGCACTTTCCAACGAACAGCTGAAATAATTCACTGACAAGGACAAAATGCGTCAGTCTCAGAATTCAGGCTTCATACTTAACTTTTATTCATCATATTTTCAATGAGTTATTTTAGTTAATTTACAGTTTCTTTATGTTATTCTATCAGGAAATAAATCATACGCTACAGAAAATGTCTTGGTGTTGACTCTAAAATTTTAATTACCATAACTCTCCGCACAGTGTTATGTTTAGGGAAATAATTACGATTCAGGAATATTCATCATATTTAATGAGTGCACCATGAATACATGCTCCAATTGATGGGAACCTTGTGCGTCGCCACATTGGGCCAAATTTTTTTTTAACTAAAACAGTTTCAAACAATGTTTCTATTTTTATCGCACGATGCTTTTCGCAACGACATTAAGTTGAAGATATATTCATAAATGAAATACAAAACTGCTTTTTTTCTGGAAATGAAATGGTTCTCCTACTAAGAAAAAAGTGTGATATGTGAAAGATGATAAGTGTTCGTGACTCAGAATCTGTGATACGTAATCCGCTATTCGTGATGTGTGGTTCGTGCCATCGAGCCATGATCCGTTCTTCCTACGCACACTTACGCGCTTTCCTGACGAGGACCACTCACGCAATCTGTTTAAACATGATGCAGAGTTTACGTTACGTCATCAGCAGAACACAAGACCCACCCACGAATTTAAGTTCTTACTTAAAGCGTGCCATCGTGGTTTAATGTAAAAATTTTGTCAGTATAAAAGATATAATCTTCTCCCTGTATTTCATATTTTGTCTTCCTTACATCTAATTATTTGGATATGGGATCTGCCTGTTAGGAAAGTTTCAGGCATGGTTATGATGAGCAGACGTTCTTCCTCTTTCGTTGAACGAAAATTCGCAGTTCAGGATCGAACTAAATCGGATTGAACGTTGGAGCTACAGGTAAAACAGCAGAAAATTGAGGAAGCGTCAGAATACAAATAAGTTATTAGTTGTTTCTTATCTCAAACTTCCATTCATTTTGCTTCATATTTTACATATATTTTTAAGTGTGTCCTTCATCAATAGCTATCAATCGAAGCATTAATCACTTAAGGTCATCTATGTAATCGAAAAAAAGGTGTTGCCTTCTAAAAGAAACTTCCTTCAGTTCTAACTTTGACAAGTGGCAAATAAGAGAGAGAAGGAAGTCGTTAGGGACGACTTCTAAATTGAAATGACCAAGTACGTTCATGGTGTCAAAGGGTCCGCTTGTAAAAGCTTACAAATTTACAATAAAATTATCTGTATTTAGCTACTAGTTTTTGGTGCACATGCGTTGCATTTAGTCATAGTAGGCACATCGATTTCAATTGCAAGTTTTGGTGATGTAAACAAAGCCCGCTTAGGGACAATTTTCTCCTTGGCTTTCATGAAAAAATGCGACAGATCAGAGAGTAAGTTATTTTCCATTTTGCCCCAAAGAATAGCTTTGCTAGTAGTCAAAACAAACTTAGAAAGTGATGTTTTATCGAAAATTATTTTGAGAAGTGTTTGAAGCCATCAGAATTCTTATTGGAACACAAACCTCTTGGTGTATACTCACACTGGTTGTTAAAAAAGGGTTTTGTCCCGTAACTTGCTCATGTACATCAAAAAAGCTACTTTCTCATGACTTAAAAAGGTATATCTTCATTTATTCATAAAAGGTTACATTATGTTATTTTCTTACTTTAGGGGTGACTTTTCCGTTGTCGCCGAGTTTGTTTGCGGCTTTGATTAGTGGCGTCATTGTCAACACTTTTTCAAGTCAACCAGACTTCGGAAATCCTGGTATTATTTCTAACTGAAAGAGTCCATAGTCACAGTGTAAAGCTCAACAGTTTACGAAGGTAAGGTGTTATTTTTCTCTTTTTCTGGCTTGTTTACCCTGAACATTTAAAATGCTTAAATTTGTTATTTTCAAACAACACACAGTTACTGTGATCTTAACAAAGTTTACTGCAGTCAAAGCGTATTACTTTAGCGTTGAGTTGAGACAATTTTGAGCCAGAAACCGCACCTATTTATTTTTTAAATGACAGAAATTTCAAGAATATTAATGATTCGAAGAGTTCTTGATTGCAATAGCCTCAATACCATAAAACTCTCGAAAAATGTTTATGAATAACAACAAGCATTTCTGCTTGTAATTATTAAGCTACGTGATTTATGCTCATGTCAGCGTTACGAGTTGCTCGTATAGTCCACTTGTAGGTTATATTGTAACTAAAAACCTTGATAACTTATTTAATGGCTCGTTGAGGCCAGAAAATGACTATTACGGTGTCAAGTTAAGATTTTTATCATTTCATCAGCACGTACTGGCAAGGCAAATCATGAGTTAAACCTCCTACGCAGGGTGGAGGTGTTGATTGCCGTAGGGAAAGGGTCAAAGAATTATAGTGAAAATGATAAAATAAATAATATATGAACACATCTTGTAACTCAGCCAGCAAAATGAAAATATAACTGCAACATACTCGATCAAGTGGTATAGCTAAAATTTTCCATAATATTGATATTTCCCCTCCTAGCCTCATCATAGTTAGTTTTGGTTGAAATTATTTAAGATGCCCTGTGATCGTGCTACTAGTTACAAAGAGCACTTTCATTTTCTGTTTACCAGTTTCCAGTTGAAAATTAATCAGGATGACACCTTCCAAAATTATAACCCCAGGACATTTAGGAAATTAGAAATTGTAAAAATACTTTCATCATGCTTTGTGTCTGGTTGTGCTTTGTTATTGCGCAGTATGGTTGCCACGCTGCGAAAAGTTTCATGAAATGATTTGTATAGAAATACAACTCGAACTTTCATGGTTGTTTTTGGGGTGGAATTATTAAAGATGCCTTGTGATCGCGCTGCTAATTACAAAGAGCACTTTCATTTTTTGTTTGCTGGTTTCCAGCTGAAAAATCAGGATGGCGCCTTCCAAAATTATAACCCCAGGACGACTAGGAAAATAGAAATTCTAAAAACACTTAGGCAGTCAGTTTTAAGCAAATCACTTTCATCATGCTTTGTGTCTGTTGTGTTTTGTTATCGCGCAGTATCGGGTAGCCATGCTGCGAAAAATCTCATGAAATTATTTGTTTAGAAATACATTACACCTTGCATAAACTTACGCCAAATAATCGAAATGAAATTATTACTGACTTTCTTGATGCACAAAAATATCAAACTTTCTGAAATAACACAATAGGCTCTTTGAATAAATTGTCTTTTTCTGCTTCTGATAACATAATTTGTTTAGAAATACGCTACCCTTGTGTAAACTCACACCAAAAACACAAATTTCGATCTTTCTGAAATAGCACACTGAGCTTTTTGAGTAAATTATCTTCTTTTGTTTGCTATCATGAGGTTTTACACTCAGTATTTTGTTATCTCTATAGTATATATTAAATTTACATAACATATTAAGATCTGATCCTCTTCGAAAACCCTAATTATAATTCAAAACTCGCTGTTTGGGAGAACCTTTCTAACATGTAAAAAAAAAAAAAAAACCAACAACAACAGCGAACATGAAACCTGTGAAAGAAATCTTCCAGTCACCATATTTGTGTTTCACGGTAATCAATGAAGCGAAGAACACTACGGTGATAATTGCTGAGTAAAAACTAAGGTTTTATTAAAAATATGATGAACGCAAAAACTGAATTGTGGCTTAATATTTATATAGATTGAACTGTCACTTTCTCGTTCCGGTTGGAGACGAGACCGATTGTCAACTTTCTGGAGGCAGCTGACTTTTCTTGTTTAGTTTAAGTTTAAAATCAATTTTAAGTGAATGAGGGCTTTGACATTATTTCAGCAATCGCACGATTAGTATATTTGCTATGTCAGTCAAATCTTGTCGAGCAGATCACATATCACTTCGCATCCTCTTAGAGTGAATTTGAATGTTTTTCTTAAATTGTTTCCTTCGTTTAGGGCCAGAAGCCTCGAAGACTTGTCAGCTATATCCTCTGTAACCAGGCACTCGCTATGTCGTCCAGTCTAGGAGAGAGAGAAAATGGAATAATTGTTGCAGAGGCCACAAGCCTGATCATCCTGAATGTGGTGTCCTTGGTCGGTAATTTTCTCATATGCTGGACTGTGTATCGCAGCAAGAGTCTCCGTACCACAACCAATCTTTACATCGTTGCTTTAGCTGTGGGTGATCTCAGCTCAGCCATATTTGTGATGCCAATTTCATCTGCGGTATTGATTACAGGAGACTGGCGGTTCAGTGATTTTTATTGTAACATTCAGGGTTTTTTCGTCGTACTGAACATATATGTCTCACCTTGCCTGATGGCTTTAACAGCTTTCAACCGATACGTAAGAATTGTGAGGACAAACATGTACCCCAAACTTTTCTCCATGAGGAAAAGCAAAATTTGGATCATAGCTGTGTGGTGTATTGCGATCGCGTACATCTTGATACAGGTATTCGCGGGAAACCAGGCCATCCGATTCGTTCCTGGCTACGCTGTTTGTTCCACGACTCATCTCAAAGAGACGCAAAAGATCGTTCATTACAGCATTGTTATCTCCGTTTTTGTCGTGGCTCCCATTGTTATCACATCATTCTGTTACTACAAGATTTTCCGAACCATTAAGCTGCATAACAAGAATGTAATGCCGTCGTTACAAGCGAGCAGCAATAATTTCTCTCGAGTGAAAATCTCCAGGCGTGAGTTGAAGATCAGCATGTCCTTATTTGTCGTGGTAATAGTGTTTGCATTCTGCTGGATCCCGCTATGGATTTTGGCTCTACTGTTTCGCTTCAAACTCGTTGATAGTCTTCCAAGAAACGTGGCTTTGTTCGTCAGTTTCTTAGTGTTTTTCTCTTCCACTATAAATCCATTCATTTATGCTGGTATGAACAGGTCTTTCCGACGTGAGATCCGTCATATCTGTTTGCCAGCGAGTAAGCAAGAATCAGTCTCAGAGCGAACACGACCAAGTGGAAAAACCGATGAGGAGTTAGATGAGCCAAACCAAAGGCGTCTAAATGAAGTGGAACTGCAAGTTAAAGCCGCCTATAGTGGAAATACTGATTAGCCGATGAACAGAATTTTATTCTTTGGAAAAAAAGAATACTTCATCTTTGATAACGTGCTTAGAAAAAGAATTTGTTCATTTTCCATCATGTTGATTAATTGACTGGTCATGCAAAATGAACTCTACTCTACATTAACACCTATCGGAATAAAACGGGAGAAATGTCTTAGAGAATGGCCGTCATAATTATATATTATATATTAGTCACAAAAAATAACAAATAGGTCATTGCATATAAGGTAAAAAAAATTTATGAAGGATAATTTTCCATAAATCAGAACTCGAGATCTTGTGTTGCATTGTTCAGCTGATTTGAACTCAAACAACCATACAATTGACTCTTTTGGAATCATATTAGTGAGCATATTCAATTCAGTCGGACAAGCGAACATGATGAACGTATTTCTAAACTGCTCAGATTTAATATAAGGACCAATCAAAATGCGAATAGAACTCATCACATCACGTGCGGGTCAACCTTCATTCTAAACCGACGTAGCATATCAATATAAATCAGTATTTTACATTGTGCACTAAAAACATCACTAGGAATAAAGAAAGTATTTACCCTTAAGGTTTTTTGCATGGCAGGAGTAACTGAACCCTGACGATCTGTTGCCAGGGTGATTTTAGTAAGTAAGAGTTATACTAGATATTAATAACCAGGTATTATCTGAACATCTGTATTTATCTATATTCATTGTTTATAAATCTGATTGGCTCCAACATGATTTTAATTATTCAGTTTACATTTCAGTTAGGAGGTTGCCGCGATGTTTAGTTCATGTAATAAACCAAAATTATTTAGAGAGTCCAGTACTAATGATAATTTGAAAGTTCAGTCTATTGCAATTTCTCGAACTCGCGGGTGAAATATTAAGATCGTTAATGCATGTAATAACTGTTTCTTTTATTTGTACTTTTTACGATTTTAACCTTAACAATGTAGATCATAGGATGATAAGCAAACTCTCCTCTGAGTAAAACTTATAAATTAGATTTTCCCTTAAAGACAACGAAATAATTTTAAAAATTGATATTAAAAAAAAAACGGTGAAAGGATGCAAGATGATCTGCCGACTATATATCATGTTACAAAACTAGGACTGCACGCGGCTCATTGAGTTTTACCGCTGGCGCTCATTATTTTCTCGTAGTATGATAATCCGATCAAGGTTCGTAATAACAGGATGTTCTCCAGCAGCAATGGAGACCAAACAATATGGTTCGATTAAAGTTTACATTTTATTCTAACCGACAACTTAGGTTATTACGCTCTACTCGCACGGAATTTTCAAAAGTTAAGACCTTTTTTTCCATGAGAGAATGTAAAGCGTGACCGACATCATTTAGGAATAGCATTTTCCATCAGAACGAGCAATCGGATGAGGAAGAGAAAAACTGCCGGAAACGGATTTAGGCCCCTACGGGATTTGAAACCATGACTTATGCGATACCGATGCAGCGTATTACCAACTGCGCTGCACCCGTATCGCAAAGGTCATGGGTTCAAATCCCATACGGGCCTTAATTTTTTTCAGGCCTTATTTCCATTACTACTTAAGTAGTGTTCATTACCGCCAGGATCGCTTTCATATTCGTTTATTCAATCTCAGTTCACATATTGATTTTCATTTATTTACAGTCATTTATTCTGCCGGAAAAGGGTTCACAGTAAACTGAAAACCTTCGTTATCTTTGAGCAGCAAGTTATAAAACACCTTTAGGTAAATCATTCGGTATAGCCCTAAGGAATGAAGGAAAGCGTAGAAACAACAGCGCTGCAATTGCACTGAGAAATATGAGTGAGAATTTTCCCACGTGGATAGAAAACATGCGGGTTCTTGATGGTATATTCTTGCAAGCGCAAGAGTTGATATGTACATTAGAAATATACAATAAACTTTACACGATTTAAGGTGGTTTCGAGTGTAATGACGTTCCCTTTTTTGCATTACAAACGGGGTCCTCTATTGCCTACAAGAATAGGAACAAGTTTCCACATCCTTCTTATAAACTGGCCGATTTTTGACAAATACATTTTATTGACAGCCGAAGACAGATTCCTTGTCAGAATAAATGCCTTACTGAATGGGAGGGTTTTATCTGTCCACATTTATCAAAAAAAATATTTGCAAATACCTTGGGCGATTCATGGGGTCTTTCAAAATCGTACGGATTAAGGAAAAAAGCTCTAAATTTCCAAAGGTGGAAGGAGCCTTAAGATTAAGTTAAAATTACCCAGGTTGATTATCATTGTTATGCGATTTTTGGTAGCTGTTCGGAGCGCGCATTTAAATAAATCTTGATCCTCAAATGAAAACAAGCTGTTTCCAGATTAAACTCAAGTCCCATAAAAGGATTACAACTGGGGATTTCAAAAACATTCCATACAGAAAATCTTACCACGTCGAGATAATTTTTGCCAGTTTTTTTTACCGATAGCTATAGTTGTTTGCTTTTTTGTTTCACTAAGACAAATATTGGCCTGCTATGCCGGATAAGACCTTATCCTTCTAAAAAACGGAATCCTAATTCCGTGCCAGTTATCCATGATACCAAAAATGTTTTCAATTTTTTTTGTCTTTAAGCTTTTACCGGTAAAACTGAAAATAAAAGTAATCAGGGGTTTTTCTAGGCAGAGGCATTTAGGACCATGATTGGAAAGATTGTCCTACTTATTGAATTATCCATGTATTCATCAGTTTTAGAGCAGGAAAAATAGATGATTCGTTCTAGTCAGTTACGATGGTTTTACGATCCGTGATGTACTTTGCATAAAAACCTACGGCCAAATTGTAGATTAAAAACATGATTAACATTGTCCACTGTTTTAAATTCATTATTTGTCATTTCTTTTTTCAATAAAAGGGCAGTTCAGACATTTTACTGAAATAATTTTCGGTTCACAAACTACAAATACATGGGTAAGGAAATGCTATTGTCTGCTAAATACTCGTTGGTACAATAATAGTTATTTCTTGCTAATGACTTGTATGCTTTTTTGAACTAATGAATGACATTAAAGATCAAGTATTCGGCTCGTTTGTTTCATTAGGGAGTGTCCAGTGGCCGAACGTTGAAACAGTAGGTTCTAATGCTTATAATGGATTTGAATAACATAGATATCATAGCCTTTGCTTTGTCATTTTAGATGAAGGATTTGAGCTCTTACCGAGTCGAATGACATATTTATCAGTAACAAAGGTTTTTTCTCTAAATTTTGGGTAATTTTTGTCCTCATTGGTATAAACAAGTTTGGATTTTAACGTAAACGTAAATTGTGCCATCGATTTCTTATCATGACGGCTTGTTGCTTAATTTTGAATTAATTTATTTCACAACATAATGTACTAAATAGAGAGCGATAAAACCCACAATGAAAAAGCTATATATATATATTATTCAACTTACAAGGAAACCGACATTGGAAGGAACTTGCGGAATATTTAGTTGTCATAGTTATCATCAATCGACTCTGATGAAGCAGGAGACAAAAGGAGGATCACTGATTAGCATCAGCCGACCCATGTATTTGTATTAACAATCTCCAAATTGAATTTATTTGCTTTTCGAGGCCAGTTGATGAAAAAAACAAAAATCATTGCAGATGTATTGCACCTCAGTAACTGCGCGCAGCGTGGTGTTTACAGATTTTACACGGCCTAGAAAAACATAAATTCGTGTTTCTCTGTTGGAAACTTGTTTTGTATTGATGGCTGTTTCTGTGACAATAAGAGGAAAGGAAACATTTTGAGAGCAATGTTTTCCAGCTGTTGAAAATGAAAGAGAAAAAGGACAAAAGAAAATAGCAACGCGTCAAAAGCTGCTCTGTAAATGGACATTACTATTGGATGAAATTGAAATAAGCTTTAATTAACGTAAGGCTTGAGCCACAAATTAACATATATTTTGAAACAAAATTAAAGCATATTTACAGTACAAAACGTGTTTCCCTGATAAAGCTGAAGGGGAATATTTGTTTTCACTTAGTTTAGGCACAGGCTCGACACGAGTCTAAACAGCCGTCGTGATTTCTTTTTTGCTCCACAGCGCTTCAAGACCAGCGAAATCGAATGAGGACTAAAATACGTAGCTAACTCTGCGTTTGATCAGATCAAAAGTTTCGCTATACAGGGTATTAGTTTGAGGAAAATCACGTTAACGTGGCTGGAAAACTGGAACTAATGGAGAAAAACCAGTCATGTGATGGCAATTTGACTGCTATCTTTAGGAGGGAGGCCAACAAAACCGGTGAAGATTTGCCCGAACTCGGCTTAGATTACAGCGTGCCTTTGACAGTGATAGGCTTCGCTGTTTTGGTTTCAAACGGGCTTGTTTGTATACTTTTCTGTCGGTTCCGTGCCCTCCGAACGATAACAAATACTTTTATTGTCAGCCTGGCGATAAGCGATCTTATGGTGGCCACGGTTTTCATCCCGACTTATCTAGCTGGTCTGGCAGTCAATCCCTATATTATTGCCTACATTCTGTTTGCATATCTGTTTAATTTCTGTGGCATTACTTGGGACAGGTACCAAGCCGTTCTTAATCCTCTCATGTACAGGTCAGTGGTAACACGCGCGATCGTCTACAAAATCTTGGCCCTGGTGTGGACTATACCCCTCTTATTAGCGATCATACCAATTTTCTGGGAGTATCGGAACGGTGTTAAATTACTGGCCGGTCGTATTTACCAAGGAATCTTGGTTGCTCTGGTCACTCTGTGTTCAGCGTCTATCTGCTGGGCATATGGAAAGATTTTTGGTGCCACGCGACGTCAAGTAAAACAAATGATTGAAATGCACGAAACAAACGCACGATTTGAACACAGTGTTCTCCCAGACAGACAATCAGGGCGATCAATGAGAAAGAGGCGGTCAATTACCATTTCCAACGAAGTGAAAGCGGCCAAAGTTTTTGCTCTTGTAGGAGGAACCTTTGCAGTATGCTGGCTTCCTTTGATAATTATTAATGTGTTTTCCGCACTAGATTATTCCCACATAATTCCGAATGTATTTCTTGATGTCTCCCTTTATTCACTGGTAGGAAACGCTTTAGCCGACCCTCTAATTTATTCATTTTACAAGTCGGACTATAGGCGAGCCTTTAAGCGATTTTTTTGTGGTAAAAAACCAGATCATGATAAATTTGGGAATTCAATCACCACAAGGAATTCTGTGCTGACAGAAGAAAACAGTGATAAAATAGACGAAAATCTTATCTAAGGCATATTATTCGTGAACTGGAAAAGCTAGCATTTTAAAACTAATTGCACTGTATTATTTTCAAGCCGGTTTTTATTGCTAGGAAAATTGAATTTTATGAAAACACCAGTGTAAAATTTTGACCTGTAATAAATATAATACTTGACAATAAATTGACGACAAGCACAATGTTTTGTGTCATCTGAAATACTGTTTGAACCATCATAATTGCATTTGTGTACATTCTAGTTTCGACCGATGCTAATGACCTCTCAGTATACAAACACTAGGTTCTAACGTGTCTAAAGATATCAAACACAATTTACCGATATTTCAAAAGCTTTTGAACTATTAGAACTCAATCAACTGTGTTAAAAGGCTTTCTTCAGTAAAATAAATTCTGAGATTTCTGATGCATTTGCAAGTGGAAATAATGTAATGCATTTGAACATAGATTTCAAATTTTGCAAAGAGTCATTAAGGGTAAAGGAAATAACTATTGGTCGGTAAACAAAAGTATGATGCTGTAGTTGAGTTACAATACACAAATGAATAAAGGGGTAAGTTTCTAAAGAAACTGGGGTGCTGCGTCGGTGGGAGAGTATAGCAGGTAATTTAGTGTTAACAACTGAGTTGAAAACGTGAATTAGCCACCGTAAAGGGTAAAAAAGCTGACGTTTCGAGCGTTAGCCCTTCGCTAGAGCGATAGAAGAGGGGCAATCGCTCGAAACGTCAGCTTTTTTACCCTTTACGGTGGCCAATTTACGTTTTCAACTCAGTTGTTAACACTAAATTATCTACATTACACAAAGGTTGCTTCCTACATTTCGGAGACTGTCGCAGTCTATCCATCTTTGGTATAAAATCGGAGTTATCCTCCAGCACTCATGAAAACCTCGTTAGCTCGGTTACGAGGTTAACTTAAGCATGGACGTGATTGTCTTTTGAGCCCTTGTAAATGCTTGATGAGTAAGGGGGGACTGGGAGCCACTCCAGGTGAATATTGTTCCTATATTAAGTCTTATGACTTCTGTGCTCTTTAAATTTTCTCGCTTGGTTATGGTTTAAAGGACTGATTGTCCAATTTTAACCGGCACAAGGAATTTGCCAGCGAAAACTGCAGTGATGTTGTTATGAAATTGGTGAAATTAAAACCCCCAAAATAAAAGCAACTTGACCTTGGAAGGTATTCCAGAATGATACGTACAGGAAACTTTCCGATTTCGAGTGTCTTCGAACTGAGTAAACCTCACCATTTAAGAAATATTTCGATTTAACTTAATCTGAGTCGTCTTATTTCGTTTAAATTGTTGTTTTGGGACAGACTTTGAAATTGTCTTTTTACGTTCTAGCACAATTATTTCATAAATTACATAATATTATTTTCCTGCGCTTTGTACTTTGTCCACGAAAGTTAAAATCCTTGTTCTGAAGAATCGTAAGCCGTAGTTTTCTTGCTTAATCGTTCAAACTAATGCTCCAATACCGTTGTAGAAAAAACCTGACCATAGGGAAAAAACCAAACAACATGCAAACAAAATGTAATGTCGAAAGATGGAGATTTATGCTAATTAAAGATGTTGCGTGTCTGGCCTCCTACAAAAGTCTTAATTTCCTTTTTGTCACAAAATCAAGTCTCGCTCAGCGACACTCTTTCTACTAGTAATAATCTTCAGCCTAGAAAAATTAATTCAACGCATTTTTCAAACGACGAGAGATATTTTCTATGAGCTACTTTGTGCCTGATCGAGTTTATTTTCCGTATGTATCGTTTGTGCAGTCTTTCCTTTCGAGCGTCGAAAAAAAAGTCTAAAAAAAAGGAAGAAGATGAAGACGTAACGATGGTCTTCAGGAGCTTTTTACTGATCTTTCTTCAGACTCAGGTAGTAAAATCACCTGGTGTTTTGTTTAACCCAGCACCTTGTCGAACACGAGCTACAGTCGATCCAACCGTGGTATCCATTGACAGCTCTGTATCTGCCACCTGCCAAGTTCTTTTGATTAAGAGAATTTTCTTTGCCTGTCGGCGAATCTTGCCATTGAGTGTTAAGCAAACTATCGGGTTGATACAGCTACTGAGATATACAAATGAAGTGTAGGTTACATAGGCTCCTCGAGGAAGGCTACCTGTACCTAGCACTGCATTTATGGAATCCACTGTTGTAACTGGAAGCCAGCAGATTACAAACGTAAGGACGAGAACAAGAAGCATTTTGGTCATTCGAAGCTCCTCTGAGCTCAAACTCCCAGACTGCCGTGACCGAATGGTGTTTCTTGTAGCCATGGCATGTTCTTTTACCATGCGGAAAACTTTGTAATAGCATACAGTGATAAGAATCATGGGCAGAATTGTGTAAACGCATAGTAACGAAAGAATATATGTCATCTTTTCAAGTCTTTTATCCGGATTGAAAGTCATGAAACAAGAAGCTTTTCCCGGGCGAAAGATGTAAGTAAATAACCCACTGAAAAGTGGTGAAATGGTCAGAACAAAGGGCGCAATGGTAACTGCACAAATCATTGCAATGGAGAATCTTTTGGTGAACCATTTCCGATAAAGTCTCGGTCTAAGGACACAGAAATACCGATTAACAGCCATCAAAGTCACCATATGGAGTGAGATCCAAGCGAGGCAAATTGCAAAAATTCCTTGGAATGTACAAACCGCGTCACTGAATACCCAGTCACTGTGTATAAAGATGGAAGCAGTGAATGGCATGACCAATGATGCTGTGAGTATATCAGCTACTGACAAACAAACCAAAAACATGTTTGTCACAGTTCGAAGACCTGGATTTCTTAATATCGCCAAAATCAACACAAAGTTACCGAGGAACGCTGCCAATATAATCAGTAGCATAAAACAAGATTCGAAGACTAAAATCCCCTGGCTTCTGTTTTTCAAATCCCTATGTAATCGTGCTAAATTTTCCTCCTCCATTTTGGGCTATAAGTCGGGTAAGTAGAGGACGTACGTTACGAAGACTTTCGACTGTGGTTTTATTAAATTCACAGCTGCTATATAATTATGTTGGTAGTTACAATATCAATAACAAACCTGAAAATATTCTTTATTCTGATTTGCTTAATGCAATGCAGTTTGCAGGTAATACAGTACAAAAAAGTGTTAATTCAGCGCAGAATAAGGTAACACATTGTTTAGCTACGATAAACTAAAAAAAAACCCAAAGAAAAACAAAACAGCATAGAAATTGTTGTTTTCAGTAACACGGTTGTTTTGAACAAACGCACAGTGACATAAGCAAGATTTAAAGACATAGTTTTTGCACGTGATTTGCACGCGTTGCTTCTGCATAGTCGTGGAAAGCCATCACATTTTTTTTTCTGAATAGTACTGCTAAGTAATCACGTTTTTTCTCGTGCAGTACATCAACCATTTCTCGTGCATATTTATTCCAAATTGCTCTCGAAATGATGTGATTACCTGAACAAAGCAAACACTAAAGCTTGATATAATGAGTCTTTTAACCTTTTTGCGTCCTTTGTAAATTAATTGGTTCGGTTCCGACAGTACAATTATACCAGGATCACTGATTTTGTCAGAACTGACTGTACAATTTGTCGCATTGCTTAATGTTGTTTTGTTTTGAAGAGGACCTTAATCCAAGCAGATGCATTCTTGCAAAATGAAGTTTGGCAACAACTTTGCTTTTCATTTCATATCCAGTAGAACACATGCTTTACAAAGAAGTACGATAAAATAAATGAAACAATAATCGACCCTAGGCCTCATTAAATGACAGCACCTCTTGTCTTCAATGAAACCCTCTTTCCAGAAAAAAATACGAGACAAAATAAATGAGTATTTCCGATGATAGGCTTACAAATTAGTAAATTTGATTGGTTTAGTTTATTATCAAGGCAATTATATCATCGGTTTCAGTCCTTAAATTCAGGAAATTAAGAATTTCATAGCAAGTTATTCCATTGAACTAAACGAACGAAGCACGACAATGTTAATGGCGCGCACTCAGTTCTTTTGACAAACCAAACGCTGGGGTGGGTTCGCACCAAATGCACGCGTCTTAAAATATATCACAGGCTGAACACTTGTGATAAAACGCTGGAAGTGGAGTAGCGAAAGGCTTCAAACATTATTTCAAACAGGCCCTCTTTCTCGCTGATTTTCTTGCTCGTTATGATCGTGTGTTTGTTCAAGGTGAGGCTGGTGTCATGATGGACTTCGATAACATTTTAGTGTTACTGTCAGTTTCTTATCCTTCTTACCTTAATTGAAATAAGTAGAGATTAATCCTCGACCTAGCTTTTGATATTGATCCGAGATTTGTTGTTCTTAATAAACCTGTGAAGTCCCAGCTTGTAGCATACATCAGCATAATCTTCGTCTTTGCGAGCGACCAGTTTATTGCGGCCTGCGTGTTAACGTCGATATCGCCAGGGCGAAATTTGCCTCGTGAAAGATTCGATCAAAATCCATCCAATCTACATTCTATCCAAAATAATTTGAGCGACTTTTATAAGTGTTTACTTGGGCTAAGGAGTGTATGTTTTTCGACTTTGTACCAGATTACGACATGCACCGTCTTAAAATTTAAAAAAAATACTATCATGGCATGCCTCTGCTGTTAAGTTGTTTAATAACTTGTCATTCCTCAAAACTAAAAAGAGGTTTATATGTAAACACATGTTAGGTATAAAATAGCTTAGTGTTTTGTCATCCGTTTTTGACTAAAACAAACATTCTACCACGCGAAGGTCCTGACCGCCGGCGCAAACCGAGTATGTTTTAGTGCCGAATATTGCACCCTTTGTGACGAGTTAGCGTGGATTGTTATTGCTATTGTTATTAATAAAAATAGATTGATAACGAAAAAAAGCATAAAATTTTCATAAGCGCGGCTTTAAAAAGCGTTCATATAATTTGATATGAGCGATGATACTGATAGCTCTGCTCTAATACAAGGGACAAATGGAAAACGTTAACGAGGAAACAGTACTGCCTTTAAAAAAAAACCCTAATTCTAACTTTGTATATCTGTCACGGTTCTAAAAGTTTTTCTGGAGATGGCCGAATCAAATTGTCTTTACGTGGCTCCGCTGAGGTGGATGCTATCATAAGCTATCTACAATGTGCAATTCTCGCTTCGACTTTGTGCGTAATTATCTTATTTGCTTCACTCTTTTAGCGATCAATTTACTAAATATAGAGCATTGTTCATTAACCGACAATGAAGCAATGAGGCTGGAATCGTGGAATGCATCATCAGAAACCAGAAAGTTTTTTTCTTTCGCTTTTTTGTGACCTACGTGCTATGAAACGGAAACTTATTGAGCATTTTTAAGGTGTAAAATACAAGCCATGTGAGTTGTAAAATAGTCTGAAAGGAGCGGCACTGCCCTCAAACAATATCGCTTTTCCTGATTTCCATATATTCTCCATCCGCAAATAAACTTAATCTTCCCATTTCATGCACGGACGCGTCCAAATTTGACCTCGATTGCTCTCAATTGACAAGGTGAACGCGGTCTGGTTTTTGTTCAATTTACATCGAATGTATTCATTTTTACTTCGATAGAGAGAACAGAATGTTTCTTCTTTTGAGGCAAAGTATGACAGCCGTGGGATGTAGATACTTGAAACTAGAAGGCGTCGTTGCTCCAACGTCAGACCTTTTTTTTGGGCTTCACCGTAATTAATTACAGCAGGCACTCTTGTTGACTGAAAAAGATAAAATCTCCCGGATCTTACGCATTTACTGACTGACAATGGTTTGAAAATTACTGCGCATACATTGCATAACATGCTTCATTAATTAAATTTTCACAAAGCTTGTTTAAACCCTCAAATTAATAGTTTCTTCATGCCTGACTGTTTACAATATACACATGTGCACGATAAACGCGTACTGATATTTCCTAGGGGTAAAACATCATTACAAGAGCAGTGAAAGGTCTTAATGATATAGAGCTATCTTAGTAAATGGTTATTTTTCGGCAGATGAGGCAAGAGTACATAGGGATTCACATTTCCGTTTTTGCGCGTGTGACACTGTTTACTCGACCTCCACTAATACTATGCATAGTCTGAAGTATCCATTTGATAAAGGCGGCTCTTATCTCTTTCAAACCGCAATTCGTGTGAAGTATATCAGACGATCTCTAAGAGGTACTTGAGAAATTAACTTAACAAAAAAAAGGCAAAAATGGGAGAAAAAATTGAAAGCAACGTAAAACGTAGGGAAGGGCTTAGGTTAAAGTTGGTTTGTCACTGGGGCACATACCGGTGACTTGAGACGAGTTCCCTTTAAAATCAACAGCGCAAATATTGTGCGCGTTTGAAGGAAAAAAAGGTGGAGTAATATTCCATTGATATTGAAAGTGAGGTATTTTAGAAGGAAAAGGAGAGTCCCAAGCAGCTTGCGGAAGTCCGGCCTCTATGCCTTTTGAAAGGTGGTCAACGAATATCTTTTGATCAAAGTTCAAATCAGCACATCACAGAAACGTTCACAGTTTGATCTTCGAGAAGGGAGAAAGCTGGAAAAATGGCAATCCAATCAAACGACTCAATACCTTTGACCTCAAGAGATATTTTGACTGTGGCCATCGAAGGAGGTCTGATGTTGATTATCAGTTCTGTTGCCATAATGGGAAACTTACTGATTTGTTTTGTTACGTTTACCAATCCACGTTTTCACACAGTATCCAACGTGTTTGTCGTATCTTTGGCTATATGCTACATTTTTGCAGCATTTCTCGTCCTGCCTACAACAGCAGGAACCCTCTTAGCGGGAAGATGGCCGTTTGGTCAAGTCTTGTGCGACATTCAGGGATTTACTTTTTCGAATTTCATTTGGGTGTCTCTGTTGACGTTGACAAGTATGGCGGCAAGCCGATATTTCAAGGTAACTCATATGGCCTTTTACAACAAAGTGTTCAATCTTGATCGGTCCATTGGAATGATTATGATTTTTTGGGTCCTTACTGCTGCGTTATTGGTCGCTCAAATAACCTTTGGTGGGGCCATTTTTAGATTTTCTGCCGAGAAATTAATCTGTTACATGTCCTCAAGCAAGGAAAACAACCAGCATGAAAACATCACCAACTCAGTAATAACGATGGTGCTTTACACAATACTGCTCATTGTGTCGGTCATTGCATGGCACGCGACCAGAAGACAAGGCTCATACAGTCACTCCTCTCCTCAACTGGAAAGAACTAACACTAAAACCGAGATTGAGTTCAAAATTCTACTACAAGAGAGAAGAACAAATCAAGTGTTATTGGCAATGATCGTGGAGGTTCTTTTGCTATGGTTGGCAGCTATTATAATCAAGCTGTTAGAGTTGTCAACTCAGTCATCCAGCTTTCCACGTCAAGTTCATCTCGCCACTACGTTCCTTTGGTGCTTTGTACCTGCCCTTCATCCTTTTACGTACGGGATCTTATCCAAAGCATTTGCAAGGAAAGCGATACGAATTTTTCACCGGTTGCCACGATCGAGCATACGTAGGAATAAGGTGCACGCTGAACAGGCCGAAGAATCCGTGTAATTTGCCATCTAGATGAACGAATTCGAAAACTAAAATCCGGGTCAGTAAAAGAGATACTGGTGATAAGTTGATAAAAATATTCAAAATTATAAAACGGGAATACGAGATGTTTGTCGATAACGTTTCATAGGCCAATATCAAGAGTCAGAGTTTTGTTATGGTTCTATTGTGGTTATTGAAATAAACGTTGCTTTTTCAATGATGTTATACGTCGGAAAATAACGTTTTTAGCTCAGGAATTATTTGTCCCTCGTCATTTACTGTAACCAGGTAAGAATACAGCTTTGTCACTTACGTACCTATACATTTATATTTACACTCGAGATTAAATTTATTTCTTACATTATCATTTCTGTACACGAAAGATTAATGGGTGCTAATAATCTTAAAATCACAACAACGCACTTTACTAATAGATTTGGAGTTTGAAAACTGTCACGACAAAATTGTAATCCCTTATACAATATATCATCCGTTTTGTAAATGAAGAGTCGTCAAAGGGATACACACTGCATGCCTGAAAGTATATCAGCACCTTGTACAACTAGTGTAAGATATATTTTACTACAATAATAATATAGAAACACATCATATGTACATTGCTGTGTGAAATAGGCTGTCTACAGCATACCCGTGCTGTAATGAGCTTAATCATAACCATTACAATTTCCTCAAATGTGATTGGTGCATTACCTGCTTCATTTTTCACTAATCATTCTGTACAGCTGTAATAGGACAGTTGGCTGTAATCGGACCGTAGAAGAACACAGTCATACTAGGTCCACTTAGCTAAATCCATCAATCACAGAATTTATCACAATAACCATAGCAACAACCACTTATCCAAAGAAAAAGAAGGCAATTTCCAAAATGCAAGAATATTTAACTAAAGACATGGTCTCCACTGGAGATATTTGTTCTAGGTGTGTTTGTTTCTACGGAAATTGAAATGGTTATGATTAATTTGAAACAGGATTTCTTGTCGTCCAATTCTGTCAGTAATCATACTCGTGATAAACAAATCGGACTCCCGCTTCGCGGTCGTCCGATTTTGTTAATCACTCGTATGATTACAGACCGAATTGGACTCCACTCGGTCCTATTACCATTATTTATAACCCTGATTCGAGCGTCAGTCTTTGATTTCTACCTCTATCATTTACCTTTTAACCATGAAGATTTACAAACTAATCATGGTCAGCTCGTTCGATTCTTATTCGTTGTTTCGTGAAAATTATTGGTATGTCAATTATAACAAAAACAAACAGTGTGTACATCTATTTACATTTAAGTCTCTATTCATGGTCAATTTTTTCATCTTAGCCCGTTACTTATCACCCTCCATACTGATGTATTCAACAAGTTTTCGTAAGTCGTTCTCAAAGGTTACTTGTTACCTGATTTATGAAACTTCAACACCGAGTTTAATTTTTCTGCTCTTACACTTTTTACGGTTACGTTCACCGTCCTCGACAACATCATTTATTTAGTCAATAAATCATTCATTTGTTAGTTCATCTCTTCGTTCATTTCATTTAATACTTTTGGGTGGGATTGAGCTCAAAACCATGAAATTACTGCCTAGTATTTATCATTTAAAACTTCAATTTTAAGCTAAAACTAATCATAATCTGTCCAATTGTTTTCATCAGCCATTTTTACATTCAATAATTTTTTTTAATCATGCAGTTGATCAGTTTGATTGAAAACAAAAAAACCAATCGGCTTAAGATGTTTACTATTAATACCTTGGCCTTTCAAAGAAAACCAATCTTTGTAAGTATTTGTTTTCCTCGGAGCAATTTATAACTTAGCACCATCAGGAGTACTAGTATTGTATTTAATTCTGCACTTAAAAACTTTTGTTTAGCTTTCCTTGAGAGACAACTTCACCAGTGTAAATAGTTACTGTGGTGAATTTGAGCTCTTCAAAATTCCCTTCATTGCTGTTATCTGAACGAATGTGATAGTTGTCTTTTCGACTTGTTAGAGCATTTCCGATTACAGTTGCACTTTGTGTTCCATCTTCTGTTGCAATGACTCCAACTCTGCCCTTAGTTTCGCAGCATAATATTTTTCGGAACTCACGTTTGAACAAGTGATTCATGCCAGCATATATGAAAGGATTGATTGTGTTGGAAAAGTAGAGGAGAAACATGCAGAGTAACTCAAAACTCCGAGGCATTTTCCCCACCAAATTGAAGCGCCTCAAGATGACAATCACCCAAAATGGAATCCAGCAGATCATGAACGCAAACACAACAGCAAAAAGCGATTTACTCACTTTTATCTCGTGCGCACTTATCGCTACGTTTCCTGTAGATCTCTGAATCGTTGAAGACGCGCCCATGTTGTGTTGTCTGATCATTTTGGCAACTTTTATGTAGCTGATAATGGTAGACATTAGCGGGACCAAGAAGAATAGTGTTAGAACGATCCCGTAATGAATCATTTTTCCGCTTTCGCTAAAATGAGCCAAGGAACATTGTGCATAGCCCTGAACAAATTCAAAGCCTTGTAGACCAGTTAGGCGAGGAACAAGGACATAACATGCAACAAATGACCAAACCATGATAAGCAAGGCCCGTGACTTGCGCGCTGAAAACAATTTTCTATACTGTTGGTCAGATTTGCACATTCTCACATATCTGTTAACAGCAGTCAGTCCCATAGTCACAGGAGAAACGTAGATCACAAAAAGACTGAAAAAAGCGTGAAGCTGGCAAAGAACCTCTCCAAAACTCCATTGGCTGGTTATTAGTACACCAGTTCCAAGAGGCATGACAAAAACAGCGGAAAGCAAGTCACTTACTGCTAGAGCGATGATGTATAAGTTCGTGGTAGTGCGAAGTCTGTTGTTCTTGTAAACTGAAATACAAACCAATGTGTTTCCAGTCAAGGACAGAACATTCAAGATGATCAATGAGCTTATTTCCACAATCTTTAGGAAAAGACTCCTAGAAATAAGATCAGCCATTTCACCGTCCACCGTCGGAAAGCGTAGAGAATATGCTGCTACGTTTCCTTCCTTATTTGTTTTATCAATTTTTAACGACTTGTAAAGTTACAAGAAAAATACATTAGCACTGAGGGATCTCTCTAGCTGCTGGTGTCAATGAGGGTATAAGACTCTAATGAGCCTGCTCGTGTTGATGAAAGCACACGATTGATCAAAACAAGAAAATTGTCTTATTGATTATGATCGGTTTGTCGGAATAAATTTACTCAAGTTGACAACGTTTGAATAAAAACACCTGGCGTGATAGATATATCTTGATTAAAACCTGGAAGAAATATCTTTTATCTATCCCGATCTTCTTTTGATTTTCAGATACTTTTGACTAAAAGGTTTAGTCTACAAAACTCTGGGATCTAGATTTTTAGATAAGGAAACTTCAGGGATATTGAGCGTCACTAAGCACTAAGCACTAGGAAGACTTTAAATAAATAAAGCAAGTGCCAGCCTTCCGCATCAAACAAAGCAAGATATAAATATTGATTGTCGAAAAATTTTTCAAAACAACCCGCGGCTCGAATTGAATCGGAGAAATTGAGTGAGAAGAGGGAAATAAATATCAAAATATTAATAAATCAACGACCGGTTAAAACTATGGTATCAGATCACTCTCTCTCTCTTTGAGATGGATTAGATTGAATATACTAACTTGCCATTTATATCGCTTTTTCAAAACATTTCCTTTTCACCACGTAGGTGAATAGCATATTAATCGTCACAGAATAAGGAATTTTAAAAAGTTTGAGGAACATTTTTCCTTTAAGTGTCAAGATGAATAATGAGGAAATCGACGGAGATTATTTGGATAAAACGTTATCTCTCTGTTCGTTTCGCACAGAAGGGCAAATTTTCCCTTCTGGTGAAGTTTTGATATGAATAAATTATGAATTCATCGTATGAGTCGAATAATAGTCCCACCCTATAACAATTGTCAACTCTAATTGACTAAGGCTGTTGCTGTCAGTTTTAAGTTTCGATTTTAACTAAAAAGAATATCAAACTAACCTAGAGAGAAAAATTTGAATTATACAAACGTTTAAAGTTGTTGTGTGTTTCTGTCAAGTAACGGAAATTTGGTCTGTGTAAATTCAAGCAGTTTTCGATTGAATATTGAGGTTGGCTTTGTTTTGCCTTGCGCTGTAAAATATCACCATCCATAAGATGCACCTGTAAACCAATACTTTTGATTGCCAAAACATGCAGGAATATGCAGAAAAGAAAAGAAAGGGTTGAAGAATTTGCATATATAACCAGATGAAAGCAGGAACAGACAACTAAAAAAAGCCATACCGAATTATATGTTGTTAAAAAAGCAACATGTCAAAGTTTAAGACAATGTCAGAAATACATGACCGTGGAATAATGACTAAGTAAATAAAGTAAATACATAAATGGATGGATGAAAAATAAATAACGCATATCTCACTGTTTTACCGCTTGATTGACACACCTGACAAAACAAGTGAATCAAACCCTAGAGTGCTCTGAAAACAAAACCTTTTAACCAAATTGTCGATCGGTGAGGGGAAGAGCTTGACAACTAAGCAGGTTTTCTTTTCAAACGAGATTTCTAACCGCTTCCGTGCCAAACGGAGTATAGCCATGCACAGAAGAGAAAAAGGTTAATGGATTGGAATGGAAAATGGAATTTAAACTTCTCCAGCTCTTTGAAAGTGTATCAGAACCGATCTAGATTTCTTGTTAAAATTTTTCTCAGGACGACGGACCACAGTGGTCATTACAGACCATGCACCAACACTACACGTAGGTCTCTGAGGCACTTCTGGTTGATAATAATAATAATAATAATAATAATAATAATAATAACGAATTTTTTATACAGGATTGAAACCCATCAGTGTGTAACACTGTTGTCCTTGGGGTCCTGTCAAAAATAATAAATAAATAAATAAAATAAAATTTAACAAGATATAATCATTGATCTTAAGGTCTAGAAAAGCATACAATAAAATGAAAAAAAAAATTAAAAATTAAATAAAAATACTCTGAAAAAGATACCTATAACCACGTTTAGATAGAATTTAACTAAAATAATCTCGCAATTTGTTCTTAAATTTCAGTCTCGAATCTAACGACCTTAGTTCAGCAGGCAGGTTGTTGAAAGTCTTTGCTCCTTGGTAATAGAAGCTCTTTTACCAAATTCTAAACGAACTTTGGGTAATTTCACTGATATACCGTTATTCCTAGTGGCCTTAGAATGAACCAGCCTTTCGAAGTAGTTCTTAAAGGGTGTGCAAACATTATTCAGGAGACAGTCGAAAACAAACAGACAGCTTTTACGCTTGATCAAATTGTTCACGGATGGGGATTAAAAGAACTATTGCCGATAACTTTAAAGCCTCGTCGTTCGATGTTCTTTATCATTTCCTTTCGGTAATCCGGAAAGCTAAGACCAAGTGTTCCGCAATAGGTAAAGATAGGTGCGATCATAGTGTTATAGATCGATTCTGCACACTTTTGGTCGATCAAAGGACGAATTGATCGCAAGAGATTGATTCTGGTTGCAGCTTTTTATAGATTCGGTCAAAATGTGATGCGAGGTTTAGTGATGAGTCAAGGTGAACACCTAAGTACTTATAGGTAGAGGTATTATTGATGAGTGACCCATTAGCAGAAAGTTTAAGTTCCTTGTCTTGAAGGTTGATTCTTTTAGCTGTTCCAAATAACATAGACTCCGTCTTGTCCTTTTTAGGTTAATGATCAGTTCGTTGTCTTTAAACCACTCGCACAGGTTATTCATATCCTCGCTAAGGCTTCTCTGTATAGTATCAATATCTTTAGAAGAGGTATAGATGACTGAATCGTCGGCATAAGTGATAATCTTCGAGTGTTGAAGCGGTTTATGTACATCGTTGAAAAAGATAATGAATAAGATAGGACCCAGGATACTTCCCTGAGGAACACCTGTGAGAATGGGTTGAGGTTCTGATAGCACGCCTTTATATTGGACAACTTGTGATCTGCAGAAAAGGTAATCAGTGAACCATGCGAGTTCTGTTCCACGAACTCCGTAAGTTGAAAGCTTGCTCAGGAGGCCAGAGTGACTGATGGTGTCAAACGCCTTGGATAGATCGATGAAAACACAGCCTGTCAGGTTACCATTCTCACCTTCTCTTCTGATAACATCGGTAAGATGAGTAACGGCCAGTTCAGTAGAGCGCATGCGACGGAAGCCGTACTGAAAATGAGAAAGTAGACCATTCTGTTCAAAATGAGCCATCAGCTGCTTAAATACCACTTTCTCCAGGATCTTTGACATTGAGGGAAGTATTGAAATAGGCCTATAATTGTCGATTTCGGCCATTGAACCAGATTTAAAAAGTGGTACAATTTTAGCCGCTTTCCAGTCAGTAGGTACAGACCCTGTTGCGAGAGACAGGTTAATTATATGCGTGAGAGGCTTGGCTATTATATCAGCAGAGTCCTTTAACATTCCAGAAGGAAAGTTGTCAAGGCCAGAGGACTTATTTCTCTTAAGGCTCTTTAATGCATTAAAGACAACCTTTTCCGAGACTGATCTAAACTCAAAGTTCTCTAGCGGCTGCTGGGTGTCTATTGTAAGGGGCCTTTTCCAGACAAAATTGCAAAGAGGGAAGATCTTTCTTTTTAGAGATCGCGCAACATCAGTGAAGAATTTGCAGAACAAATTTGCAATAACCTCTTTGTCGGTTTCTACTGCTTCATTAACGAGAAAAGCTGCTCCTGGTTCCTTTGTAGACTTTGTAGGGTATAGTTTTTTAATAGCTGACCAAAATTTGTTAGGTGAACCCACAGTCTCCTCTAAGAGTTCACGGTGATACCTGCTTTTGCAATTTTTTACCATACCGTTAACTTTGTTTCGTTGGCGCTTGTACGAAGACCAGTCAATTTCACGATTTGTCTTTCTCGCTTTTCTCAAAAGCTGATCTTTGGTATTCATTTCTTGCTTTACCTTCTGTGTAAGCCATGGGCTGAGTTTCCCTTTGATCCTCTTCTTTATAGCTGGCGCATGCTTATCAATACATTCTTTCAGAATGGCTTTCAAAAAAAGACCATGCTTCATTAACGCAGGAGGATTTAAAGACAGGTGTGAAACTATTGGACCGTAAATCATTGCAAAAGGATATAGGATCATAATTAGCATAGTTTCGACAGGTGATGGTTCTTGGCTGGAATTTATGGTTATGCAGCTTCCGGACACAACCAATCATATCATGGTCACTTAAGCCGGCGGGAATGACTTTAACACTATAAACATTCTGAGGGCGATTTGTGTAAATCACATCTATCAGTGTTTTTGAATCTTGCGTTACCCTCGTGGGATCCTTGATTAGCTGTTTAAGGCCAAAAGACAATAGCATTGCCTTCAGTTCTTTGTTGTCTGAGCTTACCAAATAGTTGCAGTTGATATCGCCTGTCAAAATGCATTCTTTGTTTTCAGATGATACAGCAGAAAGCATCGACTCCAGTTTATTTTCAAAATTTTGATTGAAGAAATAACATGAATAAACATACCTTTGGAAAGGTTCAGCAAGTATTTTGTCATTAAAGAGATTATGGTAAGTTATTTGAATAAAGGCTATCGTGTGATAGGAAGAATAGAGAAGAATAGAGAAGGAAGAAGAACCTCTATGTTCTATTTGAGTTCTATGGTTCACCTTTCAATGGTCCTCGAAGAAAACGAGTTCACATGCATGCTAACCCTTTAACTCCCATGAGTGACCAAGACAGAGTTTCTCTTTACAAGATCAATATAATATAAAGCAGACAAGCGATAAGGATAAACAAAATATCAATGAGGGGAAATTATTTGATGCAATACAAAATTCTCCGAACTAACATCATAAGAGTTGTATGGCAGACAGTAAGGAGTATTACTAATGAAACCTTGGGAATAAAAAGGCAAATAGACTTACTGGTCGCGTAGGTGCTACATGCTCATTTTGATTTGTCGGATTGAGATATAAATTTAATGCAGTTATAAAGACACTTTAGAGGCCCACCTTCCTATGTCCATAGTGCCGTGTAATGAATTACTTGAGCAACGGTTTCATTCGTTGCCCTAATATCACTTAGGGTGTTATTTAACTTTGTATTTAAGACTCACCCAACAGTTTGATCAGAATTTGTCATCATGACCATAATAACCAAATAAGAAATATGAACAGATCTATGTGGTACTGTCTCTCTTATTGCTGTCAAATGGGTACGCAATATCAGAGGATTTCTTCTAGAATCCCATTGAAAGCTAAGGGAAAATTAGGAAATAATGACAACAACAACAGCTTCATACAAATAAACACCTAATAATAACACTGGATGAACATTCAAGAGGCAACCTAAACGCCCATGAACTATCGAGTTTAGTGAGGAGAAGTTCTCAAGTGACCAATGTTTTTTGTTTGTTTGTTTGTATTTTTGTCTGTTTGATTTTTTTCTAAGCGTGACGAAAAGCAACATAATCACGTGGCAAGAAAGCCAATGTTACTTTCATTTCATAGGACATGGGCAGTAATACTGGAATTTAGATGAATTTCACGGTGGTGTCTACATTAGAAAAATGATACCAAAATATTTGGGAACAACATTCATTCTACTTATTTTCTTATTTGCAATTGATATAAGAAGAAAATTATTTATACTTGAGGTGATTTATTCTTTTGTAGAGCAGGTAAAGGTATAATGCTCTATTTGAAAAATATGTCCTCAAAGAAGATTTTTTGTTTTTTTACTTTTTAAGCCAGACGAGATTTTCATATACCCGAGGAATTATTCATATTCAAAACTGAAAAGAGTAGATTATGTTGTTTCTGTGGCAACGAGCGGTTTATCGACTATAATGTGAGCGCTCTCTTATGTAAGCTTTGTTACCAACCTAAACAAAAAGATTACCAAGAGAACCTTACTTTTACAAACGAAAATAAAAAATAAACCTGTCGTCATTAACATTTCCTGAAATAGGAAAAAATTTAGAAAAACTCACTGAAATAGTAAAAATGGATAAGTTTACAAACGCTACCAGGTTTTTGGTTCTTTAAATTTTGCATGCACTTACATGTACAGATTTATTTTTATGACAACCCTGTAACGTTGCTAATATGACAAAAGCCACGCATGTTCTTCTTAATTATGTTCCCTCTCAGTCTTTAATACTTTTCAGTTCCTTAAGTGAAATTTGTTGTGCAAGGGAACTGAAGCATCAATATAAACAATGTATCAGACAGGATACACGATCATTCATATTTGCATGGACTTGTCGCGATAACCTCTTAATTGATTATTATTGAACGTCGAACATGTGCGCATTGGTTTTTTTACCGAGCAAAGACTGAAATTAAAATTTGCTGCCGAAGGTCGATCAAAATGCTACAATTTACATGGAAAGAGCTTTTTAAAACCATTTTCTAAAATGATACCATAGTATTGTACGTTTTATTTTTGACAGAACTGCCTTTCTTGAAAATCAGGCTCCACGTACGAGCAAAACGGGAATACCGCCGCTTTGTGGAATACCTCGAGACAAACCTGGTAGTATACAGTGAATAAACATTTGAACCAAGAACTCAGCTCCTTCTTATTAAACTAATTTTAAAAAAACTCCCTGTAATTTCAACTGGAGTTACAAAGTTTTCCTGAGAAGTGATTCTGAAACGAAAGAGAACCGTATAGTTCAGTATGGACGTTATATCAGCATTTCAGGTTAGGAAACATCAAACAACATTGCAATCACTCTTATTGCGCGAAGAACGGAAATTAAAGACAAATAATCAAGTTTCTCCAGGGCAATCTAATCATTAGTGACATTTCATATGAAAGGAATAATATATATTTCATGCCTTGGTGTTAAAGGTAAAGCTACGGTAACAACAATCGTGTGTTTGCTCAGTTTAGCCTATTCGGAAAGTAATTCAGTCATTCAGTCAATGGTAACGGCCAATAATCTTGGTCGTTGTCGAAGGATTGTCATTAGTAATGTTGAATATGTTCTCGCTTGTGGGAAATATGTTGATCTATCCATCTGTTTAAAGAAATAAAAAATTACGCACATCTACAGATCTTTAAATCATAGCTTTGGTTGTGAGCGATTTACTCTTAGCGGTCTTTGTGATGCCTATGACTGAATAAGTTCTGTTTTCAGGATAGTGCCCATTCGGAGAAACAATTTGCCAGCTCCACGCTTTTATTAATTCATTTTTCATCTACGTTTCACCGGCTGCGATGAGTCTATCAGTTGTTAAAAGATACGTGCGGATATGCTTATCTAACACAAGCTGAAAGAAGCTATTTTCTCGTCAAAGGTCTCGTACTGGGTTGATGTTATGTTTGGTTATTTGTGGCTGGCTACATTGCAATTCCAAAATTGGTAAATTTGCAAGATTTTGAGTTTGTGCCTGGTTATGCTCAGTGTTCAGTATAACGCCGTGGAGAACAAGAAAAAGTAAGTCATTACGCAATAGTCTTAACTCTTATTCTCATCACCCCATTGTTTGCTGCAACGCTTTTTTACTCGAAAGTTCTCAAAGCTTTTCGTCAGTAACAAGCAGGGCTCTTGCCGTCGCCTACCGTCTGAGACACTCGATACGAAACGACACCCACATAAATTTTCCGCTCAAGAATTGGATTGAGTAGATCTTTATTCACGGTTGCAATCACTTTCTTGTCAATACAATACAATACAATACAATACAATACAATACGTCTACTTTATTTACCCGGGCTACATCTCGGAGTGATAAAAACTCTATAAAACATGTGCGTGAGACAAAAAACGTTGAAAAGAAAAGAAATCAGTAATTTAAGTTGCCATTCTTAAATCTATCTAAAAACTTGCCTCTTTAAAAGTCATTTAAAAGTAGAAATATCCTTGACGTTTATAACATACGTAGGTAACGAATTCCAAAGTTTTGCTGCCAAAAATGAGAATGACTTATGGCGCCATTCTAGATTGAAATTGGGTAACGTTAAAAGTGCCCCCGACCCTCTTGATTGCAGATTTTAATCTTAAAAAAAAATTCCTCAATATACCTTGGGCTTCTTTATAAATACATTTATATACCAAAACCAGGGCCTAGAATTTTCATCTTTCTTCAAGCGTTCTTACCGGCCAGCCATATTTAATAAATGATTGTATGGGGTATGCTTTCCATACCCTAAAATTGATCTAAGAATATTATTATTGGTGTCTTCTGGTTCTTTAACTTGACCTCTTCCAACTCCAAGTAATAGCGGACAACAATATTCTAGATGAGGAAAAATATATGCTTTATAAAGGTGGCATATTACTTCTAAAGGAATAATCCTGCGATTCCTCCGAAACACAAAGGCTTTGGCAGACGCCTTTTTTACTTTAGTCGGAAACATGAGCGACAAAATTGTCATCTACACTGAAGTTAGAGCGATATGGTACTGGACCTATAGTCTTTGTCTGTGTCTTAGACGCATTGATCTGTAGATAGTTTTGCCGAAGCCATGTTGATAATATATGTGGATCAGAGTTAATAATATATTCTATAACTGGAGGGGAAGCGTCCGATGCATATTCAGTAGTGCTAAGAAGAAAGTACCGGACTGGCGTGTCGTGCGATTAGCGCGCGCGCGCTGAGACATTTAAATTTGACCAGTTCGTTAGCAAGTTACGCGTACGATTTCTCATGTGTGTGTTTTTCAGTTTTAGTCGCATTTTGGAGGTTTTTGTGGTTGAGTTTGTATTTTAAGCCGTTACCGTTTTACCGTCTTTTTACCGATTAAACGTGCCTGCTTTTAAAGGAGATTTTTGTTATCGCTTCCGAACAAGTGTCATCTGGTGTCATCTGCATACAACCGAAGAGAGGAAGAGAGGTATTTCTAACCTGAAGGTTTAAATCATTGATAATAATGTTCAAAAGCAAAGGGCCCAACAGGGACCCCTGAGGGACCCCAGTTTTGATAGGTTTCCAGTCAGAGTAAGTGCCATCCAATTTGACTCTCTGTCTACTATCTTGCAAGTAATTGCTCATCAACTTCAATGCTTAATCTGTGAAGCCATAGGTTCTAAGTTTTGCAAGCAGTAGGCCATGGAAAAAATAGAAACTGGTTAGCAGTCAATGGATGTCTTTTTGCAGTACATAGATGGTAATATTTAGTCATACTCATCCTCTTCAATTTTACAATCTTGGTACAACGCGGGATTTTTATAAAAAAGGTGATCTGGTCTCTGGATTAAACTCTGCCAGAAAAGCAATCGAGAAACAAAATTAACTAATACTGTGTCCTGCTTAATGTCACAGGAGGAACAAACAACGTTCCATTCGTTCAAAGAGTTTCTCTTCTGACCTGAATTAAAGATCACCCTCCGACTTCAATTTACACATTCATTTAAGTGTAACTCTGGAATTGGCTTTTTAAGCAACTTTAGCTTGACTTTAACCATGTCAACTGTGCTGTCATGAGTGGTTTGGACGAACAAATACACAGTTTATGACACGGGCTTTCAGACATGACAAAAAACAGTTTTGTAGAATTAGCCTTCGCTAACCTTCGCCGGGGGCATGGTTGTTTCATACAGTAAATAGTTAAATTGATTTTTTTTTCAAATAAGCCGTATGGTCCACTCGAGGCAAAAAAGATAGGTGGATACAATGTGTTTCTAGGGTAGTCAGCGTTTTCCACAAGCAAAATCCGTCTGAAAACAGTGGAAACTTTAAGATCCTCTTTGTGCGTTTGCTATTATAATATTTTCATTAAATGAGCGTTGGAACCTAAACCGATCAATGTTCTGCGTGGAGGTTATACCTGTGTCAGAGTGTGATGAATAACAATGAACAACTTCTTCAAAATTGAGATACTTTAATGCATCAGTAACCTGTATCAGATTCTGAATGCAATAGGTTAACTAGTGCAAAAAGCATGCAGGTATGCATCTAAGGGACTTACAGCGTAAGAAGCTTGGAAACAATCTCGGATGTAATTTCGAAATCATTCACCGTCTCATTTTAAATTTCTTCCTCATCTTTATTCTTTCCCCCACCCCTTCTCCCCCAATTATCTATGCTGCCCGTTACACAACTTAGACAACTCGTAATAAACCGATCTTAAACTTTAAGTAAAGAAACAGATAAAAATTCAGTGTGAAGATTCCTGGTTCAAAACCAAGGATGAAGTAGTAACAGTACAGTTCAGAGATATTTTCCGAAGGAAGAACGACCCAACGCGCTGGCTTCGTTCATTATTGACAGCCATGACGTCATCTAAGATGAGGAAAATAAATTATTACAGACAACTAAGAGGCAAGCGTCCTCGCCGGTTAAGAAAAAACCGCTCTCCTTTCATCCTTTCTCGATTTAAATTGTTTTTTGACCGATTCATTCGCCGCTTAGTGTCTTGAATTTTCAATTCGTACACAGTCATGACTGTCACTTTGTGGTGACCAGAGAAACCCAGCAGCAGATACACTTTCCTTTTGGAAAAGCTCTTCGGTATATATTTACACAAAATTTCTGTGAAATGCACGTACGTGAACTCTTTCTGTCAGGGATAAAAAACGTCATTAGCTGACCGAGCCAATTAAACAGCGGAATAAATTGATCGATGAACGCTTTGTGGATGAGAGCGTCTTTGTGACGAGATACAGGGAAACGATAAGATCTTCTGCTATATTTGCTAGTAAGGACAGAGTCATGTGCAATCAAGCCAATAAAATTAGCCGATAATAAAGAAGCGAAGGTATGTATTTCATAACAAACATCATGGAAAGCAACTGAATAGTTGAGGGACTGGATCTTCATAATTGTAGGTGTAGCTCTCGGCATCCACTGTGCAATTAACAAAGTAAGCCTTCATGATCAAGAATCTCGTGGAAAAAAAAAGTTGCAACTTACCTAACAGTCATTAGTGAAATTTTACCCACACAGAGAAACACGGAATAGTTCAGAGCCTGCATTGACCAGGATGGATACAGACAATTGTCATTAAAAACGTCTTGGCTTTTTCCTACAAACTGTTTTATGTCAGATATATTTGCGCAAAATTATAAATTCAAGCTCGATAGATAAAGCAGTTGTGAACTATGGGGTTTCAAAACCAAAGTCACAAATTGAGAATGACTAGATAAAAACGGAACGAGAAATTCTTGAGTGTGTTTGATTTCGTGACAACGATGTTCGGCTGGCTGGAGATGATAATCGTGACGATACTGCTGATTTCAAAGGAGCGAAAAGCTGCCGTTCCATTTAAAGGAACGGAGCTTACTTAATGTTCTTATTGTCATTTCCTGTTTTAATGGTGCAATGGATTAAACACTCTCTCAATTATAATTAGGCAACAAAAGTATAGGGTATGTATCAGAGAAACACAATGACCTTCTATTTCAAGCAGATATGGGGGAATATCGTCCTGTGTTTTAAATTTAAAGAACGTGCATTTAGTCTTGTCGTGCTTGATGACCAACTGAATTTAATACGAGCCAATCATATGTTACGGAATATAATTTGTTTGTCTCATTCAGTCATGTTTCAGCACGCACACAGTTTGTTTTGCGATTAATGTAGCAGTGAGCTATGGAATAAAACTGCACTTTGGGAAATAGACACTGAATTTGATACATGCAGGATTACGAAGAAAACATCTAAATACATAACCAAAAGGAAGAATATTCAAGGTTTATTGTATATTGAGATGAGACAATAAAAATAAACAGTGCTGGTGACGTCACCGGGTAAATAGCTCTTAGAAGGCAGATGGTGTTTAATTGTCTCAATTTAAAATTTAAAATTTTTAGGAAATTCATTTCCTAATATACTGTTGCTAAAAGTTGCTACTTGTAGTTTATTTGACTGAACGAAAGGGTGTTTGTTGGTACCTTTCAAATGCTATGGGGATATTAAGTCGGCGAGTCGGAAATTCTTTTAATAGACGGCATTTTTAGCAAAGTATAAAATTAATAAATATTTTAGCATTTCGTTCCAATTCTATAACTGCATTCTACATTCTTATTTTTTAAAACGAGATCTCAGGTAATTTAGGAGAAGTCGGTTGTTTGTAGAAGAAGGAAAAAGTTCTCTTTTTGGTGTGCTATTACAAAGACTGTATGTTCAATAGAAGTCAAACAAAAGCAGGATGCAGCTATTTACTTATGTCAAAATGACAAAACACAACAGGGGATCTTCGGTGAAGGCTGTCAAAACTGATCAGAAATAATTTCCTCTCGGCCCTGCTTTGAACAAATTGTTTGCTTTGACTGAATTACGACTCCTGTGAAGCTGCCGTCAGTTTCATGGTCAAACGCCAGGCTTCACATTGAAGCCAGACGAAAGCCTTCCTTATTTTGAGTATACAACACGGGGAAAACGACTTTCTGGTGAAGAATAAATTCTCAAGCCATTTTCGCATCTCTGAATTTGCAATTCATTTAAATTTGCGATGATATTTTAAATTTTGCATATTCATTATTCTTTTTGCAGAGTTAAAATGACGTTTGTTCGAGACTTGATGATCATTGGCGGTCTGCTCGTATTTGCAAGCGGTTTGTTCGATGACAGTTTACTTTTTTTTTTTCGTTTTGCTCCATCTGAATCACCCATCTCCATGGTTTTTTTTTTTTGCCCTTCAACGCAGTGAAATCTATAATTGTTTGCTTAGTGCAGTTCATGAGCCATTGTGTTCCTTTCCCTTTTTGGGGGACGGTTGTTCCTATGATAACACGAAATAACGCATTTTCCATTTACACTGTCTGTATGGGTCTTATGCGAAATTACCGGCTCGATTCATTACCATGAACCATGTATCAAGCTGCAGTGTAAGGAAAGGTAAATAGGCCTTTTACATGTTGTTGCTAATTATTCTGATGTTTCTATGGAAAAATTACTTTGCTCAAGTACCTTGAGAGGCTATTAACACGTGCTTAGAATACAGATCATCTCTGTTCTATATTGGTTATAAATGGCGATTGAATTATCTCCATGTAACCCGGCTGGGGAGTTTTCTCAATGACCCGTGGCGGATCTTTGGGAAGGGGTCTTTTTAATGGAATTATCCGTCTGTTCACTTACTGTACAAACTCCATTGAGATCCTTTTGCATCTATACTTGATATTTATGAGTATCGCAAAACTTTCTTTCAGACTAATAATTCGAATTTTATCATAATGCTGCTCTCCAAATATAATACTAATTCAGTTTTGAAGAGAACTGTAAGACCAACGAACTTTAGATAGAGTATACTTGTACGTAAGATGTCACCAAACTGTCGTTATCGTTGGAATTTAGATAGATATATGTTGTTTAAATTCTTAAAGCACAATCTTCGGATACTTTACGCTAACGGTTAAAAAAAAATGTCATTCACCTTGAATGACAGATTAGATTAGATTACCACCTGATAACCGGAGTGACGGTGAGAAAGAGGTCAGTGGTATGTGATGTTTGCTCTCTGAGGTCGAGACTTAATTTCCGTTGTCCGTATTAGGGAGAGTCAATGTAATAGAAGTTTTTTTTGACAGAAATCCTATCAGAGTTTTATCGCAGCACAGTAGACTACCTGCAGTAAAGAGCAGTCCGTAAGGCGGGGTTCGACTGCATCATATTGCAGATGGCAATGATTTTAGCCACTAGTATAAATGCTGTTGTAGGGGAAAGCAATGTTACTAAGGAAACAAGATGCTGTTAAAAGCATTAAATCGAGCCTGCTTGAGGAGTATATAAGGAATAAGAAGGTGACTTTTTCTTGAGAGCGTGTGTGTAGTTATCACGACCACTGGAGCCATGAGGTGAGGGGTAAAAGAGCGCCAGTTGCTGACTGCCTTTGCAGTGGTGGGTGAACTGACAGATGATAGGATTATTGGACCTAATGACAAAAATAGAAATGAGAATGTACTCAATTTGAGTAAAAAAGTGATTAATGTAATAATCATTCGAAAGGTCCCATAACTTCAAAAATTTTGTCCAATAAATCTGATCATTCTTCTATTCTTCTACCACTGGTGCGAAATATTTCAATTTTCAGAACATGAAATCAGGTGATTATGTATTATGTATTATGGTCTTAGCTCCGATCAGATTGGTTATTTGTAATAAAGAGTAACAAATATTCCGCGCAAATAAACTATTCCTATGAATACCTTTCCATAAACCTTCAAGTTCATACATTTCAATTATTTCATATAGACTCTGAAAGTATCGCACTAAGATATGTCTAAGAGTACACAAGTTCCTTGAGGATAACTCTCACCATAAAAATATCTGGCATGAGAGTCAAACACTTTAAAACGGCCATCATCAGGAGAGTAGACAATAGCAACAGTAATGCAAGCAATTGTAAAAATGAATATGTATTCCTCTGATATCGATGACTCAAAAGCTCTTTTTAAGCCTACACAGTAATCATATCTTTAAATGGTAGCCTCATGATGGACAATACTATTATACCTTGCACTGTATTTCAGCTGGTAAATTTCTTCTGATACTGTGAGCATTGCTAGTTGTAACAAACTACTCTAAAGTGGATTTCCAATGAGCATTACTTCTTTTAAGTCACCAAGGTTATTTAATATTCCTTTCATATTGTGATATAGTAAAGCGCGCACACTCATCGCAGTATATTGTTTCCCTACATTTTTTCCAACCACAACAACATCTGCTTGACTATATGATGCTTTTGTTATTTTACTGGGATGAACATGGTGCATAAATCCTCCACATCATTAGGAAGCTTGTACTATGTACATTTGCCTTTACGAGTTACATTTTGTACTAACTGTATGGGAAATTACACGTAAACAATCTCAATACTTAAAGATATTTTTTTCGATGTTTGCCTTTCCCTGTATAATAGCTATATAAAGATAAATGTTTGCCCAAAGACTTTCTACAACTCAATGGTTTTTGGTGCAGCGTTGATCGTGTAGAATGCCATTTCGTCCTCATTTTTTTTTTTACGGACTTAATACTGTGATCAAAGTCTGCGATAAATTTTTGACGACATAGGAATGTTTTTAGGAATATGCCTCCACGCCAATTTCTTTATTTTATTTTTTGTTTTTCTTTCGTGAGGGCCTTTCTGGTTATTTTTTTACAGGTATTCTGCTTAGAGCATGATCGAATCGTTGTCACCGCACATGTTTATTACTACAATTAACGACTATCACATTAATAGACCTTAATTCTTCTGCATAATTTATTTTCTTTAAAACGTCATTTTGCTGTACACACGGCGCTGATTTGTCCAATACAGCACACTTTTGTTGTGTACATAATTTGAGTAATACGTCAGCTTTGTCCGATCCCAGATTTTTTGACAGGGCATGCACAAACTTAGCACAAAATGCGAACACAATTTGAACACAAAAGTGGCAAAACCAATGCAAATAATAGCACTAGCAAAATAGAAGCTGATAATGTACTTAATTGAACAAAAACATGATAATGTCATCACTATGATGAAAGTCACATAAATTCGATGATTAAGTGTACCTTCACTTTGATAAGAGCCACTTTTGCAATCCGGCAACAAGGCGTCCGTATTGTTTTTGTTTTTGTTTTTTTTTGCTACTTGATCACGCCGCATTATGTCTTTATCAGCGCCTAAAAAGTTAGGAAATGGCCTGCAGATTTAGACTCTCGCCGCCTTCGGCTAGGCTCGAGTAAAAGCATCTTTTTGTTGATCCCTTAAAGTATATTGCAATGAAAGGAGGTCAGCTTTAACTTGCGCCTGACTGAAAATTTAGATGAAAACATATAAAAAAGGAGAATTTCAAATCAGAGCAAAGGAGAAATTGCTTTTTTTACTGTCCTTGTAGGTAAAAATTTTATGGTCTACAATCAAAAATTAAATCACACGAACGCAGACAAGGAATGTCAATTACGCCATGGTCTTCTTGCAAAAATCAGAACCAGCGAGGACCTTCTATTGGCTAAAAATATATCAAATACCACCAACGGCATAAAGCACTGGATAGGTCTTGGGTATTCCAGGCAGACGTAAGTAACAATTGTAAACTCTGTAATTTTTTTTGAGCATTTACATGCAGGTGGTGGATCTAGTAATGATCAGCAATTCGGATATTTTGGGGTTATTTGTCATTATGTTACTGTTGCTGTAGCGTTTTTGGATTTGTTTTTTCAGAAAATGGGCCTGGACTGATAAGAAGGGAATTACAAAGCTGAAAAAAGTTGACATGATAAAGGACTATCTTGGAATAGAAAGTCAGAGCAATGTGAATAATTCTGGGCCGTTCTGCTGTATGGTAACTGATGATAATAGACTAGAGTGTACAAACTGCACTGAGGAGCACGGCTATATTTGTGAAGGTTAGACGCAGCTTCTGTCAGGCAGTTTTATCTAATCCTAGTTAGAGGTGCCTCATTTATGAGTCCACTTTCAACTAGACTATTGGCTGAATTTTATATCAAGACTCAAAAGAGTACACAACTTAGCTAAGAACCAGTGATCACGCGCATTTTTTTTGTACTTTGTTGAGTGATACTTTTGAAGAGCTATTAACAGGATGAATATAATCAAACTTACCCAACTGACTTACCCAAAGTTTGCCATTTCTCCTACACTTAATTACCCCATCTTAATCGCGTTGAGGCGTAGGCCTTAAAACTTAAGGGGTTACACTGGCTTTGTGCTTTTTCTTCGCTTCTGTTCTGTTTTTTCTCTGTGTGCTTGAAGGGGATTTAGCATTACTTAAATACTTTGACTCTTCCAATATAACTAGCATTTTAAAAAGAGACTTAATGTGAAATACTTCACTAAGAGACCTTCTTTCGTTTCCTTCAGTGAATACTCCACTGATCGACTTGACTTTTGCTCTCAGTGCTACTTCTCCTTCATCTAATAATACTTTTGAATTTATGAAAAGCACAATCTGCGCCATTATCGACCAGTATGGCATAAACAGAATACGCTACAGCATTTTTGTCTTCGGTTCTGATGCCATAATAAAACTAGGTTTTGTCAACATGCGAAGCAAAGACACCTTAACCTCACACATTGATGAAATCGAAAAAGCTTATGGAACTCCACACTTGGTCAAAGCTCTAGATCAAGTGAAATCAGGATTCCAACAGTTTTCTAACGGTTCCAAGGCAAGTCGTGCTCTTGTTGTAATTCTGGACGACAAGATGGTCTTCAGTAACGATGGTTTAAATAAAGTGTTGAAAGATTTAGATAATGAGCGAGTTTTCATCGTTGGTGTTGGAGTTGGAAACTTAGTGAACGAGACAGATTTGACAGCAATTACGAAAGATGAAGCACACATACTAAGAGTTGGCTTAAATAAATCGACAAATGTCCTTGGAGGGGAAATCATGGATGTTATACAAAGTTACTTAAAAAGTAGGTCTCTCTGCCTTCTCTCAGGAGGTTCTTCTGAGCTGGTTCCTTATTTGTTCTGACTCTCAGGTGTGTTAAGACTATCTTTTATTTCAAAAGTCCGTGGTCTCATTACCTCAGTTGGTTTAATTTTCTTACCATTAGGGTTACTTCTAAAGCATTTATGCCCTAAGATATTTCATTTCTTGTTCTTGACCTTGTGCACGGGCTCACCAAAGAGACCCCTCCTTCATGTATCTGAGTTTCCATCCTCGTAAATCTCATATACATGCTTTGTGATGTTACTTGAAGTTGATTTCCAGTAGTTTTGTTTCACGCAGAACAACCTCCGATACGATTGCAAAATTCTATTCTTTGCTGAAACGTCCTAGAACTCAGAAAAAGGCAACTTAGACTATTCTAGTAAAACGTGCACCATGCAAGACGAAAAAATCTATTTTAACTTCTTTAGTTGATAATTTTACATTTTTCAAGTTAAAAACAATTCGTGACAGATATTTCAAGGTCAATTGATTAGCTTGGTTCTTCTGTCTGTAGTCCTGCATTAATTATATATTAATATATATCAAAAAAGAACATCGCCATTCATCCCAAGCGACGTTTAACACGTTCATCATATCTTCTAGTATACGCTCCTCATGATAATAGATAGTTTTACTCTTAAAATCTTATCGTCGATAATAATCGTTATAACATTAATTCGTATCAGAGCCGCAACGTTTTCTGTGCCTCAATATTCAAAGTGACAGTGAGCTTCTATTGTGTCTGTATGTTTAGAGGAAGTTTTACCGTCATCTGTAGAGGAATTATTGCCTTCTACAAGACAGACACGAGCGACCCCCACTACATCACTTGCGTCAGAAGTAACAGTAACAACATCACCGTCATCTGTAGAGGAATTATTGCCTTCTACAAGACAGACACGAGCGACCCCCACTACATCACTTGCGTCAGAAGTAACAGTAACAACATCAACTAACATTGGAAAAACAGATACCTCAACGATCATAGCGTCTAAAACATCCAGAATGTCAAAGGATTTATCAGCGAGTGTCTCTCCAACGGAGACTGGTGATAATCAAGAGAAGGTGATTATCACATTATATAGTATCAGTTCAAAACAGATTGATCAGTTTCTACTGAATAAACTAAACAACCGATCACCAAACAACCTCTCACTTGATAGTGATGGTAGCTTCCGCCTATAGCTGGCTGCAGTCCTTCCCAGGACTACTTAAACGTGCATTTTGCTATCCCACTGTTTCTTCTGAGTTCCAGCCATTTGCCATGTATGTCGTTTTATGAGGGTCTCGATGGGGTGATGGCTTTTAAAGCTAACGGTTGAAATGTTGGACATTCTACAGCTTAAGGTCTACCCAAAGAGGTTTTGTAGGGGAGGACAAATTTTTTACGGTTAACTTTTCTACGACTAACGGTTAAAATTTGTCAGTTTTTACGCCTAACGGTTAAATTTTTCGGCTATTTTACGGCTTGCGGTTAACGCCATCGAGACCCCATTTTATCACTTGATTTTTACAGTTTACTGCTTATAACAGAGCACAGAAAAACAATTCAATGCAACCTTATTTCTAGATTAGACGTCATTACAACGTAACCTCATATACCTGCTTATTTCTTTTACATCCAAATTGACGTTGGAAATTGATTATCTTTGATAAACAGAAAAGATGGCCTACAATTTGAAATTATATTTATACTGCAAGAAAAACTGTAAGAAAATGCGTACCAATACAAATCATATATACAATTCACAACTGTAAAATGTTCCTTTGTTTCTTTAAGATGGTTGAAAAATACTTGGATAAGTTGAATCAGTTAAACTTAAGTGACGAGAATTCTCTCCAGGTAGGCTAGGTACTCAGTATGTTTTTATCAGCTCATATGTAATTGTAACATTGCGTATTGGTATATCCCTCATGAAATTGTTATCATCCTTATTTTTATTCTTTTTTTACTGTTACGGATGATCATTTGATGAGTTTCATTATGATTACGATCTTTAGGCTGCAGTCAATGAGACAGAGAAATTGCTTACAGTTTTCCAAAAAATCGCAAGTAAAGAACGTTCAGGCGTAGAAGTGAATTTGTTACTAGCCGCTCAGCACCTTGAATTGCTGGCTTCACAATATGCTGAGAAGCATATGTTCAAAAATGGCGGCTACCACTCAACCACAATACCCACTAAAGAACACCTAGGTGGGTAATGCTTTTATACCTTTTAACAAGTAACAACGCAATGTATTATAGGTCGTAATTAAAATATGATTAGATGTAACGATTGTTTATTAAAAGGAAATAAGAACTGCGAGTGGATCCAAAAATAGACGGAATTCGAGCCACAAATATCAGAAATTTTCGTTGATTTTTCTTCCCGTTCCGCGGACGATTCGAAAAGCAAAATGAACTGAGTGAAGCCAAAGAAACGGTATTATTGATCAAGTTTCTGCTGTCTATCCTGACGTAAATTTTGTTACAAATAAAGATAATTTAGTTACTTCCTTTGGAATAAGCCTAAGAATAAGTTTTATTATTGCTTCTCTCCCTTTAATAGTCATGGAAGTTCAAACCATTAAAGCAGGTCATAAAAAGGAAGTGACGTTTCCTTCTGAGAAATTTCAAGGTCAACCGTCAAGTGATAATAATTTATTACGTGAAAGGTTCATTTTACCACCAAAACTTTTCGAAAAACAAGGTATGTTAAAAAAATGCAGTATGTGTGTTATGTTGTCAACCAGGCAGCTAAAAATCTTCAGTCGCACATTATTCATCGTAATTTATTGCCTATATTGGATCTGCAGTGAACATTTTTTTTAATATTATCTAATTATATGCTCTGTGATCCTTACGGGTGAGTTTTCTTCGGGCCTCAAGGATATAAATGTCAGTACGAAAATTTGCCTACCTAAAAAAAGTTGGGAGTAGATGCAAGTGTTGGAAGAGTATGAACGTGTATAGTACACTATATCCTTCTGAGGATTTTTTTAATTTCGCTTGGGAATTTGTTCATCATGTTTTCAACAATCGTGAACGCTTAAGTGTATCTTCTTCTCAATAGAAACTGTGGTACTTGGAATAGCTTACCAAGACCTGCACAAGCTTCTTCCAGATGAATGCCAATACCTTCTTGATGGGTATGTATTTTAAGACATACGGAGTAGAATTAGACAGGAGCTTATTCAACTTCTAATACATTGAATACTCTACTTTTTTTCTCACTTTTCTATCTAAATATTTAGATGAGACGATTAGTAAATTTTTACAAACGAGCCAGATTGCTAAAGGAATCAAATACATTTTAATTGCAGGAAGAAAATGATAAATACTAAACTCCAAACACCAATCATAGCGTGTTCTCTCTTACCGGCCCCGCCACCAGTGCTGGCACAGAACATTACTATTTCATTTACTTTACGAAAGGTAAAAGTGTACGTCTCTTACGCTGACGAACTCCTGAAAAAGATGTTCTTGTTATAGTCTTTGTATTTGCTTTTTTTCTTATTGTTTAGAATTTCTACAGTTGAAAAGATATATATGATTTTCATCCAGCCATTTAAAAACGATATAAGTTCCATTTGAAAAGATCCTTCTGGTTGATTGATATGGGAACAACACGAAAAATGATCTGTGGAAACACTAACGAATGCACGATGTAGTTAGGGAAACTGTATATTCTGAGTCGATTTTTGCAATACGTAATTTTATGAGTTTTGAGTGTATTTCATGTAGACGTTGCATGTAGACGTTGTAACACTGTTATTTTTTCTTTTCGTTCCGTCTTTAAAGTTTATAAAACCCGAAGACAAGCCTTATTGTGTATTTTGGGACTTTGCCATCAGGTATGTTTTCTTAGCTGTACATGAGGCTTAATTCATTTGACAACTTATATTACTTGAAATACTTTTTTTCCGAAAACGACCATTTTCTCTAAAAATGTCGCGACAGTAAATGAAAGATAAGCTTCCCGTCCATAGGAGTCAGGTGAACGGCTCCTGGTCAAGCAAAGGATGTTCCCTGATTAATAGAACAGACACCAAAGTTGTGTGCAGCTGCAATCATCTGACGAACTTCGCAATTCTTATGCAACTGGGAGAAACCAAGGTGAGTTACAAAGTAAAGTATAGCTATCCTGTCTTGTTATTGATTTGCATCCGCAGTACAGTACATCAGCTACCATTTGTCACTGTGTGTCGTTTTATACCTGAAGCTGTTTAAATATTTTTAATTAGAAGTTGTTCAAGTTAAGTACTAGGTATTTTTGTTTTAGATTCCTCTCAAACATCAGCTCGCATTGCAAGTCAGTACATTTGTCGGCTGTGGATTGTCGCTTATGGGTGAAGTGTTTACCATCTTAGCATATCTGGTTTTTATGTAAGTACAAACCCTTCTTTTCTAGAGGCGCTTCACCAACCGACGATGTTGGAGATTTCTATGAATGTGTCCTTTTTTCTTTGCCTAGGAATCTGAAGCAAGAACATATTCAGATACGATTCAACCTTGTTGTGGCCATAGCAGTGGCGCAAATTCTTTTTCTGGCTGGAATTGATGCCACATCAAAACAGGTAACTGCAAACATATCTGGTCAATCACATGAACTTTAATTACAGATGACAGAGATACTTCACTTGATTACTAGAACATTTGTAAATATTATCAGAGTCAACCGTGATAATTTCTCCAGCAGGTCAAAATGGAAAGGTTAAGGTACACTGTAGATGTATGCCCCAATGAATCTTGAGTAAACGAAGAGACAAAACAACAATTCAAACTTAGACCTTATGGCTAAACTAATTTATTTTCTTGTTTACAGGAAGCTTGTATATTCGTGGCAGTGTCTATTCACTATTTTTATCTAGCCGGATTTTCTTGGATGCTCATGGAGGGAGCCTACTTGTATCTGATGGTGGTTAAAGTATACAACGCCGTCGTAAGAATGAAGTTGCTGTATGTTTTCTCCTGGGGTAGGTAAACCCTATTATTGTGCATGCGCTATTGGTATCCCTTTTTGTATCATTATAGAAAAAAAGAAAAAAAAAAAGGTAAAACTAAGGTTATACCTTGCATGTATAAATCTCGCTTGGCGATAACTTAATTGTTAGAGTTTAGGATCGCATGTATGATGCGATCTATTGATGTCAAATGTGAAACAAATGCAAAAGTCGTTTAACTATATTTATGGCGAGATATACACGGAGGTAACTCACTGTTTTGTAGGATTTCCTTTTCTAATGGTGATTTCATCCATTGCCATCGCTTCTGGCTCTGCTGAGGGAATATCGGGCTACGTACATGGTGACTTGTAAGTATTTAAAAGGGTATATTTAAGGCTCAATATTTTCCTTATAACGTCAGGGAGTCCTATATTCTATCCTAGCGCTTTATTAGTGGCATCACAAAAGGTTGCGGGGGATTCTTAGTAATGAAGAGCTTGTAAAGTCTCTTTGTGGTTCGAACTGACGCAGACCGGTAAATAGCGCTTTAAAAAAAGAAACGAATTAACAATCGTGATCAAAACGAAATAAAATTTGATCGTGTGTTTGTGTGTTTGTTCAAAGATTATTAATTTCTTCCTTTTTTACAGCTGCTGGGTTTCATTTTCAAATAGTTTAGTTTGGACCTTTGCCGCCCCAGTCCTCGTGGTTTGCCTGGTGAGATGGCTTCTGTTATAGTTTGCTCTACTATTTAGAAGAATTTCTCATCATTGTGATTATGGCAAAATTATACACAGCGTTCGTTAATATACAAGTGACATTAAGATGACTGAGCCTGAAATAAGCTCCATTTCAACAAAATAATGAAAATCAATGCTCTCCAGTTTGTTCTTCTTCTGTTGTAGAAATCATTTGTTCATGTAATTGTTCATTTCATCAGATAAACTCCTTCATCCTTTGCCGGGTGGTGTATGAGATGACGAGAATGCACTCTACGAAAGACACCTCTAACGTCAAGTGAGTGTGTGTCTGCACCGTGCTGTCATTTTCTGGTTTTATCTCAAATTGAATGCTCACTTTCACCCTCAATATCTGATTATTTCAGACAGGGGTTAAAGGCATGGGTGGTGCTGTTTCCTCTCCTAGGCCTGACCTGGGTATTTGGAATTTTTAGCATTACAGCTGCCGGTGTGGTGTTCCAGTATATCTTCACCATATTTAACTCACTTCAGGTAACAATTTCAAGCTTGAACAACTTTGTAATGGGAGCCTCTAAACAGTATTTTATTTTGCACGACAGTAACAGAAAACGGTCTGGTTTCTTATTGTAAACTGTTATATACACTCTGCGATTGTTAACAGTAAACAATATCACAAGGGCACCGATTGATGATGCAGCTCAGCGAGATAGACTTCTTACCTTTTTCCAACCAAACACCTCTTCACTTAAGTCCTATTATGACTCTAACTCTTTGCCACGCTGTGATGGTGACTCGAGATACCTCGCACTACCAAGACATCAGTTAGTGTTCAGCAAAAGTCTTTTCCATGACTATTCTCATTCACCGTACAAGACTAGTATCCCAGACTAATGCAATCACTCGTCCTTCTTACATTTCATACCTTTAGGGATTCTTCATTTTCGTCATTCATGTCCTGCGAAGCAGTGATGTACGCGCTGCATATCTTCGCAAGAAACAGAAGTGGGACAATTCTAAGAATTCAACCTTCCCAAGCTCTCGTTCAGTGGCAGAAAACTCAAACGCTGGTTTGGAAAAGCATGACATGAATAAAATGCCTCTCAGAAAGGAGAGCCCTGATCCAACCTTTAGACGACATCAGGTGTCTCCCATTAACTCGGACAGAATAGACACAAGAGAAAGCTGCATCACTCCTGTTGACGCAAAGTGAAATAACTTTCAAAGTGAATTCCTAAAGAAGAAAAGGATGTTATTTTATTAACTTGTGGAGAAAAAAAAAATTTTTTCACCATTTTCTGAGTATAAGTTCATTACGAAATGAAAAAGTCACCAGGTACGGAGACCTGATGAGTTCAAGATAAATATAGTAATGCATATGTCTGGTTCGTTTAAGCTTCTTATATATTAGCTAAGAGGACTCTGATTAGTAAAACTCAAATTGTGTCCAATAAGTTGCAGGTTGACAGTATAATATTTTCTTGGTTTATTCGCATTGAATCTACTTGTAGTTACCATGAACCTCCCCGAACTGGGAAATTTGACTGTGTCTGCTCTGGAAGCAAACCGTGAGGTAGAATGTATATCTGGCATGGTACCGAAATTTGTCGCTCGATAAGTAAAGATGAAATTTAAGTTTTCCAATAATTTTGCATTTTCCAAATTATTTCCATTTTTATATTTCATAGTTAAGACTAATAGTTTGCGGTATGTGATTCCAAGGATTGATCATATTTTGGAAATATAGCTCATGTCCGTCCTAAAGAATGTGTTTTGTTTTTCTTTGTTCTCTCACTAACTGAAAAGATGTCACTAACACTGACAATAGACATTATCAACTGAGTTGGTAATGTAAATTGGCTACTGTAAAGAGTTTCAAAGCTGTCGTTTCGAGCGTTGGCCCTTCATCAGAGCGAATGGAGGAATTGCGGGTTGTGTGTGTGTTTATAAGTAGAAAATGGAGCTACGCTAATAGTGAGAAAATGGTAACAAGAAAAAAGTTCCTTATGTTTTTCTCGTTTTTGAATTAAATATGTGGATGTTGCGAAAATGAAGATAGTGCCAGTCTCTAAATCGCTTTGACGTAATTTAAAGTTTTAAGAATAATAGATTCAACTGCGTGGTTGTAAAGGTGAAATTTGAGATTGAACAGAATGCAGTCGATATTTTCTTTCTGAGTGGTGGTAGCTGCTTTAACGACAGAGACAGGATAGCCACGTTTATCGCAAATCTGGCATATTGCCTCCGATTTGTGGAAAAAATCAGTGCTGTCACTTCATAAACGATGATCAGGTTTTCGACTTTTTTCAACTCAGTTGATACTACTAAATTACCCTGTTATGCTCTCCCACCAACGCAGAACCACAGTTTCTTTAGAAAGTTCCTTTGCAGGACTATATCCATACCAAGACAACAACGTTATACCTGGGAAGCTTTGAATGTCCTTGATAGAAACATGCACTGGAATAATGATTAAAAAAGAAAATGATTATTTAAAAACACCCACCTATAGCGGTGCCTCTGTTATCGTGAGAGCTGAAGTTAGTCTGAACGCGAGTGCTCCTCACAAATGTAAGCTAAAGCACTCGTCAGAAAGCCGGTTATTCTCTATAATGACTTTGTACCTGCTTTAGGGTAGCACGGATACATTTATTGAATGAAAGACAAAGCTAGGTCCTGAATATTTTTAAAGTGTCATTCTGGGTTGGTACTTACCTTTCTAAAAGATTTTGGCCTTGCAGTTTGACGTGGGTTCCTCTTGCTTTTGCCAGCATTGAGTCTCCTGGGAGGAAGAGAACCTTAAACCTCCGCAGATACAGAAGTTATACTGGCGAGACAAGCGGGGTAATAGATTCATGATGCGACTAGCGTTCCGAGCGTTAAGAGGAGCTGCAGGTTCGTCAGCGTCCTATGTGTAAATGTATAAAGAAAAATGGTTAACTTTACGTAGTCGTAGCTCATCTTCCTTTTCATAAAGGACGTTTGTCATTGGAGATTCCTGTTGGATGTATCAATACAGCAGCTCGTTGTTCCTAAACGTAAATCTGTTTATTTGGCATTCTCTTTGATATCTATGTTAGATAATGAACAACCGCGAAAAAATTAAGTTCCATAATTTTATCCTTTTATTTATCCTTGTAACTTTGTCCACTTTATTTTTGTTATAAAGACAGAAGAGAAAAGTAATTTCAAGAGCTTCAAATTGGTGCTCTGTATTTCCACCAAATGAAAACCATTGTTTGTGGCTCTTTAATCTTAATCTATTCTTCGCTTTATAAAATTTTACTTTGGTTCATTTGTTTACTCTAAATCACATTGACGTAAGGCGACTGCTTTGCATTACAATATCACTTAATCCGCAGCTGCATCTTTATCCAAAGCAACTTTATTTTAGCAAGAATATCTCTCCCTAGGAAAATTTCCTTCATTGCCCAAACTGACCCAATTTTTTAATATCGAATAACACCGCGATGTATTGATGGGAAGTTCGATATGCACACTACAACAGCAGCCTAAAGGCTAAAATCATACACATTGCCTCTCGCAATAGCCACCCTTAAGGATTGAGGGCATATCTTTTGCTGACGCATGGTGATGAATACGTTGATAGAGTGTTGTGTTAAGAGTTGCATCTCAAAACTCTCACAGAACCTAAAAATTAGATCTTAACTTCCGCACAATTGTTAAGTTCACGAAAGCAATGAAAAACGAAATTGTTTCAAAAGAGAGCAGTTCCATGAAGTCAATACTCTTAATTGCATGCAAAAAGAGATAATTTTCCAACTAAAAGATTCTTTAGCTTAAAAAGGAAATGGATATGCATATAGCTATTATCCTGTTAGTGATTCACCCTATTTTGAAAAATTTCTAGCCTGTCAATTATTCAAACAAGGTGTTTCTTTGTTACTATTGCATTCGAAAGTTAAGTGGATCTTGCAAAGCACGTATTTCTTACATGACTGAGAAAACGCACGTTGGAAAAGCTACAGAGTGTTAATGTACCAAAATTCGCCGACGAAGCTATAGAAAGTTGAGTTATTTAAAAAGGAATAGTGCATAAAGCCACATACTGACCGCGATTTAAAACTTGGTTTTGAATCTTAATCAGGGAAAATTATTTTATGGCAGGTTCGTAGTTCTTATTCACTTTTATATTTTGCATGGTGTTAATAACAATAACCTTCCCTCTTTCAATCTTCTATTGTGCTCCGAAGGAATTTTAGAATTTATTTCTATGAGCACATTCTTTAATTTTCAAATTTTTTTTTGTATCTCAACTTTTCAAAAGATTTATGGTAACGTCAAGTGACATATAATATTAACTGGAACATTTGTTTTAAAGCAAGATTTGGTTATACTAATGATTGATTGCAAGTATGATTGCTAAATTTGTCTCGGAGGAGCTCTCGGGTAAGTATCATAATTTTTTTATGCAGAAGAAACTTCCGTCGTGAAGACTCCAGAATTAACTGACCACATCAAACGCTTTTTTTGTTCAGTGAATATTTGTTTCATTTACGTCACGTCGATTTGAGATCTCTTCTCATCTACCGTGAATGTTTCATTTTTTTTTACATTTACGTTATTTTTTTTTTTAGTTGAGGATTAATTTTGTTCCTTCTGTAACAAATGGTGTAAAATATTGAGGCAGGGAAACTGAACTCGTATTCCTACATCCTCTTATTTCACTAAGGAAGAAAAAGGAAGGCATATGAATTATTTTCCATACAATTTGATATTCCATTCGATAGTCAATAAATGTGCAGGTGAAAAAAACATAGTCATCATCGACTACAATTGCATCTCTGAACAAACAAAAGATCTCAATAGCTCATAATCATGGGACGTCAGTAAAAGCAGGATATAAATTTATTTACATAACTAGCAGAAAACATCTCTTCTTTCAAACAGGCGGCACGGAAATTGAGCGGTTCTTCTGATGCTGTTTGGCTAACAGCTCTAGGAAACAGATCAGACGAAACGATTTTCCAAAGGAAGGTTCAGCTAGCTAAGAGATTGCAAGCTACAACACCGCCGTGTTTAATTTAGAAAATGAATTTTTATTTCCATGTCAACCCGATCAACTTTCAAATTCTACTTCAGATCGTCGTCTTCCTTGGCGGTAAGTAACAACTTTTGTTGGTTTCATGACGATAAGTGGAATTCTTTATTCTTTTCAGTTTATAACTTGACTTGTAAAAGTTTTATTCCTGTCTTTTATTGTGCGGTATGTTAATATAAACTAATAATGATGCCCCCCTCGTGGCGTCAACCTATCCTTTAAACATATTTAGTTAGAAGTTTCTGTTTTTTTTGCTTTGAAGCTCTTTTAGGATCATTATTTTTCTATCTTATTCATATTGTTTTCTTTTTTCCATTTTCAAAACAAAAAAAAAAAGAAAGCGTCTGTCTTTCCCCTAATAGTCTGCGACTAAAGCCGTTTTCTTAATCGAAATAGACGAGCACGGAAGTCACATTCACGTCGTCATCTTACATTGTACGTTGCAACTCCCACTGACATTTCATCACAAGTTTAAACATGTTTACAATTCAATCGAGGGCTGAATTGATCTACAAAGCGTGAAAAGGATCAATTTTGGCTGAGCCTTTTACTCATAAACTTACCATATGACAGGCACCTTGACGATACCAGTCAAAGTAAAAACCTGTTGTGCAAGGTATGGAGTACATTTCTGGCGACCAAGTAGAGCTGCTGTGCGTTGAAAATTGGTTTATCAAGAAATATAAAACTCGATTTGGTAGAAGCTGAACATTTAACCGTGCCTCGAGATGAGCGTTCATTTAATAATCAGAAAAGTTTCGAAATTTTCGCATTTGGCTTGTAATTAAGCGTTCAATTTCTTTACAGCCCTAAACAAAATAAAATCGGCTTGGATATGAGTTTGCACTGAAAGTGTTGATTATGACTAGAGTATTTGTACAAATTTGTACATAATACTTAAGAGCGACAGAAATGCAGTACCCCTACACGCTTCCGTTTTTTTTTTTTTTGTCGTTGTTGTTCGCAAATAATCTTGAAAGATGACAAATCGCATGTCCGCCATAAGGAAGAAAGAGATGATCCTGAGGGTATATAAATATTTGAAATTTAACGTTTTAAGAATAAATCATATATTCCACCCACGTGCAGCAGGCTATTAAGATTTTTTATCCTTGAAGTGCGCATCAAAGTTATGTTACTAGGTTACGTTCAATTTAAAATGTATATTGCTTTCCATTCTGTTCCATGAAAGATTTTGATGTATTTTTGAGTACGGAAACTCACGTTAAAGTTGGAAACTTTTCAACCATGATGCGGGTTGCTACAAATTTTAAGGCTTCATTGTGCACCGGTCGATTGACTGTAAGTAAGTAGTTGAATGATTTGTACGTTGGGTAACATAATAAGCTGCAATATTTAATATTTAATTTCCTATTAGATCTTTGCCAGTGTTCCACTCTCACATACCGCCCTAGTTCCAATCGATGCAAGGGAAAGGAGCTAGGAGAGAAAAACCATTGCAAGTGCAACGAAAACGAAAGACTGGGAAGAGTAAAAGGCTTGGCTAATCTTCAGGAAGTCAAGAATTCTATCAATGATAGCGACTCATACTGGATAGGACTAAGGTAATGTAGCAATGGGAAATGAGGATTTTATCGTTGTTGTGATTCTGACACAAAGAAGAGAGCAAAGTGATAACAGAAAGCACGTGAATTTTGAATTACCGCATACAGCGGGAAAAATGGAAAGTCAATTTTATGTTACTACTTTGAGTCCGTCACTGGGACAAAAAGGGCCTGATTGGTGGCTTGTAAAGCTTAGAGCTTTATGAAACATTCAAGAGGATGGAATTAGGAATCTGGGTCAATCATTTGAACTTTTTGCCGTTTATGCAGTAAAAGACAATTACCAAAGGCGAATATGTTTATCTCGTAGCTATGAAAAAAATAAAGGTTTCTGTTGGATAACGGAGAAACACGATAGATGTACAGAGCATCCTGCGGACCAGGACTCGCTGACCAATATCATTGAAGGTGAAAAGAGTGAATGGAACTCAGGGTGGTACTGCTTTTTGACCCATAAAGAGAAGCCTAAGATGCAAGCAAAGAAATGCAATGAAAATAACGATGAGCGCTTCATCTGCGAGAAAGGTAACAAGTTAAACTTGTTATTAAGAAGTGAAGTGAAAGATTGCTCAGATGAAACATTGAAAATCACACACAGACATCTTGTTCGGTAAAGTTGTTAATACGAAGGGTGATCTTTACCAGATATTGAAAACTAGAATACTCTTAAGTAGTATAGATGAAGAGATATAACGTTTCTATTGGTTAGATCTTATAATTAGTTCATGACAAATTAATTAATATTTACTGACAAATTAATCACATATTTTGTACACTACTGCGAAGTACATCGTGCAAATTTTTAACTCGTCTCTTTATTTTCAAACGACTATTGAAAATTAGGCCCGGGTTGTTCAAAGCTGGGTCATAACCCAGGGTAAGTATGAAATTTGATTTCAGGTCTGAAAGCTTTAAAAGAAAATTCAGTTCAAATCTTTTTGCTTGTAATTTGATCATTGGATGTTCTTAAGAGGATAGGGAAAATTTTCTCTTAAGGGCTTTTGAACAAAGAAATAAAGAAATCTGGATTAAAATTTAAACCTGGGTTGGCGTTACTCGGCCTTTGAACAACTAGGCACAGGTCTTCTATGCGTAACAAAGCTGCCTACCAATTTTTTCATAAATTTCATAGAAAGTCCGTCGTCCGAGTTATCACCAAAGCACTCTTCGTCTGATAAATCGATGCGACCCGAAACAAAGACAAACATAGTGACCGCAACGGATCCAACATTCATCGCAAAGTCTTCAGTGGTCATGAGCAGCTTGCCAAGTTTAACCACATCAAGAATGTCCATAGAAATACCAACTACAATTTATTTAGCAAACGTGACAACAGTTACACTTGCAGGAGTCGCCTCGCTGTTATTATCAAGCACAACAGTTAATTCAGGTTTCACAAGTAATATGATGATAACGGAGCCTATAATTATGGCAAACAGCACCATAAGTGAAGCCTTGATCACACCTGCAGCTCTATCTTCACAAAGAGAAGTTCTAACCGACAGAATCGAACCTTCGGGGGGTAAACTGTCGTCTAGGGATGAGGTATTTACGTGCTTACACATAGATACGCCTTGCTTTCTTTCGTATGGCATATGCCCGTGTAGCTCCTCATTCTATTAATAATCATTGCATATACGTGTAGCTTCGCAGTCAGTTTACTTAGAGGTCAGGAGAGCTACCAAAGAGGATGAGAGGCAGATTTCGCTCTGTGCCACAGACATAAACAATGCAAGAAAACTTATACTTTTCTAAACAAGCTCTGTCCTTTCTGTTTTAGTTACAGAGGTACCATTTAGTCATACGGTCCCTCAACGCAAGCTCCAAAACCTCTTTTCAGGTAAGATTAAGAGACGACAGTAAGGTTTCAGTAAAGCATTTGAAGTTGAGAGGTTTTCGTTGTTTTTTTAATATGTTCAGATCGCAAGGAATGCGACAAGCAGCTTAATAAGGTCTTTGAAAAATGACAAGACTGACAATAACGACATCAATATATTGTCAGCCATCCGGCAGTTGGAGACATTCGCCATTAGTTATGGCAGGATTCATCTCAAAGTAAACGAGAAAAAACTCATCTCGAACGAGCTCTTTGGTAAGTATCTTGAGTTTGATCAAATAAATTGATACTTCAATCTCAATTGGAGGGAATTCAAGGTTGTTGTTTAAATTATCATTCCTTGTGTTTTTGCAGCAATGAAGATTCATAAAGTGCCAGCGGACAACAAAAAATCAATTATTTTCTCTGTAGCGGAGACGAAATTCTCTGGAAACGGGGGTAAAGCAAAAATTTCTCTTCCTCCGGGATTGTTCAAAGGACAAGGTACAATCACAAGACGGTGAAGAATCGATCAGTTTAAAGGGGCGTTTGTTTTCTCAAATGCTGATATATTACATATGACTTATTTTTCCTCAGACTCTGTTGTTGTAAGCACTCTTTATGATAATATCAAACGGTGGATACCTGCATCAAAACATGCTGAGCTGGACGGGTACGTAGGTTTAAAGTGCCCAAGCACACCTTAAATTTGTCCACTTATTCATGTCCAGTCTGTGACTAGGAACATTGCCTTATTCTTATTTGCACTTTCATTAGTAAGGCGTGTATTTATCTGTGCACTCATTTGCAAATTTTCAGAAAGTATTTTTCAAAGCTTAAGCTGAGAAGTCGCGTGATTGCCGGTGCAGTGTATCCTGAGCCATCTGGTATTCTTGAGGAAAACATTACGATCTCATTCAGTTATGATGAGGTATTTTTTTTCTGTCTAAACAGTGACGTGTTGCTATAGAGAATAATATAGACGTTTTGATATCGTCTCCTCTTTCAACAAACCTATATAAGGAATAAACACTGTAAGCATTAAGGTTTGAAGTCTCTCTATTGTAGAATGTATGAAATAAGAATTTAAATTTTTCACATCTAATGTTTGAATTGCACTATCTCGTTAGGAAACACTACATGCTAATGTTCCTCACTGTGTTTTCTGGGATTTTAATCGCAAGTAAGTTAAGTGAAGGTGATTTTTGTACATGCGCATAGTCTTCTTAATGTCGGTATCGACGTAAATCTCATTCTTCATATGAAGAGCTAGATCTTAATTCTCATATTTTAAGGATCAATAGAGAAAAAAACAATGGTTACGTTTTTTTCTTGATTACATTGGTTTCAATAATTTAGATCGGAGGTGAATGGTTCCTGGTCTGGTACAGGATGTTCACTGATTCAGTCAGAAGACCAACAAGTCACGTGCAGCTGTAATCATCTCACAAACTTTGCTGTTCTTATGCAAGTTGGAGACAAAACGGTTGGTAAAATCATGCTTTTCACGTTTTCAAACTTAAAGCAAAAACATATAATTAAGTATACTGGGATGTTCCATAGATATGAAAGCAGTTCTGTAATCTTTCTTTCCGATTTTTCCATGACAGATGTCGACAGACCATAAATTGGCATTGGACGTTATTACTTACGTCGGTTGTGGCCTGTCACTTGCGGGAGAATTGTTAACTATTATAGCCTACTTGTCCTTAATGTAAGTGTTTTACGAATCGTTCAAATTGTATTCGGGCTCTGTATTTAACCCTTTTAAAGCATCTTGACCCCTTTCTTCTCTTTTCGACAACACACAGGAATCTAAAGCAGGAGCAAATTCAAATTCATTTCAATCTTGTGGTTGCTATAGCGATAGCACAACTGACATTCCTCTGTGGAGTAGACTTTTCAGAATCAAAGGTGAGACAACGATCGCTCTAATTTTCTAACACGTTTTTCCTGAGAAAGGGATGGGTAGTCTTACTCAAATATGAACGACTGAGAGACCACACCTAGACACAATGATTTCATTAAAAAAACTGTTAAGCTACTTAATTATGAAATTTTGATCTCAATTTTATTTACTCTCTTTACCCTAGGGAGTGTGCATCTTCGTAGCGACGTTAATCCATTATTTTTATCTGGCTGGATTTGTTTGGATGTTGTTTGAAGGAATTTACTTGTATCTAATGGTTATTAAAGTTTTCAATACCGTTGTTAAGATGCGCCTGTTTTATGCCATTTCCTGGGGTAAGTATAGTTTGTTTCGTGGATATCTTCCTGCTTTCTAGTGAAAGAAAAAACATTCTAGAGATTTTATTGCTCTTTCATAAGAGGTGAAAAGAGGACACATTTACAAATTTATTTGCATACCAAGTCTCCCTCAAAACTGTTGGAATGCAACTCTTCTGTAAATTTCAGGCTTTCCCCTGTTCATGGTGGTGTTATCATTGCTGGTCGCCTCCGGTCTGGAGGGAGGTATTAACAGCTATGTTCATGGTGAATTGTAAGTACAAGATAAAAATATGACTAAACCTTCATTGAAAAATACTGTGCGAACTTTCACAAGTTCACGCAAACACCAACATTTTCATTTATGGTCTTGCATCACTGAACGTGAAGACATCTGAGGAAGTTCCTTCCAGCTGTTAACAATTTTAGATCGTTGTATGACTTCATGGACTTGAATGGAGAATAAAAATTAACATCAATATAACTCATGACAACTACAACTTTAATTCCAGATTATGACGATCGCTTCCTGTGTTATGTTAAGGAAAAGTCTGCTAGAAAGCTATATATCATTTTTTTTTTTAGATACACAGATTTTCCATCGTTTTGGTTAATCAATATTATTGTTTGTATCCTTTCTTGCAATTATAGTTGCTGGGTATCCTTCAGTAATAATCTGATCTGGACATTTGTTGCACCTGTTCTTGCTGTTTGCATGGTACGTTTCAACTTTGCAATCCGATTACAACACAATTTCTCGTAAGGTGCAAACTATTAAATATGTTAATGACGAACTACTTTCCTTTTCACAGATTAACTCCGGACTTTTAACTCGAGTTATCTATGAGATCATTTACATGCAAGGCGACAGAACGTCTGAGTTCGAGAAAATCAGGTAAGTTACAGAGACATATCTCTGATGAAAAGAAAGTCACTCAAAGTTTATTTCTTTTTCAACGCGAGACTGACAGGCGCTCTTCATTTTCAATGTTGTGACCGTTAAGCACCTGAAGAGCACTTGAGCTCACCTTGCTGCTCGGTTAAAAAAAAGCCGAAAGTAATACTCTCGATTTCTGTCAAGATAACACCAGCTAAGTTTGAAATTTTGAAATTTTGAATTTTGAAATTATTTGGGTAAAACCGGGTAAAACTGGAACTGTAGTATGGACACCCTACGTTAAGGGGATTGTCTTTACGTAAACTCTAAAGAGAGTTCATGGAAGGAGGATCGAAATTGTTAGATTGGTCAGACACAAGAAAATTAAACTGATCCAATGATACTGATATTGAATCTCAAATAAAGAATGTCTGCAACAAGCGTTTCTATTTGGCACCTAGCTAGTTCATTCCTTCCCTAGTTGTAGATAAAGCTAAAATTTTTATATAAACTTATTTGTTGCTCCAGGCAGGGTTCGAAAGCGATGTTGGTACTGTTTCCGCTCTTGGGCCTGACATGGGTGTTTGGAATTCTAAGCGTAACAGATACTGGTCTGGTGTTCCAGTATATCTTCACCATACTCAACTCATTACAGGTCACAGTCCCATCTCTGACTCTTTCCCAGTCCCCAGAAACTAGAAATATTTTGTGGACTCACTCAGTTTCATTTTAGTTTCATTAATGTTTTCATGAGTTAGTTTAAAATAGTCCTGTAAGTTTTAAAGGGTATTGAAACAAAGCATGCATCGTAATGAGGACAATGGAAATGCAGTAAGCTTAGACCCTTACGAGTTCCCCTTTCTATTCGGAGTTTCTTTAAAACTGATATCCACGACAAATAATAATTTACTAAAATGCAGTGCTTTTTCTGTGCAAAGTTGTCATGCCTTTCACCTCGAACACATTTCGCAGTGATCTTCGACTTTCTCTTTGGCATAGCGTCGAAAGAAGCGGCAGCCATGGTGCTTCCGCGCTCTTTGGCGCGAAAGTATGAATGCTATAAGTCGTGTAAATTATATGATGCATCAGGAGTGCTACTGGTCACTGATTCCAAAGATTACAATGAAATTACCCGGCTAAGAGTTCTCAATGAAAATCCGTAGATGTGCCACAGCTTTTCATAGAATACCTATTTCCAGCGACCTAGGTTTCAATTTCTTGAACGGGTTGAGAAACCCGATGCTTTTAACATGTCACATTTCAACATACACGATTTTTGAGGAGTTTCTTTTTAAACCTTTCCTTTCCTTCATTAGGGTTTCTTTATCTTCCTTCTTCATGTTTTAAAGAATGGTGAGGTGCGAGCAGCTTTTCGTAGAAAAAAGAAAACCTGGATGGAATTGAGGAACATTTCAACGTCTCGGGTTTCTTCCCATAGCATGACCGTGCCAAATAAGAAGTTGAGCGAAGAAGAAGCAAATGAACTGAAAAACATGGGAAGAGAGTCGAACTCTTCTGTGGTTGGGTACATCAATCGAACTAGTGTTAAAAAAGACAGAACGCTAACCCCTGTTCAAATGTGATCACTTTCAACGTGTCTCGTTTTGCCAATGTGATCTTATAAAGCCGTATCGTGTCTCATACACCCAAATGCTCACTTCCCGCCCCGAGGGGTAATCTCATTTAAAAGCTCCATGGTGGCTACGACTGGTCTCGATACCTGGTCACCCCTCCTACCCCCCTCATCCCCTCCCAAAACGAAACGTAGTCATTTACCGAGTAAAAACCTTTTTAAATTCCTGAATAATAAACACTTTTCCAATTTTATTCCCCTATAAATACGTTATAAATAATCACGTACAAATGTACGTGTAAATAGATGCCAAACATCATTGTTAGTCAATTGTGTCTAGATACAAATATATTCATACAACTTCAACGTTCGTAAATAGAATAAGAGACATGGTAAGATGGTAATAAGAGACATGGTAAGTTTTGAGCTCGGTAAAGAAATCGAGAAAAATGTTTTTCGTCTTGTCACGAGCGTGGGACAAAGATTCTGAGTTCCCATGAGCTCCTCATGGGCACTCAGAATTTTTTCTTTGTCCCACGCTTGTGAAAAGACGAAAAACATCTTTCTCAACCTTCACACTGCTGCTACTCATAAAAAATATTGAATATGTATTTTGTCCTGTTTCGTCGTGTGGTCGATTTCAAGTGTATGTAGACCGTAAATATTCCAAAAAGAAAGAGAAAATATAAATAAATCGGAAAATACATGTAAAGATTTGTGTAACCCCATACTAATAAAAAACAAAGCCTAGCCACGAGGGCAATGTATAGTTTTCGCCATAGCTTTCTTTGATCGAAGTGCTGCGTTCGTAATGAGATATGGGGTTGAACGGAGATCTTGTCAATACATAGGTAAATAATAAATAAAATAAATTATAGTATACCATGTACTATGTTATTTGGTGAAAAATTTCACAAACAACACCGAATGTGCGCACGCGCTTTACGAGTGCAAACGTCCGTGTGAATATATGAGTGTCTCCTGCACCCGCTGCTCAGTTGGTAAAAGCTATCACCTCTAAACACAGAGCAACAAAATAATTCCTTCATAAGACAGAAAACCACCCCAAATGGTAAGAATACTATTCGGATTCAAAGGAATCCAGCACACGAAAAACTTCCTTTAATGACGTCACAAACCGATGAACGTCCGTGAAGCTGTTGTACAGCGGCGTTGGAGCAATTCTCATGACGTCAGGTTCCCGTGTATCCACCTGGAAGAAATTAAAACCGTAATATTATGCAATAATATAGCAGTGGATACGAAAAGATTTCATGAATGTCTAAACCATTTCAATTCTTACCACAACTCCTCGTTTTTCAAGCTCTTTATGCACGGATTTTATTGGTACAGAGAATTTGACTGACAGCTGACAACCACGCTCAGCTGGGTTGACTGGCGTAATGATTGACACATGTATGTTTTTCTTGTCTTCTGCAAAACCGTTCTCCACTTTTTGCCGTTTCGTAGGTGTTTTATCATCGTCTTGTGGCACTCCAAAATGGTGTAGGAGAAGAAGCTCAAGATAAGCTGAAAGAAAACATTTCCCAGTTTAGTAAAAACTCTTGCCTATCCAGAGTATTAAGGGAAAAGTTTCTAAAGAGACTGTGGTTCTGCGTCGGCGGGAGAGTGTATAACCACTCAAAATAATTTGGTTCATCAACTGAGTTGATAATGTAAATTGGCCACCGTAAAGACCTTATAAGGCCGCAGAGCAGCTGAGAAACTCTCTACGGTGGCTAAATTCACATCATCAGCTCAGTTGACAAAACTAAATTATCCTATCTGGAGCATTACCTGAGCTTACTTTTCAAAAGTGAGTTTAAAGACAATTTTTTTCTTTTTGATATATCGGAGCATGAGCAAAGACGGGAAAATGGAAATTTGACATTATTTACTGTGTACGAAAATTAAATTACTTTTTGAATATTCGTTGTTTTACCTGACAATAAATCTGACTTTGCTCTAAGATTCTTCATGCTTGTTTTTGCAAAAATCTGGTTGAAAAGGAAAAGAGCAACACATCCCTATTAGTTTAGCTCTCCTTCTTTGTGTAACACAAGACAGCTACTGCAGCCTTCCTACACACGCAACAGATTAACGCAGTTATATGGTCTTAGGTCTGTAAGTGACTAGTGAAACAAGAGTTAGTCTCTTGATGTACAAGTTGTCATCTACCAGGTTACAAGTTTATTTTTTGTTTGTTTGTTTATGTTACGTTTTTTGCGCATGGTGAACGCAGTATTGTGTATCAGCTCAATAAATAGAAAAACACGTTCAGCTCTTCTAACAAACAGAAGTACAAAAACAAGCTTTAGAAATGACCAACAATAAGTTTGGTGGTGAACTAATACAGGTGCCTTACATTCAAACTTCCTAATAATGAGACAGTTTGCAGTAGAGGTGGATTAGATAACTGATAGGCAGCAGCTCCAGGTAGTGGCTTGAATTCTGCACCAAAAGGAAAATGGTTTACATGTAAGGATTATAACCAAAACTGGAAGCTTTTATATCCTCTTCATGTCCAAGTATATTCAGCATCAAATTTCTCTATACAGTTTCAGCACATCACGAGTTAGGGTCATGAGAATCAAGGAAATGATCTCCTAGAATAACTGCCCTGTCACTTAACAAATCCTCGCACTGTCCGTTACAGGAAAATATAAGGAGACCAGCTGAGTGAAGAAATATAAATTCTGTGCTTACCCATCCAGGCCAGGCTTACTTGACAATTGAATTATATGATTAATGAGAAGGGGTGAGAGAAAATACCCTGAGTGGCTTTTGATAGTCTACATGACTTCCAATTTGTCTTTTTCCTCTATGAAATGTGTAGCATATAGTTTCAGAATAGACTTTAAGGCATGAAGGAAAACTCAACAAAGGTTTATATTTACACAATATGTCAACTGCCGTGAAACATGCAAACGAGGCTGACAAGTGACAGCGTGAAGACTTACATCATACACCACAAAATGCAAGGAGAATATGTTTCATCAAAAGTCATTTATTACGTACAATAGGGCTTTTTTCCACATACCCCTTTAATTCTTAGCTGTTGAGCATGGACCAAAACCAATGTTATCTTTTTTAATTAAAATATATTTAATAAAATAGGAATATAATGTTACCATGGCCCATTTCAAAACGACTTGTTCTGTCATGACCCCACCAGCCAGCAAACCTACAGAACATAAGTGCTCAGTTAAAAACCAACAAGAGAACATCTAATCAACCAATGTTCTCCTGCCCTAGAACGAGTTAAACGAATGTTTATTGCTACGTGTCAGGAAATTTTTTGAAAATGGTGTTAAAGAAATCTTCCTCATGTAACCATAAGAATGATTAGTGTTATCAATTTATCATTATCCTAATCAAATACTACTTATCAATCACAACTAAATGGCACTCCTGTTAACAACTGTCAGGTCACCTTAGCAACCCAAATAATTTGGATTTATATCTTCCCATGGAGAGGGTTTGGGACAAGTGTTCAAAACTAGTTTTCTTATTTTTCATTCATCTTTATCTGCCAAGGCCAATAGCCAAAATTAATTTCTGGCTAAGCCTCCATAAAGTACAGCCATCCAAATGTAGCATGAGCCCTCATTACCATATTCCTGAGCGAAAGACAAGGGAAACTTTTTTTCAGTTACAAAATGGACTGCTCCAAGAATGAGTGGTCATTAAAATAATTCAATACACACAAAATGGTGTTTTACTTGTTCATTACATGCTTCTTTTGAAAACTTACTTGGGAAGGTCAAAGTTGTAGGCATGTTTTTCATGGACAAATGCTCCAGCAATACCTCCAGGTCCTGAATTGAGATACTTTTAAACAGCAAAATCAAGTGATCAAAATAAATTTTTATAATGACTGAGCTATTACATTACTATAAAACACACATTAATATATACATCACAAATACTTCTGCTCATCAGCTGACCAATGAGCATGTATAGATGAATGCAGGTCACCTAGTTATTCACATGTGGGTTGGCAAAATGTAAAACCAGCTCACCTTGTAAGAACACCAACAGGCAAAGTCAACATTCCAGTCATGAAGTTTCAATTCCACATTTCCAACAGCATGTGCTAGATCCCAACCAACCACACAACCCTTTTCATAGAGAGGAAATTGCAATTATGTGAATGAAAGTTTAAGTTTAGCATACCGTAAATCATTTGACAAAAAGAGCCACTATAAATAATCAATATTAATAACAATTAAAATATGCTACTTGATAAGTAAGTATACATGCACAAATTCCCTCAACCTTTGACAAATTTACTTAATAGGCTACTTTATCCCAAATTGCATCCAAAATCAAGTGATTACCTGATATACAAATAATATGGGATTGTTAGGCAATTGAACCCACATTGTTGGTGTCTTATCAAGCATTTTGTATGCACATAATACATTATGTACCACTAATAAAATAATAATGACAAGAAAAGAGTTCCTAATCTGAGGTTTTTGTAATAAAACACAGTTGTTCCCAGTTGATGACCAACTTAAATATTAATAACATTATGCAAAATTATGCACAAAAGTAGAGCAACAAATTATATCAGTCTCACCTTTTTCTGTGCAGATGCAGTAATTCTTTTTATGTCAAAAAATTGTCCAGAGTAATATTGAACACCTGAAAACCAAATTTGCATAATAAGCCTTACTCATTTCAAAGACAAAACTGAAGAAAATTAAATGACAAGACATGCAGGATTCCGCTAGAAATGTCTGGTGTTTGTATGATCTGTCGCATGCAGTTGTTTTTCCTAAATTTTAGCCAATCATGAACCATCAGGTATCATGCATATCAATATACTTACCACTGAACATAACAAGTGCTATTGAATCTCCATGTTCTTCAATTAAGGACAGAATATCATCAGTTCTGAGTAGTTCCTCACCCTAGGCAGAATTCATTATTTGACTCAAACTTAGCTTTAATAGCTTTCGTCAAACAATGTAATAGCTTCAAATTTAAATTTCATCATTATTCAGCAAATACCTAGTGACAACACCAATACATCTCAAAATTTAAACATGTTGAATTAATTTAATGCATGTCACGTACCACTCTTACACACACCAATAAAAAAAATCTGAGTTCAAATATACACACACATACTTCGCAATAAATTCATGCCAAAAATATATTTATCTTTAATGAATAATTGTGGGAAATTGTAGCAAATGCTGTTGGAAAGTGCTCAATATACACGAGTGTAGAGAAAAATACAGTTCATTGAACTGTAATCTTTAATGAACAACTTTTTAAAGGTTGGCCCAAAGATACAGCCTAAACTAGACATGTTATTGTTTGTCTGATTTACATCTCTTTTCTAACTATTATTATTTTTATCAGGAACTGTAAACACCCCTAAGTTTATTACCTCTCTTGGTGTAGCTTCCATAAGGGCTTCTGCTGGATTGTATCCATGGAAACTAATCTGTGACTGCATTGCATACTGCAAATAAAATTCTTGGGTTACAGTGTTTCATAGCTCCCTTACTCTCTCCCTAATCTTCCTTTATGCCTACCTCTCCATCTTTCTGACAATCATACCTCCATCCTTCCATTCCTGACTTTCTTTAGTTCATAGCTGTATCTCCCTCCCTTTCACTTATCCTCCTTTTCTTCCCTCAACCCTTCCTTTCATCCTTCCTGACCTTACTTCCTTCCTTCCATCCTACCTCACTCTGTTCCTGACTCTTCTTTCTATCCACCTCCCTCTCTTGCTCTCCTTTTTCCTTCCTTCTTTTCTCCCTTCTTTCCCACCCTCCTTCCTCCCTTGCATCCTCCCTCCATTGTTCATGACCTTTCTTACTTGCAACCACCCTCTCTTCCTGACCTCAACATCTTCTTCCCTTCCCTTTTTACTTGCTTGCTTCCTCCCTCCTTCCCTCCCTTACTTTCTTGGCTTCTTCCTCCCATCTTTCCTCACTCCAGTCTTGACCTTTCCTCCTAGAAATCTCCCTCTCCCCCTAACCTCAACATCTCCCTCCTTCCATTCCTTCCCTTTTCCTTCCTTTCTCCTTTCCACACTTCCTGATCTACCTTCCTTCCTGCCATCTTACCTCCCTCCATTCCTGAACCTTCTTCCTAACAACCTCTCTCTCTTCCTGACTTTCATAACTCCTGGTCTTTTACTCTGCTTGTTTCCTTTCTCCTTTCCATCCTTCCTCCCTATCTACCTACCAGCCTCCCTTCTGACCTTCCTTGCCATCTCCTTCCCTTAGCCATACATACTGGCTCACAGACATTCACACTTGCCACATAGAAATATGGTTACATAGTATTAACACATTCATATAATACTTACATGATCCGAGGGGAATGCCTTTGCCTCTATTAAAATTTTGTGTCTCTGAGGTGTTGGTCTATAAAATGGCACCAACAGAAGGTGTAGATTTACTGTCAAAGAGTTCATGATGGCAACTTCTATATCCTTAGCACCTTCAAAATAAGGTATCAATTAAGAAACTCAACATTAGCAACAGAGATTCTGGCCTCTCATTTAAACAGTCTTCCCATTTTTGTTTTATTGGCAAGATTTGAATCTATAGCTAATATATTGTAGATACTTGTCTGTTTCTTCTCTGTAACTAATGTCAATATTGTGAGCACTTTATTGCATGATTGGGGCTAATTTATTGTCAAAAAGAAGATTATATAAATAAAAAAGTCAATGAAAAAAATGAAACAAGATAACTATGTCAATTTATAAGTAATATGCAAGGAACAGCAACACACCTATAGATAAATTATTTTACCTGTTTGAATAAAAAGTTGAAGTTCATAAAATTGATTTATCTTAATTTGTTACAATCAATTATATAAAAAACAAAGCATTCCCTTTTCTATTGATTGTATAGAAACCTTACCAACTATTCTGGCACTTTCTGAAAGTACAAAGTCTTCTATTTTCCACCAAGGAAGAGCACCACAAAAATGACCATGAACTCCCCTGAAAATAGAATGAGGATGAACACATCTTCAAAAAGTGACATATTGCATTACTGTATGTTCTTACCCCCCTAAATTTCATTACACTCTTAATTATTACTAAAGAAGCTCTGGATATGTCCCTTGTTTCTTTTAGATAACAGTACTAATCAACCTCACTGACGGTTCCTTCATTCAAGCTAAGCCATGTAACAAATAAAACTTCAACTGAGAAAGAGAAATATAATTATGTACATTTTTTGCCACTTGTCCAGCTCCTGTATGACCAATGTACGCGACTCTTTGGGTTGGAGTCCCAAAGAATTTCCACAGAAGTACATGCTGTCCATCTCCATATCCACTATTGCAGGATCAACTGCATGTGCAGAAAAAGTGTAATTAATAAACTAATAGAGTTTATGTTGAATGGCATAAATAAGTTTTGGATGCAACTAAGAGTCATTTTAGCCTGAGCTGCTAGACAAGGATCAAAATGACTCAGACAAAGGCCAAAAAACATATTTATGTCCAAAAACATAAATTCTACTACTCTTTGGAGGCATTGAGGAAAAATTGGAACTGAAAAAGTGACCACAAAACATTCCAGACTAAAATGTCCCTCTATTTTAGCCTGCAAAATGCTGCACATTACCTGATAAAATGATAATAATAATTATGTTTTAACTCTACTAGACATTATAACTTGACATTAACCAAAAATAGCTGTTACTAATTAGTCTTAGTTTGGGCATCTTTGCCAAAAATTTCTATAACATGTCTTCGAGAGATTTCCCTTCCCCAACCTCTCTCTTACTCTTTAAGTAAGAAACATCCTCACAACTTTTAAAAATTTCCAAATTAAAGGCTAAAAGTTATCAACAGTTATTAAGCTCATCATTTGCCAAAATCCAATGCTACAGGACCACGCAGACTTAATTGAGATCAGAGACATTTAAGTTTTTCCCAAAGCACCATAATTAAAATCTAATTGACCTTGCTTCCTGTTTTTACTCATAAAGTATACAGTTGCCAGGTGTAAAATGAAAACAAACTTTAGAGATCATCAGAGTAATGTAAGATCTTTTGTTATACCTTTTGATGTTCCACTAATTGCTACTTATGTAACCAATGAACAACACAAATGCATGCAAACAAGTCAACCCTGTGCTTTTCCCTTTTTCTCTCTCCCTATGCTCTATTTGTCCTTGTTACATAATATATGACATCCCCCACAGATCAAATACCTTTTTTGTTTTCCAAGAGAATATACCACATGTTATTGGCCAAAACTCGCTAATTTCTTCAGGTCAACAAAACTCACAAATCCCTTAGGGTAAAAGCAACTTTTAACTCACACAAGATCCAGTCATGCACCATGAAACCGCTGAATATTTTTGTGACAGCTCGTGTGAAGAAATTAAATTCAAATATGCTTTCCAGTAGCAATTTGGCATGGATTGCACTAAGAAAAGTTTTGCAAGACATTGATTACTTCATGGTCAAAACATATCAACAAAACACTGTTCCTAATGTCACTCTAACTTTCCTTAGACACTTTTTTTCAGAAACAGGCAAACATTTAAGATTCAGTAGTACTTAAATGGGATGGGCAGATATTGGAAAACTGGGACTTAACAGTTGGAATCTCAGTGGTAATATCACTACTTGTTTGTGATCTGTTTTTACCAGAAGATTTCCAGTAAAATTTTAGAAGAAACCAAGATCTACTTTAGTTTTGCTCTTTGCAGACTAACATCCATTAGCCCTTCTTTCATATGAAAGACAAAAAAACCTGCTGCTGATTTAACTGAATTAAAAAAGAGGAAGTATCATTGTGAGAGATGTTTGTCAGCAATTAATTCTCAATTCCGAACATATTTTTTTCAGTTTGTTTCATCCTTTTTTAGACCAAGTTACTCTCTTTGAGCAGCTATTGGATAAATGTGTATCTAGTCTACGTCAGTTGTGCAGTGTGTTCATAACAATTTTCCCCCTACTTAAAGTGACACTTGTAGTTTACCAGGAGTTTTTGCTTTCTTCACTACCATTTTAAGTTTTCTGTGCTTTTTGGCCAGCAACATAGACAACTTAGCCCAAGTATGACAGATGCCTCTGTTCTATTTCAGTCAGTGTAAAACACAGACCACAGATTGCAGAGTGGGGATAAAACGCAGACTGAGGGTAAAATGTAGACGGCAGACTGCAGACTGGGGATAAAAATTAATGCAGACTGACGACCGACTGCAGACCAGGGGTAAAATGCAAACTGGGTTCTAGAACAACCCGCTTTCCCAGAAAAACTTCGAGAGTACCTTTGTTTCACACTGCAAGTTAGGCATGCAAGTTCTTTAAATTTAATGCAAATTTGTTGGGGGTTAGAGATAAGGGTCTAGTTAAAAACCTCCAAATGTCTCCTGGGCGTTTCACTTCAGTATTAACCTGAGGTAAATCTGCAGCTATCATGGCCAACTTAACCCGTGTCACACTTCTTGTTGGCTGACAGGGGATGCTCAGAAATTTAGTTTTGCTTTAACATGTTTTAATTCACTGGAAAAATGGCAGAGTCTTCCTTAAATGGAAACAAATTAAGAGCAAGTAGAAGTCTCAAGTTTTTTAGAGAAACCAGAAATTTCTATAAATTTCAACAAAAGATCCAAGTCTGCATTTTACCTCTGGTCTGCAGTCTTCATTCTGCATTTTACCCTCAGTCTGCATTTTACCCCTGTTCTGCAGTCTGTAGTCTGTGTTTTACACTGTAATTTAGTGTTAACAACTGAGTTGAAAATGTAAATTGGCCACCATAAAGAGTAAAAAAGCTGACGTTTTGAGCACTAGCCCTTTGTCAGAGCGATTGTTTTACACTGACCAGTTCTATTTTTGAGATGCGAGGTACAAAAAAAAATATGGCCAGTCTCCCAAGAAACAGTAAGCTTTATTTTCCGTCAACCCACTGTGTTCCCAATAAGCTTTGCCTTGAGAAACATTTGGGTTCTTGGGAATTAAAACTCATATTTTTCCTCTGGGCTAGCCACTAAGTAATTTTTTTTAAGCAGGAGATAACTGCAACACGTGCAACATGTGGACTGGTTTGTTGACCTCAAAAAGAAATTTGAATCTTTCTCATCATGTAACGAAATATCCCGAAATATCTCATGTCAAAGATATCAAAGATACATTATGGAGCTGAACTCCCCTCAAAAAAATCCACATTGTACAGAATTGCTGTTCAGGATCAAATGATTCTAAATTATACGAGGAATATCTGTAAGCCAGCTGTACGGCTTGCATCTACATCTTCATTTAAGGTATAATTTCCGCACAGCCCCATACTATTGTAAAACAAGTAAGTAATTTAGTGTTGACAACTGGGTTGAAAACGTAAATTAGCCACCGTAAAGGGTAAAAAAGCTGACGTTTCGAGCGTTAGCCAAAAACAAATCTATTTTCCCAATGGCAATGTATTGTTTTTGTCATTGTTTTCTTTATCCGGGAACTGAATGCATAATGTAGTGTGGGGCTTTGCGGAAATTTTAGCATATTTTCATATGTTCTAAGCTCAATTGGAATATGTGTGATTCTGTCCACAAAATGCTTTTCATGCCCTCTCTTCCGGACGCCATGAGGAGTTGTTCAATCAAGATTCTGTGTTTAATAGGCATGTTCATACTAAAAATATAGCTAGTTGTATCCCTTGAAATTTTAAATTCTTAAATCTTAAACTGGCGTCGTGATGACAAATTCACCTTACCTTGAGGGAGATCCTTCATCTTCGGATAGAAAAATTCTCCTCGAAGATTCTTCAACTCATCACTATCGTCCATCATCTCTGCGAATTTTGCATCAGTCATATCTAATTCAGCTGATTTTGCCAATCGCAGGAGCGTTCGACATGGTTCGAAGTTCAGTTGCTCGAGGCATTTCTTACCTAGTTTGTCGTAAAATGTCATTTTAAGTAATTTCGAATGTAAACACTCCGTGCTAGCATACACAACAACGAGAGACAACGTTTAAAATCAATTTAGTGCGCGGGAAATACTGGCCGTGTGACATTGGGTGCTAGAATCGCTCTTTCGTTATTCTGTAAGAACTCTTTCTGATCATGATTGGTCTTCATGCGTATTAAGTGGGTATCAACAACCAATTTCTCTCTTCCAAACGATTTAGGCTTGTTTCTCATCATTAAATACTTCCCTTAATAGAAATTGACTTAAAAAAAAGGAACTGAAAAGAGAAATACAGCAGCAAAGCTCATCACTAGGGTTAACAAATGCAGTTATTGTTAACAGAAGCAACTTAATTTTTATGACAGACAATCAAAGTATAAACTCATCATACTAACTGACTTCCCTGTACACTCAAAGAAACACAAACATTCTTTTGAATACTTTCACTTTTTTATTTTTCTTTTATTTTTTCTTGACATGATATAATTACAATATAATTTGCCTCAAAAACGTTAAAGGCTGGTCATATCATGGCAGATTTGAAGCTTAGCAGCTGGTAGTAAATGCATTGCTAAATTAGAAATGGCAACAACAGCAAATAGAAATATGCCAAAACATGAACTAAGTGTTATGCCTTTTCTTCTTCTTTATTTAACCTTATCAAATGATATGTAGGATGAAAGGTAAAAATACCTACATTGACAGTTATTCTTTTTTCAAGAATGCTGCAGTCTTGGACTGCTTGATTTCAAGCAGACATTATCTTTTCTAAGCCTGTTTTACACAAGGAAACTCTTAAGTCAAATTCTTATCCCATAACACATGTAAGCAAAATTCCTATTTTCAAATATACTTTTAACAACTGCAGAATTTGACAATAATTTCACTATTTCCAATGTATTTTTTTTTCAACCGCACGGCGATCACACTTTTTGCTCTCATAGAGAGTAACCTCAATTTACACCTACATTACATCATTGAAGACCATGTTGTTACTCAATAAGTACAGAAATCTTCTTCTGCAGTATCTCTCAGCTGAGTCATAAGGCACTTTTTGGTAGAAAAACAACATGGCAAACAATGCTTGCACAGGTATATATACATTGGGGGGTGTACAACACTCTGTCTTATTCATTCCACAATGGGAAAGTTGATTAGACATGGTCATTTTCAATAATATTGATAATACAGAAAAAGCAGTAACTTTGCCTTATCTCGTTGCCACTAAAACCTTGTCACTGCTAAGGAAAATCATTTTACACATCTAGTGAAACTAACAAAAACTGTTCCTTAACCATAACTGGTAGTACTTCTACCTCAACCAAATCAAAACTTTAGCATGCCTTTCACAAAAAGACATATTCTCAACTGTGGATGCAGAGGAAATTCAGTTTTACTTGTAAATGTAGTTTATGATTAGCAAAAGAAAATTAGGAGCTAGTGTATATTTATATCTATTTACTTGTAATGTTCATGTACTCTACAGCTGTACTCAACTACTATAGTGGTTAAAATTCAGTGTTTGGAGAGTCCATTCCCCATATCACACAAAATATTAGCTAAGACTGTCACATTGGCACTTGGGTTATCATTAATAGCCTTTCTCATAGCAGCTTCTGGCACAGATTCCCCAAATATGCCAACCAATCTCTCAAGTTTTAAATTCAATGTCTCCTGGTCTCTCTCAGGATGGTAAAATCTGCATTTAAGACCATAAGTACACTTCTTCAAATAAGGGCAAATTCGAGGGTGAGTAGCAGAGCCCTTTCGAAGAAAGTCCTCAAGATTGGGTCCATGTTTGCCCAGTGGGTCATCGGGAACCATAAACTTGTCCCCAACAAAAGAGTACATCAGTAATCTTTGTTCGATTGTCTCTCTCCATTTTGGATTTTCATTTGTCAAGTCTCTAAAGTTATCATTTGAGACAACCACACCATCTGTCTCTGCTGCAAGTTTGATGATAAAGCGGTCATCATAACAAACAATTCTTCTGCCATTCACTTTCCTGGATGGAGTGAAAACTAGGATACCATCACGCTCAAGACTGTACAGAATATCCTGATCTGTAATGGGTTTGTCCGGACGTGAGGCTTCCTTCCGCCATAATGGCACAAAAACTGTGATTTCTTTGTGTCCCCTTGCTCTAAACCACTCAACACACAGTTGAATGCCTCTACAGGAAAAGATATCTTGTCTTCCATGACTGTGCAAAAGAAAGGAAAAAAATTTCAATTTTTTGTATAGAAAACAGAACAGAGAAAGATGAAAGTCTACTTTATTATTATGTACTTTAGTGATAGGTTTAATTTGATCTGGTATATAATCATTTGAGGAGGATGTTCTGGCTATTTATAACAACTAAATTCCAGCATATTTGCATATGCAAGATGACAAAGAAACCCATTGTAAGATCAACAGGAACAGGAACTTGTCTATCAGCTCATTTTATTTCTTTTACTTGTCCATTTTTTTATATTTGAGTAACAAATTCACATTCAAATGACAGACTCAAAAATTAATCTTCAAAAATGCACTAAGTAGTCTCTTCAAAAAATAGTTTCAGAAAAACTGTGTTGGTTCGAAACCAATATGTCGTGTAAGGGATGTTGCTCAACAAAGGAAGTTACTCAACCACAAGGATAATATTACACATTTGACCTTGTTTAAGCTCTGAAACAACTGCTCATGCTCAGAGTATATTCAAATTAGCTTCCTGTTCACAGATCTCATTTCAACAAAACAAAACTCTCTTGTTTCAGCATGTCACATTTTTTCTCCCACTAAAACAAAGTCCAATAATTTCGCAATTCCGCCACATTTTTCAGTCTAGTAAATCCCTAAACCTTGATCATGACCTATTCTAATCGCAAAGATTTTCAAATGTTGCTAACTGCTTTAATCAAATCTCTTAATCAAAGAAAATTTGTATTGATGGATATATGAAAACCTACATTAAAATAAAAAGTCCTTCCAAACTGAGCAGAAGTTACTCACCTCATAGCAACATTGCTCCCATCAATAACCACTGGTCTTAAGTTTGAAGACGAATTCCCCGAAACTTTCTTAGCACCAAGTATTTGTTGATACATCAGTTGTTCTTGTTCGTCAAGTCTGTCACTAGCACTGCTGCTTGCTTCTCTGTGGTTCTCATATGGAGATGGTCCAGGGTTACTGTAGGGCTGAACCTGCATTAAAGGGGGAACAGAAGGCCCTGCTCCTCTAGCAATGATATCAGGAGGACGTTCGAGAACTCTTTTTGTTCCTCTCGGAATAGCTTCGGGATAAAGTTCATGGTTTGGCCTAGGCATCGCAGAAGCTCCTTTTGCCATCAAATCTCTTTCCCAGCTGTGTTGAACACTAGGTACTGCAGCTCTGGGGTTCTCATAGCCAGCCCTTAACACATGAGCAGAGGTGTTTGGCGCTCCCCTGGCCACAACTTCTCTCCTAACAGGGTAAGGACCCATTGCTGAAGTAGGTTTGGGTTGTGCAGAAGCAGAAATTTGATAAGGCAACGATGCAGTTGTTTTCAGAAGTTCGTTCAAAAGCGTGTTCTGACTTACATCAGGTCCTAGCTTTTGGACCGCCTGGTCTATGACTTGGTTAGAATAGCCCAGCTTTCGTGCAAATTCCCTCAATTGAGGTTCGATGGCGGGCACGCTTAGCGGATGCGAAGTTGGAGGTGTACGCAACTTGTCTTCAATCGCCGACTGCGCCATCGTAACCGACACTGCACTGCCTTGAAGATGACAACTGTTTCGTGAAGTAAACTTTACCACAGCACTTGTAGTTTTTTCAAGTTCATCAAGTGATTTAAACAGAATTTCGTAGAAGCGCTCGCTGAACGGAACTTCTAACTCCAGCTCAGGATTACAAAGGGACTTAACATATTCCTAGAAAGGAAAGAGATTCCATGTAAGCTTCCAAAAGCGAGGCCCACAATAAACACACGCTCACAATGTTTTCTTTTTTTTTTGCGCTTTTCTTTGAAAGAATGTAATTATAATTTTATTCAGAAAACCCGAAGGAAAGCAGCTGGGAAATTAACTTCGTCTCTTTGATTGTCAGAGATTCGCATTTCAACCGTTGAGCACTTTGGGCTAGAAGCATACTTTCTATCGAAATAAAATATGTTTCCAGCAGAAGAAGACAGAATAAGAGTTCCAAAATTAAAGCTTTTAAGAGGACAACCGCACGTAAACTCGCCGTTAAGCTTTTCATTTCAATGCGGAAGTTTTAAAAAGCCTTGTGACCTTCTCGTTGCATTTCGCAAGAAGGAATTTTTTCTCTCGAAGATACGCGCTATAAACGACACAAACACAAGCTGCAATTCCTACTAACCTTTGCCTTATCCACATTGTCCTTCTCTCCTTTTAAAGCTAGCCACTGAGTTCCACTTTTAGCAGCGCTTTCCTCGGGCGAGCTGAATTGAACATCCACACTGAAGAGGAGCATAATTCGCTGAAACAAGCTGGCAACGAGGGAACGCTTTCCATGGCCAACACAAATTTCTTCGATAATATCGTTGTCCGCCATGTTCAATCGAAGGAAACTTTCCAGAAAATGATAACAGTGAAGATTAAAGTTCTTCTATAAGCGCCACAACAACGCCATAAGCGAAAACCTCGAATATCTACAAAGGAAGTTGAGGGCGGATTTGATCAGTCTTATAAATAATACTCTTTGTAGAAACGACAGGATTGGAGAATAGTGCTATGACGTCATGTCTTTCATAACAAGCAAGTATCTTAAGACTTCCTTTAGGGAGGGGTAAGGAGTACGTTGTTCAAAACAACGAAAAATTCACGGCAAGGCAATTTTCTTCCTCTGTAACTCTGTAACTCTGTAACTCTGTAAATTTACTACAGAAAACACGATCAATTTGAATTTTATAACATAAAGATACCAAAATACCTTGTAAACATGTCTAAAATATTCCCCCCATACTCCCCTCCCTAACGTTCCGTTTGGAGGGTTTGTCATAAAACACGTAAGGAATATAAAGTCATGCAAGATAAATAGACTTCCTAGAAACTGGTTCAAAACATAAAAACTGACCAAGAAAGCCATAGCGTAACACATCTTTTGGTTTCAATGGCTGTTAATCAAGACCACCTATTAAAATAATTTATGACACGAGATAAAACGTGGTAAAATTTCCTGACTATGAAAACATCTGTTTAAGACAAAACCTATATTTATTCCGTGCACGTCTGTACTTTTTATCCTTGTCATCCAAACTAACTACAAAGCGTAAATCAAGTTATCGAAAAGCGCAGTTTGTCTATAAATGCAAGTATTTTATTGCGGAAAGTGGATCAGTGCACGAACTATCTTTGCCGCCGTCACGGCTGTCGGTCGTGCTGAAAAGGGGTGACTAGGGCATCAAAGTGCGTCAGATGATACCTAATCAACAACTCTAGAAATTTCTCTCTAAAAAAGTGATTTTTTAAGGAAGACTTTGAAAGGAAAGTACAACAAAACGCGAGAGCGGACGAGGAACGCTGTTTCGAGAGGGACTTCAGTTTTCCATTCCAGTTGCGGAAAATATCTAAAATGAGAAGTGTTTAGCTTAGACTTCCGCTTTAAAAACGAAAATGCAGAGTTCTTTAATTCGGTTGCTAAACTGTACCAGTATTTTACCAAGAAACTGAAAGGACATGAAATAATATCGTCATCGCTAGTTTTTTTGACTGTTTTCTTATTTGTTCGAGAAATTACTGGAGTAATGTTATGCCCTCTTACTACTATTGTTGCTTAATTTGACTTACATGAGTTAAATTATCACGTAAAATACATTCATAATGACAAACCTTGTATGGGAGTAGAAATGAATAGAGATTATGGATAAAGGCGCTGAGATTGTGGATTAAGCATTTCCCTTGAATACGTTATTAGAAAATTGTGAGCTCTTTCCGTCCATAATTGTATGCAAACAAGACACTAAAACAAAACAGATCTTAAAATATCCTTTCCCCTCCAAATGTAAGAGGCCTCGAGGCATGTATCAAGAAAATTTCGTGCATAAAAGGTTTCCTTGCCGATTCACGGGTTTGAATCCGGGAGTCCCAAAAAGAAATTTCGGGAAAGACACGTATTCAAGATTTACTTACCTTTCTAGAATCTTTTTTGCCGTACAGTGGTCCCAAGGTTCGTCTAACAGCCAAAGAATGTCTCTCAACTGCGTGAAGTGAGACAAACAGGAAGAACATATTATAAATTGCACCATCTGTAATCTGATTGGCTAAATCTCTAACGGCCGCGCGAACGTGACGTTCGTGACGCAAAGCAGGATGAACCGTTTTGTGGTTTGATTGGTCAAATTCTGACACAGAGCATTGGAAGATGCGACTGTTAGTTTTCGTCACGTCCATTACACTAAGTTCTGATTTTACGCGATCATTTCTATAGAGAAGTTTATTTTACACTTCGTCCCTATTGAGCTTGCTTCCCCCCTTAGTAAAAACTACATTCGGCTATGATTCAGTTCTTTTCATTTGGGAGGTCAATCCAACGCGCGTCAGTTATTGATAGTTTTGCACTCATTCACTAAACACAATCAATTTTCCGTGAAACGTCGAACAGGAATGGTGAAGCAGCACACGCAATGTAAATCAACTTACATAAATTGTACGTTTTCCGAGAAAAATATGGTGGAATGGAAATAATTTGTCGCTGGTTTCCAAGCCTAGTAGATTGAATATCAATAAAACACAATGATGGTAGGCATTACTTACAATAGGCCTACGCAGTAGTCCGACTTGAAAAGGCGGCAGGGTGTAGTGATTTCGCTGTCATATTTAGATTTACCTCCCATAGGAAACTGTGACCGTGTAGGTTCGTGTATTGTCAGTAGATGAATTTTTAGAATATATACAACATTTACGGTCTGAAGGACAGGAAGTAAGTATTGATAGAGCTAGACTCGTTGATTAAAATTCTCCGGGTTTGCTGATTCCCTTGGGCTGACTCATTACGAATTCAAGTCAATTCTACGTTTTCAAAGAATTCTTATTTCGAGCGTTTTTCGTCGTTTTCTTGAAGAAGACTGAAACCGTGGGTTGCAAGACAACGGGAAATGATAACGGTGGAGCGAAGGGAGGATGGAAGGGTTTTAAAAAGGAAGAGGAAGACAACTCAAGAACCAGAATTTCGAATTTTATCCGCTAGAACTGTGGAGGATATGCAACACTGCGTAACAGTACAACGGGAAGCACGAGTTTCAGTCACCAGTTCCTGTGGAATAAATTTTTTTTTTCTGTAGAAAATTGTTATCTCGTGAGTGATGCAATTAATTAAATTAGCATTGTTCCATTCGGGTGGATTCAAACCTCAGCCAGTTCCGACTTCAAAGCCTTTCAACCTGCAATCATTTTTTTAGCGATCAGAACCATGATAGCGGTTCATAGGTTACAAGCAAACTGCGAGTTGTCCTTTTTTAACCGTTTGCATTTTTGATTCGTGCTTTTAACGCGTGGGTGGTTTCTATTTCACTCAACCCTCCTCTGCACGAATCTTAAACTTACTTCTTATCAGTGGCCTTGGCTAGTTGTTTGAGATGCTTGGCTCCGAGGTTGTACGATTGCCCGATTCCTTACAGTGAGCGAAATGTTTAGCTCCTTCAGAATGGTTGAAATACAAATCATTATTCCATTTTCTAGAGAGCGCGATCAAGTTTAAATAGTGTTCGAATAACTCTTTATTAGGAAAAGAATCATTATCATTCTTTTGAAAGGTATGACACATGATTACAGCAAAAGAAAGAGAAAATCACAAGCGTCAAGTTCTAAGATGTCTTAACACCATTCCTATTAAACATTCATCCGTATGGGTCGGCTTTAAAAAAAATTTTCTTGACACGGCCATGAAAGAGGGAGAAAAGTTTTTCTCTAGATCGAAAGCGGTGAAGTTCCCTTGAAGGAACTCGCTCAACCACAAGGAATAATCTTTTGACGACCCTAGGCCTGTTCAAGCTTCACATTAATTGCACATGTTCAGAGCATAGAAAATATTAACTTCCTGTTCGTCAAAACTAACTGAGTCAGCTCCCAATGACTGAAACCTTACGCTTACTCGAACCAATATCGATTTTCCACCGCGCATTAACTTCAATTTCAACGTCGGTTTCTCAAATCATTGATGACTCGAACTTCCGCCGGATTTCGTTTCCCTCGTTAAGGTCATTTTTTTTTTTTCATAAAACTCTACTATCGAAAAGTCGAACCAAGTTTGTCACAACGACGGAATGACAAATTTAGAGTGCTGCTGTCTAACTCCTTGATTTAATTCAAACAATCGTGTATCCTATCTTTTTGTTTCCCTGGTATTACACGAAGAGATATTTACTGAATTATTTAGTTATTATTTTAGTGATTTGTGTATATTTAGTTTTAGTTAAGACTCATTGAATTTGAAGTCCGAAGATATTAATTTTGGGTATATATACTATCGCCTAGAGTTTCCTAATTGTAACTGTCTTGTCTAACTTCCAGAAGAGAATAAGGTTAGTTCCTTTAACCCACACTTTAGTTCTTGCGTGTTTTGGCCTTATCAGACAAATATTGATTGTTTACTGAATCGGAAGCATTGAAAATGCTGTTGTTCATTTGTGAGATTCTTGTAAAAGTTTTGTGGTTGGTGTTCTAACAACAAATGTTTAATCTTCCAAAATGAAGTGGCCTGCGTTCCCACCAATGGTGAATGTAAAAGCGGGTACTGTGGATTTCGCATTAAGAGAGTGTAACCGATGAGAGTTGCTCAGAGTTTGTAAGAATCAATTAGAGTCGATCAATCAGTCGGAGAACAAAGATTTAAGAAGACTGAAAAGGGTAGGTCAAGAGTCCTTACCAGTCTTTCGCTAGGCCTAGTATAAGTTCAGCAGCTAGTTTCCCCTGTCATTGCGACGATTTTAAATAGCAATTTATTCAAATTTCATTAATTTATTAATAAACTCTTTCAATTTTTTATCCTCATTCTTTAATCCTGATTTTTTTTGCCACAGTTGCGTGCAAACATTTCCTCCACTTAACGCCTCCGTGAGAGCACATTCCTGTAAACTTTCTGAGAATAAAGGCGAAATGTGTCACAACATAATTACAAGTCGATATGTTTATGGTGACCAATCAATGTTGGAATTTGGTGAAAGGGAAACTGGGAACTCTCATAGCTTTCTCAAACTGATTGAAATCACGCCAAAATACACGGCTCGTAATGAGAGACTTGTTCTGTCACTACCACTTCCCACAGGGTGGTAAATCTTTAAAGTAACCTGAAAAACGTCGGATTTGACGTAGCTTGTGAGGATATTTGTATTAAGTCGTTTGCAAAAGAGAAATCGATTTAATCAGAGATGCACCGGCCTAAGTATTCGACAACGACATGATAGAATACTCAAGCTCCAAGTTTGATTCTGCAATGGTGGCTTTGCTCCTGAGTGCTTCTAATGGTACGATCTCCCTGGAAGTTGTAACACCAGCATCACCAAATCCTTTACTTGAACAAGTTACCCTCATCATTTACTCATATCCTTTTGAGAACTAATGAACGCTCTGGCTTTCACGAGGTCCTTGTGCTGTGTGCATGTCTATGCGGTGCCTCTGTCCTCTCAGGTGTATAAATGGATACCAGCGATTTGTCAGAGAAATTAGCCGAAGTTCAAAGGAAGGAAGGGGAGAGGTTACCCTTGATGGAGTAGAATCGCAGCTTGGAAACAGTTCTTAATTTCGATAAAAATTGGAACGCTCCAGCAGCATATGAGCCCAATGGCTTGTGTGAGGGCCGAAACAGACTATCCAGACAACACCTACACAAGTGAGTGATCGAACATGGGCGACCCATTTTTGTAGCCATATCAATAGCTTGAAGGAATGCAAAATATTCCATATTTTTCACTTTTACAACCTGAAATGATTTTGGAATTATAAATTCGTTTTCTTAAATATTAAATGCCGAAACCAGAGAGATAAGTTGCCTTTCCCGCCAGCATGCGTTTGACATCGGAACAGTACAGTTTCCCGGCTCAACGTATACGTCACACTATTGTTTTCATTATTTTCTTATTTCCGGTTGCGATGAAAACTCTGTTGTGACTTATACTGTGTCTTCTACACCAAGAAAGAGCCAGTTTTTCCCACCCTCAAAATTCTGGTTGGTAAATTCAAATTTCAAGAGCGCCAGCCGTCAGCAAGGACGACAGCTTTCAACTCTAGAGGGCTTCTTAACTTATGTGATAAGTTGGCTGCCACAAGGAATTATGTGTCGAGCCTGTTTTATAAACAAAATAGCTACACTTTGGTGAGACCCACGACGAAAAGTACCATATCAACTGAACTGGATAGGCATTTTAAAAAGTTGAATTAAAATTTTAAAAGTTAAATTCACCGATTGATAAACGCTTACATTAACGAGCCTCAAGGTTTTTTTGCGCATAGTTTGGTTTCTCTTCAATGAAAGCGAGAGTTAATTTGCTCAACAACCAGATGTTACCTATCGTGGGCATTATAAGAAGAGCTCTCTTCCTTAAATGCCCTTCAGTCCGGGGTGTGATTAAAAAGACGCTATTTTTCAGGCTTAAAATTAAGCCTCGTTTTCCGGACTCTTCTTTATTACTTTTCAAAAATAAATCCTTCAGTATGAAGACAAATTAGAGTACGGACTGATGTGAACGACTGATGTGAACATGTCACCTTTTGCCTTATCCTTTCGCTGAGTATGATGGAAAACTGCATAAAGAGTAAAACTTTGATAAACTTGAAGTTCGCTTTGGCGAGCTTTACATGTAATAGATCATTTTCTCCTTGAACAAGAGATATTCTGGCAATGACATCTGCGAAGCAGACAGAATTTTCAGTAGCCTTAGTTGAGGCAAAAGTTAACTTTCTTTGTTTGCTCAGAGTCCTTATACTATTCATTGTTTACATCGAGTTCACATTGTGCAAAAGACGACTGGTCGACAGTTATGGGAGTAGCTAATTGCCATTGGTCTTGAGAGCGAGGTCCTGTCCGAATTGAATCCTGGGACCGCTGGAATTAAATTCGACGATTGTGCGCATTATACTTAAACATAAATGGTACACTAGCCACGAACCACGACCCAGAACCCACTAAAAAACCAGCTGCTTCTGAATAACTCTGCGAAGTCTGTTTTTTTCATCCGAATGCGTCTTTGTGATAGCGATAATTTCGAAGTTTTGTTTGAATATGCATTAACTTTTAAGGATGCGAACTTGTTTAACAGAGACGGAACAGTATGGTGGCCCTGGAGGACCATTTTTGTGTGGCTTAACAACAACTAAGCACTTTATTACCAAAATAGAGAAACTATGGACTACAGAAAAAGGATAATTGGTACAGATAATTGTGGCTTACCAGCAACACTAAGTCTAATAGTTTAATAGTGCCCACAACACCAAGAAACACCTCATTCACAAGATGATGCATTAATTTGTAGCCCTACTTTCTACAAAAAGATGAGAGATCTGACTTAACATTATTTCAATAATTACTTTCTAGTCTTTTGTGACCAGTGCTGACGAGTGTCTGAACTTTCTACTGTAAAAAAAAAGTTTTGCCAATTTAGGGGTAAAACAGCAAACTGGCCCAGAAGTAGGTAATTTAGTGTTAACAACTGGGTTGAAAACGTAAATTAGCCACCATAAAGGGTAAAAAAGCTGACGTTTCGAGCGTTAGCCCTTCGTCAGAGCGATTAGAGGAATTGTGGGTTGTGTGTGGATAATCGCTCTGACGAAGGGCTAACGCTCGAAACGTCAGCTTTTTTACCCTTTACGGTGGCTAATTTACGTTTTCAACCCAGTTGTTAACACTAAATTACCTGCTATACTCTCTCACCGACGCAGCACCACAGTTTCTTTAGAAACTTACCCCTTTATTCATTGGCCCAGAAGTAATTAAGTAAAATGTTACTAAAATGAGAAAAAGTTGCACAAAATATGGAAGACAGCGCAGTTTTGCCAATCTTGTGTTAAGAAGCACAAATGGCCCAAAACTTTTGTCGTTTTTTTCTGGTTCAGAAATAATGCTTTTATGGTGATGGCTTGCCTTTGGCAGAATCAACAGTTTTTTACTGAAGAAGATCCAACCTACATTTGTTATGTTTATATCATTTACTAGAAGTTTTTAAGTAGTAACCGGAACTTACTGTTTGTCTATTACGCTTTCATTAACATGTCTACTAAAAAAACTAAAATCCAAGGATTTTCACACGAGGGAAACATCGGGCACTAACCATCACAATACACAGATAATCAGTGTTCCTTCTTTGGTGTTGTTTCCTTAAGCCTCAGATTGGAAAGTCTACCGTTCTCGCCACCGGGAAGACTCGCCACTGGGAAGACTCGCCCCATGGCAATTTTGCCACCATCAAGTCTTCCTGGTGGCAAGGTGTCTGAATTCCGATTGGGCTCGTATTGCACCACAACGAAGATAATGCAACACTTGGGCCAGGCGAGGACTCTAGGGTAAACACCCAAGTTTTGAGCTCGTAGGAAGACTATGAGGGTCGTCATGTAGTAAAAGCCGAACCCAATGAACACGTGCCATAGAGTGTGTCCAAAGATGACAATGGCGACACTGTGGTTACCATGTTGCACACATACCACCTCATCAAGGATCCAGAAGAGGTACGCCAGTATAACTGAGATGATGGTTTTCCATACTAGATTGAACATTGCTTGTCGCCTCGGGTGTCCTGGCGTTCCTAAGTGGTCCCGTAGGCACCAAATGATCATCAATCCGATTAGAGCAAAAATCCAAATCCCATCAAATGTGATCCAAGAGATCCAAGACTGCTCTAAAGTAATTCCCAAAACATGAGCAAAGAATGGGTAAATAGAGAAGAACATGATCAGCAAGTAGGAGGATATCTTGTAACATAAGTGTTCTTCTTCGGGGATGCAACTCATGTAAACAATGTTGATGGCCTGGAGGAAGTTAAGTTGGACATCAAGGACTCGGTAGAAGCCCTCCCACAAATTCCAATGGAAGCAGAAACTGGATATGCCATAGCCGAACATAGCAGAGTACAGAAACTTGCCTCCTTCGGTTATTCTCGTGGACAGCAACATACCAGAGAGACCAAGGGCAGCGACGAACAAGCATGCAAACATTGGCGGCGGTTCTTTTACAGGACCCTTCGGTGCAAACACGCTTGACCAACATGTTCCAAGGTGAGGTTTTGTAAAAGTCTGATTGTTGCCCATTTTCTAGGGAGACAATGTTTAGAAGTTTATTATGTGGGGTAAACGTTACCATATAATCGTTGGAAGGTCCATTTTTAGGCTTGGGTAATGTTATTATTCAAGTTTTCCAAGTTTTAACGAGACAGGCTTTTTCTGATAGTATTTCTAATAGAAAATATAGGAAGCATGAAGAACACTCCCAATACAATCAACACGATCGTAGTTGTCTCAGTTATCGCAACCCAACTCCCACTTCCACCCCAGACTACGGCATTGACCACACATGCCATGTCCGTAAGTGGAATGGGAACTAATAATTTCGGGTCATGCATTTAGAGCGAAAAACGTACTGCGCAACTTTCTGCCTATTCCAACTTATAGGCCGAGGCAACTCCTGCCTCAATGAGGATGGCGAACTGTAATATATATATATATATATATATATGCTTTATTAAATTCTCCTATTGAGGCTTTTCAGAACTTTATTTCAATGTAAAAAATTATATTGGAAGAATAATAATTTATAGTAATATTTCAATGCATATAATAGTTATATTTAAAAACTATATAAGTACTCCTAAAAAACACTCACAAAAACTAGTTTAAATCTTAGAAAAGAGTGAATACATCTAACGCTCTCGGGCAGATTGTTCCATACTGTAACTGCTCTATACAAGAAACTGCGCCGACCTGCAGATGAACAGTACTTCGGAATCTGCAACAGATTCTTAATTCTGTTGTTGCGGCCGTGGATGTCTGATCTTAAGATAAACCTGTCACTCAAGTACGATGGAGCTAGACCTTTGAGGCACTTAGAAGCCATAGCAGCATCTCTTAATCTTAGCATCTGAAGCGCTGAGAGCCAGTATATCTGTTTCAAAGCTGGCGTTATATGATCGTGTTTCTTAGTGTTATAACACGTGCAGCAAAGTTTCCTCTAACATGAGCCTGGCACTAAATACGTTTATCCGCTCTAAAAGACGTGCGCATGACGTAAAAAGGCTGTGACAAGAACCTCGGTTCTTAGAAAAGGGCTTTTTTTCTGTTGTCTTTTTTTCTATGAAACGCCATCTGAAATTCTTTGTTAATATTTGAGACAAGATGTCTTGCATAATTTCGCTTAAACTTTAGGAACTTTAAGACACGAAAGCCTCTTACGCGCGATTTTCGCTATTCAGAATAGCGGTACACAGTTTCTGACTTCATTTGGAATTCATGAGTCGGAAGATAGATTTGATTTGATCTATCAACGCCTTGCAAAATTTGATAAGCAAAAGTCCATTGTTTAATGGACTCGTTGGTTAAGTCAGAATTAAAATTGACTTCGTGAGCGTCGCACAACGAAATATACTTCCATATCGAGATTTAATTTGATCTATCAACGCTTTGCACAAGTAGGTAAATCTTCCCAACTTTATTTTGTAAGCACAAACGGAATGTTACGCGTACACTAACCATATTTGTAGAGATTGGTATAATGACTCATGACCCATGGTGGCTAAGCCAAGGACCGAGAACTCTTTATTTGCATTATGGAAGGATCCAGATTTTAATAATGATTAAAAGTCTTTGTATAAACGACGGGATTGGAGAATAGCAATATGAAGTCTTGTTATTTCACAACAAACAAATTTCTTAAGACTTCCTTTAGGGAGGGGTAAGGAGTGCCTTGTGCAAAACCAATATTTTTAGGACAAATTTACGGCAAAACCATTTCCACCGTGGTAAATATACAACAGAAAACGCGATCAATTTAAATCTACAACAAAAATATACTAAAATATTTGGTATCCACGTCTTAAATATTCCCTCCATACTACCCCCTCTAACGTTCCGTTTGACTGAGATAAATAGACTCCCTAGAAACTGGTTCAAAACGTATAAACTGACCAAGAAAGCTGTGGCGTATCACTTCTTTTGGTTTCAATGGCTGCTAATCGAGACCGCCCATTAAAATAATTATTACACGAGATAAAACGTGGTAAAATTTCCTGACTGAAAAGACATCTGTTAAGGACTCCTAGTTTTCGTCACGTCCATTACACTAAGTTCAGACGTTTACACGATCATTTGTTGATAAAAGTTTATTTATCACTTCATCCCTGTTGAGCTTGTTTCCTCCCCAAGTAAAAACTGCACTCAGCCATAATTCGGTTTTTTTCATTTGGAAAGTCAATCGAACGCGCGTATTTATTGATAGTTTTGCACTCATTCACTTAACACATCAAGAAACGTCGAACAGAAATGGTGAAGTGGTACACGCAATGTAAATGTGCTTACGTAAATCGTGCCCTTTGCGAGAAAAGTATGATGAGATTGAAATAATTTGTCGCTGGTTTCCAAGTCTAATAGATTGAATATGAATAAAACGCAATGATGATAGGCATTACTTACAATAGGCCTACGCAGTAGTTCGACTTGAAAAGGCGGCAGGGTGTAATGACCCCGCTGTCATATTTAGATTTACCTCTGCTAGGAAACTGTGACCGTGTAGGTTTGTGTATTGTCAGTAGATGAATTTTCAGAATATTTCTCAACATTTACTGTCTGAAGGACAGGAATTAAACCCAGTCTAGTATTGATATTGATAGAGCAAGACTCGTTGATTAAAATTTTCCGGGTTTGCTGATTCCCTTAGACTGACTCATTACGAATTCAAGTCAATGCTACAGTTTCAAATTCTTATTTTGAGCGTTTTTCGTCGTTTACTCGAAGAGGACTGAAATCGTGGGTGGCAAGACAAAGTGAAAAGATAACGGCGGAGCGAAGGGAGGATGGAAGGGTTTTAAAAAGGAAAGGAAGACAACAAGAACCAGAATTTCGAATTTTATCCGCTAGAACTGTGGAGGATATGCAACACTGCGTAGCCCAACAGTACAATGGAAAGCACGAGTTTCAGTCATCAGTTCCTGCGAAATAGCATCTCTTTTCTTTAAGAAATCGTTATCACGTAAGTGAGGCAATGAATTAAATTAGCACTGTTCCATTCGGGTGGATTCAAACCTCAGCCAGTTCCGACTTCAAAGCCTTCCAACCAGCAATCATTTTTTTAGCGAGCAGAACCATGATAGTGGTTCATAGGTTACAAGCAAACTGCGAGTTGTCCTTTTTTGATTCGTGCTTTTAACACGTGGGTGGTTTCTATTTCACTCAATCCTCCTCTGCACGGATCGATTTACTTACCTTTCTAGAATCTTTTTTGCCGCACAGTGGTCCCAAGGTTCGTTTAACGACCAAAAAATGTTTCTCGACTGCATGGAGTGAGACAAACAGGAAGAACATAGTTTAAATTGTACCGTCTGTAATCGGATTGGCTGAATCTATAACGGTTGCGTGAACGTGACACTTAGAGGGATGAACCGCTCTGTGATTTGATTGGTCAAATTGTGACACAGGGCAGTGGAAGATGCGTTTGCTAATTTTCGTCACGTCCATTACACTAAGTTCTGATGTTTCCGCGATCATTTCTAAAGAGAAGTTTATTTTACACTTCATCCCTCTTGAGCTTGCTACTCCCCCACAGTAAAAACTGCATTCAGCTATAATTCGGTTCCTTAATTATAATTTGGTTTCGATTTCACTCAACCCTCCTGTGCACTGATCTTAACCTCACTTCTTATGGCCAATGGCTGGTTGTTTGAGATGCTCGGCACCGTGGCTGTACGACTGCCCGATTCCTTACAGGAGCGTGAGCAAAGATCAAAAAAACAATCAAAATTTAAGAATTTGTTCATGCTTAGCGTGGGTATATCGAGTTATGGATGCACGCGGGAAGTTTGGAGAGCACGAAAAACGCGTAAGAGTAGCTCGAGGCGCAGCCGAGAGCAACTCTAGCTTTTTGAGTGCTCTCCAAACTTCCCAAGTGCATCCATAACTCGATATACGCACAGCTAGAAGCATGAGCAAATTCTTTTATAACAGAGTGACAACAAGGATCTGCGCGAAGAAGCCTTTTATTGCGATAGAGACCAAAATTCTCACAACGCACAAAAAAAGTAAACTAACGTCCATTTAACCGATAACAGTGAATGAAAAGCAGAAAATCTACGGGGAAAATGGAGAAAATCAAAGCCAAATGAACTCAAATGACACTAAAAAATGTTTTAAAAGTCAAAGACCCGAAGTTATCAAGGGTTTTGATTGTTCAAAATAATGTTTACGCTGCCGTGCACGGTACAATTGGAGAAGACAGACTGCAGGAAACTTGCAGTTTTCTCCTGGGCAACCACCACACTGTTATTTGACGAACAGTTAAGGCTGCAGCAGAAGACTCAGATTGGCTGCGAACACTGTATTGCTCACGTCATCTTATTTACGCACGGGCGTGCGTAAATAAAGATTTTGTTCATGGCGGCTCAATGGGACTTATATAGGGCAAGCACGCGCGCCATGTTATAGGAGTTATTAATCAAAATCAGTGTTCTAACAACAAATGTTTAATCTTTTAAGATGACTCGAGCAACATGCCCACCATGCTACCAATAGTGAATATAAAGGTGGGTACTGTGAAGAAAGAATCAATCAGTGCCTTTTTTGTTATAAACAAGTCGGTGAGTAACTGAACTTACTGAAGCAGGACGTCTTTGGCTCGTGACAAGACGAAAAAACATCCTTCTCAAATCCTCACCGAGCTCAAAACTTACCATCCCTACTATTTCCATCAAAACCCATACATGCTTGAAGAATTTTAATTGTGCTAACATGAAAGGCTTCTCACTGAATACGTTGCGCAAATGGCTACTTAAAATAAAATCATAAAAGATGACCCAAATGAATTCAAATCTCAGCCTAAAGATTTTTCAAAGCTCACTAAGCTATATGATAATGTTTCCATTCTAGCCTGGTCCATGGAGAAATTCGTATTTCTCTTTGTTCTGCGCCTACGCGTGAGACACAGCCGGTAGAGTTGAAGATCAACCACGGAACTCAAGGATTCAAGAATTTTATTGCACTCTATCCGATCTGATCGAACATATATCTATATGTACACAGTCAACTGAAATTATAAAAATTATAGGAAAAAAAGTTACAGTAGCATACGTTTGCGAACGCGAGGGCGCAAAACGATAATACTTACAATTTGTATCTATCAGTCCTTCAGTTCCCGGTTAATTACAGTTCAAACGTCACTTCTTCAAACAATCGTGGCTCTGATCTCTCCCTCTGCTCGTTACAATATCTTTTGGCGACCTTTTCATATAACGTTTACGCAATGGAGGCATATACTTTCACGAAACTATGTAAATAATTTTGCGCGAAATACCAAACACAGTATTCACAAATATAATGTTTCATGACAATGTTTATGAAAACGCGGACTAATTAGTTTTAAAATTATTCCTTCAGTGTATCCTCAAAGGGATAAGCCTAGTAGTTGTAAATAGTCTGCGTGAAATGTAGACTACCCTTGAACTACGGTTCAAATATCCTCCTGGACATCCTATAAGTAAAAAAATAAAACAAGCCGGTTGTCAGCTTATGTATCAAATAAAGGAAAAGAGAATGTTCCTTATTTATTTCCTTTTACTAAATAAACGATACTAAGCTCTACTGGTCATGAATGCTTTTATTATCAGTAAATTGTATAATTTTTTATTTTGGCAAATGTGAAACAGAGAGACGGGAGCTTGCAATCTTGGTCACAGTTAGTAAACCAATCTTGGAGCTTGCACCAAGATTGGTAACTTTCTTTTAATATTGATCCTTGTTAGAATACCAACTGTTTATTAATGTCCTACGTGTAGTTTTCTCTTCGGTCTCGTCCTTCCCAATTATGCAGCACAGACAATTTGACATTCAACGGCAATTTTTGCTTCACGACTTAAATATTTAACGATTCTCGTAAATTTTTGGGTCAGAATTAGTGATTATTCGTTTGGCCCCAAATGGATATAAAATGTTAACGGTTTTTTGCTCTACCGATCATGGATGCAAAATGTTTACCTCTTTGTTTTTAGTAAGTTCTTCCTCAAGACGCGTCAAAAGATGTGCAAATGAAGGACGTTCAGCCGGATCCAGATTCCAGCAAGACCTCATCAAATCATAACTGGGTAAGGAAAATAAAAAGTCTAGTCAGCCAGCTCTTGGAGCTGAACCATTATGACAGAACTTACTTTCATTCCATCAACGACCTCTTACATTTCATTCGGGCATCCTTCCGGCTTTGATAATTTTTTTCCTTTCCTCAAGAATTCGACAATTTCCCTGGCTATAAGACCGGTATACGGCATTTTACCTTAAAAAAAAGGCGGACTATATTTGTTTCAATCTCAAACATTAGGATACTCTACATAACGTTCAGAAAGCACTAATAACAAAGATAACCCAGTAGTTGTTCAGTTCAAGTTACAACTATACCTCTAGATTCGATCTCCCACAATAAAACTCCAAACGACCACCTGTCAGCAAAAAAAAAAACAAGAAATTTTTCATCATCTTCATTTGATTTCTCAGTAGAAATTTCAAAATGAAAAGAGATGAGAACTCCGAAAATTAATCTTCAACTTGGTCATTACAGTTTCTCAAGGCAATGGAAACAATTAGATACGTTTCCAGCGGTTTTTTTTTTTAGTTTTGACTTTTTTTTTCCAGGAAGCGTGGAATTAGGTTACCACAGTTCCCTGCAGTTTTCTAAAGCTTATCACATATTCAAAAGAGGAACTCGGTTGTAATGGTCAATTAGGAATGTAAAAACAGGCCATAGAATGCAGTACAGGATATCCGTGTTCCACTCTCTCTAAATTAGACATGCTGATCGCTAATTGCTACGAGAACTTTGAGCTCGGTATATCCGCCCAAATTATTATGTAAAACGACCAATTGGCAGAGAATGTATTGGAATTTTCAGATCACTCAGGAAGATCCCAATAAAATGAGTAACGATCACCAGCGATCAACAAGGTAGCATATGAAGGTGATGCTACTGAAAACAATTATGATAAACAAGAAATTGAATCAACTACGCGCGCATTTCGAGAGTAAGGGTCTTTCATGATGGTTTGAAAGCTTTTCAGATTTAACTTGCCTTCGGTTCACGCAATGCAATAAATTTAAAAATATAACTTGCGCAAATTGATGACGAAATGCACTAGCGTTCACGCAATTTCTTTTATTTATAACGTACACGTCTGTCTTTGTATTGTACACGAAATCCTCCAGAGACTCAAGAGCCATCCAACGAACTGGTAACATTCCCTGTTGGACAGAAGAACTGGCATGTTTAGAATGATCACAGTACACGTTAGGAAAACTTAACTGGCGCTTCAATTGATACTACTACACCACAAACACTTATAGTTGCATAGTTGTAGATTTTGACGACACTGACCGAAAACAATGATAAGTTTGTGTGGAGGAGGGAAGGGAAACATCTCAAATCAATAAAGTGTGAGTTCTTTGAAGTTGCATAACCCCTCCCTCCCAGTCATTCTAACAAATAAAGGGAATAGCCATACCCGGCAAAGAGTTTCGTATTCACCACTCTCGTACACATCACGTGACATGCCGAAATCAGAAACCATGGCGACATTCCTGTCGCCAAGAAGCACGTTTCTTGCCGCGAGGTCTCGATGAACACACTGCGAGATAAATTCAGAATGATAATGTAATGATATTAATGATAAGTAGGTAGGCCTGTCGATTGAAAGTGAAGGTATTCTTTGTTTCATTTTTTAACCACCTTTTTGCTGGCGAGGTGAGACATTCCACAGGCCACGTCTCTTGCAATCCTCACTTTGTCGACGCGTGTGAAACCGACTTGTCTTTCCGTATCATCTTCGTATGGATTTTCTCTGTTCTTCAGTTGGTTCAACAAGCAGCCATTTGGAGCCAGACGAACAATCACTAAAATTGACCCTAGGTATTCCATCAAAGGTAGCTCGTTAGAGAGGCAAAACTTTAAGGGAAGTGAGTTACTTAAAACATACTGATGGGTAGACAGGCGAAAGGACGAGGGGACTGTTCATGTTAAGGATTATAAAATCATGACAGTTACATATCGTATTCAATAATTACCAGACTTTGTGCAAGCTCCAATAAGGCTTACGACATTGGGATGATCACCAACTGTGACCATGATTTGAAGCTCGTTTATTAAGTCTTTCCTTTCCCTTTCTCTGGCATTCTCTGCAATAGAATGTTCGTTGTTTCATTAGTTCCAAAAGGGTGCAAATCCCGTAAATAAACATGTCTTCAAACACGTTAATTAATCAATCCATAAACGTATCAGTAAGTCGGCGGGGAGTCAGCCAATAAGTAACTCAACCAGTTAGTCAGAAAATTAACCGATCAATTTTTAGAATAATCAGTAAGAACACTAATACTTTTTACCTTTAACAGTCTTTATTGCGCATGCCCTGACTTGTCCGCCCATGCGCACCACTCCTTTGTACACTTCTCCGAAGGCACCTTCCCCCAACTTCTCTTGTAGTGTAACATTTGTTCTGGGAATCTCAACCCAGTGGCAAAGAGTGGAGAGCGGTGTCTGATTCTGGAGGGAAAAAAAGAATCATATAAAATTAACCACATATTTTCATGAACTTCACTGATTAAAAAATAAAAGTACAAATTTAGGCTTATTACCTCAGAATACACTTTGCCACGCTTTGAATTTCTAATAGGTCCATACTTGATGCAAACGACCACAACAAATAAAGATGCTAAGCTCAGTGGCAATACTATTTGCAGCATCAATTTCCTAATAAATCTGTCTGGAAAAATGGAAAAATGAACCAAAAGAAATGAACAGAGTGCTCTCAGAATAATTTAACGCAATATGGAGCTAACTGTTAACATTTTATCGGAAGTTTTGTGTTGATAACGAGGAGCCTAATGAGAATAAATGACCATGTTGAAGTTTTGACAAAATTCACGGTGGTCAATTCCGAGTAGAAGTTTAAAGCACCGAACTAGTTTTTTGGATTCTCGGAAGTTGAACCATCTACATGTATCATCAGTTCAACCTCAGCGAAATCTAAGATATATCTCAGACATAATTCGGTCAAGAATGTTTGCGATGCTTCAGTAAACAGAAACAACCACTAGCGAATGACTTTTTTTATGGGAGAAAGAGACTGCCGTCAGATGAAATTTTGCAAGGGGGACTTACGCAAACATGTTTCAGTTTTTTGTTTCACTTTTTTTTTAAAGTTTTTTTTTTAAGTTTGTAATAAAAGGCTCTACTCTTGTATTTACGAGAAGAGCGCGAAAAAAGCCACTAATTCACAAGAGTGTAACTTGTTTAAAGGAGGACCCTACATGAGATATATTAATACTTGCCAGGCAGTGTCCTCTGTGTTACTAATACACCCTCTGACCTTCCATACATATTGTTGCTTGATAATCTGATAGTGTATTCTGTGGAGGGATCCAAGTTCTCCAAAATCATTTGGGTATCAGGGTACGGAACTGTCTTCACTAATATAAAGTTTTCCGCTCTTGATGTCCTCCTTTCTACAGCGTAGTTTTGTATTTGGTAAAGGCTGGCATTTTCTGGCTCATTCCAAGTCAAAATAAAATATCTTGTCTGAACATTCTCTACTGTGAAGCGTCTCGGAGGTGGCGGTAATTCTAGTGTACGGAGAGGCCAACAACAAATGCATTTAAAATTCTAATTAATATCGAGACAGTGTAATCGAGATAGTTGTCGCGTAGTCATTATGACCCAAACCTTTTTCCGCGTCTTATTTTGAAATTTACAGCCACGTGAGTTCTCCTCATAAAAAACCCGCTTATTATCTAATACATATTACTTTTTGATGAACTTATATTTGGATGTACATTTCAATCTCTCTAATTATTTCTCTTTCTCAGTGGTTGACTTTACCTCTTGGAGGACAACGAGATACGTTGCAATATTCCCATCGGACGTTTGGGTCTGTGGTATAACACCACGGTCCATCTGGGGCACTGCTATCCGGGTTACGACACAGGTTCGAGTCATTTTTGGATTTGGCGACGTCTTTAGGGATCCGCCAGTGACGATGTGGACACTGGGATTTCCAAGACTGACATGTACGACCAGATCGGGTGACGTTCACATTTCCACGGTAACCAACACCCACTCCATAGTAACAATCTGAGAGAAACTGGATATTTGAGTTTATGGCAGTGCAAACGTGGAGTATCCGTGCACTGAACATTAATGTACTCTTTCAAATCGCTTTGAAGCTATAGATCGGAGGGCGAGAGTGTGCAAAAGTCATCCAGTTTGCAACAGTGATGCATTAAAGAAAGAAATATATTATAATATCTGGAAGGAGCTTATTCTACAAACAATGTCATAATTTCGCGCTTTTAACTTAGACCACTGAGAATGTTCTTAGGTAATACCGTCCTCAAAGGCTTTGAAGAGCGAATGACTGGGGACTTTTTCTGCGTGAAGTGGTTCTCAATTACGTAAGTTAATAGGGGTTTGACAGTATCAGATAAGTTATTTAAATACAGATCAAAACTCAGAACATCAAAAGCAGACCTGTGGTTTTTGTGTCATCACCTATGGGAAGAGAAAAAATATTGGAGTGCGTGTCAAGAAATGATAACAAAGTATTAAAAAAAATTGTAAATCTTGGGTGCATACTAAAATTTGAAGGATTCTATCGTCATTCTAGGTGTCGAAGTGTTGCACTGAATGTTCCCACTGACCAAGAGTCGCGCCGCTTGTGCAATAATTAAGTCTACTATTGTATAACGGGAGCTGTAGCTTTCTTCTGAGTTCTCTTGCCAGTTATCTTCACCTCATCACCCCTTCTGTCATAAGGGCAATGTAAAATATTCGAATATTTTGTTAGGATCATAAACAAGTTCGCCAAGTTTAATTTGAGAATGACACCATGCCTTGTCCATGACGCTGCTTACAAAGTAGCATCATTCTCTGGGATCGTGCACCGACTTCCTGAACAGTGGAGCTTAACTTTGGAACAGAACTAGAAGGCCTGAGATACTAGTTCTGACAAGCTCTGATCCCCACACACCTGCTATGTGAACTGGTTAACAAAGTATACAGATAAACTTTTTTTCTCGTTGGTTTCATGTTTCTCTGTTTGTCTAAGTCAACGATTTGTTTTTAGTCCCAGGTAAATTGATAACACAGAAAGGATTAATGATGACCGTGAGTAATATACGCACCAGGGATATCTGGCCACCCATAGCACTCAGGAGCATCTCCACCATTAGCCGGCTTGTATAGTGAGCAATTTATCATTTTCTGGTCGAACACTGGAGCCTCCTTTGATGCTCCAGTGAGAAACTTCATCTCTGACTTACAAACATCTTGCATCAAATACAAGCATGAGCTGCGACATAGCCCGCGATCTTTAGGCTCGTCCAATGTTTCATCACACGCCGGAAAGTGATAGCGACAGTGCAAATTTCTCATTACAGGTCTACACTTCGGAGAGATATCAAACAATTTGAAGTAGCCACCAAAGGTGTTCGTTTCCTTTTCACCATAATCCAATGTACTTTGGTTACCATAAACATACAGACTTGTGATTATGTCCTTGCAAAATGTGTCTTTATACTCATAAAATATACAAGAAGCGTTTCTTGCAGATGGTTCGACTGGAGGAAATGCTGGAACGCAGCTAAAAATATACAAACCAATTAGAATTAAATAATGAATGATGGAAGACATCAGGACGAACAAATTAATAACTAACAAAAGGGAGATGATGAATTGCAGCTTGAATTACTTTAAAATTAGCTTGGAAAGGGAAGAGGCCGTAACGTTTTTGTCAAATTTTCATTGTTCTTACCTCGAATTAGTGTCCACTTGAGTAAAATTACTCTCTGTTTATCAGTGGAAGGAAAATAAGGATAAATAATGATATTGATTTTAAAAAAATTGGAAATCTTTGATAACATTTCATCTAGTTTTTAAATTTTACATCGAAATGATGATGTCGTACTAGGGTTTCTGTAAATGCAGAGAATTTACATAATTTCTTGGTGCAAGAATCATAAATGAAGTTGCTGGACTGTATTTCATCATCATTTCTCACCTTGGAAATCTTCACATATAAAGGCGTGCTCCTCACTACAGTTAGTGCACTCCAGGAGAGTATCATGGGTTACCATACAGCATAACTTCCTAGGTTCCTTAGACTGTGCTTCTGTACGATTAAAATTGTTCACAACGTCTATAAGTTGTATACCAGCCGTATTGTTATCACTCCATTTCCAATCGCCAATCCTGTAGCGGACATGTCCAACGTGCCCAGAAAAGAAAAAGCATTAAAATGTGCAAACGTAAAGATAGAGTAATCAAGAGGGCCCTTATCATATGTTTACTAAAACAGTGGATAGCGTTGAAGACGTGCCATAATTGGCTTCTCAAACTCTAAATATCCTTTGCTATGCTCCTCGGGGCAACTTGCGCGGGATTTGCGCCCGAAAACATTGTCATCGTTACAGGAACAAATGAGCTAAAGATTATCTTCTTTTTACAGATCATCTCAATGTTTTAGTATATTCTGGAGAAAAAAAAGACAACCACCTCCACATCTGTCAGTGAATGGTTGTTAATTAGTAATACTAATGGCATCAAACTACGACACACATTATTTGTCAAAATGACTTAAGTACGCAATAAATAATTGTTACTCACCAGACATGGAGACTCGTCCAATATTTCTTGCCGTTAGTGGTATTTGATATATTCTTAGCCAACTGGAGGTCGTCAACGTTTCTAATTTTTGCGAGATGGTCACTTTGGTTTTTTGTTTTACATGCTTTGTCTGCGTCTGTGTAATTCCGTTTTTGGTGGTGAACTCTGAATGTTTTTACGCCAGAAGCGCCTGCAGGTCACAAAAGTGAACAAAACAGTAATTTAATATTAAAATTCCATTTTTTTCTTATCGCGATGATAAATGCTTAAACTAGATTAAAATTATTTAATTAATCTTCTTCTTGTTACGACGAGCAGTAAGCTCCCACGGGAAATCTCAATAATTCAGTAGGCGGCCAAGCCAGACGAGACAAAAGAAAATCTTATCGTGAACAGCTCTGTGAAAGCCTAAACGATCATATTTCTTTATCCAAATGATCGTCGCTTATGTCATAGAGATTCCGTCACTCACTTCATGGAACGTGAAAAGATCTCTGTGAAGGACACGATTGGCAATTAAAACGTTTTTTTTATAAAGGTCATCTCCTATCATCAGCATAGGATAGAATATGGACTGGACTGTTGGACCCTTGGACGATTGGACTATTTTTTTTTTGGGACTATTTTTTGGACAATTTTTGGACCATTTTATCGGGGGGAGGTAGACCATAAGTACTTAAGGAGGGGTGGGATGCAGTTTATCAGTACTCAGGAAGGGGTGGGAGGCAGACTGTTGTTACATGAGGGGGGTGGAAGACGTTGTATTTGAAAATGCTACTGATTAATGGAGGTTTAAATGGATCATACAAATTATATTGAGCATACAAATTATTTTCTTTCATCCTCTTCCCCAATAAAATGGTCCAAAAAATGGTCTAAAAAAATTAATCCAAAAAAGATCCAAAAAATGGTCCAAATAATGGTCCAAAAATTATCTAAAAAATAGTCCAAAAAATAGTCCAGTAATCCAGGGATCCAATGGTCCAGTCTATATTTTACCCTATGCTCCTATTACCATGTATCGTCTGTTTGTGTATCATGGTTAAGAAAAATAAAAATCCCTCTTTCCACCGACCCCAATGAGCCATCATAGTGTTGAAGATGGTAAGAACAACAATGGCACGAACTTGAGCCATTTCTATGCTGTAAGGCTGGTTACCAGTACAAGCATTTCAATCTAATGTGACATGAAAAGATAAAGAAGCAATTAATTCGAGGTCACGAAATGATGATCAAATGAAATTTTTTCAGTAACGAAACTACACAAGAGCTACTGAGTCCTCCAACTCAACTAAAAGATCAGTGTATTACCGACCTGCGGAAAGTGTGGTAGCAATATGACGTGAATAAATCAGTATTGACAGATCAGTCGATACTACATTATCTTTGACTATTTTGTTTGATAATTTATAAAACATTTTGAGAGTTAAATCCGATTCCTTCTTTTAAATGAGATCAAATTTTTCATAATTAACTCTTCTATTAAAGAATGATAGTTTAGAAGTAATGTTATTCCATGGGTATCCCAATAACAAGTAGAATAAGTAATTAATTTTTACGACCTCTGATCCTTAGAGGCTGCTTGAACGATGTAATCGTCAGTAAACAATGGTCGCAGCACGTATGATGCCAATTTGCTTGAGGGCAAACCTACATACTCCCACGCTGCGTTTTCTGAATAGACTCGTTACCTTGTAGTATAAGATCAGTTCGTCCCTTCTCCCACCCGCTTTGGTGGAGATAGGTTTCTAGATTTTGTGGAATTAAATGAGCGTTAAATACATTTAACGCCATAAACCGATCCAAGTTAGTTTTGCTTAGAAAGTTGTTCTTCATGGCCGTTTCTTAATCTTAATAAATAAACTGATCGCCCCAAAATACTGCTCTCTTAATAACTAGTGGTTACACACTCTATCTAGACATTGTTTTCCACCGTAAATAACTAAAAACAGGAAAAACAATGAAATGCCAAAGCTCTAAGGAATATGTTTGGTATTTAACACGCGGTGACGTGACGTTTAACCTGAGTACACTAAATGTAAATGTTTATCGTCCAAATGCACCAAGTTTCTAAATTGCACTGAGTTTCTAAAACAAAATGGTTTAAAATTCCCTTTTCTCTCCAATAAAAAAGTTTAGAAGCAAGTACATTCACCCAGGGCACACAGGGAAGCGGCAATGAGCTTATATGAACCACTTACCAACTTACCAACCTAGTGAATACCTTTTTGCTGACTGCTATATTCCTTCACAAGGCTGACCTCTACGACGCACAACTCACTGAAACTTTACTTTGATTTTCAGCTCGAAAGTTTGAGTTTCGAATGAACAGCCGCGCGAATGACACCGACTTCCTGTCACGACATGTTTCCGTTCTAAAACAACACAAGTTAATAACCTTAATAGGGGAGGTCTTGGCAGAGGCGGAAATTGCGAAAACTTATTGTCTCCATTCCCTTCTCGTTAATGCCTGTCCTTAGTGTGACATACGTATGCCACAACAATGCAAAATAATAGTTGTTGTGCTCCGATGATTTCCAATTTTCCAAAAAAATTTTTGCATTCGTTTCTGGATCTTTTTTCGATATGAACTTTCCTGAGTACTGCTATTCGCTTAGCTACAGCCAAGAGTGAGCCAGACTAGTAAAGAAAAGAACACCGGCGCCTAGAGCTACCACATTAACATGATTTCCAAAACGTCCCGATGATAGGCAAATTATACACTGGAACATCGATCAGTCGAATTAAGTTGCTTCGTTTTTGTGTCATGGGCGAATATTTTTTCAACGAGGTGTGTTAGAAATGATCCTTAACTGTAGGTGGTCTATTGGGTTGAAGTGTTTCGGATTCAACGGATATGTACGACAGTGCAGTAGAATGAATAAATCAGAAATTACAAATACGCCTCGAGTGGAAATAAATGGTAGACTTTATAGTGTTGACTGAACCGCAATATTAGCATACCAATTCAATGCACATGATTGCTTGAATTGTGTGTTATATTGTTCGATTGAAAAAGGACCTTAATGGAGAGTTGTTCCTGCTTGTTGCAAAATCCGCGCTGAAAATCAACCGCGTGACGGTCACATTTATTTCTTTGAATCGTTTTGGGAGCACGCATCGAAGATATCAGAAGTTAATAAATTTGCTATTTGGCGTCCGAGATATTTTCTGCTCCACCAACCCTGATTGTGACACAAGTGATCAAGTGACATCGTTTTGCGATCATTTTGTTTCACACAAGTGATCAAGTGACATCGTTTAGTAATCATTTGACTTACACTGTCTGTAACAAAAGGGAATACAAGGGAAAAGATGCGGCTAATCCATAATAATGATAATGATGATCAAAATAAAAATAATAACTTCCCTTCCGTACAAAGATACTGCAATATTACGGTTGTAAAAGTCAATGTATCGGCTCAAAAACTGTTTCTTACGAGTCAATGCTTCCTTTCAACTGATGAAGTTAAACAAGGAAACTGACGCAGCAGTATATACGGCAAATGTGCAAATGTTATGAAATAACAAAGATGAAACTGGATATTAAATGTTTCTATATAATATCTCTGCACTGAATTACTGACTAATCAATACGTTTAGATGCAAGTTTTCTAAAGACAAAAAAGGTGAGGTCGGGACATTTAAAGGTTTGTTCGATCTCCGAAGCTAGGCAGCAATCTCTTGGTTGCCAAAATTACTCAAAACCATCTGAGAAGCTCTCTTTTGTAGCACAGATTTTTTTACTGATATTTTATTGTAATCTACTAACTACATGAGAAATCTCCCTCAAAACTCTCGGGACATTTTCTATTATCAAAAAATTACATCACCAAAAGGTAGGGGCAGATATAGTGATAACTATTATTGGTGTAAGTTATCAGTTTAAGTGAAAATAAATTTGCACTTTTCCTCATGGCGTATGTAATATAAGACAGAATTTTTTTTTTAATGCAAGGTTATGGTTTTTAAGTAGTACATACATTGATGTAACAGTGTGAGGGATTTATTGTTAATTCCTAATTATTAACTTTTCCCTCTCCCTCGACAAGGGAACGTAACAACAGTGACTTCATTACACTGCATGGCCGTGTTTTTATCTGAAGTACCACCCTGCTTCATTAACTAGGAGGCTCTTATCTTTCAGCAGATCCTAGAAGGGAAAAACATTAAACAGACATTATTGAGCATACGTTTTGATAGCGGTGAAGAGCAACTCCCCCATCCATTTCCTTGTACTAATTCGCGCATGATCATCAACAGAACCAGTCATGATAATTATTTCCTTACGTCTTTTGTTTTAGTAAGTTCTTTCTCTAGTGACGCCAAAAGATCTACAAATGATGGACGTTTCATCGGATCCAGATCCCAGCAGGACTTCATTATCTCGTAACTGTTAGAGGAAAAGATTAAGTTTAGTCAGCCAGCCCACGATCAAATGCGAGCCATTATATATAAGAGCTGATTTTCATTCTTTGAAAGATTATTTACATTTCATTCGGGCATCCATCCGGTTTCGCTAAAATTTGTCCTGACTGTAGATATTCGATGATTTCCATTGCTCCTCCAAGTTCGCAATATGGCATTATACCTTGACAAGGAATGATAAGAAAAAAAAAACGTACTAGTGAGGGCACAATGAACTTAGTCCAGTTTATAGAGTGGGACACTTAAATAACACTTGGGGAAGTAATAATGATGCACTGACTATCAAATATAAGTTAAAGCGTTCACCTTCTGACTCGATCTCCCATAGAAGCACTCCAAACGACCACCTATCAAAAATATCATGCGCAATGATGTTTTTTTCCACTTGATTTCCAAATTTTAAAATATAATAAGACGATAACTCCTTCAAAAATTTCTCAATTTTTATTCGTAGCAGTCTCTAAGGGCAATAACGACAAATACGTTTTCAGCAAAACCCAGTTTTCTTTCCATTTCCCGCAGTTTTTCATCTCCTCGACAAATCATCTCGTTCCTACTTGGTTAAAGGATGCACAATTGTTTCGAATATGATCGGCCGAATTTTTCGGCGCATTACGTTTAGTTCAAACAATAATCTTTTGGAGGACATGGGTAGAGATGACGGTAAAATCAACAACATTTAGGGTTTTTTGTGGTATAAATATATTCCATTTTGATGTTGTTCGGTTTATTTATGAGTCACAGGAACCATCAAAACGTGATAAGAACTTCGTGTGTCACTTTTTGTTCTCACCACATTTTGACGTCATCTGTGATTACTAAACAGACCAACCGCAACATTGAACCTATTTGCTAGACAGAATGCAACACGGGATTTCTGTATTGCACCAGCTCGAAACTTAAGCATCTAAAGACAAATAAGACATGTCAATTTATGAAAACAACGAAATGGACAATAAAATGGACTCGCTCTAGTAAGATTTCTCAAATTATGCCTTACACGTCTGTCTTCGTGTTGAATGTGAAGAAGTCCAAAGACTCAAGGGCCATCCAACGAACTGGTAACATTCCCTGGTTTGTGGGAGAAATTGGAAAGTTTTACTTTCCGTACGATGATCCAGTATTCCAATGGATACAAGTAAACAACGATCTTTTATCATTTCAGTGTGTGGATACTTTGACCAGTAACAACGAATATAGTGTTGTTGAAAGGGGGCGGGGGGGGGGGAGGAAATAAAATGATTTCACATTGCTTAAGTTTCTATGTTAATTATGATAGGACAAACTGCCAAAGGTAACTTGAATGAATAAATTTCTAAGCTAATATTCATTAATGCATTAATAGGAAATACAAGGGGGACGCTTTGGAATGCAGAGCAATCTTTGTTGAAAAGCCATAACTCTTAGAAGTTCTACCATACCCCTCGCCTTTCCCTAAACTTTGAGGAAACTAGTCATACCCTGGATAAAGTCTCGTATTCGCCACTTTCGTAAACATCACGTGACAAGCCGAAGTCGGAAACCATCGCAACATTCCTGTCTCCAAGAAGCACGTTTCTTGCAGCAAGGTCACGATGAACACACTACCAAAGAAAACCAAATAGAAATAACTAATTATAGGTTCCTTAGGGTTAAATAGAGCTTTTCAGTATCATCACTACCTTTTTACTTGCGAGGTGAGACATTCCACAGGCGACGTCTCTTGCAATCTTCAATTTGTCGACGCGTGTGAATCCGACAGATGTTATAGAATCATTGTAGTATGGATTTTCTCTGTTCTTCTTCAGTTCGTTTAGCAAACAGCCATTTGGAGCCAAACTAACAATCACCAAAATTGATTCTAGGTATTTAATCAAAAGTAACATGTTAGAGGAATACAAAAACTCGAGAAAAGAGAGTTAATTAATAAGATATTTGTTCTGTTGAACAAAACTGAAAGTATGCTTTTAGGAAGACAAAAGGAAGGCCAAAAGTCTTTAAAAAGTTTTTCAGTAAATCTAGAAGATTATACAACTACAGTAACCACAGTAACAAATTTTTCTCTAGAATAATTACCAGACTTGGTACACGCTCCAATAAGACTTATGATATTAGGATGTTCACCAATTGTGACCAGGATTTGAAGCTCGTTGAGCAAGTCTTCCTTCTCTTTTTCTGTAGTATTGGCTGAAATGGAAAGTCCTCTTATTAATTATATTAACACCCTTGCGTTATTAAAATTAATCAATCGATCAGTGTAGTGGGTCAGTCGATCAGTAAAACAGTCGCTTCGTCAGTCATTCAATGAGACGGTCAGTCAATCAATCAATCAATCAATCAGACTATCAGTAAATCGATCCGTCAGACAAACGAACAACGATCGAATAAACCAAATGAGCCGATAAACCTGTTGACCCATTTCCTATCAATATTTTAGAATACTATTAAAATCCCTACCTTTAAGCTTCTTGATTGCACATGCCCTAGCATTTCCCTTTATGCACACCACGCCTTTAAACACTTCTCCGAACGCACCTTCCCCCAGCTTATGTTGAAGGATAACATCTGATCTGCGAATCTCCTCCCAGTTGCGACGAATGGAAATTTCTGTCTGCGGGAAAAGAGGAAAATCAGCTTCGTCCACTCAATCCTTTTTAAATATTTAAACGCACTTACCTCATCATAAACTTTATTTGGCCTGGAATTGCAATTTGATCCAAACTTGACACAAACAATCACGATGAATATAAATGCTAAGCCCAGCGGCAAAACTATGATCAGCATTAAATTCACAATAAACCTGTCTGGAAAAAAGACAACGAACGCATTAGTTTAGAAGTGGCTACGAGAGCCTAACTTTGGAAGAACTCTTTAGAACAGGAAGAGGACTGAATTATTCTTTGCAAGAAGACGCTTGCACAAATGTATTTGATTTTTAACGAGATTAAGAAAACTCAGATTGAAAGACAAATGTTTAACAGCTCTGAGACGTAAGATAAATCTGCAGATAGTTTGTATTTCACATCAGGTTTAGGATGATTACCTGGCAGTGTGTTCTGTGTTAAAAATACACCATCTGACCTTCCATACATATTGTTGCTTGATAATCTAAGAGTGTATTCGGTAGAGGGTTCCAAGTCCTTCATGATCATTTTGGACTCAGGGTAAGGAACTGTCTTCGTAATGTTCTTCGATCTTGATGTCCATCGCTCTATGGTGTAGCTTTGTATTTGGTGAAGGCTGGCATTTACTGGCTCATCCCAAGTCAATATCAAATATCTTGTCTGCACATTCTCTACTATGAAGTCTATTGGCGGCGGCGGTTTTCCTAAACGGAATGAAAAACATCAACAAAAGCTCTGAAAATCCTGGTGCTTGAACATATAACCAATATTTTAAATTTTTTTTTCTTCTTTATTAAGTATTTTAGGTGACTTAATTGTCAAGATATGCTATGCATGGTATTTCATATGCGTGATATTTTGCGCAGATAGAAAGTGACCATGATTGATTATGTCTGTCAATATCTTTCTACTTTTTTTTCTTTTGCTAGTATAGGTCAGAAGGAGCAAACGTTTAATAATCTATAAATCTATTGCAGTTATCTCTCAAGTGATCTCTTCCACCTCCCCCACATCAGTGACTAACCTTTACTTCCTGGAGGACAACGAGATACGTTGCAATATTCCCATCGGACGTTTGGGTCTGTGGTATAACACCACGGTCCATCTAGGGCACTGCTATCCGGATTACGACACAGGTTCGAGTCATTTTTGGATTCAGCGACATCTTCAGGGACCCGCCAGTGACGATGAGGACACTGGGATTTCCAAGACTGACATGTACGACCAGACCGGGTGACGTTCACATTACCTCGGTAACCAAGACCGACTCCAAAGTAACAATCTTGGATGAATAAAACGCATTTATGACGTCAACTGAGGTACTGCACAAATAAAATAGTTAAAACTGGGAGACAAATTAATGTTTGAAGTCGTTTTGTAGTTGTGGAACGGAGGCCAGGACACTAAATTAGTGCCTCGGTTCCACGGTTCGGTTCTGCGACGGGAATTCTCTGTAATCGAATTACATTTAAGAACAGTACATAAATGACTGACCTATGCTGTTTGTGTTGTCACCTGCAAAAGAATGAAAAAACAGATTGCGGCATAGGTTAGGAAAGGACGAGCGAAATTATCAAACTCTGTGGTTTGCGTAGCTACTCAAGCTTGCAATAATTGTAACATTGGGTGAAAAGATTAGACTAACAGCTTCAGGTGTTTTACTTTTGCATAGCTATAGAGTGTTCGTACTCGTAATTCTAAAGCGATCACAAAGTGTTTAAAAGTATAGTGGGAGCTTTAAGCCTTCTTCTCATTTCATTTGCCTGGAACCATCTATCTATCAAAAGGGTAAAAACATTTTTGTATGATTTTAAAAATAATAAATAAAATCGCTTCGGGGTTCTATTCTGTTCTGGTTATAAAGAAAAAAAGGCACCCATGAACAAGAGTGAAGTATGACAATTATTCGTCTTAGGCTCTGTGAATTTTGCTGAATACTTCCCCGAGACGAAGTCGAGGGAATTATTCAATAATATTCATGGAGCCTAAGGCGAATAATTAGTTTTAATGAAAATTTCTCAGGTGTTTTCGAATTCTGTTGTAAATATGACACATGACACACTACTCAACCAATCAGAGCGCGCGCATTGCAACAATAATACCTAAGAATATTAACTGTCAATGGGGGGAGAGTCATAAAAATTTTACAGAGCTTTATGGGGGGATCAGAAAAATTTTATGGTTAAACAACCAAAATCCTAATTCCCATCACCAGGCCAAGTCCCTGCGATAAAGGATTTTTAGTAGTTGTGTAACACTCACCAGGGATATCTGGCCACTCATAGCACTCAGGAGCATCTCCACCATTAGCAGGTTGGTAGAACGAGCAATTAATCATCTTTGAGTCGATGTGTGGGGACGAAACCACTGCTATTTTGAGAACATCCGCCTCTTTTTTGCAAACATCGTCCATCAAATAATCGCATGAGCTGCGACAAATCCTGCGATCTGTAGGCTCGCCCAAGGATTCGTCGCAAGGCCGGAAGTAATAGCGGCAGTATAAATCTTTGATTATAGGTTGACATTTTTCTGAGATGTCAAACCATTCGAAATAAGCATTAAATGACTCAGTTTCCACTTCTCCAAGATCCAGTGTCGTTTGGTTACCATAAACGTACAAACTTTTGATTATATCCTTGCAAAATTCGCCTTTATACTCATAGAATATACAGGAAGCGTTTCTTGCGGATGCAGTAACTGGAGGAAATACTGGAATGCAGCTAAGGATTAAAAAACACAACAAAAGGAATAAAATGATTAAGCTGAAAAAAAATGTGCGAAGGGGCTTTGGCACATCAGTGAACTGTTAAGCATACCAACCTTGCATTAGAATCCACTTGAGTGAAGTTATTTTCTGTTTATCGGTAAGAGAAAATAATGTCAATTATTATTGAAATAATAATGATAATACTTAAAGTAACATTTTCAATAACTTGATTCACTAGAAATGAGGAGGAAGATCTCATTTGATAGCGCAATTAATTTTTTTTTATTTAATCCTTGTAAGTGGTTGTGCCGCCGAAAATTTTCTGCCAATGCAAAAAAAGCCAGAAGTATTGTTTTTTCAGTAAATTTGCTAAGCTGTGTTAAACACACGTCTCACCTTGGAAGTCTTCACATAGAGAGGCGTGCTGCTCGCTACAGTTGGTACACTCCAGGAAAGGATCATGGGTTACTACACAACAGAACATCTTAGGTTCTATAGACAAAGCTTCTGTGTCATTATAATTTTTCACAATATCGGTAAGTTTTCCAGAAGCAGCCTTTCCATCACTCCATTTCCAAGTACCATTCCTGCAACAAACGTATCCATAACCAATTTAGAAACGCTGACAAAAGAAGAGAAAAAATGCAAAAAATTGAAAGGTTATCATGTTATTACCAACTACCTCATGCATAGTATGAGGTGGTTGGACTAAACAATTTAAAAGTCGCGTAAGTACGCCATGACAATTTCCACTCACCAGATGTTGAGACCCATCCAGTACTTTACACCGTTAGTATTATTTGATACATTTTTAGCCAACTGAAGTTCTTCGATAGTTTGAATTTTTGCAAGATGACTTCTAAAATCTTTTGATCTGCATTCTTTATCTGCCTCTGTGTAGTTGACTTTTCCATGGTTGGTTCGAAGAGTTTTCGCATCAGAAAAATCTGATCGAGAGAAAATCAAACTTTTAAAAATTTAGTAATTTCAACAGACTCGCCTTCAAGTCAATTTTCAAACTAGTAGGTGAAAATAATTGTAAACCTTACACAAAACGTCAAATGGTTGACTTTTTTATTCTGTGTTTCGGAATCAACTCTACATATGATACATATTGATGTAGTAGTTCCATGGATCTTCAGCTGACAAGGATTCTGTCTCAAACTTAAGCTTTGTAGAAATCCGTTTCCCATGAATAGCTTTTGATTATTATCTTTCCTCCGCAAGAGTAAAATGTTATTATAATGTATTCTCATTCGGCTGTGAGTATAGCATCTGAAACAAAACTAAAGTAACTTTTTTCTACCAACCGGAACGAGCCAAGATGATGCTCAAGAAGGTGAGAACAACAATGACGCGGCCTTGAGTCATTTCTATGCTGTTAGGATGGTGATCAGTGCATGAACAACAATCTAGTGTAAAGATGTAAAGATAAATACGAAAATAGTTCGTTTAACAGTTAATAACTTTGATGCAGAACGAATGATTTATTTAAAATCGATAAACAAAATAAAGGATCGCTATTAATTATATCAGCTCTATTCAATAATGTGAGTAAACTTGATCTGCAGAAAGACATGTATACATCAATTAGAATCGAGCGATCACATAACGCCAAATTGTATTTTAATATCCTAAATTAAATTCGGTTATTAAATCGATATCATCGGCATAAACATGTTTCGAACAACTCCAACTTTTCCTCTCCAGTTAACGAGTATTTCGAGATTTTCTTTTTTTCCGGGCATCCACATCCTAATAAAAACCAGGATACTTATAATATCCGTAGTGGCACAATAAGGTTCACCAGCGCAGACAATTACAAATGTTGTACAGATGTCGCTTTAAATTACGTTCGCAGCGTGCGAAATGCCAATTTGATGAAGGGCAAATCTTACTATTCAAACGCTACGTTGTTTGCATGCGTAAATTCTCTGTTTGAGACTCGCTTTATTTTGTTGTATGAGATCAGTTATTCTTCAGCTGAGTTGGACTTTTGTGAGACTGAAATGAGCTTAAAATACGGTCACCATTGTTAATAAGACCACCTCAGTAGTGCAAACACACATGTAGTTCTTCTTCAGGGCCATTCTTGGCCCCATTTATGGGACTGATCATCCTATAATACAGCTTACTAAATTAAGAGTCCACCGCTTACAAACTTTCTCAGTTAAAAACAGGATAACAATACTCTTCCAAACTCTACTCAGCCCGCCGTTACGTGACGTTTGATTTAAACTAGGACAAACACTTCGTTGTGGTTAAACTTAATGCAAATGTGTGCAAAATGCACTAAACTTTTCCACATACGGAGGGACGCTCGATAGAATTTTGGATGCAATATAATATGATTATAATATAATATAAGGCTCTGACCTTTTTGGCTCCTCTGACCAGAACTTTCCCATAAATTTCGGCACGAAAGCTTGACTTAAGAAAGACGACGTCGGATTGCCGGTCAAGCGAGTAACACTGATTTCCTGTCGTGACATGCTCCAGTTCTGGGTAGAGGCGGAAATTACATTAACCAATGGTCTTTGTGGTCTTCTCTGCTGACCTTGTCAAAAGCAAAGTGACACATTCATTAATATCTGCCCTTAATGTGACAAACACACACAAAATAGTTAATTCAGCGGTCCCTTAAAATATTTTAATTGACTTTTCAAGAAGCAAAAAAGTCTTTGCATTCAGACCCTCTTCAAAAAAACGTTGAGGTTAAATAATGTAAATTAGTCCCGAGAAAGACAGAGAGATTAAAGTCATCAGTTTTTCTCATGAGATATTCAAATTATCCAACCGCAAAGACTAGTTATTTGATCTAGTTTGAGCTCCAATGAAAATGCGCATGCTCTGAGCATCTCAATAAGCGTTCTTATCTCTGAAGGTCAAATGTTTGTTCTCCCATTGTTCAAGTTAACCTTTTGCACTTCGCTTGACCACAAAGAATATTCATTTGATCCTCTTTGAGCTCCAATGAAACTGCGAAGGCTCAAAACATCTTGACGAATATAGAGTTAGAATGGTTATCTTTTTACGGTGAGTGAATGATAAAAAAAATACGTTATGTAGGGAGCACAATGACGTGAATTTACCTCGGAGCCTAACTAATCTCAGAGCAATCAGTGATTTAACAAAAATCGCTACTCAATTTTTTTACTTCGTTGGCACTTAGAATGTTCCTTTTCATGAAAAACAACACACAATTATCAGGGGGGTTGCTTTGGGTGTTTTCACGTCAGAGTAAAACAGATACAAGATAAGTGACATAAATTTAGTTCCGTGACGTGACGTGAAGTGACGCGACGTGACATGAGTTGAAGTGAAGTCAAATGAGATAAAACGAAACACACAACTGACCAGCGGAGTCATTTCCTCTGTTGGAATAAGGGGGGAAATTTTCTGAAGAAGCTGCGTCGGCGGGAGAGTATAGCAAGGTAGTTATAGCAGGGTAGTTGGCCACCACTAAGAGTTTTAAAGTTTCGAGCGTTAGCCCTTTGTCAGAGCGAATTTTATTTTTTGTCCTGCTTTGCCTGGCTTTGCTGACGAGAATTGCTTAAAAGTTTTATTGAAAAAAAATATCGAGTTAAAAATAAACGGAGTCTTTCTGCTTATAACTCACACATAGACTTGAGAGTGACATCGTTATCTCGAATCTTATTAGCGATGCGAATGAAAATTTATCTCTACTAAAACAGTATTATAGGGAGATCATTTCAGTAACCTGATCGGACCAGATTTACATACGCCATTGCAGCAAACAAACGAGCAAACTCCCACAACTTTAAAGCATGCATTTGAATTTAATTACTATTACTTTCCTTGTATTTACTGACTGAGTAGAGGTATTCTTGTATATGAATCATCGATGGAAAAGAATAATGCTTTCCGTAAGATCATTGTATGTTTCTGAAGAAAACATTGCCGTGACAATCATTAAACTTGAGTTCGTTTGCCAAACTAGTACCGTTGTTTTGTTTTTTCAAAAGTGTACAAGTGTACTGCGTAATGCTTCCTTCCTACTTAAACAACAGCAAGTTGTGACATAATACATTTATGAAAACCGTAGTCAGATGTGATGTCATTGATATACTTCAAATTAAGGAATGCATGCGCAAAAGAAGCAAATGCAGTCAGAGTCCAGCCAATGAGTCATCTATCGGGCGGACCTGTATAGAGTTGATCTTTGGCCTAAGGATAACAACAAGAAAAAGTTATATCAAAAACAATACTAAATAAATTACAACAGTGAAATTTTGCATTAGTTATATTGTTTCACTTTATCATCTTTTCTATCCTCTTTTGTTGTTCTGTTTTTATCTTAATGCGCGATTTCATTTTTCCATTTAGAGGGGTCTTTTAAAAACACCTGAAAAAAAAATCACGCCAAGCATTTGAATCAGCAGATAATTACTTACATTCCATATTCTTTACAAAACAAATTTTATTTCTATTGTTGTCCTTGATTTATTATGAAATACAGACGACATTCATGTTCAAGTCAGGGTTAATCAACGATCATGGACAAGATAACTGGATTTTTCTTGCGTGAATGGGTAACCTAGCTAATTTTCGGCATCAGCGTCAGAAATGCAACCACGATACCAACACTAAGGACAACATAAACTCCCACCATGCTCAGCAGGCCGATACGCTTGCGAGACAAAGCTTCAACAAAATAGGGATTAAAAAGAAAGCTAAGAGTTTTTTTTTTTTCAATAACTGTAGTCAATGGTATATGCCATAATCAACATCGTGGGTTTGTGTGCCGGGTTTACGTTATTCTTAACTTTCTTAAAAGTTAAAAATGATATAAAGCAAGGCAAGAGGTGTTTATTTATTCCCACTGCCGCCAATAGCGCCGATGTTGTTTAGATGTGGGTCATGCATAATTCACACCCCTAAGGAAAAGGCTTATATGCCTCGTCCATCTGAGGATTCAAAAATTATTGCCTCCTGCCCGTTTCTTGTTCCTCAGGACATCCATCCGGTATCCCACCATTTTCGTTTTGAAAGTGTCCTCGATATCACCTTTTGCCAACAGGTCCGAGAATGTAATACAGAGGTTAATCCTGAAAATTTAGAAATAGGGGCCTGGAGAAATTGTGGTGAGATGCAAACCTTACTCCAAACCCACGGCAAATGGCCATGAATTATAAACGATCTGCTTAAATCAAAGGACATAAACTGAAATTCCAAAATGAGTAACAAGATGACCTGTATCATTTACCAGCTGTGCGATCACATGGTGGTTCATTTGTGACATGACGGAGTCCTGGCCCATCTGCAATAAACACGAACTCTTCTCTTTCTCGTACAAGCTGAGCAGCTTCTCCAGAACTCTTTATCACGTTATCTGCCGCTTTTATTCGGTGCCAGATCGTTTGATATGTCTCGTATTGACTTCTTCTGAATGCCTTATAAGTGCTTGACGATTACATCGCCCCTACTTGATAAAAAGACCTCATGATTTCTTCGAGGTTGTTAGTAGGATTTTCTGCGTTTTTTACTGTAAGGAAGGCCGCAAGGTTAGCTGTGTATGTTGAAACAGATATCAGGATGGTTAACCGGTAGCAGCCAGCGAGAATGCGACCTGAGAGAAACCAGGTTAAAATATACTGTTTCAAGCTTTTCGACCAATCGCAGAGCTTAAATTTTTAACACACAAAGGTGACGGAACATTGCTCCTTGTGAGAATAAAGACCAATGTAAATAAGACCCAGATAAGGTCACTCAACATGGGGATGTGTTATTTCAACCTTTGGCTTTAGTGACCTTTTCATGGTTAGGGCAAGCTTCTTATGATGAACTATCTACATGTTTCATCAACTCAACCTCAGCGAAATCTAAGATATATCTCAGACATTATTCGCTCAAGAATGTTTGCGATGCTTCAGTAAACAGAGACAACCACTAGCGAATGACTTTTTTATGGACTTACACAAACGTGTTAATTTTTTTGTTTTACTTTTTTTTTAAAGTTTTCTTAAATTTCTAATAAGAGGCTCTACTCTTGTATTTACGAGAAGAGCGCGAAAAAGCCGCTAATTCACAAGAGTGTACATAGTTTAAAGGAGGACCCTACATGTGATAGTTTTAGTACTTACCAGGCAGCGTCCTCTTTGTTACCAATACACCCTCTGACCTTCCATAAATATTGTTGCTTGATAATCTGATGGTGTATTCTGTGGAGGGATCTAAGTTCTCCAAAATCATTTGGGTATCAGGGTACGGAACTGTCTTCACTAATATAAAGTTTTCCGATCTTGATGTCCTCCTTTCTACAGGGTATTTTTGTATTTGGTAAAGGCTGGCATTTTCTGGCTCATTCCAAGTCAAAATAAAATATCTCGTCTGAACATTCTCTAATGTGAAGCGTCTCGGAGGAGGCGGTAATCTAGTGAACAGAGAGGACAGCAACAAACGCATTTAAAAGTCTAATGAATATTGCGACAGTCATTATGACCCAAACCTTTTTCCACGACTGATTTTGAAATTTACAGCCGCGTGAGTTCTCCTCATAAAAAACCCGCTTATTATCTAATACATATTACTTTTTGATGAACTTATATTTGGATGTACATTTCAATCTCTCTAATTATTTCTCTTTCTCAGTGGTTGACTTTACCTCTTGGAGGACAACGAGATATATTGCAATATTCCCATCACACGTTTGGGTCTGTGGTATAACACCACGGTCCATCTGGGGCACTGCTGTCCGGGTTATGACACAGGTTCGAGTCATTTTTGGATTTGACAACATCTTTAGGGATCCGCCAGTGACGTTGAGGACACTGGGATTTCCAAGACTGACACATACGACCAGACCGGGTGACGTTCACATTTCCATGGTAACCAAAACCCACTCCATAGTAACAATCTAAGAGAAACTGGATATTTGAGTTTATGGCAGTGCAAACGTGGAGTTTCTGTGCACTGAACATTAATGTACCCTTAAGCTATAGATCGGAGGGCGAGAGTGTGCAAAAGTCATCCAGTTTGCGATAGTGAGATTAAAGAAACCAATATATTATAATATCTTGAAGGAGGTTATTCTACAAACAGTGTGGTTTTTGTGTCATCACCTTTGGGAAGAGAAAAAATATTGGAGTGCGTGTCAAGATATGATAACAAGTATAAAAAAATTGTAAAAGTTGTAATCTTGGGTGCATACTAAAATTTAAAGGATTCTATCGTCAATCTAGTTGTCAAAGTGTTGCACTGAATGTTCCCACTGACCAAGAGTCGCGCCGCTTGAGCAATAATAAAGTCTACTATAGTATAACGGGAACTCTAGCTTTCTTCTGAGTTCTCTTGCCTGTTATCTTCTCCTCATCACCCCTTCTGTCATAAGGGAAATGTAAAATATTTGAATATTTTTTTAGGATCATAAACAAGTTCGCCAAGTTTAATTTGAGAATGACGCCAGGCTTTGTGAATGACGCTGCTTATAAACTAGTATCATTCCCTGAGATCGTCCACCGGCTTGCTGAACAGTGGAGCTTAACTTTGGAACAGAACTAGAAGGCCTGAGATACTAGTTCTGACAAGCTCTGATCCCCACACACCTGGTATGTGAACTGGCTAACAACATCGAAAAGATGATGTCGTTCTAGGGTTTCTGTAAATGCAGAGAATTTACATAATTTCTTGGTGCAAGAGTCATAAATAAGGTTGCTTGACTGTATTTCATCATCATTTCTCACCTGGGAAATCTTCACATATAAAGGCGTGCTCCTCACTACAGTTAGTGCACTCCAGGAGAGTATCATGGATTACCATACAGCATAACTTACTAGGTTCCTTAGACTGTGCTTCTGTACGATTAAAATTGTTCACAACGTCGACAAGTTGTATACCGGCCGTATTGTTATCACTCTATTTCCAATCGCCAATCCTGTAACGAACATGTCCAACGTGTCCAGAAAAGAAATAGCATTAAAATGTGAAACGTAACGACAGAGGAATCAAGAAGGCCCTTATCTGATATATACTAAAACAGTGGATAGCGTTGAAGGCCGTCATTGGTTAATCAAACTCTAAATATCCTTTGCTATGCACCACCGGACAACTTGCGCGGAATTTGCGCCCGAAAATATTGAAATCGTTGCAGGGACAAATGGGCTAAAGATTATCTTCTTTTTACAGATCATCTCAATGTTTTAGTATATTCTACAAAAAAACAGACAACCACCTCCACATCTGTTAGTGAATAGTTGTTAATTAGTAATACTACTGGCATCAAACTACGACACACATTATTTGTCAAAAATGATGAACAGCGGAATAAACTTAAGTACGCAGTAAATAATTGTTACTCATCAGACATGGAGACTCGTCCAATATTTCATGCCGTTAGTGGTATTTGATATATTTTTAGCTAACTGAAGGTCGTCAGCGTTTCTAATTTTTGCCAGATGGTCACTATGGTTTTTTGTTTTACATGCTTTGTCTGCGTCTGTGTAATTCCGTTTTTGGTGGTGAACTCTGAATGGTCTTGCACCAGAAGCGCCTACAGGTCATAAAAGTGAACATAACAGTAATTTAAGATTAAAATTTCATTTTTTTTCTTATCGCGATGATAAGTGCTTAAACTACATTAAAATTATTTAATTAATCTTCTTCTTGTTATGATGAGCGGTAAGCTCCCACAGGAATTCTCAATAATTCAGTTGGCGGCCAAGCCAGACGAGACAAAAGAAAATCTTATCGTGAACAACTCTGTGAAAGTCTGAGTGATTATATTTTCTTTATCCAAATGATCGTTGCTCATGTCATAGAGATTCCGTCACTCACTTTGTGGAACATAACAAGATCTCTGTAAAGGACACGATTGGCAATTAAAACGTTTTTTTTTATTAAGGTCGTCTCTTATCATCAGCATGGGTAAATATAAACTGGACCATTGGACCCTTGGACGATTGGACTATTTTATTGGACTATTTTTTTGGACTATTTTTGGACCATTTTATCGGGGGGGGTAGACCATTAGTGCTTAAGGAAGGGTGGGATGCAGTCTATCAGTACTCAGGAAGAGGTGAGAAGCAGACTGTTGTTACTGGGGGAAGGGGTGGAAGACGAACAATTAGAGTAGGAGGTGGTTGTATTTGAAAATGCTACTGATTAATGGAGTTGTAAACGGATCATACAAATTATTTTGAGCATACAAATTATTTTTTTCTTCCTCTCCCCCGATAAAATGGTCCAAAAACTGGTCCCAAAATTTTTCAAAAAAAGATCGAAAAAATGGTCCAAAAGTTGTCTAAAAAATAGTCCAAAAATAGTCCAGTAATCCAGGGGTCCAATGGTCCAGTCCATATTTTATCCTATGCTCCTATTACCATGTATCGTCTGTATGTGTATCTTGGTTAAAAAAAAATTAAAATTCCTCTTTCCATCAACCCCAATGAGCCAGCATAGTGTTGAATATGGTAAGAACAACAATGGCACGAACTTGAGCCATTTCTATGCTGTAAGGCTGGTTACCAGTACAAGCATTTCAATCAAATGTAAAATGAAAAGATAAAGACGAAATTAATTCGAGGTCACGAAATGATGATCAAATTAAAATTTTTCAGTAACGAAACTGCACAAGAGCTACTGAGTCCTCCAACTCAACTAAAAGCTCAGTGTATTATCGACATTCGGAAAGTCCGGAGCAATATGACGTGAATAAATCAGTATTGACAGATCAGTCGATACTACATTATCTTTGACTATTTTGTTTGATAATTTACAAAACATTTTGAAAGTTAAATCCGATTCCTTCTTTTAAATGAGATCAAATTTTTCATAATTAACTCTTCTACTAAAGAATGATAGTTTAGAAGTAATGTTCTTCCATGGGTATCCCAATAACAAGTAGAATACCTAATTAATTTTTACAACCTTTGATCCTTGGAGGCTGCTTGAACGACGTAATCGCTAGTAAACAATGGTCGCAGCACGTACGATGCCAATTTGCTTGAGGGCAAACCTACATACTCCCACGCTGCGTTGTCTGGATACTATTTGAGACTCGTTTTCTCGTAGTATAAGATCAGTTCGTCCCTTCCCCCGCCCGCTTTGGTGGAGATAGGTTTCTAGATTTTGTGGAATTAAATGTGCGTCAAATACATTTAACGCCATAAACTGATCCAAGTTAGTTTTGCGGACAGAGTTGTTCTTCATGGCCGTTTTGTTAATCTTAATAAATAAAATGATCACCCCAAAATACTGCTCTCTTAATAACTAGTGGTTCTACAGCACACACACACTGTCATAGACACTGTTTTCCACTATGAATAATTAAAAACAGGAAAAACAATGAAATGTCAAAGCACTAAGGATTATGTTTAGTATTTAACCCGCGGTGACGTGACGTTTAAATCTGGGTACACTAAATGCAAATGTTTATCGTCCAAATGCACCAAATTTCTAAATTGCACTGAGTTTCTAAAACTAAATGGTTTAAAATTCCCTTTCCTTTCAAATGAAAAAGTTTAGAAGCAAGCACATTCATCAAGGGCACACAGGGAAGCAGTGATTTTGCATGAGTTTGTATGAACCACTTACCAACCCAGTGAATACCTCTTTGCTGACTGCTATATTCCTTCACAAGGCTCTGACCTCTACGGCGCAAACCTCACTGACACGTTACTTTGATTTTCAGCTCGAAAGTTTGAGTTATGAAAGATGATTTCGAATGAACAGCCACGCAAATGACAACGACTTCCTGTCACGACATATTTCCGTTCTAAAACAACACAAGTTAATAACCTTAATAGGGGAGGTCTTTCCAGAGGCGGAAATTGCGAAAACTTATTGTCTCCATTCCTTTTTCATTAATATCTGTCGTTAGTGTGAAAAACGTATGCCACAACAATGCAAAATAATAGTTTTTGTGCTCCGATGATTTCCAATTTCCAAAAAAGAAGCAGACAATTTTTTTTCATTCGTTTCTGGATCTTTTTTCGATATGAGCTTTCCTAAGTACTGCTATTCGTTTAGCTATAGTTAAAAGCCAGACTAGTGAAGAAAAGAACACCGGCGCCTGGAGCTACCACATTAACATGATTTCCAAAACGTCCCGATGAGAGGCAAATTGCACACTGGAACATCGATCAGTCGAATTGAGTTGCTTCGTTTTTGCGTCAAGGGCGAATATTTTTTCAACGAGGTGTGTTAGAAATGATCCTTAACTGCAGATGGTCTATTGGATTGAAGTGTTTGGGGTTCAACAGATAAGTACGATAGTACAGTAAAATGAATAAATCAGAAATTACAAAGACGCCTTGAGTGGAAATATATGGTAGACTTGGTAAATGGTAGTGTTGACTGAACCGCAATATTAGCATACCAATTCAATGCACATGATTGCTTGAATTGTGTGTGATTTTGTTATCGATTGAAAAAGAACCTTAAAAAATGGAGAGTTGTTCCTGCTTGTTGCAAAATCCTCGATGAAAATCAACCGCGGGACGGCCACATTTATTTCTTTTCATCGTTTTGAGAGCACGCATCGAAGCAATCAGAAGTTAATAAATTTGCTATTTGACGTCCGAGATATTTTCTGCTCCACCAACCCTTATTGTGACACAAGTGATCAAGTGACATCGTTTTGCGATCATTTTATCTCACACAAGTGATCAAGAGACATCGTTTAGTAATCATTTCACTTATACTGTATGTAACAACAGGAAATACAAGGGAAAGACGCGGCTGATCCATAATAATGATAATGATGTTCAAAATAAAAATAATAACTTCCCTTCCGTACAAAGATACTGCAATATTACGGTTGTAAAAGTCAATGTATCGGCTCAAAAACTGTTTCTTACGAGTCAATGCTTCCTGTCAACTGATGAAAGTAAACAAGGAACTAACGCAACAGCATATACGGCAAATGTGCAAATGTTATGATATAACAAAGATGAAACTGGATATTAAATGTTTCTATATAATATCTCTGCACTGAATTACTGACTAATCAATACGTTTAATGATGCAAGTTTTCTAAAGACGAACAAGATAAGGTCGTGACGTTTAAAGGTTTGTTCGATCTCCGAAGCTAGGTAGCAATCTCGTGGCTGCCAAAATTACTCAAAACCATCTGTGAAGCTCTCTGTTGTAGCACAGATTTTTTTAATGATATTTCATTGCAATCTACTAACTGTATGAGAAAATCTCCATCAAACCCCTCAGGACATTTTTATTATCAACAAAATTACATCATCAAAAGGCAGGGGCAGAGATAGTGATAACTATCATTGGTGTAAGTTATCAGTTTAAGTAAAAATAAATTTGCACTATTCCTCATGGCGTATGTAATATAAGACAGAAATTTTTTTATGCAATGTTATGGTTATTAAGCAGTATGTACATTGATGTAACAGTGTGAGGGATTTATTTTTAATTCCCAATTATTAACTTTTCCCTCTCCCTTCGCGCATGATCATCAACACGACCAGTCATGATAATTATTTCCTTACGTCTTTTGTTTTAGTAAGTTCTTTCTCAAGTGACGCCAAAAGATCTACAAATGATGGACGTTTCATCGGATCCAGATCCCAGCAGGACTTCATTATCTCGTAACTGTTACGAGAAAAGATTAAGTTTAGTCAGTCAGCCAAGATCAAATGCGAGCCATTATATAAGAGCTGATTTTCATCCTATGAAAGATTATTTACATTTCATTTGGGCATCCATCCGGCTTCGCTAAAATTTGTCCTGACTGTAGATATTCGATGATTTCCATTGCTCCTCCAAGTTCGCAATATGGCATTATACCTTGACAAGGAATGATAACAAAAAACAACATATCCGCAAGGGTACAATGAACTTAGTCCAGTTTATAGAGTGGGGCACTTAAATAACACTTGGGGAAGTAATGAGGATGCACTGACCATCAAATATAAGTTAAAGCGTTCACCTTCTGACTCGATCTCCCATAGAAGCACTCCAAACGACCACCTATCAAAAACATCATGCGCAAAAATTTAGTTTGTTTTTTTGCACTTGATTTCCAAATTTTAAAATATAACAAGACAATAAATCTGTCAAAATTTTCTCAATTTTTAATCCGTAAATTAATTATTTAAAGACAAATAAGACATGTCAATTTATGAAAACAACGAAATGGACAATGAAATGGACTCGCTCTCGTATGATTTCTCAACTTATGCCTTACACGTCTGTCTTCGTGTTGAATGTGAAGAAGTCCAAAGACTCAAGGGCCATCCAACGAACTGGTAACATTCCCTGGTTTGTGGGAGAAATTGGAAAGGTTTACTTTCAGTACAATGATCCAGCATTCCAATGGATACAATTAAACAATGAACTTTTGTCATTTCAGTGTGTGGATACTTTGACCGATAACAACGATAATAGTGTTGTTGAAAGGGGGCGGGGGGGGAGGAAATAAAATGATTTCACACTGCTTAAGTTTCTATGTCAATTATGATAGGACAAACTGTCAGAGGTAACTTGAATGAATAAATCTCTAAGCTAATATTCATTAATGCTTTAATAGGAAATACAAGGGGGACGCTTTGAAATGCAGAGCAATCCTTGTTGAAAAGCCATAACTCTTAGAAGTTCTACCATACCCCTCGCCTTTCCCTAAACTTTGAGCAAACTAGTCATACCCTGGATAAAGTCTCGTATTCGCCACTTTCGTAAACATCACGTGACAAGCCGAAGTCGGAAACCATCGCAACATTCCTGTCTCCAAGAAGCACGTTTCTTGCAGCAAGGTCACGATGAACACACTACCAAAGAAAACCAAATGGAAATAACTAATTATAGGTTCCTTAGGGTTAAATAGAGCTTTTCAATATCATAACTACCTTTTTGCTTGAGAGGTGAGACATTCCACAGGCGACGTCTCTTGCAATCTTCAATTTGTCGACGCGTGTGAATCCGACAGATGTTATCGAATCACCGTAGTATAGATTTTCTCTGTTCTTCTTCAGTTCGTTTAGCAAACAGCCATTTGGAGCCAAACTAACAATCACCAAAATTGATTCTAGGTATTTAATCAAAAGTAACATGTTGGAGGAATACAAAAACTCGAGAAAAGAGAGTTAATTAATAAAATATTTGTTCTGTTGAACAAAATTGAAAGTATGCTTTTAGGAAGACAAAAGGAAGGCCAAAAGTCTTAAAAAATTTGCTCAGTAAATCTAGCAGATTAGACAACTGCAGTAACCACAGTAACAAATTTTTCTCTAGAATAATTACCAGACTTGGTACACGCTCCAATAAGACTTATGATATTAGGATGTTCACCAATTGTGACCAGGATTTGAAGCTCGTTGAGCAAGTCTTCCTTCTCTTTTTCTGCAGTATTGGCTGAAATGGAAAGTCTTCTTATTAATTATATTAACGCCCTTGCGTTATTAATATTAATCAATTGATCAGTGTAGTGGGTCAGTCGATCAGTAAAACAGTCGCTTCGTCAGTCAGTCAATGAGACGTACAGTCAATCAATCAAACTATCAGTAAATCGATCCGTCAGACAAACGAACAACGATCGAATAAACCAAATGAGCCTATAAACCTGTTGACCCATTTCCTTTTAATATTTTAGAATACTATCAAAATCTTTACCTTTAAGCTTCTTTACTGCACATGCCCTAGCATTTCCCTTTATGCACACCACGCCTTTAAACACTTCACCGAACGCGCCTTCCCCCAGCTTATCTTGAAGGATAACATCTGATCTGCGAATCTCCTCCCAGTTGCGACGAATGAAAATTTCTGTCTGCGGGAAAAAGAGGAAAAATCAGCTTCATCCACTCAATCCTTTTTAAATATTTAAACACACTTACCTCATCATAAACTTTGTTTGGCCTGGAATTGCGATTTGATCCAAACTTGACACAAACAATCACGATGAATATAAATGCTAAACCCAGCGGCAAAACTATGATCAGCATTAAATTCACAATAAACCTGTCTGGAAAAAAGGCAACGAACGCATTAGTTTAGAAGTGGCTACGAGAGCCTAATTGTGGAAGAACTCTCTAGAACAGAAAGAGGCATGATTGATTTATATTTTGGATATTAGAAGTGGCTTGCACAAATGTATTTCATCTTTAACACGATGAAGATAACTCAGATTAAAAGACAAATGTTTAACAGCTCTGAGACGTAAGATAAATCTGCACATAGTATTTCTCATCAGGTTTATGATGATTACCTGGCAGTGTATTCTGGGTTAAAAATACACCATCTGACCTTCCATACATATTGTTGCTTGATAATCTAAGAGTATATTCGGTAGAGGGTTCCAAGTCATTCATAATCATTTTGGACTCAGGGTAAGGAACTGTCTTCGCCACTGAAACGTTCTCCGATCTTGATGTCCATCGCTCTATGGTGAAGCTTTGTATTTGGTGAAGACTGGCATTTACTGGCTCATCCCAAGTCAATATCAAGTATCTTGTCTGCACATTCTTTACTGTGAAGCGTCTCGGAGGAGGCGGTAATTCTAGTGTACGGAGAGGACAACAACAAATGCATTTAAAAGTCTAATGAATATTGAGACAGTGTAATTGAAGTAGTTGTCGCGATTAACAACAGTCATTAAAGTCTTTTGGCGGCGGCGGCGGTTTTCCTAAATAATGAAAGACATCAACAAAAACTCTGAAAAGCCTGGTGCTTAAACATAACCAATATTTTTAATTTTTTGTCTTCTTTCTTAAGTATATTAGGTCATTTAATTGTCAAGATATGCTATGCATGATTTTTCATATACGTGATATTTTGCGCAGATAGAATGTGACCATGATTGATTATGTCTGTCAATATCTTTCTAATTTTGTTTTTTTTTTGTTAGTATGGGTCAGAAGCAGCAAACGTTTAATAGCTTATAAATCTATTGCAGTTATCTCTGAAGTGATCTCTTACCCCTCCCCCCACATCAGTGGCTAACCTTTACTTCTTGGAGGACAACGAGATACGTTGCAATATTCCCATCGGACGTTTGGGTCTGTGGTATAACACCACGGTCCATCTGGGGCACTGCTGTCTGGGTTACGACACAGGTTCGAGTCATTTTTGGATTTTGCGACATCTTTAGGGATCCGCCAGTGACGATGAGGACACTGGGATCTCCAAGACTGACATGTACGACCAGACCGGGTGACGTTCACATTACCGCGGTAACCAAGACCGACTCCAAAGTAACAATCTTGGATAAATAAAACGCATTTATGACGTCAACTGAGGTACTGCACAAAGAAAATAGTTAAAAACTGGGAGATAAATTAATGTTTGAAGTCGTTTTGTAGTTGTGGAACGGAGGCCAGGACACTAAATTACTGCCTCGGTTCCTCGGTTCGGTTCTGCGACGGGAATTCTCTGTAATCGAATTACATTTAAGAACAGTACATAAATGACTGACCTATGCTGTTTGTGTTGTCACCTGCAAGAGGAAAAAAACAGATTGCGGCATAGGTTAGGAAAGGACGAGCGAAATTATCAAACTCTGTGGTTTGCGTAGCTACTCAAGCTTACAATAATTGTAACTTTGGGTGAAAACATTAGACTAACAGCTTCAGGTGTTTTACTTTTGCATAGCTATAGAGTGTTCGCACTCGTAATTCTAAAGGGATTATAAAGGCTTTAAAAGGAAAATGGGAGCTTAAGGCTCCTTCTCATTTCATTTGCCTGGAACCACCACCTATCAGAAGGGTAAAAATTTTGTATGACTTTACAAATAATAAATAAGATCGCTCCGGGGTGCTATTCTGTTCTGGTTAGAAAGAAAAAAAGGCGCCCGTGAACAAAACATACGAATGATGACCGCTGACTTCCTAAAAGAGTAAAGTATGACTTTGGAACAATAATAAACTCCCCGACGAAGGCTTTGGAATCAAATGGAATTTAGGGCGAAATGGATGGGGGATCAGTCGTCGCCAAAAAATGTGAAAGGTACTGAAAGAGGTACTTTTTAACAATTATTCGTCTCCGAAAGGAATTATTAAACACTATTCACGGAGCCAGAGGCGAATAATTAGTTTTAATGAAAATTTCTCAGGTGCTTTCGAGTTCTGTTGTAAATATGACACATGACACACTAGTCGACCAATCAGAGCGGACGCATCTCTAAAATCCCAGCAGCAATGATTGTTAAGAATATTAACTGTCGATGAGGGGGGGTCTTAAAAATATTACAGAGCTTTATGAGGGGATCAGTAAAATTGTATGATGACACGACCAAAAATCCTCCTAACCCCCACCCTCAGGCCAGGTCTAAGCCTGAGATAAAGGATTTGTAGCAGTTGTGTAACACTCACCAGGGATATCTGGCCACTCATAGCACTCAGGAGCATCCCCACCGTTAGCCGGTTGGTAGAACGAGCAATTAATCATGTTTGGGTTGAAATCTGGGGACGAACTCACCGCCATTTTGAGAACATCCGCCTCTTTTTTGCAAACATCGTCCATCAAATAATCGCATGAGCTGCGACAAATCCTGCGATCTGTAGGCTTGTCGAGGGATTCGTCGCAAGGCCGGAAGTGATAGCGGCAGTATAAATCTTTGATTATAGGCTGGCATTTTTCTGAGATGTCAAACCATTTGAAATAAGTTTTAAATGTCTCAGTTTCCACTTCTCCAAAATCCAGTGTCGTTTGGTTACCATAAACGTACAAACTTGTGATTATATCCTTGCAAAATTCGCCTTTATACTCATAGAATATACAGGAAGCGTTTCTTGCGGATGCAGTAACTGGAGGAAATGCTGGAATGCAGCTAAGGATTAAAAAAAACAACAAAAGGAATAAAATGATTAAGCTGAAAAAAAATGTACAAAGGGGCTTTGGCACATCAGTGAACTGTTAAGCATACCAACCTCGCATTAGAATTCACTTGAGTGTAGTTATTTTCTGTTTATCGGTAAGAGAAAATAGTGTTAATTATTATTGAAATAATGATAATAATACTTAAAGTAACATTTTCAATAAATTGATTCAATAGAAATAAGGAGGAAGATCTAATTTGATAGTGTAATTCATTTTATTTTTATTTAATCCTTATTGATGGTTGTGCCGCCGAAAATTTTCTGCAGATGCAAAACAAGCCAGAAGTTTATGTTTGCCGGGGTAGTCCCTCCGTTTTCAGTAAAATTGCTGAACTGTGCTTAACACGTCTCACCTTGGAAGTCTTCACATAGAAAGGCGTGCTGCTCGCTGCAATTGATACACTCCAGGAAAGGATCATGGGTTACTACACAACAGAAAATCATTGGTTCCATAGACAAAGCTTCTGTGTCATTATAATTTTTCACAATATCGGTAAGTTTTCCAGCAGCAGCCTTTCCATCACTCCATTTCCAAGTACCATTCCTGCAACAAACGTATCCATAACCAATTTAGAAACGCTGACAAAAGAAGAGAAAAAATGCAAAAAATTGAAAGGTTATCATGTTATTACCAACTACCTCATGCATAGCTTGAGGTGGTTGGACTAAACAATTTAAAAGTCGCGTAAGTACGCCATGACAATTTCCACTCACCAGATGTTGAGACCCATCCAGTACTTTATACCGTTAGTATTATTTGATACATTTTTAGCCAACTGAAGTTCTTCGATAGTTTGAATTTTTGCAAGATGACTTCTAAAATCTTTTGATCTGCATTCTTTATCTGCCTCTGTGTAGTTTACTTTTCCATGGTTGGTTCGAAGAGTTTTCGCATCAGAAAAATCTGATCGAGAGAAAATCAAACTTTTAAAAATTTAGTAATTTCAACAGACTCGCCTTCAAGTCAATTTTCAAACTAGTAGGTGAAAATAATTGTAAACCTTACACAAAACGTCAAATGGTTGACTTTTTTATTCTGTGTTTCGGAATCAACTCTACATATGATACATATTGATATAGTAGTTCCATGGATCTTCAGCTGACAAGGATTCTGTCTCAAACTTAAGCTTTGTAGAAATCCGTTTCCCATGAATAGCTTTTGATTATTATCTTTCCTCCGCAAGAGTAAAATGTTATTATAATGTATTCTCATTCGGCTGTGAGTATAGCATCTGAAACAAAACGAAAGTAACTTTTTTCTACCAACCGCAACGAGCCAAGATGATGCTCAAGAAGGTGAGAACAACAATGACGCGGCCTTGAGTCATTTCTATGCTGTTAGGATGGTGATCAGTGCATGAACAACAATCTAGTGTAAAGATGTAAAGATAAATACGAAAATAGTTCGTTTAAATTTGATGCAGAACGAATGATTTATTTAAAATAGATAAACAAAACAAAGGATAGCCATTAATTGAATCAGCTCTATTCGATAATGTGAGTAAACTCGATCTGCAGAAAGACATGTATACATCAACTAGAATCGAGCGATTACATAACGTCAAATTGTATTTTATTATCCCAAATCAGTTAAATTCGGTTACTAAATGGATATCATCGGCATAAACATGTTTCGAACAACTCCAACTTTTCTTCTCCAGTGTACGAGTATTTCGGGATTTTCTTTTTCCCGGGCATACATATCCTAATAAAAACCAGGATACTTGTAATATCCGTAGTGGCACTTTAGGGTTCACCAGCCCAGAAAATTACAAATGTTATACAGATGTCGTTTTAAATCATGTTTGCAGCGTGCGAAATGCCAATTTGATGAAGGGCAAATCTGACTATTCAAACACCACTGTTTGAGACTCACTTTCTTTTGTTGTATGAGATCAGTTCTTCTTCAACTGAGTTCGACTTATGAATAAAGGGGTAAGTTTCTAAAGAAACTGTGGTGCTGCGTCGGTGGGAGAGTATAGCAGGTAATTAGTGTTAACAACTGGGTTGAAAACGTAAATTAGCCACCGTAAAGGGTAAAAATGCTGACGTTTCGAGCGTTAGCCCTTCGTCAGAGCGATTAGAGGAATTATGGATTGTGTGTGGATTTATATGTAGGAAGTGGAGCTACGCCATTGGTGGGAATGTGCTGACGAGAAAACAGGAATAAATTAGTTGAATGAAAAGCGCTCGTTGATTCCGTGGGGATTAAGGGTGCCGATTTGGAATATAAATTTTTGTTCTAGTGTTTTACGGCTTTCCGAACTGCCTAGATGTAAGGAAAGGCCGCAAACTGCCATATGCTGTTTAGAATGATAAGGAAGATTAAAGTGTCTAGCGACTGGTTTGAATGCGTCCTTGTCATTTCTTTCCACATCGCGAAGGTGTTCTCGGAATCGGTCACCCAGTCGTCTCCCTGTTTCGCCGATGTATAACTTATTGCAATAAGTGCAAGTTATGCAGTAAATAACATTGGCGGAGGTACACGTAAAGTGATCAATGATCTTAATGGATCTTTTGGGTCCCGATATTTTCTCTACGTTATGAATGGAAGGACAAGTTTTGCATCGTGAGCGAGCGCATTTAAAAGTTCCAGATTGGTCACAGGTTTGAAATGAACTCCTGACTAAAAAGTTGCCTATGTTTTTGTCGCGTTTGAATGAAATAAGTGGGGGTTGCGAAAAGATAGTGCCAGTCTCTGAATCGTTTTGGAGTAATTTAAAATTTTTAAGAATGATAGATTTAACTGCGTGGTTGTGAGGGTGAAATGTAAGAGTAAATGGAATGCGGTCAGTGTTCTCCTTCTCGGCCGTTTGTAGTGCTGCCTGTCGATCGATTAGTTGGGCACGGTGGTAGCCCGCTTGAACGACAGAAACAGGATAGCCGCGTTTATCGAAAAACTGGCACATTGCCTCTGATTTTTCGGAAAAATCAGAGTCGTCACTACATAAACGGCGAAGTCTGAGAAACTGTGAAAAAGGTATGGAGTTCTTGACGTGTGATGGATGTGAGGATGAATACGACAAGTAACTATGGCAGTTTGCGGCCTTTCCTTACATCTAGGCAGTTCGGAAAGCCGTAAAACACTAGAACAAAAATTTATATTCCAAATCGGCACCCTTAATCCCCACGGAATCAACGAGCGCTTTTCATTCAACTAATTTATTCCTGTTTTCTCGTCAGCACATTCCCACCAATGGCGTAGCTCCACTTCCTACATATAAATCCACACACAATCCATAATTCCTCTAATCGCTCTGACGAAGGGCTAACGCTCGAAACGTCAGCATTTTTACCCTTTACGGTGGCTAATTTACGTTTTCAACCCAGTTGTTAACACTAATTACCTGCTATACTCTCCCACCGACGCAGCACCACAGTTTCTTTAGAAACTTACCCCTTTATTTTTTCAATTAAAACTTTTCATAAAAAAAAGCAAAGCAAAGCATAAAAAAAAAACAACACACAATTATCAGGGGGGTTGCTTTGGGTGTTTTCACGTAAGAGTAAAACAGATAAAAGATAAGTGACATAAATTTAGTTCCGTGACGTGACGTGAAGTGACGCGACGTGACGTGAGTTGAAGTGAAGTCGAGTGAGATGAAACGAAGCACACAACTGACCAGCGAAGTCTTTTCCTCTGTTGGAATAAAGGGGGAAATTTTCTAAAGAAGCTGCGGTGCTGCGTCGGCGGAAGAGTATAGCAGGGTAGTTAAGTATTATCAACTGAGTTTATAATACTGAATTGGCCACCGTTAGGAGTTTTAAAGCTGAAGTTTCAAACGTTTGCCCTTTGTCAGAGCGAATTTCCTTTTTTGTTCTGCTTTGCTTTGCTTTGCTGACGAGAATTGTTTAAAAGTTTTAATTGAAAAAAATATGGAGTTAAAAATAAACGGAATCTTTCTGCTTATAACTCACACATAGACTTGAGAGTGACATCATTATCTCGAATCTTATTAGCGATGCGAATGAAAATTTACCTCCTCTAAAACAGTGTTGTAAGGAGATCATTTCGGTAATCTGCTGAAATAAAGCACCAAAGAATAAGGCCTTGTACAGATTATAATCGTCTGTGGCGGTTAGTGTCTTTCGTAAATCAAGACTCTGTCAATCGTTTTTCACTTACAGTCTTCAATGTCTCTTCGGTATTTGTAAGCTATTTTTATCCAAGAAATATCTGTGCCGTATATTTGTAGCAGAGCGTAATCTAACATCACCAAACAAGAAGATCAAGTCCTAGCTGAGTGTCTTCACATAATTGTGAGTAGGACATTCATATGTCGGTTTGAAAAAGTATCATTCTTATTTTTCTGTTTTCGGGCGACGCTGAACAGGATTTTAGAACATGCTGAGGATCATTCGATTGCTTTCAATCTGATTGGTTCTTAGTGCGGTTCATATTTTTCTTATCCTTACCCAAAAGCAAGGTAACACTTCTGTAGTTAGCGGATTACATCCCTAGCTTCGTTACCAGTTTTCATAAAAACATTTCATTTTGCCGGCTGGGCATACTTTCAAGAAAAACATTTTTAAGTAAATCAAGACGAGTAATAACTTATTAATCCTCTCTTTTCTCTCTCTCCAGTAACTTTGGTTGCCAGCAAAAAGATTGTTTTCGAGATCAATTTTTGGTAGCAAATGTGTCATTATTAAATTGGTTGACACGCAGCCTAAATCCGTTTGTAATTTACTTCAATCTTTCACAAAAAGTAACTCTTTGCAAGTCTGTTCAATTTGGTCATTTGTACCGTAATTTGCACAACAAAATCCGAAGGAATTCAACGAGAAAAAGCTGCATTAAATTCCATATGGTTCTCAAAAAGGTCTCACTGGACTTTAGTTTTTCAATCGAAGAAAGACCAGATTTACGTACGCCATTGCAGCAAACAAACGAGCAAACTCCCACAACTTTAAAGCATCCATTTGAATTTACTGATTATTACTTTCCTTGTCATTTACTGACTGAGCAGAGGTATTCTTCGTATATAAATCATCGATGGAAAAGAATTATCCTTGACTTAAGATCACTGAATGTTTTTGAAGAAAACATTGTCGTGACATTCATTAAACTTGAGTTCGTTCGCAAAACCAGTACCGTTGTTTTTTTTTTTCAAATGTGTACACGTGCTTTCCTGTCTTATGCTCTCTCTAATTGATATATGTCAGATTGTGACAGATTCTTGAGAAAAAAATTTTTCGAAGTTTGTTTGGAAACCTTTTAAATCACCTTTATCACTACGCAAATAAAAATATTTCGGTGAAACCTCTCTCTTAATTTGTATTACCTCTGTTTTAACTACCATTTACTCGCTCAAAAATTGAAGGATCTTGCCGTAATTGCAGCCCTGAATCATTCGGGTTCTTTCGTTAAGATTAAGAAAAAAATAGAAGTGCTATTTACCAGCCTAGGTCGGTCCTTAATGGGAAAAATTGTGACCTCTATCTTGAGTACAGTTTTCCCAGATTTTAACTGCCCAAAATTCCCAGCTTTTTCATTTTTACTTCCGACACTTTCTTTAATGGAACTGATACGTATCTTTCTCCACATATAATATACTTCTAAATTCATATTCTTAATCATCTTATTGTTGTTCTAAACATAATTCAGCCGTGGCTGTAATGTTGTAGTAAATAAAGTATCTAATAAACTCAAATGATTGACAATACATATTAAGCTAGTATAATCTCATCAAATGCAATGAGCTTGTCAGGGAATTTTTTCTCGATTTAAAGCTAATCTTCTCCCTTTTTCCGTAAAATTTTTTTTTAGCAAAACGGGGATTTGCTCCTATCCCGATCTAAAAACCCAAGGTTAGTGCACTTTCCAAACTCACACGAGCCTCAAGCTAAGCTATACCCAATCAGCTATGTATATGATATTTATTTCTATATTCATGTTTCGATATTTATTTATTCGTCCATTTGCTTATCTATGTATTTATTGATTTATTGTCATTTTTATCGACTTTGTCTGTGTGTTTATCTTTGAATTCACATGTTTTCTTTCTCTTTGCTTTGTTTCAATCTATATCTTTGGTTGCATTCCAGCATTTCCTCTGATAATATCCTCCACAAAAAGTGCTCCCTGTATATTGTTAGAGTAGAAAAGAAAACTTGGCAGAGATATAATCACCACTCTGTTGGTTTATGGTGAAAATTATGAAGAAAACGAAGGCAGTGGAAGACTTTTTAAAACTGTTTGAGATTACGTTGATGTGCAGACTCATAAGGAGCCCATCTAACTTAGATGGATTTAATTGAGTTAAATTCCTTTGTTTTCTTTGGTATCTTTGGTATCTTACGCTTGTGTTCATCGACACCTCGCGGCAAGAGACGTGCTTCTCGGCGACGGGAATGTTGCCATGGTTTCCAACTGTGGCATGTCACTAGATGTGTACGGAAGTGTTGAATACGAAAACGTATCCGGGATATGGCCACTATACTTGATCCTTGTTTTCTGAAATTGCAACCTTTAAGTGTCTTTATCAGTCAATTATCAAGTATTATAGTTCTTCCTCTTGACTAGGGAATATTATACCAGTTCATTAGGTAGCTCTTGAGTCTTTGGAATTCCGCATTTACAACACGAAGACAATTGTGTAAGTTGTATACCGTAGAGAACTGCAGGACATTTTTGAGAAGTATCTCAGTCTGTTCGCTTCATATAGTTTTGTTTGTCATTACCTTTCCTTTTATAGACTGTTTCGATCTTGATGCAAAAATATTCGTTTTTAACCGACCTGCGTTTTAAAATGTCTAAATCAAGCAAAAGTTAAATTTATGTATGACTAATTTTTCTGACAGGTGGTCATTTGGAATACTATAATGGGAGATTGAGTGTGGAGGTAAAGCATTTACTTGAATAATCAGGAGAACATTTTGGCCATCAGTGCTAATGTAAATATATTTTTAAGAATCCCACGTGAGTGGGGCCAAGAAAGGTTATACGCAGTTATAAAGTTTTTAAGTCATATAGTTCCATATAAAATCTCTTAATGGGTAGACATTTATCATAATTAATTGTTACTAATTTAACTAGGATAATTTCATGGTACCATGGCGAGAATGTCTTTTTTCCACAAGGTAATATGCTATATACTTGTCTTGCAACAAATTATCACTTTTTTAAAGGCAGGTCGAATTTTTGCACGGATGCTCAAACGCAATGTAATCATCTTTGAGCTTACAGGTATCCATTTTTTCAGAAGGCTTTTATGAGGACTCATAAAACTGAAATCTTTTTCCGTTAATAGTTACAATATCATGAAATCGTGGTGAAATTTGGAGCCAGCAAGGCTTCCATTATTTTCAGAGCTAATGAAGCTACTTGAAAGAGTACTTATTTAATAAAAGACATAATACGATATTCATGTATTTACAATTATCAACTGTTTATTTACAGCTAATTTCGAGGATTGTGTAGTAATAATTAACGGCGGGAAGACTGGTCGTTTAAGGTATTCTCTTTACTATGCCCAGTTTAATGCTTCCTTCCTACTTAAACAACAGCAGGTTGTGAAATAACACATTTATGAGACCTTAGTCAGATGTGATGTCATTGATATACTTCAAATTAAGGAATGCATGCGCGAAAGAAAAAAATGACGCAAGCAGTCATAGGCCAGCCAATGAGTCATCTATCGGGAGGACCTGTATAGAGTTGATCTTTGGCCTAAAGATAACAACAAGAAAAAGTGTTACAATACTAAATAAACAAGTGAAATTTTGCATTAGTTATATTGTTTCACTCTATCATCTTTTCTATCCTCTTTTGTTGTTCTGTTTTTATCTTAATGCGCGATTTCGTTTTTCCATTCACAGAGAAATCATTCTTAGAGGGGTCTTTTAAAAACATCAGATCAGATCCTGAAAAAAAAATCACGCCAACCATTTGAATCAGCAGATAAATACTTATATTCCATATTCTTTACAAAACAAATTTTATTTCTATTGTTTTCCTTGATTTATTTTGAAATACAGACGACATTTATGTTCCAGCCAGGGTTAATCAACGACCATGGACAAGATAACTGGATTTTTCTTGCGTGAATGGATAACCTAGCTAATTTTCGATATATAAAAAATTAACATTTCCATTTTCTGGTAACAAACCTTCCTGTTTCTTTCAGCAAGTTTATTTTTTTCCCTTTCCTGCTCCAGAAGATCTCTACAAACAGCGTCAGAAATGCAATCACGATACCAACACCAAGGACAACATAAACTCCCAGCATGCTCAGCAGGCCGATACGCTTGCGAGACAAAGCTTCAACAAATAGGGAATAAAAAGAAAGCTATAAATTGTAGTCGATGGTGTATGCTTTAACCAACATCGTGGGTTTGTGTGCCGGGTTAACGTTACTTTTAACATTCTTAAAAGTTAAAAATGATATAAAGCGCCGATCTTGTCTAGGTGTGGGTCATGCATAATTCACACCCCTAAGGAAAAGGTTTATAAAGCTTTATTAGGAAAATATGCTTCGTCAATCTGAGGATTCAGAAATGGCTGCCCCATACCCGTTTCTTGTTCCTCAGGACATCCATTACCAGCATCCCACCATTTTCGTTTCAACGTTTCCAGGAAGTTATTCTCGTGAAGACGTAAAATCGCCAGAGTGAAATCTGCAGTGTGTGGATCATTCGCTTGCAAAGCCAACGAAAGTCCCTTAGCTGTCGTCAAACCTGGAACTGGTAAAAACGTGTCTTTGTGAGATGTAGTAAATGAAAATGCACCGTTTGATGATGAAAAATTCATTATTTCAATGAAACGAACATAACTGCGTCAGAATATTTATAACCGAATCTGAGGACTCCACAGAACTGTGGAAGTGTCCTCGATATCACCTTTTTCCAACAGGTCCGACAACGTAATAAAGATTTAGAAAGAGGGGCCTGGAGAAATTGTGGTGAGATGCAAAGCTTACTCCAAACCTACGACAAATGGCAATGAATTATAAAGGATCTGCTTAAATCAAAGGACATAAAGTGAAACTCCAAAATGAGTAACAAGATGACAATATTCTCTTGCATCATTTACCAACTGTGAGATCACATGGTGGTTGATTTGCGACATGACGGAGTCCTGGCCCATCCGCAATAAACACGAACTCTTCTCTTTCTCGTACAAGCTGAGCAGCTTCTCCAGAACTCTTTATCACGTTATCTGCCGATTTTATTCGGTGCCAGATCGTTTGATATGTCTCGTATTGACTTCTTCTGAATGCCTCATAGGTGCTTGACGACTGCACTACCCCTACTTGATACGAAGACCTCACGATATCTTCGAGGTTATTAATAGGACTTTCTGCGTTTTTTACCGTAAAGAAGGCCGCAAGGTTAGCTGTGTATGTTGAAACAGATATCAGGATGGTGAACCAGTAGCAGCTAGCGAGAATGCGACCTGTGAGAAACCAGGTTAAAATATACTGTTTCAAGTTTTTCGACCAATCGTAGAGCTTAAATTTTTAAAATGCAAATAAGGTGACGGAACACTGCTCCCTGTGAGAATAAAGACCAATGTAAGTAAGACCCAGATATGTTCACTCAACATGGGGATGTGAGTTATTTCAACCTTTGGCTTCAGTGACCTTTTCACGGTAAGGGAAAGCTTCTTATAATGCCAAGACTTCTCGCGGGGATTGACAGGCTACAATTCTATTTTGTTGCATATCAGCCCTAAACTCCCCGATATCACCTCCCTCACTCCCCGACCTACCATGGGAAGGGATTACATAGAGGGTAAAGTACGGGAAATAGGAGCGAGTTAAACGGTTGTATATCAAAAACGAAAATTCACAGGATGTCAAACGACAAACCAAGAAGCGCAGTACTTTTGTTTCATTAAAACCTAATTCACAAACTTGGGTATTTAGAACGCATCCGTTGATTCACATACAAATCCTTATAGTTCGCCTTTTGTGCAATCATAGAGGCTCATTGGGTGAGCTTGAGATTTGAAGGCAACAACTGAACATCTTACCTGACAAACTACGGGGTGAGTTGTCGGCCCCTTGCTGTAGCATGCAAGATAAAGCAAACCACACACTGTTGAAGAAACTAAACTCCTCAGATGTTCCTTGGCCATTTTCATCTTTGTATCCATAAGGACTAAAGTAATTTATTACAAACACAGCAATAGAGATGATGAACAGGCTGGTGAGAGTAGCAAACCAGACATAATTGTCAAAAGGATGCATGAACTGTAGAAGGTCAACTTTTCCATCGGAAGATGTCTTCTTCAGCAACATTTCCTCTGTGTAGTACATGTAAGGAACTGTGAAGTCAACAACTGTCTCTCGATGTTCAGTGATAGTTAGATCTGCCACAGCCATATCAGCATTCTTTGGAACAAAGTAATCAAAGAGAACGACTGTGTTGCCAGAAGACAGAGTAAGTGCATGGTTATTTGATAAAGAACCAACGAGTTCATAAGGTAAATTGGCCACCCTAAAGAGTTCCTTAAGCTGACGTTTCGAGCGTTAGCCCTCGCCCTTCGCTCTGATGAAGATTTAAGACTTAAAAAGACAGCTTTAGAAGCTCTTTATAGTGGCCAATTTACATTATCAGCTCAGTTGATAAAACCAGATTATCTTATTATACCCCCATCTCCCCATTGACGCAAAACCACAGTTTCTTTCAAAAAAAAATTACCCCTTTATTCATTTAGCATGATAATATGGTTATATCATAGTCTTAACGGTCTTTGAACTAAGTGTTGTAGCCGCGCTAGAAAGTTAAGGTGGAATACTTTAGTTTGCCAGTCACAAGCCACGTTAAAATTGATCGATCTGGCTTACCACTCTTACTATCGATTACCGTCAACAGAATGAGGACATACATCCAGAGGGCATGATTATCCTACGTCACAAAGTGCATGTTTGTCATTCTCAGCACAGATAAAAATTAAAGCAGTGACCCTGTAACCAAACCTTGTATAACAGCTCCCCAATAATCCCATTCCAAGTTCCATTGTCAGTTTCAGCGCCATAAAATCCATCCGGAGTGAAATAGATTTCGTAGGTAAACTTGAGATTCCTCACCAGTTCATTGAGCAAATCAATGCAATATCCTGTATAAAAAACTTCGCCATTTTCTTTCTTCCTGCTCATCATAAAGGGGGCAGACTGTTTTAAAAAAGAAAGACCTTTTTTTGGTCATAAAAACACAAATACAGGACAAACTTTTATCTTATTCGATGTGATTACAAAAAAAGTATTTTTCACGAACATGAATACGTAACAGCACTGATTACCTCTGCAACTACAACTCTGAGCCTTCTCCCTTCCAAACTTCCTGCTCCTAGCGGTGTCACCAGGTTTTGCGAGATATTTCCAAATATAACTGCTTTCATGGTTGAATTCCATGTGCCTACCTAAAATAGGAGGAAGATACTATAAAACAGGAAATGAGTGAAAGACGTAGCAGCGACTCTACGGCTAAAGTGCTTCAAAAAGCACATGCAGTAGTATTTGACGTTTCGACAACCTGAGTGAAAGTCATCATCAGAGTCAAGTAAATAGTTGTTGTCAGTGGAATATTATAAGTCCAGTTCGTATAAAGTGATTGGTCAGTTTTGCTGTGATGTTATTTGCTGTAAGACTCGAGTGATGTAAGTTGGCTCGGTTCGTTTGCGATGTTAATGTCGTGAATAAGTCGTTTGTATGGTGCTGGTAGTAGTTGCCACTTGCGCAAAGTCCCAGTCGATAATGTGGTTCGAGTCGATAATGTGGTTCGAGTCGATGATGTTCAGAAATGTGATTGCTGACCCCAGTCACCTTTCCTCTTCGCCTGCTTGTGTTCAGTCAGTCTCTTTTTGAGGTTTCTACTGGTCTCCCTCCAAACAATAATTTACCTTTGTGAAAGAGTTGCCCCGCAGATTTATAATTTCGAGGTTGATTCCTGTTCGTTTTCCATAATCATCAAAATGGACTGGGCCTGTTAAACCATCCATACCAACCTGTGATAAACAGCACATTACAATTCTTTTTTTTTTTCTTTTTTTTTTTTTTTCACTTTTTGTGTTACGGTGACACAAGCAGAATATACATCAATTTTAGAAATATCTACTTAATTTTATTGAGACCGCACAAGTTGAGATTTCGCTTCAGCTTCAACATATTTTTCCGTCTAAAACCACTCTTAGGCGAATGGCACGGACTTTGATTTCGTTTGTGTGGTAATGTTACAGTATTTCATTTCTCTTCGACAATTGACCCAGTGAAGAACCGGAAGAAATGTAAGCGAATCGAGGATGAAGGTTATGTTTACGTGAGTAACACAAGCGTTGCTCCAACATATAATTGCTCACCCCTCTCATGCAAAGTAACACGGCTGCTCTATCTTCTGGATGCACTGAGGACCCGTTGATTGACAAACAAGTTTGATCATTGACTGCCTGGTTTATAACTTGGACTGCATCATAGGCAACAGCAAGGAGATCCTAAAGAATCAATTAGTTTGGACTTTTATTTAATGACACTGTATAAATTTCCTTGATGTAGGAATCAGCCCATTCAATAAAGCTTAGCAAACAACACCCTTTGAGCAGACCTTGTTAGTATCACTATGGATGTGTAGTAGGTTTTCTAATTCCTCTGATGCTGGGGTCGGAACGTATGATAACTTCACTGCTATGACAATATTGGACTGGTGGGAAGTTAAATTCAATGGAACCTTAAGAAAAGAAATTCAAAAATTAATTAGTTCCATTAACTAACTTACCACTATCATGGAGCGAAACAGAAATGCTTACAATGATAACGGTTTCGTAAAAATGAAGTACAAACTGGTTTAAAAAAAGAGGCATATTAATAAACGCATTCCAAAAGAGCACAGTGACTGACCTCTCTTTGTATAATCCATTTATAAATAATTCCATCTTTATGTGGGCACGGCGTCTGACATAGAAAATGAAAGCAAAAATCTTTGGCATGAATTCCGTGATAATTATAAAGGTAATTGTAGCATTTAAAATTGTTTAGCGAGAACTGAAGATAGTGATATATCATTTTAGCGAAACATGAATTGAGTAGTAATTGAACTGCGCACCCTGTGCTGCGCATAAAAAATCACGTTACGAATAAGCGCGCATCCCGAGAATATAGTATTATTTTTCGATCAATAGCGCAGGTAAAGAGGTAAGATGGTTTTAAGCTCTTGAACGAGCACGGTGACTTGTATTTTTCACTGCATTATTTTGGTACACAAATTAAAAGAAAAAAATTAATCTAAGGGAAAATAAGAGATAGCTACAAGCGTGCACGAAGCCCGTTACTCGAAGTTGCAAATTACAACCCTGAAAGCAACGACTCGAGGCACGTTTGGAGTCGATGTCGTTTAAAATTGCGGGATCTTTCCACAAAATTTATAGGAAATTGTTGTATACGTTCGAGAATTACCACTTATCAATTTTTTTTCAAGTGTTATTGTAGAAAGCCTTGCTAATAGCTGTCGAAAAATGTAGAGTGAACCGGTGAAATGACGCGCGTGATTAATGCCACTACAGGCATAAATGGGGTAAGTTTTGCCCATCATATCTCTTAAAAAAGTACTGCGATCTATCTTTTTTATTCTATTTTTCGAAACAGTTATTGGTGGGAAACATTTAAGGAAAGTTTTAAAGAAATTCTTTGATAACGTTTTTTTAGGAGGAATCACCTTAAATCAGTATGGTGTTAGCTCCCCCATTTTATTTCAATTAAATGCGGTGTACATCTATGATGAATAACTCTTACTCAGTCGACTCATTTCGATACCTGATTTAACATGAACTCCATATTTTCCTTGTTAACGTAAAGCAGAATAACTTCAGCTTCATAGAATCTTATTTCGTCCATCGTTCTTAGTACTCCTGTCCTTGAATCTCCATTTTCGCCCAGTTGGAAAAATTTGACCAGACCCACCACCAGCTTAAATCTTCTTGACAGCGTGCGAAAGTACCCCGCCTCGTGAAAGCTGTCGTCTGAAAAAAAATATATGATAGCAACTGTTCAGAAAGAAAACTCTCTAAACATCATGGAAGGACATCCAAAATGACAATTCATATCTACATTATTTTAAAATGATTTGAATATCAGATACTAGAGGAAAATTACCATCAAACACAAGCACCACGCTTCCCCATCCAAATGCAGTTAGTAGATCGAGTGTGGCATGCGCGTAGTCTTTGTATCCTGCTGACATCTGAATCGCTTTTTCACATTGCTCAAAGGGTCCTTTATTGTCATGGAGACGGACAAGAGGAATGTTCGTCACTGTGGACAATGCGCATGCGCGTGAGTGGCTGTCACTTTCATCAATAAGTGCAATCACATTATCTTGAACAAACGCTGAAGCTGTGATGAAAGAAAACTAATCATCAACGATTCGGGATTATTACTGACAGCAGAATATAGAGCGTTATGTTTGTCGCAATGAGGTGGTTATCAGGTGGTTTATTTATTTTATTCCTTTCCTCTTTAAAACAAATCGATGACTTGCCCAGCACCTGGCTATCAGTTAGTTCACGCCTCAGTAGAATAATCACCTCCACTCACATTATTGCCATTTCCAGGGAATTGACTCGGCAAATTAAAATATCAGTGGAACAACAACTTCCCCTTTGAAGCATAAAAATTCAATTTTCACTACAAAGAGATGAGTCATGTCTTGAGATGCTTTGTTTATTACCCTGGTAAATGATTCAAAATTAAAGATGTTGCTTTACCAGGGTGAACACCGTAGCATTTAAACTCTGACGAAACAGTTGTGCCTGACAAACGTGTAATCATCTACTTTGATAATTTACCTTGACTGAAAAGGTTCGTGTTTTTTGAAATGTTGTACTTATTTAACACCAGTGAGATATTGCTCAAACTCGATGTCTTGTTAATGACAGTGTCTAAAATTTCTTCAAATTCTCCTCGATCTTCTCTGAGAAAACCTGAAAGAGAATGATTGATGTTTCATGGTATTTTCCAAAGTCTTGTAATAGTAAGACTCCCTGATAAATAAGTACAGTAACTACCCAAATCATGATATTGTTCACATTCATGACTTAATGTTTTCTTTAAATATAACAACAACTTTTTTTTTCTTATCGACTCACCGCAAGTAAATATTTTGTCTGTAGAATATATATCTTGAATACTGGAGACAATCACCAATGCGAAGAAAAAGTTTCTTCTCTCCATGTTTAATTCTGAGACAAAAGTACCAGAATTTATTTCAATAACAGTTTTGTAGCTATTGATTTATGCTTGTAAACAATTATCTTTGATAAATGCCTGGGCTGCAGCATTTATAATGCTAATGTAATTCATTGACTTCTACTTTATCAAGCCAACTAATATCTTGATTATACACACCAAAAGGAACATGACGGGATTCATAGGTAACGTGTTTATCAAAAAACAGGAAGAAAATAAAATTATGCGATAAAGCGGGTAAGAATCTTTATGATGTTACTTTGTTAAGGCATGTAAATTATACTCACAACTTTAATAATAAGAATTTAGAAGACTTTAAAGTAATCATCTTAAAATGGTTTTAAGTTGAACATTTTCATGGATTTTAACGGCAGATGGGAACAAATTGATCAAATACGACACTCAAAGTGTTCTCAGATGTTCTTGATATGAACTGTTTTCGCTCAGTAATTATGTCTACCTTTCATTAATTTGGACTGAGGTGACTGAATAATGTTTTTCTACCTTAAGGTTTATATCTGGTGACGACTTCGCTTTGGCGCATTCTAATAGTCTAGTATTACACATGATATTGTTGGATAAACTAATAAATCCATCAACCTTAGGACAAAAAAACTTTTCGAACGTTCTTACTGTCAGGAAAAAAATATATTTCTTTCAGCTTAAAGATATTATAACGTGGGTGTTGGAAAAGGTAATGAGATGTGCATAGCAGTTTAGCACCCTCCTCACGAATTGTAATTTCAGGCTTGAGATATATCTATGATATTTCATATATATCATGTCAAGTAGCCGATAAAAGAATAATTGTAAGTATCTATATAAGCCACAGATCGTTAACCTCAGCCTTTTAGCCTATTTGTAAGTTTTTTTAAAAAATTTTTATCGTGGCTAATGGAATTGTTATGTTTCTTCCTGTTCGTTCTCTATTGCTTTGGGCCTTCTATCGACATTATGTCATTGGCAATGTAGACACAAATCTTAGGGATAACTTACTTTTGGTTGTAGAGTACAGTAATTATTAATTTAACTATGGCCACTGCATCAGACGCTGCATAAGTCAATCCATTTAAGTGCCAATCGGTGTCTCGGACCTGAGTTTTTCACCTCGTAAAAAAAGTGTTACAAACAGAATATCACAGTTATCACAGCTAGAAAAAAAATAATACTAGTCTTAGTTCAAATGACTTCCATTCTCATTATACTACTTTGTTTGTATGGCCTTTGGGATCTGTTTCCATTAAATGCTAAAGCTGTTTTTTAACGATATTACTGAAGTGACCTGGACGCCCATTGAGAACTTAACAAATGCTTTGTACTTTATTTTGACCATTGTAACTCCGTCCTTGCCGTGAGTATCACAATAAGTCACAAATTTAACTCAAATAATTTGTTTTCAAAGAATTCCTAACACTAGAGTCTTAAATTAATCTTCCGAAAGCCAACTTCTGAGAATATTTCGTCTCGATGGCCATTTTAGGAACAGGATATTCGAAACGAAATTTTTAAAATGAGTTTCTCGTCTCCCTGGAAACTATTGGTGCCACTGCTGTTTGCATGCATTTACGCTAGTCTCTTCAATTTTAAGCTTTTATGATAGACCTAAAATAGAAACAGCAGGATGGTAACCACGACTAATCCGATCATCGAGGATACAGCCAAAAAGAGGTAGTATACAAGAGGTTTTGTTATCCATCGTTTCCAATTATTCGCTTGCCTGACATGTGCTTTATATTGATAAAATAGTTGCTTGTTCTAGGTGTCAAGTGCAGATAAATTACTCCTTTGGGTATATGGCCGAATTAGACTGTCAGTATAATTGAACTCCCTTCAGAAGAATATTATCTGTCAGTATAATTGAACACCCTTCAGAAGAATATTTTTCTGATTTTCGAGCTCTTGCTTTTTATTGATGAGTTTGTCCCTTTTTTCAGACGATTTTCCTAAGGTCTTAAATACATACATCTTTTCTCTTTTTTTCAGTAAGCAGCATTTTAACACTTTTGAAACTGAAAATTTGATTGCTTAAATTGCTCTGACTGGATCTGTCTCAGCCAAATAACGTTGCGGGTGTAAAAAGTAATGTCAAATAAATTTAGACTCCGACAAGGTAAAACTCGGAATATAAAAGGTTTTTTTTTTTCGATGAGGGATTGTAGGCAAAAAAAAGACAAAGATAAAAAGTCAGTAACTGGATTCTTGTGGGAAACTTAGGTACATAGTAAGAATACAATCAATTCCTGCTTGGGATTCATGGCTTATTTAAAATTGCATATCAATTAATAAATAATCACTTGAAAAGCAATTCTAATAAGCTCCAAACCAAAACAAGGAAATCTGCATAACAAGGAGAAAATTTAACACTCAAATTCTATAACATTAATCATGTTTCTGATGCTAGGTAAAACAATTTTTGTCTTACAGAATGACTTGAAGAAAGATAGTCGGGAAATTAAAGATATTTCTATTTTAATGGGATTTGCAGGAAGTAAGTGCAAAGTAAAGATAGATTTTGAGAGCATGGTATTCAAAAAGCTGTCAATTCTATTATCGCGGTTGTTTTTTTGGTTTTGTCTTTTTTAGATCCGGATATGTGTGCAACACTATAAAGAATTAGGATTTCTTATGTTTCTCGATATTAGTTCATTTTTCATGATGTTACAAAAATACCAACTAATAACTGAACGAATTCAATAGAGAGTTCATGACATTAACACTGAATCTAAATTATAACCTGCGTTAATGTTGGCAAATAATCAAAGAGACCATTTTTTAAGGCTGAGTCCTCGCAATTAGAATCTGAGGAAATCTTTTTAAGTTTATGGATACACTGTTGTGAATTTACAATTCTTACCCGCCAGCTCATGAAGTAGCTGCGTGTTTCTGGTTATTATTGCAAGGTTTTATTTTCCTTTCACCCTCAACTCGTGGCCCGCTGACGACTATTAGCGGTCACGTGAGATTATTTGTGAATACTCATACCACATACCGTTAGGCAACCAGTTACCAAATGAAATAATAAATATTTAACAAGTGTAATTTAATTGCAAATAGATTTCAAAAGAAACTATCAAATAGTTTCTGAAATCATTGCTATGAGAATGAGTACCTGAACAAAATATGAATTGATTTTGGAAAGTTCTCATCTTACAAAATATCCGAGTTGTTATTCATTAAGGATAAAATTATGGTGTAGGATTATTTTTGGTGCATCCTGCATGTAGACTTAGTCAAAATAATGCATATTCTTGCCAGCTCTGTTTTGTCAAAATTGGTTAACAGAAATATGTACTTTCATATTCGCATGATGTCAGTTTTTGTAAAGCGTTCGCTGCAAGCAAATAGAAAGAAATGTAATTTTTACAGAATTTGACGACGCACATTTTGCGTGGTAACATTTTCATATGGCGTATAAAAAATTTGCTGACTCGCATTTTTCTATTTTTAAAGTATTTTTCTTCCAAATTTGAAATGCTAAATAGCATAGAACCTTACCGAGGCTTATTGTTACGCAGTTGTTAAGATAAATTGGCTCCGTGGTTTGAAATATAGTGGGTGGTATATTCGTTCTGAAAGATTCTATGACTTAAGGGACCTGGCAAATGTTGATTCTTTTCAGTGTTATTTACACGAGATTTTTGTAGATCACAGAGCTCCTAATGTTTGATCCAGTAACAAAACAGGTAAGTTATATTAACAAAGTTTTTTTTTACGTAGTATCGAATTAATTTGAGTATGTAAAATGCTACTGCGTCAGTAGAGACGTGTCAAATTTATGTTTTTAAAAGGCATCTTAAAGCAGAATTTTGGCCAACTCCACTTTTACTTCCTCACTTCTGCTTAGCGCTGCTTTGCCTTCATTAGCTTAGAATTTACAGATTCACTACATGTGAAACAGAAACTGTCTTTAAGTAATCAAGAGAAAAATAATTTGAGGAAGGTATAATATAGATATTACAATTGACTGTGTTTTACCAAACAATAATACAATTCATCTGCTTGAAGAAAAGTAATAAGAGTTAGAAATTTCAGCTGCTTTAAGTAAATAAGTAAATTCTACACAACTCGAATTCAGGCGGGTCTTCGCCTCTTTGCCTTAGTTGTAACTGAAATTGAATAAAAAGGTTTGTACTTAAGTGTTCAGAAAAAGAAATGCTGCCGAGTTAACCAAAGTCTCTGTCAGTCTAAAATATCAACAATTACCTTATCAAATCAATTTTCGTCTTCGATACCGTTCAACTTGATTTCCAAAATATTTGTGGTACATCCAATCCATGAAAAACTGAGAAATGGTGCAACAGAAGTGGGATATAAACAATGTTCTTCTCTCGTCGTTTGCATGTGTTAGCGGCCAACTACTGAGGATGAACTGGACTCAAACCGCAAGTCATATAGGACGTGTTACTGTGGTTGATAAATGTACATGTACCGCAAAATATTACATAGAAATGAACATTTATCTCATTAACCTGTGCTAATATACTTTTTTGCAGATAATAAGATGGAAAGAACAGCCATAGGTATAGTGCTGGTTTTCCTTCTCCCATTTGTGCCCAGGCTATCTACGACACTCAGAAAATTTACATGCGGTAAGCGAAAAATGAGCAGTTTGTTTCCACCCCAAAACCACATACTTTCTCATTATTTTTTTTTTGGAGGGCACGGTAACGAATCCTGCAATCCGATTGGTTCTTTACCCGGTCAGTATTTTCCTATCTCTGCCCACGGGTCACAGTAACGCTTTCGTGAGTCGCCGAGTACATCCCAACATTCGTTGCCATTTTTCATAAATATATCTCGTTTTCCGGCTGGGTGGTACTTTTAAGAAAACACGTCGGTCCGATAAATAACTTATGAATCCTCTCTTTTCCTTCTCTCAAATCACTTTGGTTGACAGAAAAATATTGGTTTCAGAATGAATTTGTATAAGCAATAGTGTCATTACGTTGCTTGACAAGGACCTAAAAACCGTCTCCAATTAATTTTAAGCGTTCATAAAAAATACCTAGAAAGTTAAAACGTGAGGTATTTGGTTACAGTTAAACTGAAAGATGGAACTTTCATTCATTTAATATCTGAATTTTCTCAAACAATTTGTTCGTGGTGAAAGAGCGAGCAGTTCTACAACAAATATACGCTCTCGGTGAGTCTTTCCAAGTCCGTTCAATTTGGACATTTGTGCCGCAAATTGCACAACAGAAACTGAAGGAATTTATTGAGAAAAGGCCCCATTAAATCCCCTCGTGTCTCGTTGGAGTGTGCCATTCGAATTTAGTTCTTGTGGAGGAAAGACCAGATTTATACACGACATTGCAGAAAACAAACCAGCAAATTATCACTACTTCAAAATAAAAAATTTGAATTTACTCACAATTACTTTCCTCTCTGTTTACTTAACGAACAGAGGTAAAAATTCGTACATGAATGAATCGTCGATGAGAGTGAATAATACTTTTCCGTTAGATCATTGACTGTTTTTGAAGAAAACATTGTCGTGACAGTCCTTGCCAAACTAGTTCCGTTATTTTTCAAATGTTCTTACGCTTTTTTTTTCTTACGCGCTCTCTAATTGACAGGTGTCAGATTGTGACAGACACTTGTAAAAATAATGTTTCAAAGTTTGTTTGGAAGCCTTTTAAATCAACTTTATCATTACGCAAATGAAAATTTTTCGGTGAGACACCTCTCTTTAATTTGCATCACCTCTATTTTATATAATAAGCTCAGTTATGCACGCATTCTGATTGGTTCTCACTTATGATCTATTGGAGGACAGACGTATAGATGACGTCATCATTAAAACTTTTTTTTAATTCTTTATTATACAAAACAAATAGATTCCAAGTTGCCGAGCGTCTGTTCAGTAATAGATCATAGAGGACGTCAAAATGTGGTAAGAACATCAGTGACACACTCGGCTGCGCCTTGAGTGCCACTTTTTTGTTCTTACCACATTTTGACGTCATCTGAACAGACGCACGGCAACTTGGAATCTATTTGTTAATTAACTACCATTTACTCGCTCAAAAATTTTTCAGTTTATGGAAGGTCTTGCCGTATTTACAGCCCTAAATCTTTCGGGATCTTTCAGAAAAAATTTCGCCAAGTTTAAAAAACATAAATATGTTATTTACCGGCTAAGGGTCGATCCGTATGGTAAAAAAACTGTGACCTCGGTCTTGAAAATGCTGACCTCGGCTCACGACCTCGGGTAGTATTTTCAAGACCTCGGTCACAGTTTTTCACCATACGGACCTCCCAGCCGGCAAATAACATATATTTATTCATCTTAGAGGAGAATTTTTCTTTCCAAGTTTCTTTCTTTCTCTCTGACCTTCCTTTTTTCTTTTTCGTAATTCAGGTTTAGTTAATGGTTATCCTGAAGAGTATGACGCTTTGACTTTGGCTGGAAACAAAACGAACAAACTAAATAATGTATCAGTAATCTTCAAACAGTTCAATATCTCAGACAAGATAAATCTATTCAGTAAAGGTAATGTTGTACCTAATTACAAGATGGTAGAAAAGTAAGTGTAACACCTTTTTTTCTGCTGAAGAGGAAAAGAAAAGTAAGAAAAGTAAGTGTAACACCTTTTTTTCTGCTGAAAAGGCTAGAGTCCATTCTTTGACCAAAAAGGTGTATTAAACGTATTAAATTATATACTACTTTTGGTTGTAATTGAAGCCTTCGATAAGTTTCAAACTCCCAACAAAAACAAGCGTCAAAACTTTCGAAACCTTAAACTAAAATCTGAAAAGTGTCCTCGTCGATTTCAATATCAAGTTAATAGTCTCTCAATATGATTGGGTAACCAGTCAGCTCACGCACGCCTGTTGCGGGAAGGAAAAATGTAGTTTGAATATTCATATTCAAGAATCTCAAGAATTATTTAACAACATGGCTCAAATACTTTGCTCATCATCGAGTCGCAATCTGATTGTGAAGAAGTTGTTTTTCAATTTTACCAAACCAAAGAATATTGTTTTGTTATCCTCAATACTTTAGGTAATCCTGTTCTTGTATCGTGGTAATTTTATTAAAACATCTTAAATATCAGGTAGTTTAGTGTTAACAACTGGGTTGAAAACATAAATTAGCCACCGTAAAGGGTAAAAAAGCTGACGTTTCGAGCGTTAGCCCTTCGTCAGAGCGATTGACGAAGGGCTAACGCTCGAAACGTCAACTTTTTTACCCTTTACGGTGGCTAATTTACGTTTCAACCCAGTTGTTAGCACTAAATTACCTGCTATACTCTCCCACCGACGCAGTACCATAGTTTCTTTAGAAACTTACCCCTTCATTCATCTTAAATATCAGTTGAACTTTTCAAGCTGTATCAACAAAAATGTTATTTCTATCATAGCTTCATTACTTCGTGATGAAAACGTTATTGCGCTCGTGGAAGGAAGTGAAGACAAGATCTCCACATGCGCATTGTCTACAGTGACTGGAATTCCGCTTATTCGTCTCCATGATAGCAAAGTCTCTGACCAGTGTGAAAAAGTGATTCAGATGTCAGCTGGATACAAAGACATTGCAACTGCCACGCTCGCTCTGATAAACATGTTTCACTGGGAAAGTATTGCAGTTTTATTTGATGGTAAACAAAACTTTTGTCGTTCGCGCTGACTAGCATAAGACAGACGAACTTCTTAAAATGTTCAAACTTTTCTGTTGATTGTCTTGACTACATTTTTAAGCATGAGCACATAATTACGTGTATGAATCTTCTTGTCTGTTTCAGAGGATTACTCCTACAAAGCAGCTTTTTTCACCACCATAACCAAGAGATTAAATCTCGCTATAAAGTTAGTTCATTTTTCCTCGGAGGCTAATAATGAAAATGCAGTATTCAACGCGATGGATGAGATTTACAACCTGGAAGCAGAAGTCATTTTACTTTACATCAAAAAAAAGAACATTGAGATAATACTTAATCAGGTGCTATTCTAATTTTATTGTCTTTGGTTTCTATGCGCCATTTCAATGAACTTTTTTCCTGTGTGATAATGAATAATTTCGGAATGCTATGAGCTGACTCCTCGTCCCTTGGCCTCTGATTAATGAAGACTTTTTTTAAACGAAAAAGTACACTCAAAGAAATGATTACTTCACAGCCAATTAATTTGATTGTTAAATTATATGTCTGCTGTGTCTTTTCCTTCATTCAAGTATGAATTGATGCATCTCGTTATTGTTTAAACGCTCACATCGGCAACAAACATCTTTTTTCTTTTTCAGCAAAGAACTTGTCAATGCACAAATGTGTACAAGTGGATACTTCAAGGAGAGGTTATTCAATTAATAAATTTTTCGCCACCAAAGAATCTTAGAAGGGGAAAGGTTCTCTCGTGTATATCAAATGCCAACTTTCTGACGTCCTTATAAAGACCAGAAAAAAATCGTTCAACCATAAATTCCACGTAAGCTAGTTTGAGCTTAACTGCTCATATTATGGTACAAAAATGTTAATTCCTTCGCTACTGTTTTGGCTGATTTTTTTTTCAATTTTGCTGTTATTTGTGGATCTCAGATACCATTACACCTGACCTCTGAAGGGAATAACATTGTTTTTGCATTAAAACTTCCCTCCTACTATGAAGAAGAAAATGTCGTCAAAGGCAATAATACTAACACCACGGTAAGTCAGGCAAATCAGAGAGCCCTAATACATATAGACGATAGTAAATAGCCATTCTGAGATGCGAGATTTCTCTTGAGGGTTGAAAAATGTTAAATATTTTTCAGCATGAAAAGAGTCGAGAAATTTCGTATCATCTGGAGGCCATGTAAAATATTCTATTTATTATATAAAGATCAATGAAATACTAAATCATTTCACCTTAATTTTTTTTAAAAGTAGAACAACTACCCAATAGCATAACCAGTGATATAACTTAAACATCTTCACCTGTGAAAATACTATGTTTTCGCACGAATGCTCGCTTGGTATTTCATTGATATCTATATAATAAATACAATTATCCAACTTCTCCATAAGATTTTGTAATGGCCTTAAAGACGCCGTTCAGTTCAGCTTTGTCAGGACTTTACCAATCCTGGAGCAACCTTAATTAGCCACCCAACGGATAATAACCTGTTTCAAGAAATAAGTCTAACCCTTTTTTAATTCTTTCTCAAACCTGATAACCGCTTCAAGAAAGTGAGCGTGGATCTAATCAAAACCTCTTGGTATATGAAAATACACTCAGAGACTTCTTATTACTTATGTCATGACCCCTTTAACATTTTACCATTTTGCCCTAAGGACCAAGATGCACTCCTGCAGGACACATCCCAAATTATCCATCAGGCTCTCAGCAGGGAAGAGTGTTTGTCAGTAAATAGCTCCTCCTTTGGTTTTAACGAAGCACATAAAATGTTGAGTTGCTTGAAAAACGTAAGCTATCAAATGATTCTCTTGTCATTTCTACCTTGATTAAAATGATCCTAATTGTACTTTTTTTGATCGAAAAATTTTGATGTTGTGTGTCATTTTATTTCAATTGCAAACAGGTCAAATTTGAAGGCAAAACAGGACCTGTTTATTTTGATGAGTACGGGGAGAGAAGAGGAATTAGATTAGAAATTTTGAATCTTCAAAATGATTCATTGACAACGGTAGGTAAAATTGTTATTATCTTGATAATCATTCTAATTGCGATCAAACCAGTGTTATTGAAAAGATTAACAGCTTTGAAACCTCATACCACAGAGGGCTACGTGGCAAACTTGATAGTTATCTTTTTATCAGATGCCATGAATTTTCAGAAAAAAGATTGCATTGAACGGGTCTGACGAAGATTAAATCCCTATCTATTTGACGAGTCTATGTATAGCCATTTTGAAATGATTAGAGATAACTGATCTTTAGATAGGGACATGGAATTCATCTCATGGTGCCGTGGTTTTTGGGAATGTGTTAAGTAATGATGGAAACCCATTGAGCGGAAGGAGACTGGAAGGGAAAAAGCTTAGGGTCGTTGTGGTAGAGGTAAGTATGTCCATGACAAAGTATATGTAAATTTTTTTTACAGACCTTAATTGTGGAATCTACCATAAACGAGGCCCCAGTGTAAGGATGAATAACACTTTATTTAATTTAAGCGAAAGATATAAATTAAGAAGAAAGAAAGTAATGTATAACGTTTCCAAAAGCAAAGAAGCGAAGTAAGAGATGAATGTAAGGAGGAATGGACCGAGGAGAAAGGAAAGCACTACCATGGTTCACAATTTTTGAAGCCGTGATGCAAAAATAGCAAAAAAAAACCTTTATGCATTACGCAGCAAAAATTGAAACACTTGCTAAAAAAAGTAGAACGCTGATACTAACGAATGGGTCAGACAGATAATAGTAATACTCGAAAATCAAACAAATTAGCTGAACACGAAGAAATAAAAATGCGTTTTGATCATACAGTATCTGTTTACTTTAATTTTGAAACAGAATGCACCGTTTATAATGAAGAATGAGGACGGCACTATTCCACATTATAAGGGATACTGCATCGACCTTCTCGATGAACTGGCCAAGAATCTCAAGTTTACCTATGAGATCTATCTCTCCCCAGACGGGATGTATGGTGCCGAGTTGGAGAATGGAACATGGAACGGTATGATTGGCGAGTTAGTTGGTAAGGTAATTATCTAACCTCTGCTGCCTAATATATTTCAAATACGCGCTACTAGTAAATGTCAGTTAAAATTATTTCTTGTACTCCATCGTAAGGCCCACACCAACAGAGCTCACAATTACATGAAATAAGTAACATTTAGACCTACGGTTGATATACAACTTCGATAGGAATCCATCCAGGTGGGCTGCAATTGTAGAAATTGCAGAAAAAACGCCTGACAAAAATCAGGCTACGCCGGAATTTGGCCGTGTCTCTTGACTGTTCACAGGTATGGTCTACGAATACAAAACGATGACTTTTCATTGATTTTGACCTCGTGATTTAAGATGTGGATTCCACAGTGCTCTGACAACTAGCAGGTCACCACTCTCTTTCATGAATACAAACAGCTTAAGTGAATTCAGAAAGTCATCCCAAATTAAGATTACAAAAAAAAATGATGCAGTCATTTGTCTTTCTCTTAAGCGTGCTGACATCGCCGTTGCATCTCTTACCGTAACTGAAAGTCGAGAGAAAATTGTGGACTTCAGCATTCCTTACATGTACTACTCAAGAGAAATACTGGTCAAGAAATCACCTCACAGTGGAAAAGTTGATTTGCTTCAGTTCATGAATCCTTTTGACATTCAGGTCTGGTTTGTTACTCTCGCCAGCCTGGTCATCATCTCTGTTGCTGTATTTGTGATAAACTACTTCAGTCCTTATGGGTGCAAAGACGAAAATGGCCGAGGAACATCAGAGGAGTTTAACTTCTTCAACAGTGTGTGGTTTGCTTTAGCCTGCATGCTGCAGCAAGGAGGAGATAACACACCGAAAAGCTCATCAGGTGGAAGCTTACATACTAAAAACCACCCGTAGTAATAAAAGGTCATGCATGCTAAGTGAGGAGAGCCAATCCGGCATTTTAGGTCAGGAATCCAATTTCTCACCAGAAATTAAAAGAAGTGTTTGGGTTCAATATGACTCTTCATGATTGCAACAGAACTCTCCTTTTTTTGGGCTCCAAAATGAAATAAAGTTTGTATACTTTTCCTTTCACTCGATATTCTTACAACCCATTGATCGAATTCATTATAGGATCGAGGCCACTCGAGCTTGTTCAGATAGTAAAAAATTATTGGGCACGGGTATTATATGAAGATATCTCATGATGTCTTCAACAAAGCAATCCTTTTTTTGCTCAATATCCTCCTTAGGTCGGATTCTGACTGGATGCTACTGGTTCTGCATACTCATAATGATCTCAACATACACTGCCAACCTGGCTGCTTTTCTTGTTGTGAAAGATAATGATAATCCGATTAATAATCTAGAGGACATCGTAAGGTCCACCTATCAAGTAGCTGTCATTGAGTCAGGAAGTACTTATGAGGCATTCAGGACAAGTCAGTATGTAACGCATGAAAAGATTTGGAATAGAATGGTAACAGCGGGGAGTTTTGTCCAGAGCACAGCGGAAGGAATTCAAATGGTGCGAGACAGAGACCAGTTTGTGTTTATTTCTGATGGGCCTGTTCTTAAACACGCCGCACAACAGCCGCCTTGTGACGTCACCACAGGTCAGTGGAGATGAGAAACGCACAGAGAACCATTTACCATTTCTCTAAACAGTCCTGATTTCTTCATTAAGTTAAAATAACTTTTCTCTAACCTATGTTAACCAGTTGTCATCTTTTGATCCCATCCTGGCAAACCCTGACACCCTCCACCGATTGAAAAATCCTTAAGTTTAAATTCGTTCTGATTTTTTTTGGTCTCAGTTCCAGGCCTGAGTACGGCCCTCGGACTTGCGTTTGCTTTTCAAGCAAATAGTACAGATGTTGATGACGTCACATTGGCTATTCTACATCTTCACGAAAACGAATTCCTTGACAGTTTAAAAAGGGAATGGTGGGAATACAAAGATGAATGTCCTAAAAAGCAGGATACAAGTAAGGATTTCAATTCCTTCTGCACGAGAGTAGCTTTTAATATCCAAATTATGTTAGTTCTCCATCATCCAACATACTATCTGGTTCTTAGGTTTTGGCCCAATAAGTTTTCACGAATCCGATAAACCATCATTATTTCTTCATTTTTCACTTTATAAAACTCTGTAGTTGGAGCTCCTCCCACAATATGTTTTCTTTCTTTCAGCTTTGACTCGAAAGCGAATTGATCTCAGAAGCATGCTGGGAGTGTATGTCGTTATGAGTGTCGGATTAATTTTAGCATTGATGGCGCTGACTGCAGAGATCTTTTGGACAAGAATGAAAGAGCGCAAGATAATAACCCAAAGGTTGGTCAGAGTTATTGGAACAAAACAAGACTCTGCTTGGCAGGATGATATAAACTATACATGCATGATCTGCTTAAGAATTTAACGAGGATATGAAAACATAATCATTTGTGGTCAGCACCTAATTTTGCGGTTTTAAACTTGTCATCTTGCTCTTCCTGGTAAAAAGAGAAGTTCCTCTCTTCGATAAGTAAAAGTTGTTAATACTTTTCCCTCATCCTTTTTTCCTTTTCCAGACCAGAAGATCGTTCCATTGAAGTCAACCAAATCGCACATCCTGATTAGTCTAAGCCGACCAATCAAAGCCTGCACGTGGCTTAGTTTCAAGGAGAGTGAATGAATAAGCAAACCATTTCAAGGCAAGGATCGTGACAAATACATGATGTCATCAAAGCAGTTGTGAAGTGTGCTTCACCATACAACCTCCCTGAGCACCTTGGCTTTTTTTTCGTTTCAGTCAGTTTGCCTTCTTTTTCTCGCAAATTGTTTTCTCAATATGCTTCTGTCGTTTTGGGCTTAATTTTCGTCAAATTGTGGCTCATAGTCCAGAAATAAACCCATACAAGAAAACATTATAAATAAATTCAGTGGACATACCATTTTACCATAAGTCTTCATTATTCTTAAAGTTTGCGAAAGTTGCTAAAACTCGCGCCAAATTTTAAAGTCAATTATGTAGACGAAACAATTTAAAAAATAAACGGATTCAGTTTTTAATAGTGCTTTTAGCTGTCTTTATTGTTAGTTTCAATCACTCGTGATATCATATTTGGATAAGTTTCATCTCGTTTTTTTTCTTCAATTTTAAACTGCCAAAGTTAGATTGTACCACTCCAAACCTCACAATTAGAATATAACGTGATAGAGTTATTAGATCTCAACAGATAATCATTAAACTGGCACCACAGTCCAAGTCTGAAAGCTAACAAAATCACGCAGTTATGTACAAGGCAGGACGACGATAGCATAGCTATAGCTCGAAACGTCAGATTTCCAAACATCAATAAGATAGTAACAATCTTCATCAACGTCAAGTTGAACTAACCTTTGATCCAAACTCCTAATTTAATTTTCTACCCCAACCCACCTTAAGATTTATATTAGGAATAACTTTCATTTAAAGTAGAAGCAACAACAAAAAACATGTGTACAATTATGTTATCTCAGAAGGTCCTGGGCGAATTTTCACTGAACGAAGTTTTGTCCTGTGGAAATAATCAAAGAAAAATGTAAGAATTAAATCAGTTTGTTTTTCAACAGCGTTAAAAACAGCATAACTTGTGCATCTAACTCATCCTCTTAGCTGATCTTTGCTGCAATCATTATCAAACACAAAATAAAACGTAACTTTGAGCAACCAAAGCAATCTTGCCCGATCAGGAAAAACATCGACCACGAGTTCAGATGTCCTAGAGTGACTCCATACAAACCTGTGCAGCTTGTCTACCAGCGCTTGTTTAGCTTTTCTCTTCCAGTAAAGTTCCGCCACAAGTGTCATGAATGCTATGATCATTCCAACAGCTAAAACAATGTACACACCCAGCATACTCATAATACCAATTCTTTTTCGAGACAAAGCTAAAATAAAAATAGGGAAACATGATTGGTACAAACTGAATATCATATAGCGCAGCGGATTTTGTACGTTGGCCCGTCAGCTTTCATTATGGTTTTGTATAGGATTGCACGCGCGGGGCCGTATTGGCCACTTTCTCAACATCCCCAACATTGAGTGCGCAATACTAAAGCTGTATTGTTTCATTCGGCAACAGTCAATCTTAAGTCTCATAAACTACTTTAAACAGTTGACACTTGTCATGTCAGCTTAAGGATTAAAAAGTGCTGATGAACGCTTCTCGCTTTGAAGTTAACCCTGACGTCACAGATAATACACATCATTAATCATATTATGACGTTACAGATAACTACAATAACCCAGGAGTCTTTCTCCGTTGTTAACCAGAATTATGAACTCCTAGCATTATTGCTTCAATTTACTTAAGACGAACGTCTTAAGTAAAAAAAAGGTTTGAAAACGAAGCAAGCTATGGTGGAAGTGGCTCCAAGGAGGTCCGTCATGTCGCTTATTACTGAAAGATCAAACAGACAACAAAGACCTGCGATAGCTTCCCATTTAACAACTGAATCTGTTTTGGAGGAATCGTTGATATGTTTAATATGCAGTACAGGACAACTGGAGATTAAAGACGGGGACACTGCACAAAGCAAAGCCGAGACCTGCAATTTGTGTAAAGAACACGGCTACGACGGAAACAGACAGGAAAAAGAGTTTTTCTGCATATTTTGCTATGAAAAACGAAGACGCAAAAAGGAAAAAGCAAGAGCAAATCTTAAACGGCGAAATACCATGGTGGAAGAAAGTGTTCATGGGGCCGAAGGATCGTTGAAGAAAATGAAAATCTGCGGTGACACACAAGCTCGGAGCAAAATGGGAGCAGGTCAATCATAATGTCCATGATGATGACGATGATATCACTAAAGGTTATTTTATGATCATGCAACAATTGCCTGCTTATTTAACGGAAATAGACTGCAGACAGCCATCATCGAGGCAACAAATCATTCTAAGGACTTACTACAGGTAGCTGAAGAAAGCACTTCAAAAAAAATTTTACATACACGTTTCTTCTTCGACTGGACATTTATTCGTACTATCCCACCACTTCCTTTGCAAGCTGGTGAGAAAATCGTTCTCATGCAGACGCAAAATGGCCAGAGTAAAGTCATTCACGTGTGGATCATTAGCTTGGAAGGCGAGTGCAAGTCCTTTCGACGTGCTTAGACCTGGAACTGAAACAAAAATAAACCTAAGCTGTTACTCATTGTGATTATTTATTAATCAAATGATCAGATCAAATATCGGTCTTTTTGATAAATATTTCAGCTAAGCTGATACCAAAATGACAAGTCTTGGGTACGAATAACAGGATTTTTGGAATAAGCTTATCTAATCTTTTCTTTTGTTATAAATTTAACATAAATTTGGAAAGAATAGCACCACTCCACTTTAAGCGGCGAGTTTTTAGGGAGACGATTTGCGTCAAGTTATAAATCTCATTACCAGGTAGCTTCCATTAATTAAGCTTAAGTATTTACCAACTTGCAGGTCACAGGGTTTTTTGTTGGCGATATGTTGAAGAAACGGTCCGTCAGTGATAAACGCGAACTCATCTTTCTCTCTCACCCACTCAACACCTTGCGCTGTATTTTCAGCAAGGGTACCCTCCGATTTTATTTTGTGCCAGATTTTTTTGTGTGTTTCGTAGCCGCTCGTCTCGAAGAACTCTGAAGTGCTGGATGAGTCGAGTATTCCCACCGAATACGATGATTTCACGATGTCCTCTAGGTTATTAATCGGATGTTCGGCGTTCTTTACAGTGAAGAAAGCGGCCAAATTGGCAGTGTATGTTGAGACCCAGATTAATATGCAAAACCAATAGCAACCAGCGAGGATACGACCTTAAGAAATAAGCAGCATCATCACAAATTATTACAGCATGAAATTATTATGACTCAAGGGAGATAATAAACACTAACAAGCGAGAAACTCTGGCCGGTAAAGTATACTTCCCCACCTGATAGGCTCTTTGGTGTATTATCTCCTCCTTGCTGCAACATACAGGCCAAAGCGAACCATACACTGTTGAAGAAACTAAACTCCTCTGATGTTCCTCGGCCATTTTCATCTTTGAATCCATAAGGACTGTAGTAATTTATTACAAACACAGCAATAGAGATGACCACGAGGGTAGCTAAGGTAGCGAACCAAACTTGATTATCAAACGGATTCATGAACTGCAGCAGGTCATAATTTTCCTTGGATGATGTTTTTTTCAATAGTATATCTTCGGTGTAATACATGTAAGGTACGCTGAAGTCTACTACCTTCTCTCGACTTTCTGTTACAGTGAGCGCTGCAACGATTATATCGGCGCGCTTTGAACAAAGAAGAATAGCTAGTTAGAATTGCAATATTTCCTCAGTTTCCTTATACAAAGTCTTTCTTTTAAGCGATAAGCCAGTTATTTCACCGCCATATTTCCGTGGATTATCAGAGAAACCTTACACTCTGTTCAGTAGCATACCCATGACCTTCTACCTATCCAGTTTAACAACACTTTCACTGATCAGTAAAATCTTCGTCACAAGAGAGTGACTTTACACAATGCTAAGGGTCAGCATCCTAACTATTATTTCTTTCTTATATCATTGTTTACTTAGTGAAAAGTATCATTTATGAAATCTTACCTCGTTTACAATCTCCTTCATCGTTCCACTCCAAGTTCCATCTTCATTTTCAGCACCATACTTGCCGTCAGGAGAGAGGTAGAGCTCATACGTAAATTTAAGGTTTCTTGCCAGCTCATTCAGAAGATCAATGCAGTATCCTTCGTAAGAAAATCCGCCGTTTTTATTTTTCACCCTCATCACAAAGGGAGCGTCCTAGGGTTAGAGAAACAGCGCCAGAACCTTTACAATAGAATTTCGACCTCTGGCATAGATTGATCTAATTTGCATTCGAGGATACCCTAAAGATCATGATTTGACACCAACATATTACTAATATTGTGATAGAAAAACGTCTCCAAATCAAATAACTTTCAATCAAGCGTGAGGTCTTCTTGGTTTCTTGGTCTCCCATTCCACTGACACGACTTAATTTGTTAATCATATGAAAATAATGAATATAAATCAAATTCAGTCTGTTTCATTACCAGTAAACCAACAGCCCTGAGCTTTCTCCCCTCTAAGGTTGTTTCTGACAGTGGGTTATCCATGTTACGTAGGATATTTCCAGAAAACACGGCGCCCTTAGATGAATTCCAGGTACCTATCTAAAAAAAGGGGAAAAAACAACGCAACAAAGACGATATAAAGTGAACTTGGTCGAAGAGCCTTTGATGGAATGAGTTGAAATCGTCTCCAAATGCCTTGAGATGCCTGAGCGATTTTGTTTGAAAATTGGTTCACCCAAGCGGCTGTGCTGATAAATTCGGCCCTAACATCAAGGACGTTCAGGTCGCCTTTTATGTCGAGATCGCAATTTTTTTTTAAATGTGCCTGTTTCTTTTACGTTTTATAAAATCAGAAAGGGAAAGTTGAGATAAGTCTCAATCACCCAAAGCGTCAACTAAATTAACTAAATATTCGAATCATTTCAAACATCTCAAAACAAAGAAAAAGAAATTGGATCTAATTTGAAGCTTGAGATACCTACTTTCTTAAAAGAATTGTTACGAAGATTTAAAATTTCCAGTTCAACTCTTTTACGTTCCCCTTGCTCGTTAAATTGGAGAAATCCTGTAGTTCCATTGAGACTGACCTGTTTTGGAGATATGATAGAATAGATAAACTTCAGTTCGATGAATTAAGCTCTCCCTGGATTCTGAAAAGTAAATTGACATACTTCTCATGCTACTAAGATAGATTCTAAATTGTGCCATAGAAGTGACTGAGAAGACTAATAGAAGCAATCCAAACAGTCTTTACCATCCTCAAGCATGTTAACATGGCTTTGGTTGCTTCAGGACCAATATCAGACCCGTTGATTGATGAACAAGGCTCTATATTTGCTGCTTTGTTGATGGTCTGGACTGCATCATAACTAACTGCCGTCAATTGCTGTCGTGATAGGAAAGTTAACGATATTAGTTTCTTCGTTACGTTTGGGAAGGAGAACAGATACGAATGACCTACGAAAACTGAATGTCGTTCAACCCGTAACGAGAGACCCGCTCTATACTCCGAACCTAACGAGTTTCTGCAAGACAATGGTCATTCCCTCTAATATTCAAGATCCTTTTTGTTGAAAACATGCTGATTTTCTTGTTTGCTTTTGTTTTTTTCTGTAGTATACATTTATTACATATGGATAAGCTGCTATTCTATTGTATTCTTGAGTCGTTCCTTATAGGATCTAGTAATAAAAGCAAATAAATGAGTAAGTTTTAAAGAACTGCGTCTATAATCGTGAATATTACACTTAGCGAGGGATAAGACTATATGTGGGGTCCTGTCTGTCCATAGGAGCAGCAAGCAGAGATGAAATATACATTTACATATTAAACCTGCCTTGTCAACGGAACTGCTGGCCGAATAATTTCCAACTACATGCTTTAGAAGATCATTAACTGTGTGGTCATCGTACGACAGCTTCAAAGCTACCACAGCAAATTGGTAGCAGGTTAAATTCAAAGGCATTTGCACCTATAGAGTAATGAATAAAACCCCGTAAATTTAGGTTGATTTGACCGTGGCCACACGGTTTTCATTTAAAATCTGCCGCCAAATGCTGTTTGGATTTGAAGTAGTATATTGAACTGCAGGGCTTAAAATTCTATTTGCTACACTGAGTTGGGATCAGTTTACCCTTCTTGCTTACGTTGTCCTCCGCTATCTGTCTATTCATTGTTTGATTTCAGTATTCATTGACTGTAAAATTTTGTATTGAAGTCTTAAAATTTCGGTTATCAAACCTGTCCTTGGATAATCCAAATATATGTCTTTCTGTGGTTGCAAGGCTTCTATGATAAAATAAAAGATGTTTTCAAAATTATAAAGCTCTCGCTTTGAAAATTATCCTCTGTTAAATCACTTTGGTGAGTCAAAATGCATAGGGAAAGTAAGACATTCTTAAGAGAGTAAAATTTGAGAATTTTATAACCTGTTGTAGCATTAGCTGAATGTTTTTATTTTCCATGTAGAGTACAACAATTTCAGCATCAAAGTCCTTTACTTGCTCTACTGCTGATTGTATCGCTGCTGTTAGTCCTTCATCCTGTCCCTGCTCATAGAGTTGAACTAAATTCACAGTCAGCTGTAATTTTTGGGTGATGGCGACGAAAAAGCCAGCCTCGTGCACATGACGCTCTAAACAACAATACACACAAAAATGACAGACAGGGCCATAAACTAGAATATTTGGTGAAAACACTATTTATACAGGTCGTAAATAAAGAATTTGATATTTAATAGCACCAGGAATATACGGTTGATTGTGATGAGAGTTTTTGCTCACGAGTTCACTATAATTTAGACTGTTTGTGCTTAAAACAACGGTGAATGAAGCCTCGTTTACCTTCATAAACAAGAACAATGTTTTTCCATCCAAAGGTATTCACTATGTCACGTGTTGCACGCGCATAGTCATTGTATCCCGCTGACATCTGTACTGCTTTTTCACAGTGGTCCAACGGTCCACTATCATGTCGGAGACGAATAAGAGGAATACCGGTTACCGTCGACAGTGCGCATGCGGACGTCGTTGCTTTACTTCCCTCAATAAGTGTAATGACGTTGCTTTCGAAAATCGTCGTGGCTGAAATAAATGGGTTTGCAAACATCGTATATCTTTGAATGGAAAAAATATCTTTAGAATAATCGGTAAGATTAACAAATAAAACTTTCTCCTACCTTGATTAAATAGGTTCAGAGCGTCTGAAGTGTTAAATTTCTTTAACACCACTGAGACATTACTCGAACTGGAGGCGTTGTTGAAGACTGAGTTCACTGCATGAAATTCATCTAAATGACCAACAATAAATCCTGTATAAATTGGATAAAAAAGAAGGTCTGCAAATGAGCTTCAGTTTATTGTGTTTTAAACACGTTCGATAACTGTTTAGAGATTGTTTTTAGAATTTTATGATGGTGTTCCTTTAATAACGATCTATATGGTATTACAATAAATTATTGTATATATAATCCTAGAGGATCAGTTGCTAAGAGTACTTTATCTTATAGTTTGTTTTGTGGTAGATACAACTGACAATCCATGATGAGCTATAATGATAACTTACCACAAGCGAAGTTCTTCTTTGTTGCATAAATCCTTTGCAGTAATGACACAATAACGACTACCTCAAAGAGAATGGCTCTTGTCTTCATCTTGGGGTTCTAGATAATCAGAGAATGAATAGATAAAAGTTAAACAAGGAGGTAAATACACAAATAAATAAACAGATGGATATGACCAATACTAAAACAATAGTTCAGTTAGAACACTTAAGACTAAAATCAGTAAAAAAAAATTGATCAATAAAACAGATAAGAAATATTGTCTCTTTTCAAGTTTTGTAAAGGATTGCCTCTTGAATGTTGCTATCCAGTGATTCGTCTTGAATATCTTTTGAGCAAGGAAGTAACAATTGAATTCAGTATTCTACCTTTCGGGCCATAAATAGATTAACTTGGCCAGAAAATAATATGTATTTGGACGAATAAACTGCAAAAAACATTTCTTGGAAGATAAGCCAAAAGTAGATGAGGATTATTTCTTGAAAACACAAAAGTACTACTCCGTTAGGTACTCTGATTGTTATGACAAACCCCCGAGGAGAGCTGAAAGCTTATTTTTATCTCTGCCAGATTGTTCCAGATAATTACAAATGTCCATTTATAAGTGAAGCAATAAAAAAAAAATTAAATCATCAGAATCTTGAAAGATGCAAAATTCCTTAAAATAAAGAAGTTTGTCATTCTAGTCTTTTTCTGCAGAAACAACGGGCATTTTAATAAGTTGAAGAAAACACCTTTCAAAGGTCTTCAGGGCAATAGAAATGTTTTGGTTCAAAATAAAAACAAAAAATTAATTAAAAAAAACAAAGCGTATCTAGCAAAATTGATATTTGCCGCCGGATTTCTTCGCACATCAATATTTTTGTATCCTTGTATATACTGAAAACATATGACAGACATAGAACTAGTGGAGTTCACGCCGTCTGAAATTTCATTCCATCTTAGCTAATTTTAATTTCGTTTAAGGCAATTATCGCCTGATGATGAATAATTAATTACAGCAAGAAATTATGTTTTCCTTGCACCATAAAAATGAGGGCTAATGATAATGAATAAACTAAATAAATCATTCCCTGGTTAACTGAGAAAGTAAAATATTTTTTCGTTATGAGAGGAGGCTCCTTTGTCTGATTCTTGAGAGAAATGTTCCTTGTAAGTCTTCTTAAAATGTGTCGGTCTCAAATAAACGTTTGTCATGAAATTAGTCACAAGGGCATGGTGGTATGTCCTCAAAATAAGAATTGCTAATTTTACGGTTTAGCTTCAAGTTCGAGGGCAAATTTATCAAATAGCATTGAAATCCGTAAAGTAATAAACACAGTAACTACAATGGTTGTTTTTCTTTGACATTGGCAGACAACACAATATGTGACACTTTCATCTTTACAGAACGAGACAAAGGATGCAGTAGTTAAGTTCAGAGTTCGATATCTCTGCGACCCGTTAAAATGTCTGGAAATGAAAATGACGAAACTCTACATACTTTCAAGGATATTTTGATGACAAATTCCATGAAAACCTTTTTTTTTGGAAATTATTGGAATAGACTCCATATCGTCCAAGACCGACGAAAATCCAATTTGCGAAGTTAATTTGAGATCCAAGGTATGAATTTCTGGTCAATCCAACCCCAGCGCTATCGGCACTATTTCAAAATCCATAAATCTGTTTAATTTGTCACAATTAATTCTCGCACTTTTCAAGTCTAAATCCATAGATCCGCAAAACTCTTCGTCCTGCCACCCTTCGGCAGCCATTGTAAAACACTTAGGATAACTACGTGTTATTCAACAAATAAATCCACTTATGACTTACATCATTGAATTCAAACATAAAAACATACAAATTAACAAAACTGACCTGTTATCTTCATTAGGTTTACTGATCTCTTATTTATCGAACCCGATCTTCCGACGAAAATTTTGCGCCTTTCGTAGAGTTGAAAAACAAGTTTGATACAAATTAAATTTGAGCGCCGGGAGTCTATATATAGAGACACCTGTCAGTTGAGTCTCAAGTGGAAATTGCAGATAAATTATTTAAGAGCCAGGTTGGGCATCTAACAACTTTCATGATAAATATTCAGAGGGTCTTTCAAAAACTTGTTATTTCACAGTTCGTTGATTCTCTTAAATTTTTCCCCCCAAATTTTTCGAGTTTGTATCGAATTTCGCCTAAGAGAAGAGTTACCCAACACTACAAAATTCAACACCAAAAATTGGAAGTTTTGCTGTGGGGAATTTCACAAGAACATTAGACTGGTGCTGAAAAACGTTAGATATGCAGAAATAGGAGACTGAACCATGATTGAAACCGTGAAAGTGTTTATCAGTCTCTACTTTAAGAGCACTACCAGCTCTAATTAACCTGCATGAAGTTAAGTATTAACGGTTCTTTAAGTATTTTGTTGATAATTAACAAAAAGGTGCGCCACGCAAATACGCTATTTTGCTAATACTGGCGTGCAGATGAATGCTGGAATTGGCCGAGCCAGTACCAGGTCACTCAAGGGGCATGTTGGTTTTCCTTCGCAAAGGCACAATATTTAGAAAACTGTAGAAGTGTGGAAGACATTTCAAGAAATCCCAAAGTAGAGGACTTAAAAACATTTCTTAAAGAAAGGGATATTAATCTTTCTGGCGACAAGAAAAGCCAGGCCGAAAAAGTTTTTGGCGCGGTTACGTTAGGTTTGGAAACCCTACTTACGCGTGCTGAAGAAGAGGAAAGGAAGAGGCAAGGCAAAACCGAAAAATTGTCGTTAGAAGACGGACTGATATAGCTACCATCCCTACAGAAACTTCAAACTGGTTAGGCGATTGGAAGCGAGAATTTCCCTGATACCACCTAGGAAAACGTTGAGAAATATTTAGCCGATAGAGCCCCAAAAGCACTCCTGAAAGGATCGTGTTTAGAGGAGTCGGGACACGTCACTGATATCACAATATTAGTAATAATGTCCGGTACTGTTTTGTCCGTGGTAAAGTCATTCTGTAAGAACGCACAAATAATGCACCATACGAGCTTTAGGTGCTTCTTAACAAAGAAGGTACTGTTGTAACAGGAGAATGTTCGTGTGTAGCTGGGTAAGTACACAAATTTTAGTTGAAGTTCAAAAGCAAAATCTCTTTCGCTTTGCAAGGATCCCTATGTTTCTGCTATATATACATTAAGAATTTGCAAAAGGCTCTTGACAAACATTTCACGTCATGATAATAGTGTTTAGAGCCTGTAGTTTGCAACATTTCATTCCCGTCAACACAGTGACATGCTTCTGATAATTTGATTTGTTTTCTGAGGCATAGTTAAATCACAGGAAGGCCAAGAACAGACAATACTTTTTGTCTATATGAAGGCATTTATTTTGCTACAGCTAATATGAACATATGCTAATAGCCATAAAAGAGATGCATAGTCATATGATTACAAATACATTGGACCATCTTAAAAACTATAGGCATGCACTTACTTCTCAAAGTTTTTTTTTTTTCATTTCTTTAACAGGTTAGCTGGAGTGTGTAAACAAGTGGGGCACATTTGTACCATATTTCTCTAGAAGTTAGAAAGGGAAACAACAAAACATGCACATGAAAACGTCAGGCCTGGGGGAGACCTTCAGCTTTGCCTAAGAAACGTTACTCTGCCAGCAGATTATCAAACATCCAAATAAAGAAAGCCAAGGCGCACAAAGGCAACTCCTTTGTCCCTCCCATGCACTGTTACTAGGTCTGGATATGGATATATGCAATAGAAGAAAGACAGCCCATGATATTGGACCAGGATGAATTGAAACACCTAGCAGCTCTAACAAATGGTAGATGTGGTATCCTTCTTAATTCCGGCTATCCCAAGAGCCAGTCAGAACCTGATATAAATGAGTTAGCTGGCGGAGAAACTGTTCAAGCGTTTGATGAGCCTTTGCCAATTTCAGATCAAGCTGCCATGATACATGCGCAGTGGCCAAATAGTTCAGTAGAGGTAAAAATAAGAAATTTCTTCAGGCAGTTGTTTTTATCAAATGAACTGCAACAGCGAATTGCATCTCTTACGAAATGGCTGTCTAAGACCCTGGAATAGAACAAATACAGAAAGGGTGTAATAACAGCTACCAAACTACAAGTAATCAGAAAATATGAGGATGACCTTCATGTAAAAAACTTAGAATCTGCCAAAAATCTTATGGTTGACATTCTTCATTACAAAACCACAGCACAAACCAAGGCAATGAGGTGGAGTTTTGCAAACGAACTTGTTGAAAGGGAACGATATAGAAAAGTAATGAGTGCTGCACATTCTAAATTTAACCTTGAGGAAACTGATCTGGTAGTGTCATTTGACACACCCTACATTTGTTGCCAGTCCAGATGTATTGGTAAGATGCAACTGCTGTGGGGAGGGTATTGCTGAGTTCAATACAACATGGGCTCACAGGGAAAAGACGATTCGAGAATTTGCTGCGACCAATGGAACTTGTTTGGAAGTAAATGGAGAGGAAATCAAACTAAGTAGGAAATATTCCTATTACTACCAAACACAGATGTTACTTGGAGTCACCAAGAAATTGTTTATTGACCTTTTTTTAGTGACTTCTGTGGAACACTATCAAGAACGTATTAATTGAATGAGGAGTTGTGGAAGTCATGTCTTCCAAAGTCGAGAGCATTCTTACCGAATCATTTTACTTGCAAAGTCAATTGAGACTTATTAGTTCTTTTTTTTTTTTTGTTTTTGACTCGTCTCAAATCTTCCTGCTCGTAGGCTAGCGTCTAAAGAAACTTTTTACGAAATTACTTTTGGCCGGAGGCCGTTAAGAAAGAACGGCCAAAAGTAATTCCGTAAAAAGACGCTCCAAACGACTCATGGAGGCGAAAAAATACCACAAATGCACCGATTAATATCTCATTTCACTTAATCGAGATATTCAGTCCGAGATGTAATTTAGATACGCAATTTTCAGAGCTTTATTTATAAACTTCATAGATTGTGTTCGTCTCAGTCAACAATAATCAACCACGAACACATGGTGTAATGTGCCTGTAATGTTAAGAAACCGGCTCTTTATAGTGGCCAATTGCAATTTACTTTGTCAAATCAGTTGATAAAACCAAACTATCCTAAGAAAAGTATGGTCTATCTGTGTCCGGTACAATGCTCACCAAAATGAAAAACATAAAAGGACTTACGAGTTACAAGTGTAACGTCAGAAACTCTGAGTTACTTTCTGGGTCTCATCAAATTATGAGTCTAGTAACAGGGCTGGCTTGGTCAGCGGGGTGAATTTTGCATCTCTGTAAATATGAGAAATTTTATTCACGGACGGAGAAACTTCAGCTCACTCAGTTACCTAATACCAGGCTGCAGAATGCACATTGACATAACTTAGGTTATGGGCCACTCCAGTCCTCATGTGGACAAATCGCGATTTTATGACCTGTTTGTCAGGGTGCGCATTGAAATGAGCTCGGCCTATGAGCATAACCGCCTCTCTACGACCTTTTTCTCCGCTCTGCCATCCACACCCCGGTCACGCAAACCAAAGAGTGCCCCAGTCAAACAGATTGAAGAGGGAGCTGAGGACTAACGCGAAGTGTTTGATTATCAAGCTGTGAGATACAGGTGTCAAATTGCTGTCGTTTCCCATTGTTGAAGGCAAAAAGCAGAGCGCAAGGCTGAGGAACGCGACAATAGCAAGACGTATTGGTCACGTGCTATTATTGTGTTTGGTGCAAAATTAATTATGCAGTTGATTTTACGTCCGATCTTTTTTGTGTGATTTTGGTCGAATTTCAGGGCTATACCCGTTAACAAAATCACAATCTTAAATTGATATGAAGGCTGTCTACAGCAAGAATAGAGGGTACCTCTCACGCACATTATCGGCAAATCGACAGAAATGAAAAAGCAGCTCTTCAGGGAAGACAGACTTAAATGAAATAATCCTAAAATGCATGCAAAAAATAAGAAAAAAATGGAAAAGTTGTGAATGTGAAAGTGGCTTTGGGAGTTCAACGCCACCAAGAAATTATAACCTGTTCGCTTAAGGTGGTAGTTAACCCTTATTTTGTAACTAAATGAAAAAGTGGCCTGTTTCCCTAGGATTTGACCAAACTCCATGAAATTTGAACAGAATATAGACTTAAGTAAGTTTGAAAGATTGACATGGTAAGTGTGAGACCACGCCCATTGGTTGCCATGGTAACTCCAGAAAACTTAAGTCAACTTCTGAGATTATGGCAAAGTTATCTCAGCAAACATATACCATAAAGCAATGAAACTTTCTAGAGACATTAACACTGTTACAAATTGTGCAATGAGTGAAACAGTTTTTTAGTATCGTCAAATCAATGTCGCTCTGACATAAAGAAGCACGTTTCCATAGCAACAAAATAAAACTTCACAAAAGACTAAAACTAGTTCACTCATTGCACAGTACAGCCAAAACTACACAACCTGTGAAAAAATCATGCAAATCCATTGAAAACTGGCAAAAATATGACTGCCACAAGATAGACAATTCTTAAACATATAACTTTAAGAAAACTGCTTCTAAAGTCCAAGACATGTGCTGTGAGTAAAATTCACCATAACATCCCCCCATTCTGTCAAGAAAGTTATTTTCTTGAAATTGTGTTGCACTAGGAAGTAAATATTAATTTGAAGGCCTTTCTCCAGCTAGATTAGATGGTTAAATGTGGAAAAGTTCAGTCCTCTTCATGAACCCTACTCTTTTGGAGTGACCACAACTTCAAAAATGGGTTCCACATATTTTATCTCCACAGTTTGCTCTCTACTAGTGGATGGTAACTCCTGAATGTGTTTCTTGGACTTAATATCCTTGATTCCTTGTTTAACTGATATCTCAGGCTTTGAATCAAGACCAAAAGCCCCTGAAGAGTATGACACTTCCCCTTTTGACTTTTGCTTTGCCCGTAAAATCTTCCTTTGTGTTCTGTACTTCACAGAAGCTGCCTTTTCAATTTGGATCAAATGATCATTGTAAGATTTCTTGGTCACTGGTGGACAGAAATTCATTCTAGCACAAAAGTCAGCCAACCCAGCCTGGCCAAGTTTCTGAGAAGCCAATACCGACCTCCTGTTGACTTCATGAGCCCCTCCACCAACACCTCCCAGTCTCTTACTTGTTTTCAACTCAGTCTCATGATGACAATTTGAACATCTAAGAAAAAGACATTCAGCAAGTCCTTCTCTCTGATAATCTCGCTGAAAAAGTTGCAAAGTTGATTGAGATTTGCGGCAGAAACTGCAAATTGCTGCTGAGGCGATACAATCTCTAAGTAAAGTGGCATCTTGAATTTTATAACCACTTGCAATGTTGTCACAATTTACTGATGGAACTCCGAGCCCAACATTTATCGACTTCTTACGGGTTAGAATGCCTTCCTGCTCTTCATACATCGAAAACGAAGAATTCTGAAGCTTTGAGGCGGAAACATTGACTTCCATGGGCAATTCTTCACTTTCACTGGCGTCGCTGTTGTCACTAACTTCGAGTTTACTTCCTGCAAGGCCATCTTGATCTGGTTCTTTAGTCAGTTTTGGACGTTTCTTTGACCCAGTAGTGCCGCAAAAACCCTTCCTTTTTTTTCTCCTAACGGATCTGAATTTTCTTTCACCATGCTTCGCCATCTCACAAAGTACAACAAGCAAAAATGTTTGAAAGAATAATCCGACTTCACCTTCCTCTAAGCTTTCGAAAAAATCGAAGAAACGAGAATTTACTGGCTCCCGCTGCATCATGGTTACGCTAATGAAAATCAGCACTGGAGTCTATGGAATTCGGCTTGTGAGGACTGTGGAAACGGATTTCGGAGACTTTTGACCCAGCGCAGGGTCAAAAAAACCCATGGCAACCATAATAAACAAAGTGTAAACAGACGGTTGCTATGGACAATTATTAGGCCACTTTCTGATTAATTAGCCGTTTCAAGCGGGATTTTCAAATTTTTCAAAAAATGAAAGCGGGTTATAAAAGTTGAATAAATAGGGGTTTTAGGAAGCCCCAGTGGAGAATTTAAGAAATTGTTGACTTTTTTCTCAAAATAAGGGTTAACTACCACCTTAAAATATTACAATAGCAACGTACGCCAACCCGTTGTTAAGGTGATTTCTCTCAACACTTGCCTCTAACTAACGGTGTAATTTGGCCCAGTTGATATGTATATACATATTTGTAAGATTTTACGCTATTAACCACAGGCAGCAAAAGCTCCAACTGAGAGATGATCATCTTGCGAAATAAGAGTTGTGGTGAAAATATAAGAGTTTGTTTGGGAATATTTACGAACGCTCTTAGGAAGTAAAAATACAATCAAATTCTCATTTTATAAAATTCTTCCACAATGCAGCCATTTTAGCGGGTTATCCATTTCTAATTTTTACTACTCTTGGAGAATAGTAAACTAGAAATGGATGACTCGCTTAAATGGCTTCGTTGCAACACAGTAAGCGGTAACAAAACAAGCAATGCACTGACAAAGTTAGGTGGGGTATCAGTTTTACTGAGAGTTTGACTGAATTTTTTTTGCCTGAGAGCGGTCGTAAACATTCCCATACAAACTCTTATATTTTCCCCATAACACTTATTTCGTAAGATGTTCAAGCTGGAGCTTGGGCTGACTGTGCGTTAACTAACGGCGTGATTTCTTCCAGTTGGTGAAGTTCACACTGTAAGATTTAACGCCGTTAACAACCAACGAAATTTCTTCCAGTCGCTGTAGAAATTTACGCTGTTAACTTACATCAAAATTTGGCTCGCTTGGTATATAAACATACTGTAAGATTTTACGCCGGTAACTAACAGCGTAATTTCTTCCAGTCGGTATATATACATATTATTGTAAGTGTTTACGCCACTAACTGACGGCGTAATTTCATTCAGTCGATTTAAATGAATACTGCAAGATTTTACGCGATAACTAACGGCGTAATTACTTTCAGTCGGTAATATAGATACTGTAAGATTTTATGCCAGTGACGGCGTAACAACTTCCAGTCGGTAAAGTATTCCGTTGTTAACTAACGGCGTAATTTCCTCCACTCGGTAATATATTTACTGTAAAATTTTACGAATATAATTTTATTACATATTAATTTATTATTATTATTATTATTATTATTATTATAAATATACTGACGCAGATAGTGGCGTAAAATCGTAGATTCTATAGGCTGTGTTAACGCCGTTATATCCATTAAAGGCCGCACGGGATGTTTTCAAGTTAATTAGTTTTCAGTTCGCATGCGCAGGTCGTGTTCTGGCCTTTTTAAAGCATGAAAGTGTATTCAGACAGGCTTCCAAATCCTGCTGACCTTTGAGCGATTTCATTGTACGCCCCTTCAAGTTCCGATTGCCTTCCCTCGACGGAAATAACTGAGATTTGGTCCGCTGCAAATCATTTCGATTCTCATGCGAGTAAACTGAGCGGCCAATTGTTCTTGAATTATCTGAGTTGTTTTTTTCGGATCCTGAACTGTTTTGGCGATAATATCACGTTTGATACAAACTAAGATTGTCATCTTGTTCAATATCTAATAATACTCCATTGTCTGATAAAACAATTGATTTATCTTGTCCTTCATCTCATTTTAGGGCAGGAAAATTCATGTAACCGGACAGAGCGCGGCGAAAGGTTTTGCAGTATTATACAGAAGGTCGGCCCGTCTGCCTGATTACTCAAACTGAACTACACCATCATTATGTTTGACTGCGTATATTACAAAGGACTACACTCTATTATTTGCCAAGAATACAGATTCAGGCCGACTCTAAAGGTCTCCCCTCAGTCCGGAATTTCACACAGCTTTTGGTGGCTTTATAAAATTTTCATAACTATGGAATTGCAACCAGTTGTGACCAATCCAAAGAATTACAATGCAAGCCAGTCTACCATCTGGCCAGTCCTTCAGTTAAAGAATCTCTAAGTGTTAATTTTGACATTTCATTTCACAAGAAACTACACTAAAGTATTGACGCGGTTTAACTGCCCTGTTGACAGTCTTGTTTGACTGATAGCTGTCGCTTTAAGAATATCAAAGTATTACGTCGGTCCCTTGAGTAAATAATTCTGACCAATCTGAAGCAGTGATGCAAATCAAGAGCGATTATCTTGTCATTTGGCGGTTGTTGATCAAACATTAATACTTGGGTTGATTATCACTCAAGCATCACAGGACGTAACCGCCTTATGCTCGTTGTCTTAGACATCTTCCTGGAATTTCAAAGCAAAAGCTACAATGTCTCTTACAAAAGTGAAAGAAAAAATGGCCAAATTAAAAGACGATACTGAGCAAGCAGAAGAGAGAGAGGCTGACGCAAAATCTTTGCTGAAAGATACAAATGAAAAGGCTGAAAGAGACCAGAACGAGGCCGAAGGATTAAAGCGAAGGATTACGCTGCTAAAAGCTGATCTTGCGAAGACAACAGAGCGCTTGGAAGAGGCGGAGGGAAGACTAGGCGAGATCACCCAGAAAGGCGAAAACGAAGAGATGGTTCGTAAAGAATTGGAGGAGGTTGAAGTGGAGGGGGACGAGAAAATCAGCATGTTGGAAGAAAGCTGTGTCGAAGCCGCCAAGGAAAGGGAGGAAAAGGTTCACCTCCTGAACGAAGCCTCGCGCCGTATGGTGGTAATCAAACGCGATCTGCAGACTGCTAAAGAGAAAGAAGAAAAATATTTAGATACATACGAAAAATTGAAGGATACCTTGAGAAATTTCACCGAACAAACTAAGGAACTGGAGGAATTAGACGAAGAGGCTAGCGAGAAGGAGAAGCTAAGTGAAGAAAAGATGAGGTTTCTGAAGGAACAAGTTAAAGAAGCCAACGGTAGAGCAGAAGTAGCCGAGAGGGAAGTTTGCAAACTTGAGCGGCTAAAGGAGGAAACGACCTCTGAAATAAAAAATTGGGGTGGAAAGATAAAAGAAATAGTGCAGGAGATGGACGACATTACATGTTTGGACGACGAAATGTGAATTTTTACGTACGTGAGTCTGTATTCAGTTTGAACGAAGTCTTTTGGTACTTGATTAACACCCAGCTGAACTGACTTGTGAGGAGAATTTTTATGTAATCAGGCACAGTCATGGAGTCCATCCCTTTAGTTTTCATTTTCTATCGTAAAATGTTTCCGAAATTTTCATTAAGGCATTTATGCAAATATAAAAAAAGCTAAATGTAATCCATTTGGCTTATTTACTCATTCGAGGTGTTGATTTTCCAGCTTCTCAAGGAAACAACGAAATGTTTTGTTTTCCGCTCTCCCGCAGTGCAGGTTAAGACCACTTATTGTTACGTGATACTTAAACGTCGGAATAGTTTGTATTTCTTATATTTCTTTCGTGTGCATTTGTATTCAATTGGCCATTTTGTTTATCTTAGTCAGAATAATTAACGACCTGAAATTAAAATTTTGTATTTAAATAATCGGAACACTGTTTCTTTTAACTGCTCCTGGGACTATGTCGTTATTTTACTTGATAACCTCTGAGTAACACTGTTTTCTATGCTTGGGTTTCATGGTAATTTGCGGTCATGCTGTGAGGGTTCCGATGTTGTATGATGACCGCTCACATGGACAAATTTCCTATATTTGAACCTGGCTAGATCTATTATGTCTCGTATGCTATTTCGTAACTAAATAACGGGAAATGTTCGGAATTTCTACCTGAATCAAAAAGACAATTTAGTATTTTAGGGAAATTTATTGCGTGTGATAGCTGCAGTAAAAAATCACACCGCGGATTTTGTCGTCTCCTGTCCTGATCGAACGTCGGCTTGAAGTCTGTCACGCAATTCAGCGGGTGAACTGAACTCATCATTAGGCCTATCCAATATTTTTAGATAGTGGTGTAGATAAACGATTGTATGAATAAATTCGCAAAACAGAGATAAGAGATAAGAGAAAAGTTTAATAATAACAGACTCGGCAGAATAATAGCTGGCAGAAAAGCCCCCTACAGCTCGCCCGCCCCTCGCGCTCTCGTCGTGTTTGCATCGTTTGTTTGAAAAGCGCAATAAAATTACGCCTGTTTGAGTTGTTGGGTGAGAAATATGTAAAAGGATAAATAATTTAATTAATCACTTGAGAGTATGCCGATAAATAACTCGATAATTTGGAGAAGAATCGCAACTCGACTGATGTCACGGACGTCCAATGCACTGGGTTGTGATAAAAAAAGTACTCGATTCCACTCCTTCACTTCCAGCATAGAATTTCGCGACGTCATAAACTGTCAGCGGAATTCTTCGAAATTTACACTCGGATTAGTTGACGCAACATGAGAGAGAAATTGCGAACAAATTACGAGGAGTGATTCCATCGCAGGTTTAGTGAAAGCCTAGGGGATAAATATGTTTACAATGAGGTTAGCAGGTAGATGTTATTCAGCTTATTATTGCACCTTATCGACCTTTTCTCTCCAGAATTTGTCAAAGAGTGCGGGTCGATTTCCAGGCAAGAGATTCAAAAGATATTTTCAAAACGAAACTAAGGCCTGGAGATCGTGGGAAGGGACATCAAAGGCACCTGGTATTACTGGTAAGTTTCAGCCATGTTTTATCGCATTTTTTTGAGCAAATTTGAACCTAGTTATTTAATTGAGCTTACATTCACTCCATCTTACCGGGAATTATGATAATTTCAAATCTCGTTTATTTTTTTGGTCTACATTTGTAAAATTTTAATAGCCTCTGGCTAAGTCAGAAGAATTCAAACCTATGTATCACTGACGTTGAGGTGGACAGTAACCTGATGACTTAACGGCTACCTTTGCGTCGGTATAGAGGGAGATTCTCAGATAGCTAGTAATGCAATGACTTAATGGCTATATTTGCATCCATAAAAGGAATTCTAAGATGGGCTGAAACACAACGACTTAACAGCTACCTTACCTTTATACCTTGCCTACCTTTATACCGATACAAATGTAGCCGTTAAGTTGTTGCACTATTGGCTATCTTTGAATCTCCCATTATATGGATGCAAATGTAGCCATTAAGTCATTGTGGCTATCCATCGCAACTTCGTGTCAATTTAAGTGTGTCCCTACGTTTCATGGGTCGTTAACCCTGTAACTCACAGAAGTGATTGACAAGTAATTTCTCCCTATAATATCCATACATTATCCAGCAAGCAGGTAATGAGAATACTCAAACTTATCAGGTAGAAGTTAATATTTTGATCTAACACTTAATTCTTCCAACTAATTTACAAGGAGATGATATCATATCTTGGGAGTTAAAGGGTTAAAAATTCATATATTCATGCTATCTTTTAGGTTCATTTCCAAATCAGCAGATCTCCTATTGAATTTCACTCAGAAATGTAAGACCTCTATAGAAATCAGAATGCCCTTTGAAAAATGTGTGACAATTTTCTTTTGTTTATCGTCCAAAAACAAACAGTAGCTTCAATTGCAAAAATTTTGCTTTTAATTTCTTAATCACAAAGCAAAGAATGCCGAATTTGAAAGGCACTCTACCTCCAAAATAAAACATAAGCTAAGTAAACTGCCTCACATATGCAAACAGCAAATTGCAAGAATTTAACTTTTTCATTGACCTTTCAGCTTTAAGAGCAGTAATGTGAAAATATATGTGTTTATTGTAATTAGAAGATATTTGTGTTTTTCTCTGTTGGATCTATTGGATAAGAAGAAAAGAAGGCAAAATTTGCCATGAACTTGCTTAAAAATCTTGTCCATTTCTTCAACGCGGTCTCTGCATCATATTCTGGCAAATGAGCATTCCAAACCAAAATTCTTTGATTTTTTTTCTCTCCAAATGATCCAAGTTTATTTACTGAAGGTTTTCTCTTTTCTCTTTCAACTGGGAACTAGTGGTAAAAGCTTTCAAATCCTTTTTAAAATCCATCACAAGAGAACTCAAAACAGCTCACAACTTTTTGATGCTTGACAGTAAGCAACACAACTTTCTGGCTAGGAATGGAAGACACTACTTTGTGGGGGCATTTATGTTTATATTACAGTCTTGATAATTTGAATAATATAGGATGCTACTTCTCTTCGTAAGTGAACCTTGGGATGACACGATAGGTCAAGGGGTTTTGGGTTATAAATAGAAATGAAACAACAGACAGTATATAAACAACAGAAGTTTGGAGTTCATTAACAAAAATGGCTAGGAAGTGCACCCATCCCATGAACACTTCCCTCATCAATTGCTTTCAAAGGCTTCTGATTAATTTCAGAGTTGTAAAAATGTGCTAAGAGCTGTCAGACTTGAAGCTATTTATTTTCTTAGATCGGACTTTTGTAAATTTCGATCGTGATCTGGCACATGCTTATGGGAAGGTCCAAGCATTGATGACTTACAAATGCACTTCATTCAAAGGTCTCTCCATAAACCTTGCAAAATGCCCTTTTCTATTTTATGCAAATCAAAATTGAAAACAGTTGGCAAACAAAACTTGAATGCATAAAATGTCTGCAGTCATTCTTTGGAATTCATACTTTACACGCACCAGTAAAAGATGGCTGTGTGTAAATTACAATGCCAATAACAAGAAGTAAAATGCTAACTTTGGCCTACAATCATCAAATATGCTTGTTCAAGGTCTCTTAAAGCTCTGAAAATGCTCTGTTTTAATAAATACAAATCAAACTTGAGAACATTGAGCAAAAAAACTTGAAGGCATAAAATGTTTTCAATTATTCTTTGTAGTTCATTGACATGTATAAACAAAAGGGATACACGTGTAGATGCTGCCACTCAAGGTCGCTTAATTGTGCTATTGTTTCATTCCATAGAGTCTTCCTCCAGGATGATCTCACCTTTCCTGAACACATTAATCCAAACTTAGTGGTTACACTTTTGGCAGGTCTACGTGGCCCCTTAAAATGAATACCCAAAGGAATAAATCAAGCCTTCTATGCACAAATTCCTGCGGTAACACCCATTTCTGAATGACACACTAAAACCAACATGAAGTTGTCATCCAAATAATTTCCCTGTATACTGTTACAAAGTTAGCTGTTAAGTCATTGTGTTACAGGCTATCTTAGAATTTCCCTAGATATTGACCCAAATGTAGCCATTAACCCTTAACTCCCAAGATCTGATTGTGAATTCTCCCCTCTAGGTGCTACACATTTCTGTAAATTAGTTATGAGAATTTGTTTTCAGATCAAAATAACAAATTCTACCTGATAAGTTTGAGATTACTCTCATTACCTGTTTGCTGGGTAATATAAGGATATTATGGGGAGAAGTTACGTGTTGATCACTTCTGGAGTCAAAGGATTAAGTCTTTGCTTTACTGGCTATCTTAGAATTTCCTATATACCAACACAGATTTAGCTGTTAAGTCATTGCGTTACTGGCTATCTTAGAATTTCCCTATATACCAACACAAGTTTAGCTGTTAAGTCATTGTGTTACTGGCTATCTTAGAATTTCCCTATATACCAACACAAATTTAGCTTTTAAGTCATTGCGTTACTGGCTATCTTAGAATTTCCCTATATACCAACACAAATTTAGCTGTTAAGTCATTGTGTTACTGGCTATCTTAGAATTTCCCTATCTATCAACACAAATTTAGCTGCTAAGTCATTTCATTACTGGCTATCTTAGAATTTCCTATATACCAACACAAATTTAGCTGTTAAGTCATTGTGTTACTGGCTATCTTAGAATTTCCCTCTATACCAACACAAATTTAGCTGCTGAGTCATTTCATTACTGGCTATAATTTTGCTATAAACTGACACAAAGGTAGCTGTTAAGTCATTGCATTACCAGCTATCTTAGAATTTCCCGATATAGGGACGTAAATGTAGCCATCAAGTCATTGCATTACTGGCTATCTCTTGGAATTTCCTTTTACAGACACAAGTCATTCTGCTACTAGCTTTTTCAGAATTTCCTATCATACTGACACAAGTGTAGTAGCCATTAAGTCATTGCATTACTGACTCCATTATGGTCAGTAATATCATATATGATCTGACAGACTTAGTGGCTTCAAGAAATGCTTGTATATATAGACAAATGAAATTACAAATTTTGCCATTATCTTAATGCCAAATTTTACCTTATGGTACCACATAGTCACTTCAAAGTGGCCCCTTTATGGGCTTAACAATTTCCAATGATGTGGCCACTTGTATTGGGACTTCATGTGATTAGTTAACCAGCTCAGGGCATGAAATTAATTTTTTTTCTGAATGCTCCTAAATTCTTCAAAGTGGGAGCCAATTCAAAAAAAGTTGGTTGCCATTTTCAAAGACAAACAAGATGGCATCTAGTTATTGATCGAGATGCATGTGCTGCATTTTGGAAACAAACTTAACGAGGAAGTTTGCCGCGGATTTATCTTCGCAAATCTTTTTAATTCACGATATCTCTTGGTAAGGTTATGATGAAATATTCTAGTTGCCAATTTGGCGACTAATTTTCAGGATTTGGTTGCCAAAGGGAAAAATTTAGTCGCATTGGCGCCTGTATTAGGCGCAATTTCACGCCCTGCAGCTATGCAAAAGATGCCTTTATCTGTTATTTGAAACATCCTAGGACATTCACAGCATGTTGAAGGACCATAATTGATACATGTATTTGTTCCAAGAGCTGTTCCCTTCAGAATATTATATAAGACAATTCTGAGATCTAAGGATGGGGATTGCACAGCTCAGAAAGACCAGCTTTCATTTATTAAGAAAAAAGTCTTCCTTGCAGCTGAAACAACTGGTCGTGCGGTTGTTGGTGGGGCTGCCTTGTTTGGTGTGGGAGCCCTTTGTTATTATGGCTTGGGATTGTCCAATGAGATGGGTGCAATTGATCGTGCTATGGTATGGCCTCAGGTGGTACGTGATCGTGTGAGGTCAACTTACTCTTATTTTGCTGGAAGTCTGGCTGTAACAGCAGTGTCAGCATATGTTATCAGTCAAAGCAGAGCAGTGTTTACCTTGATGAGGGCAAGTCCATGGCTGGTAAGTAATTGAGCATGTTAACGTATGCCCTAATCAGCCTTTTATTTTCCTGTGTTTGCAAAAAAGGGCTTCAACTTAGGTGTTTTGATGAGTGACAAGTCAGCAAGCACTCACTTGCAGCTCATGATTTTTGTTCACGTTACAGAAGTATTGTTTAATTGCTTTGTGGAGTGAAACCATTTTGTTGATAATCAACAGGTTGTGGGTGGAGGGATGATCGCTACAATAGGCAGCTCTATATTGTGTATGAGTTTGCCATATGAAGCAGGGCTGAATGCAAAGCACATTGCTTGGGTTGGTAAGTTAACAAATATTCTAATGTGATCATATGCAAAATTTGGTCTCAATGTACATGCAAACTGTGGATGATTTTTACATATTGTAAAACAAACAATATTAGCTACTGGTACTTTTACTTATTGACTGAGGGTGAGATTGTGATCATAATGGACAAAGCTTCAACTAAGGCCTTACTGTATTGACCACATTATGGCAAGTTCAATTCAGCCATGCCTAAGTGCTTGATTTTCATCAACAAGAAATGGTCAATGTTAAAATTTAATATTTCCCATAAAGCAAAATGGATGCAAGCAAAAGCTAAAACTTTATATCCTTTTAAATGTATATATATCCTTTCATTCATTTTTTTTCTATTTGCACAAGTCAAGTGCACCAAGGTGAACTCTTTCAAAAAAGGTTAATTGTAGTTTTGCAAAAACTGATTACAGTTGTACATAAAAAATCAAACAATACCTATGAGATTGTTACAAAATTCAGTGAGAGAAATTTATTAATAATTTCATCAATCAACAACAAAGGACTCTAGATGTAAGAGGTAAATTAATGCAGCAGGATGCACTGTTAAAATACTACCGTGCTGTTATAAATTACTATGTAACCAAAGTTTCACAACATCATGACTTGTATGTTGCAGTTCCTTAACAAAAATAATTTAATAATGGAAATTAGGCAGATCTGTCAGTCTCATAACAACTTATTATCAGTTATGATAATTCATTACCAATTTTGATATAGAAAAGTTACTTTAATGTTTGTGCAGTGGTTAAGTTGAAAGTTTAATTTATTTGGTGTCTGATTGTGTCCAGGTCACAGTGCACTTATAGGCACCCTTATCGCCCCTCTCATGTTACTTGGAGGTCCATTAGTGCTGAGAGCTGCTGCTGTGACTGGTGGTGTCGTTGGGGCCTTGTCTCTGACAGCTGCCTGTGCACCTGATGGTAAATTTCTGTCATGGGGTGGACCGTTGGCCATCGGCCTTGGTGGTGTGTGTATGGCATGCCTTGGTATGTGTTTATTATTTTCTTGTAATACATGCTCGGTTGGTACTCTATGAGCTTTATGTTTATATGATTATTAACTAATTTACCAAATGCCAACACTGGAAAATGCAATCCATGCAAGTTTGTTAAATGTTTCCACTTCATTGTAACTCTTATCAAGAAACATCACATACTCTCAATACCGTATTGTACAGCATGTGTATAAAGAGAATCCTTTCTTTTATCATTGCTTAAATTTGCGCTGTTGTGAAAAGCTCCTTCCTTTGATCCGATAAATCCTGGATGGTAGCAATGATTGTTAGTTATAATTTTCTTCTCAAAACTTTTAACCTTTAACAGTTGCTGTCATATGGCTGTGAAGTGAATGTGTTACTTTATTAAGCTTGAGAAACAGATTGTATGACTGTGTGTACTTTCAGGTACATTGTTCCTGCCAGCAAGCTCCATGGTGGCTGTAGGTTTGCAGTCTGTGGTTACATATGGTGGGCTTGTCATCTTTGGAGGATTCATGTTGTATGACACACAGAAGATCATCAGAAAGGCAGAAACATATCCTTTGTATGCTGCCGTACCATATGACCCCATCAATGCGTAAGTGCAGTCATGTACTTATAACTACCCAAAAAATAATCAATATGTATATAAAGGACAAAATATTATGTTTAATTGTCACACTACCTGAGCTAGGAAACATGTTGCCAAAACTAGCCATCCATTAAGTTTCGTTTCACAATACCAAATAGAATAAATCTCTATTTGATTTAGACATGAATGACAGGATTTGTTTCTATGTCAATAATTTTGCCCGTGTTTTCATTTCATATTGTGTTCTTTTGAATTACATAAACGTTGCACTGAAGAAACAACTATGAATATTTTCCTTTGGTCAGGTCAATTGGGATATACATGGACACCATCAACATCTTTATCAGAATTTTGACCATCATGGCTGCCTCAAACTCACGCCGAAAGTAAAAGTTGGAAATGCAATTTGCGACATTGTTGTCAGTAATAGATGCTGAATTATTTCAGAGTTTAACTGAGGTACTTCGTGGAAATAACATACTTAAGAGAAATGTTCATTGCAAACTGCTGACCTTGAAGATATCACAGAATTTCTTAGAGAGGATACTGTTTTTGTTCATTTTTATGACTGATTAGCCTTTTGAAGCAAAGACATACATCAGTTAAAGATTTAAGGTATTGTTATATTAAGAAAAGTTACATTAAATGTCACTTAAGGTCTAAACAATTTATTTTGTAAAAGAGGCACTGGGTCCAATTGTGCTCCAGGTTTTTCCTTTTGTTGCGCTGATTTTTATGGTTGAAGTACATTGGTCCTCTTTAGTTGTGTATGTAACGCCACTGGATTTTATTCTGATGTTTACCAGTTAGATTTCCATGTAAATAAAGAATTAAAAGCGATTTTTTGATTGCTCTTCTCTTTTTCTGGAGTATTTATTTATAACAACTTTATTTTAAAAATAATAACATATACAATATATTTTTATTAAAAAGGATTATAGAGGGGAGGAACTTAATCCTCATTGTAAACTATACCCCAGGTCAAAACCTAATAAAAGTAAACAAAACGTTATAAACTATACCCTAGGTAAAAAACTTAATGCCTTAATTTCCAACCGTTTACCCGCGGGTAATCTGTTGATTTTGCATTAAACGCGCGCCACTGCGGGTAATAGGGAGATGCGGGTTATGTGACAATTTTAAAATCTATTGTTAGTTGAATTGAAAAAAAATTATCACTGACATGCGTTTCCACCTCTCAAATGAATTTTATTGTATTAGGAGTGCCACAAAGCGACACGTAAAAATGATGCCGACTCGAGTTTACTTCACGCATAATTAGTTGCGTGACGAACAAATTGCTAGCGGCACGCGTGAAAACAAAACCTTGATGGTGACAAAAATAATCCAAAGATATCCGGCGCATCAGTAACAAATTTCCATTTAACACCAGCTGGAGGTAAAGAGAATTTTCCCGTTTTAAGGGACTTGTTAGGCCCAATAGAACCGGAGATATCTATTTTTTTCAGAAATCGCCGATAGTACTTTATAATTCAAGTATTAACACTCACCCAGCTTCCTTTCAACAAAAAAGGAAACAAAACTTCATAACATTTACAACGGCAAGTGCATAGCTGGCCTATAGAAAATCCGTTTATGTGTTTTACTTTGCCGGAAAAGAAATTGTTTCATTGCCATTTTGTATTTCTGTATTATCTTCATTAGTCGTAAAAATATATCTTTAATAAGTCTTCTTGGTTGTTTGCTCCTCTAGCAAGTTGTTCTTTACTGTTATTTGTTTTGTTTCTTTCATTGCTCTTTGCTTCAGCTGCTGGACGTTGAACACAGACAGCTGTGGAACTCCTTTATCTGAAAAAGAGGAAATGTTTTTTTCAACTTGCTGCCAAACACTTCAGTGGCTCAGTAGTAGGTTATTACATGTGGAGTATTACATATCAAATCTCAACAAAACTTTCTTGCCATTTTGACTGTTAAGCAAACAGTATGGTAATTACAAGCCTGAACACAGCACTCGACCAATTGGTACCCAGCCATCCTCATGACGCAGCAACCAACCTGGGGAAGTTAGAGCCCGAAATGTTATGGAAAGAAAGAAAGCAATGTAGAGGTCCCCTTGCTTTGCTTTTGTGTCACTTGAAATGGGAGGACTGGGAATGAGTCAGCTATAAAGACACAAATCGATTGTCTCATATCTTTTCGTTGTTTTCATTTTTTAAGCTGACTTAATTCTTAAAAGAGGAGACTGTTTAAAATATTTGTAGTATGCTATGTATCAGTGACACATTTCTCATTAACTCCGTTCATACCTTATAATATAGTTTTACACTCTGCTTTCATTAGGAGTGCCCAACTTACAGAAAGAAAAGAAAAAAAAAGAAAAAAGCTACAGAAGAGACATAGGGCGGCGGCCCCGAATGAGCAACTCCCAAAACATTGGAGGATCTAATGCACCAATCACAGCTGTCAAAAATCAACTAATTACGGCGGAGGATGGTGTCACATAGCGTAATGCAAATATCGCTCGAGGAAGGCTATTAGTGAGTCGCAAAGGAAAAAGTACAAACCACATCGAAAGTTACTGCATTGTAATACAAAGATAATACATCATAATTAAACTGCAAATAGTGCTTGCCAATTTCGTGCAAGTTGTTCTGATCTATAACAAGCTGATCCTCAAAAGACTTCAATGATGTGTTGGGAAGCAGACTTGAGTTTGCATTCACGTGTTTGAGGGTAAGTTTGAATGAAGCTGATGCATGACTGTTCGTGTCATTTGAGGGAATCCCTCTATGGTAAAAAACAAACCGCAAAAAAACTAGCAATGAAAATGAAAGTAAAAAACTTATTTATTCTCATTTCTTTCCGTGTAAATAGTTCTTGGAATAATAAAAGAGAATTTAGGGATTTATCATGGCTTAAAATAAAGCTTCAATAAATTTCTGTGTGTGGTTTTCGTTCCACACGCAGCTATCTGTCGCGATGACATTTCTTTGAACGGATAACCTTTTGTTAGTTAGAACTACTCTCTAATTTGAAAATAAGTAATTTGTCTGTTTCCTATAATGCAACAGTTATATCAAACGTTATATCGAATGTTATATCAAATGTTTAAATAAAAGCAAAGATACCATTTACAAATTCTAATCTTGAATACAAAGTGTTTGTGTTATTGTTTCAATGGAGATCCGATCAATAGCAAAACTTAAGTTGATATATCAAACATTTCGCAATGTTAAGTTACTCTTTTTCAAAAGTATCGCGAGAAAATATCTGGAGATGTAACCGAGAGTTGTTTTAAAAAAAAAATGATAGAAATCCATCTCCCATCAAATTAAACTGGATGGAGCATACAAATTTCTTTGAACACCATGCTTCTACGTACTATGAAGTTTGCGACTCGTGCTCCCTTAACTCCGGTTTTTTCTTTAAAGTCTATTTCTGGTATTTCAGTTGTTAAGACCACAAATTTCTCCAAAACTATTCATATATCGTGCTTTGGCTAAAGAAACTAAAAAAAAAAGATTTTGTTGATAATTTGTGATCGTTAAATTATTAACACCGCTTTCAGTTGTGGGCTCTACTCTCAAAACGCACTTACGTAAGCTAATTGAACTCATGGCTCCGAAATCATCTTCATGACTTGGTTTGACATTAAGAAAAGTCAGAAGGCACTAAATTATTGAATGATACCTATCACCTGTATGATTGATTTGTCAAACTTATCGCGTGGTAAAAAATTTTAAAGGTCTTTTGTTTTAGTTTTGTTTCCCAGCCTTGCGGATTTGTTTATTTATAGAAGGAGGAGTGGGAGTAAACACAGCTAATCTCTAGAATGAACAAAGGGGATAACTTTCTAAAGAAACTGTGGTGCTGCGTCAGTGGCAGAGTGACAGGGTAATTTATTATTATCAACTGAGTTGATAACGTAAATTGGCCACCGCTAAGAGTTTAAAAGCTGACGTTTAAAGCGTTAGCCCTTCGTCAGGGCGATTGACGAAGGACTAACGCTCGAAACGTCAGCTTTTAAACTCTTTGCGGTGGTCAATTTACGTTATCAACTCAGTTGATAATAATAAATTACCCTGTTATACTCTCTAGAATGTTGGGGGTCAGTCAGCTCAAAGGACAAAATATAAGGCCAAACGGCCGGCATAACGTGAACTTGCTTGTGTTGTTTTTGACGCTCTGGCTAAAATAAAGATCATAAATCTCAATTGAAAGTGAACCAGTAACCAAACTATTGGTGCATGCTACAGGACTACAATGGCCCCTTTCACAATGGCCCCTGATTCATACTAATCAGTTTTATTTATTCATTGTGCACTAATCAGTGATGGCCCTCATCCACTTAAGGTGATATGGAAGTGATGTATTTACATATTTAAGATTAAGTCACTTTGTTTCTATTTTTATCAACAGATGTTCATTGAGCTGCTCCTCCACGTGTCATCTTCCACCCAGCAGACACTCAGCACTTCAAGATTCTTAAGAACACCATCAGTCTTTGTAAAATATGTTCTATGAAGAACAGCTGACGCGGAGGTGAGAGGCCCATCCCGGAGGTTGGGACGAGTATCCAAGGTTCTCAGCAACCTCCTGTAAATTGTTACAAAAGTTCACTGTTTCTGGCACTAAGACTGTTAAGATAACAGCACTGACATTTAATTTGGGGAATTACAAGGAAATAATTCCAGCGGTTTTTTCGGACTAAAAGTTTGGTTATGAATCTCCCGTACAGAGGTACGGAAATTGCTGCGCGAAATATTGGAAGGAATGTGGTGTGACAATGTACTGTTTGATTACAGCATATCATATACCTGTTTTGTAAAAGGTGACTTGAGTACCTCAAGCAACTGACGAACCTAAAAGGAAGATATAGTGAAAATTTCTATGTGTACTGCGTTAACTATTTTCATATGCTGTTGAAGACAAAATCTTTGATAGACAAAAAATTTGATTCTAATAACAAACATTCAACATCAAAATTATTTAATCGAAATCCCTGCAAAGGGGAACACAGGAAAAATAAGGAATATCCGACCTCTGAAAAATCATTCCTTTCCGCCTTCTGTATCGCTGATTCTGCCATCCAGTTACGTAAAACATAGCGAGGATTTACTTCTGAAAGAAGAACACAAACATCGACTAATATAAAGACAATAAGTCACTAAGTAGATGCACAGGGGTGAACAATATCTAAAGTTAAAAAACTAAACTAATATAAAGACAGTAAGTCACTAAGTAGGTGCACAGTAAGTCACTAAGTAGGTGCACAGTAAGTCACTAAGTAGGTGCACAGTAAGTCACTAAGTAGGTGCACAGTAAGTCACTAAGTAGGTGCACAGGGCTGAACAATATCTGAAGTTAAAAAACTAAACTAAAGAAATCTCCAGAAATGATCGACAAAGATGATCTAATTCTTACACTGTTGCAAATATTTTGTCCACATAACCCTTTCATTTTTTCCCTACACTTATCCGCTTGGGTAACAATTTAGGGGAAGTGCAACTTTGATGAGTGTTGCATAACATAACAAGAAATAGCTTATGGTAATTTCTTCACCAGCGTAAAATCAAAGGGATTAAGTTTTCACCTTGCATTTGTTTTCTTCTGGCCTTGTCAACATCAGTGTCACTATAACTAGTAAAAAAAATATTTGCATGAAGTAAATTTCCGTTTGATATCAAAGCATCAGAGACTACAGACAATACTTACAGCCGAGACCTGTCTACATAGTGTGCTAACCAGTCTCCCCAGTTCTTGTGTGTCTGTAGTTGTTTGAGTGCCCATGTTTCTCTCGGCAAGCGGTTTGAATTAACATCATGCAAGGATACTTCACTTAACTCTCGGAAGGCCATAGTGAAGTCTGCATGAGTGGACGACATTATCTGGAAAGAAACCATAGACAACATGAATACGAATCCATATGAAAAGATAAAATACAATGACATCTTGAAGGCAAATTCGCCTCCTTCTCAAAGCTTCTAAGACAAGAGACATCCTTAGGTCAACATACAGATGGACCAACATGTTCGCTTTTTTTTTCTGACAAAACTTGTGGTTTCAGCGAAACTTAACGTGTTTAACTTACCCAAAGGAAAGAGTGAATAAGCATTTCGTCATTTTCATCTTCGTAAAGTAAACCAAGTTTGCGACGAAATATGCTCAGAAACCTAAAATCACAAAACAATGTGTCTCCAAACTCTCATAGCACCTTTACTAAATCTTAAGTTGCAATTGATTTTTAACGCCAGAACCATTCTGTTGTAGGAAAAGTTGTTGTAAAAAGAGTTGGATTCCGCCAAGTTATTTATTTTCTATCCCAATTCCCTCCAAAATAATGGCTAGCAATAACGTGCGAGTTCGCTGTGGTCATTTTGACATTTGACGTCCCGGAGTCTTAAAAAAGTTGAAATAATCGCTAGAAAAGAGTTTTTTTCCCCATGGAGAATATTGCTTGTCACACTGCTTGTCTATGAAATTAAGGAACTGAGCTGGAAATTTTTCATAGAGCTGCATGCGACATCTCATTTAACCGAAGAGAAAGAAGCATTTTCTTTTTAAAACGTCAGAGCGATTGACGAAGGGCTAACGCTCGAAACGTCCGCCTTTTAATTCTTTACGGTGGCCAATTTACGTTTTCAACTCAGTTATACAAATGTTCAACTCACTTTAACTTTACCCCACAATCACTTAATTTCAAGTCCTCAAATTGACGACTTTTGCGGCAAATAAACCTTCTGAAATTTTTTTTTTCCTAATTGCCATTGCGATAAAAAAGTGTTACAGCTTGGGGTACTAAGAGTGAGCAGGTGCTTGCACATCACCTTTGGTTAAATCTATCCACATAACTCCAAAGAACTTTCTCTCCTCTATAACAAAAAAGCAAAATAACCATACTGCATCAAACCAAGTAAGAATCAATGGTAATTACAAGCCTTGTGAATTTAAACTGAACAAGTACTTGTGGGCATACAACTGGCCAATTAAACAAATACCTTTAAAGTTAAAAAGTCACCATTCAAGGTTAATCATGATGATGTTCAACAATTTTAGCTAGACTTACTCACTGTAATCTTCAATCAATGGTTTAAGTGCTTGGAGCAATTTTTCTAAGTTAAAAAACCCAACATTCGGCTGATTCTTGTAACTGTATCTTCCTTCATCATCTGATGTGTTAGGGACAAAGTCTACGGCCAGAGATCATCAAAATGTCAGTCAAATTTGTACTCAAACAGTTCCAGTCACCATGAACAAATTTGGAATCAAATCCCAGATGTGTCAAATTTCATCAAAGTTGTCCTCTTTACCTGGGTTGAAGTCATCCATGAATCCAAAAGGACCGTAGTCTATGGTTATTGACAGCAGACTAAAATTGTCCGTGTTGCAGACACCTCCCAAAAATAATGAAATAACAATAATCAAAGTTGAATAAAAAAAAACTCTCATGAAAAGACCTTGAACATCAAAATGCTTTCTTCATATTTTACCGTGAGCAAAGCCAACAGATTGCCATTTGGAAATCAGGTCTGCTGTCATGGAAACTACTCTTGAAAAGAAGGCCTGAGATCAAAATGAAGTTCACTGACCTCATGTTAGTATTCAAGGTCAGGTCATGGTGCAATGTCATACAAAAATAAGCAGTTTGATTGTTTGTATTAATAGTACAAACCATGAAGAAAATGCCAGCAGTGGGGAAATACTGGAAGTTCTCATTACATTAAAAGTTCACAAAATCTGATCACACTGTACTGTTAAAATGAATTTTCAAAACATCCTAATAGCTGCTTCAAACAAAAGCAAAATATCTTACCAAGTACTTCTTGGTCTTGTTGACTAAATCCTGGAAATTATTTTCAATGACAAAATCCACAACTTTTCTGTGAGACAAAAAAATTACCTTATTACTTTAACTTAACAGTGAAAATTAAAATCGATACAATGCATGTGGCACAACTAATGGGCAGAGGGCTTAGTGGTAGTACTTAACATGGATTTAAATGGTAGAGAATTCAAGCACAATCAATTATCTGTTTCAAAATACCATGTACACAACATTATCAGAGGTGCCTGAGCCACAAAAAGAAGACAGACAAAACAGGGCACCATTTTGAACTTAGCAAACTATCACAAACTTAAAACATACATTAATGAGATATGCTTTAGGACATACACAAAATGAACAGAATGCTTCACACCTAAGAAGAGCTTCTTCGCTGTTGTGTTCCAAAATTTCAAGAGACCCAATTCTAAACCAAGATTTCGCTAAGCGTAAAACAATCGCAACTGAAATAAAAGAACATGTTAAGTATGTTAGATAACTGAACTGGAAAGAAACTTCTGCTTCTCATTAGTGTTCTTCAATTTTAAGCAATCTGAAAATCTACTTTCCACTTAAATATGCACCTTTTTCTTGCTTTGGATGTCCATCATAGAACTGATCCCTCCAAACAAGGTCATTACTCACAATAAGACTAGCTGCTCTGCTGGTTGGTACACCCAAATGAAACATGGCTTCACTGGCCAGGAACTCACGCACAGATGACCTCAACACTGCACGTCCGTCACCGTGTCTGATAAGTACAATTTATTTAGAAAATAATTCCACTTTAAAAAGCATGTTCAGCATATTTTATCGAAGTACATGGCTTATAGAAAAAAACAAGAGGTTTGATATATGTATTCAGAGTTGCAAATATTACCCACTCTATGTAATGCAGCAGAGGATAATAGAAGATGGCAACTGACTAAAAGATTTTACAAATAAATGTAAATAACTTAGTTTCAAATCAAAACTAAACCTTACAGATGTGGAGAAGGCTAAAAATTGCTTAAACAGTACCTTGAATAGGGAGTCCTCCCTGAGCCTTTTAACTGAAGTTCCCACCTCTCTCCTATCCTGTTTAAATATTTAAAAAAGTATCAAGTCTTTTCACATTCAAATATAAGCTTAACTCCTGGATTGCCAATACTGTTATTACAGTTCTAGAAACACTAATAGGAGTTTCCTTCACAGATGTGCTTTGGTATCTCGTGAAATACTTGCATCACAGTAAAAAAGAATGGTATAAGACACATGCAATAAGTAACTTGTATGTTTGCCATTACCTATTCGTGTATTCCCCCAAAATTACAGCACGACCATCTCCTAGCTGACCTGCCCAATCGCCAAACTTAAAATAACAAATTTCAAGTTTATTAGATTGTGCCTGAATCCTTTCATTAACAGCTTGTTTAATTAATTTACAAGAATATGATCCCAAATAAAAAAAGTGAGAACGATGGAACTTTACCTGATGTCCACCGTATCTATGTGATAGCATAATTGAGTTTGGTATCATTTCATTTCCCGCAGCAAAGTCTATGAATGCTGGTGATTCAAAGGCAGAATCATTCAAATCAAGAATGTCCGTCAATACTTCTTGAGAAATAGCCACCAAATAAGGTTTATATTTCAGAGGAACTAGATGAACTTTTGAAAAAATTACTCCATGTACTTGTCTTATATAATTTCTCGTTTCCTCGTCCACGTCAAATTCTTTCAATAGAATACTTCTTTCCATAAAACTCCAGTTTTTAAATTCTAGAAGTTCTGTCTTTCGACAAACAGAAACCATTTGTACTAACAGCAAAAACATTTTTTTCTCACAAACAGAGTGATCCTTCAGGGAGATGCAGTGAATTTTCCAAAGATCCCCATTCACTACGCTTAAAACCGAACCGTGAAATAAAAAGAAAATAAAGATTGGAAGGGGACAACGAAAGAGACCCAAGTTCTCCGCCATATTAGATGCCTTGGTATCCAAGCCTCGTTTTCTGAGAAAGTAACCGTGGATGGACTACAGAAAGAGAAGGGAGGAACAGCAAGAAGAAAAAGAAAACTCCTTCAGCCCTTCATCCCTTCTCCTTTTCTTTCCAAAGGAACAGTTTGAAGACTCAGGGTGTAAAAAGAGTAAAAAGGACAGAAATGGGTGCATAATGACGCAAACTGTTTGTCAACGTGAAGTTTTAGTAGAAATAGAGCCGGTAGAAAAACGGAAATGGGGGTTTGACAAGTTGCTAAGGTTGAAGACGTTGCAGATAGTTTGGTTTCATTTGGATTCACGAGGATGTTAATATTTAATCAGATTTTACAACGTTCTCCGTTACCAATTGTTTCGTGACCTTAGTTACTCTTTACTCTAAGCCTTACACAAAGCGGCAGCTGACAAATTTAAACATAGGCATGCGTAGCATGCAAAAGTAATTTTTTGGCTGGGCGGGTTGAGATGGAGCACTTTTTTTCGTAATGTTTTCATTTGTGCAACAGAAAAAGAACATAACTTTCAAACGGAGGAAAATATCGCCTTACTTCACCTAAAGAGAAAGGGAAAAAAACTAATTTATCTGAACTCACACAGGTATTTTGTGGTCTATTGTCTCTATTGTCCAAAATACATCTAAGCAAAGATAAAATCCATCGGTGCTACACTTGCTGTTGTTCCCCTCGCAGCCGTTGTTTGGTCTCACCACACAACACCAAGTATCCCCTGATGGAAGGAGAGCGCGTTGCAGGAGGGGATTACAGGAGGGGCCCGGGTTCCCACTCCTTTTGGGGAAAAAAATACCGCAGAAGGAAGAAAACCCGGCAGGGCAAGCGACAAAAAACCGGGCTCCCCTTTAGCTCAAGGTCTGGATCCGCCACTGCATACCCTAATGCAGCAATCTGACCGGTGCGAGATACATACCCAAATGCGGCGATCTGATTGGTACGAGCAACATACCACTCTACATGCTAACACAAAGTTACTTTAAAAAAAAAAAAAACAAAAACAAAAACGAATTCTAACGAAAAATAAGTTGATGTGGTTGGCATTCGCATTGTTTTGCTGTCATAAAACAAAAGACCATCGACACTGAGGTGCTGATATGGTAAACAGTTCCACAAAAGCAGGTAATCTAATGTTAACAAGTGAGTTGGAAACGTAAATTGGCCACCGTAAAGAGTAAAAAAGCTGACGTTTTGAGCGTTAGCCCTTCGTCAGAGCGAAGGGCTAACGCTCGAAACGTCAGCTTTTCTGCTCTTTACGGTGGCCAATTTACGTTTTCAACTCACTTGTTGACGCTAAGTTACCTGTTACACTCTCCCACCGACGCAGCACCACAGTTTCTTTAGAAACTTAACCCTTTTGTTCCACGAAAGGATACATTCTTATTTGTAAACGGAAAAATAGCGACTTGACTGCTACTACAATGTTTCTAAAACTCCTAATCATAGAAATCACTGACGGATTGTAACGTTCGATTATGTTCAGCTGCTTCAGTCCACAGCTGACTCGACTGAACGACACAAGCTGTGCTCTGAACACAGTCGTATTTCATCACATTTGTGACAGAGTTTGACGTTATGGTCGTCAGTATCATAGGAGTCCTTCACCGAGTGTTATTAGCGCTTCAATCGAGTTAACAGGATTTTTTTAAAAATAATATACAGACAGGAATTATTAAAAAAGAATCGATGAAGGTAAAGTAATACAAAATTTACCCACCCACTGCTTTTATTCAAAGCAGGACATTGGTTCACCCTGATATCTATCACTTCTTTTGCTGAATATTTTTTTTAAGAGACGGATTCTTCAGTAGAATAAAACAGTTATGATTTGCTTAACACACAGTATCACAAGCACGCAATTTTACATCCATCGAATTTACTAGTACAACATATTTACCTAGAATATCAATTAAAATAAAGCGTTTCCATATTTCTCGTCATATGAAAATGCACTTCAGTGAACACTATACCTATCGAGACACCTGAAGGTAGGGTTCTCCATATAATAGACTAACTAATTTCATCAAAAATATTTATGTCGTAAGTCATTAATCATTTATAGGTCCAGATACAGCAAAGTCGGCCATATGACAGCTAATATGTTAATATCGAAAACTTCGTGCTGTTGAAAGCCTGTTAGGCTAACATGGACGCACGAAACCGCAAAATGGTTTTAACAATTTTTGTTTCTAGCCTTGTTTTGTTAGCATCCGCAGATAAAAGAAATTTCACATGTGGTAAGTTATACAGCTACTCAGTCTATAAGAACATTCAAGATGTAAACAAAACCAAACCCTGAAAAAAAAACCGTATAAAGTAAGTTGTGTAAAAGTGTAGTAGATGTAAATTGTGTTGATTAAGGAACTGTCCTAGTTTGCTCAATATCATCGCAACCATTAACACCATCTTTCTACGCCGTAACCACATCAAATGGAGGAATCATTTCAAACATAATATTCTCCAAGTGATCTATACCGTTTCGGGGGAAATTGAATTAATTCACTCTTCACCATTTTGTTTATCAAGCGTGTCAAAGTAAATTCTTTTTTCAACCCTAAATTAAACTAATACAGGGAATAGGAGAAAGTTTGGAAAAAGGTCAGCCGAGTGAAAGACCACTTAATCAGAAAAGAAACCCTTAAGACATTGCAGTAAATTTAAAAGTAAATCGCTCAACCCTTAGTGGAAGCACAGGCAGAGAGAAAGCTGGTTTCCTGAAGTTCTGTAGCCGTGCAAATCCTGCATGTTCTTTGCCGGTTTTGTAACTTGAATTTTGTAAAATAGGTTTTCACCGTATTTTTCTTTTCTCCTTGTGGCCAAATAGGATTTATAAATAATGGAAATGCAGAAGAGTCTGAGGCATTGAAGTTTGTTGTGTCCCAAAGTAACACAAAAAACAACATCTCAATAACATTAAAGGTTCTAAATACATCAACTTCTGTAGGTCTATTTGATCAAGGTAAGAAATCTAGACAAAAGGTATATCATTCTTTCTACGAGTTCTGGATAATAACCTCCATGTAAATACCATGCACTCTAACATGAGGCATCAATCATGATTCCACTAAAACAACAGAATGGTCCTACAACCTTATTATAAATTCAAAACTCTATATTAGTTCTACCCAAACTAGTATAGGACAGTTTTTCATAACAGGTACAAAGAAGGATAATAGCTAAGCCTGATGGTTTCGTCATCATTAGCAAGAATTAAATAAAAGGATAAAGAACTGGCATGGGTACAAGACAACTCAAATATTTGATTACCGTTAACAAAATTAATTTAAATGGATGACAGATAGCTGGCATGGCTACAATTTAGTTTAACTGGTTAATTATCATTCTTTGCAGCTGTTTCGGTGCTTCGCCAACAAAACGTCACCATACTCGTTGAGGGAAGCCATTTAAAAGTCTCCGCATGCGCAATCTCTTTGGTAATGGGTGTTTCTGTCATTCGCCTCCATGGAAGCAACGGACAGTTTGACCAGTGTGAGAATGTAGTGGATATGTCAGCGGGATACAGATATTTTGCGCATGCAACATTTGATGCATTGAGCATACTGAAATGGCGGAAAGTTCTACTGATCTTTGATGGTAATTTGAAATAAACTAGCATAAGGTTATGACAGAGAACCTATCAACCAAAGTGAAAAATCTATATACCTGTAGTGTTGGACCCGAAACCCCACAATTCATCCCATGAAGTGCATCGCTCATGTTATCTTACCCATTACTTCTTATTGTTATGCAACCCTCCTATCCTAGAGTTTTCTTGCCAGGAATCTTCAGGCTGTTTATTCCTACTCTCCAGGAATTTTTTCAGTGAACAGTTAAGCTTATGTTATAAAACTTAGCCTTGATGCGTTTCGTTATGTCTGTTGACACAGAGAGTCGCTTCTTTGAGGCTGGATATTTCTACTTCAACTATAAGAAGTCAACTCTCACCATGGATTTAATTCAGGTGCCCGAGACAAAATACGCTGAAGACAGAGAAAGAAAAATATGGCAAATAACAGAACAGATACAAAGCTACCAACCGGAAAGTATTCTTCTCTACACAGGGAAGGAAAACACAGATATGTTATTGCAACAGGTGAGGGAAGTATTCAAATATCAAAACTTATTAATTTGACTGATTAAGAGCCGGCAGATGCGACGATCACTGACACAACATTACCGGTAGTTATAACAATTGTTTTCTTTTGTTGTTTCTTTTTCGACGAGGAAACATTTCTCATTTTCACACTTGAGGACGATCTCACAGTACGAGAGTTTGGTTATTATGCAGGATCTACTGTCACGGTTTGATCTTCTTTTTTAGAGTATTCTTGCGAACTCTCTGGGCCTTCAGCAGTCTCATCCATAAAATATGAGCTGACGATATGTTATCAGAATTTCTACTCTCTATTATTACCAGAAAACAAAAGATTACCTCTTGCAGAAGTGTATTAAGTACTTTTGGGGAAAAAAATATTTCAATCAGCAAAAGTTCAAAGGAGTCATACGCAGTTACGGTTTTTTATTTCATTTGTGTCAGGTTCCTCGTCAAAGGCATTTTCCGTATCAGTGGATCCTCCAAGAACAGGTACCAAATAACTTGAGTATGCAGCACTTGAAAGCATGAAGCTCTTCATTAATTATAAGTGAAATGTTATTGAAGGCTCTGATCATGAATTTGACTCGTTCGTTTGCACAGGTATCCCAACACCAGAGAAGTCTTCCTGACAATGTAGTCTTGGCATTTAAGCTCCCATACGAAAGCAGCTTTGTTAATAAACTCTTTGGATCAGCAAAACAAGAAAAACTCAAATATATCAACAAGGTAAAATTGTTGCAAACTTAGGAGTCATGACATTGTTAGATAAATAAATCTTCTCTTGGCAGTAATGATTATCAGATTTTCTTACAAATTAAATGGTGGTCTAGTTCACATGCAGTTATTTGGGTGACCAACCATGGTCTTCAAGTTTTATTTATACATCATTTTTAGCTTTACAGATCTAGGCAACAGTAAAACGTAACCTTTTCCTTGTCAAGGGACTTTGACTAACATATTGAATAACTAGTTAAGTTTGGTGAACAGTAAAACATTCAAGAAGCTGTCTACCGATCGCTCTTTTCTTGTTGATATTTGTTGCAAGATCACAGTCAAGCATCTTTTGATGTCCATTAAAAATAACAAGACAATTACATCAATGTCAACTAAAGAAATAATAGGCGAGCTAAACTGAGTATCTCATATACCTATGCAATATGACAACAGGCCAGCGCTATACGAGTTTTTTAGCTAACCAGCTTACAAGTCTTACAACGATAAAACAGTTATTCACTCTTTTCCCTTCTGTTCTGTCATCATGGGGTTTCTATAACTAAATTCCTAATCTTTCCTCAGGATTATGTTGCTGTGGCACACGATGCAATAAAGGTTATTACCGAAGCTTTAAATGAGAAGCCATGTCTGTCACTGAATGGAAAAGATAGACTGTTACCTGATACAGAGATGTTTAACTGCATGAGAAAGGTGATAAGTCTGGTCTGAATTATTAATTTCTGTTCATGAAGCACAATTGCTTGTCTCTTTTAGTCTATCAATTTCCAAAATTGTCGAAATTGTCTTCAGTTTGAAATTTCCGAGTTCAAATTTTGAGAAGTGTATTTTTTATCGGTGGATCTTCCGAGGAAGCCATTGTCTAGCGCGTTTAAGTGCAAATCTTTGTTCCAACTGTTTACCACGTGCGTGTGCGTGTGCGTGTGCGTGTGCGCGTGTGTGTGTGTGTGTGTGTGTGTGTTTGGGGGGTATCTTGATGTGCGTTGTTCCCCTAGTACATCACGTGATGGAAATTCTAGGAGAGATCGTAAAAGGGTTGTATCAGCATTCTCAGATTACTCTGCCATTTGCACCGACTCCATACAGGTCTTTCTATATCACGGATTACCAGTAGAGTTAATGTGATTTCTAAAGAGGAGTTACCTGATCTTTGTTTGTGAAGTTTGTTTGTCTTTTTTAAGGTTACATTCAACGGTATGACTGGGTCTGTGCAGTTTGATAACAGGGGAAGGCGAACAGACGTCTCCCTGGAAATCTTAAATCTTCGAAATGATTCTTTCCAAAAGGTAAGATGAAGTTGATCAGATTGAAAAGTATGGGTTTTATTTTATTAGGTTACCCACAGATGCAGTGACTTAGTTTAAATACTGAAAGGAAATACGTCAAAATGATAAACCTTCGGCCTGTCAACTTCCATCTCCAGTCTCCTCTTTATTTCAAAGTTTCACACAAGTTACCATAACTAACACTTTCCAGGCCAGCTCTTCGTATGTTTTTTTTCTTTTTCACTGTAGATTGGTTTTTGGAATTCAACGGAACGAGCAGTTCTTTTTGAAGATCCACTACCAAACACTCTACCAGGATCGTCAAGTAATGGAGAAGTAAACGGCAGACATTTTAGGATTGTATATGTTGAGGTATTTGTATTAAGAAGATTGCAAGTGCGTTGAAAGGTATTATCATTTACCACTGGAAGTAGCTTGGTGATTATATTCAAGAAAGTTTGTATCTAAGTAACCAACTGTAATGGGCCTCTATTTTTAAGCCTTGCGGCAATTTTCAAACAATTTAGTGCCAGTTATGTCATAGCAAACTGAAATCAAATATAATGATTTCAGTCTCTCGGTACATTCTATCTCTCTCTAATGGCGTTCGTTTAACACTCTTTTTTCCTTCGTGAAAAACAAAATAGGATCCACCATTTATAATCTCAAAGAAGAATGAAGATGGGACGATTTCACTTCAAGGATACTCTATTGATCTTCTCAAGGAGCTGTCTCGATCACTCGGGTTTACATATGAAATGTATCCTTCGCCAGATGGATTTTATGGAACAGTGACGGAAAATGGAACTTGGAATGGCATGATAAGACAGATTTTAGACGGGGTAATTAGCTGAAAAGTTGACTCTCTTCTCCAAAAGCACTAGATGTAATATTAACTTTTTACAGTTGTTAAAATCATCGTAACTCAGATGACAACCACCGTAATTAGTAAAAGGTTCAAAAGGAAACGCCTATGAAGAAATAAACTCTAACTGACATTGATGCCCGTAAAAGATAAACAGCCACCAGATCAGACCCTTTTTTAAGGTAGGCGGAAGGCAGCGCAAAGTGTGAGTGACGCGCAAAGCATCAAGTGCGAAAAAAAACTGAATACCAAAACAAATCAGAGGTAACAGTATGACAGTGTACCGCTAAAATCCCTGACTTAGATCTCAAAAGTTTAACTGACGACAAAAACGTTCACTTTTGCCTTCTTTAAGAATGCGAACATGGCGGCTGGATCGATTGCCATCACTGAAACCAGAGAAAAGGTGGTGGATTTCACTGTTCCGTTCATGTATTACACTGACGATCTACTGGTGAAGAAGACATCAACAGAGACAACCGATTTATTGCAGTTCATGGATCCATTTGAAAATGGCGTCTGGATCGCTACTCTGGGAGTAGTGGCACTCATCTCTATTGCTGTCTTCGCAGTGAATTATTTCAGTCCTTATGGATACAAAGATGAAAATGGTAGAGGAACATCAGAGGAGTTTAATTTCTTTAACAGTGTGTGGTTTTCTTTGGCCTGCATGCTGCAGCAAGGAGGAGATAACACACCGAGGAATTTATCAGGTAATGTTAGCACAGATATCCACACGGCAATGATTACTACTCATAAGGTGAACTACAGATATAACACATGTGCTATCTGTGCTATGCTATTTTGTTCTTCCATTGGTTTTGCGTGCGAAGGAGAAGCCAACACAACGCGGTATTCTCATCATTTTATCGTACATTTTTGCGTATTTTGTGGTCTAGAATGGAGACTATGGTAGGCTAAAATGTATTGTAGCTCGCTTGATTGTTCTGACTGTTACTTTCTCAAAGCTAGACAATATAATAATATAGTGATGACTTCTCAAAATCACTCATAGTTCAAGTTCTTTTAACCCGTTAGCGCGTTCAGTACCAAAGGTATTACTCATTGGTCGTATCTTGCTCACAGATCACTATATATATTATTTCGGGCTAATAGAGATATTAAGAATTCGGCTAAGCCAAGGATAAAGAAAAGGAATTTCATTGTTGTGTATCAATGAAAAGTCAGTTTCATGTATATTTGATAACAGGATTTACTGGTATTTTCATTTCTTTGTCATGCTCTGTGGCGCATTTTGCGGGCTAAAATGGAGATTTGTGAAGAGATTTGTTATTTTTTTCCATTAGTTATTTTATCAACGCCTTCCAAAGTGATAAAATAGTTATACAGTTATAGAGTAATACAGCCTAGAGGCTCCGGCTAAAATGACTATGATTCGAACCCAAATCATATTTAAGCCCGCGAACATGAACCCCATTGTTTTATTAAATGCGAGTTTGTCCCTATTTCACATCAGGTCGAATTCTGACCGGTTGCTACTGGTTCTGTATTCTTATCTGGGTCTCAACTTACACAGCCAACCTTGCTGCGTTCCTCACTGTGAAAAATGCAGCTCAGCCGATCAACAGTCTGAACGATATTTTAAAAACTTCCTACAAAGTGGCCGTTGTCTCTTCCACCAGCGTGTATTCAGCATTTAAGACAACTCAGTACGAGCCGCATAGGAAGATTTGGAATAGAATCCAAGCGGAAAAAACATTGGTTAAAAACGCACTAGAAGGAGTCCAGTGGGTTCGAGAGAAGGATAATTTTGCATTTGTTTATGACGGACCAGTCCTTGATTACTTCGCCATGCAGCGGCCATGCGGCCTCAGAGTAGGTAAGTGAAATAACTTGAAAGGGCGTGGTCAAAATACCAAAGGCTGTGAGGCTCTCTTGTAGGATTGAATTGGTTAGAATCATCACTGGACTTTCACAGCGAGAGAAAGGGTTAAGTGGCCAGGTATAAGACATGACTATTTTTCAGATCCGTCAATAAGCGTCTAAATCAGTCTCTGACAGTTCTCTAAAATTGTGCCTATTTGTGATTTTCAGTTCCAGGTCTGACCTCGGCCAAAGGTTTTGCCCTGACTTTTAGAGCGCATGACCCTCACACTAATATATTTACGCTGACTATTCTGCACCTCCATGAGAATCAGTTTCTGGACTCACTGAAACGAAAATGGTGGGATGATACCAATGCTTGCTCTCAGGAACAAGATACAAGTGAGTCAATAAGGTTTTTAACCATTTCAGTGCTTAAACACGGGCACTGAACGAGATATGCACACATCTCATCAAAAGACCATTACAGGGATTTAAATCCTCCTATTTACTTTCGTATGATGACAAATAAAAAACTGGTCTACACTTATTTTCGGATGTTGAATGAAGGTCTTGCTTGACGTTTGTTTTTGTCTGTTTGTTTTCGTGATCTTTTGTATTTCTCTTACATGAAGATTGTTAAAATCCGTATTTACAGCTTTGTCTCGTAAGCGAATCAGTCTAAAGAGCATGCTGGGAGTTTATATTGTGTTGAGTGCTGGACTAGCAGTTGCCTTGGTGACGCTTGCTGCTGAGATCTACTGGAAAAGAACAGCTAAACACGTACTGGCAAACAAAGTTCAAACAGGGAACAGAAGGTTGGTTCGATTGTTTTATCAAGGCCTTACACTTCAAAACCTTTTACAAAGCATGAAAGTTGACCTTAAAAGGACTCTAAAGGTTGATGATAAAGAATTTGAGTAAGTTAACTTCTTCCATGTACCAACCTGCATTAAACTGAATGGGCAGTTTAGTGTTAACAACTGAGTTGAAAACGTAAATTGGCCACCGTAAAGGGTAAAAAAGCTGACGTTTCCAGCGTTAGCCCTTCATCAGAGCGATACAACTACTCAGTTATTAACATTAAATTACCTGCTATACTCTCCCACCGACGCAGCACCACAGTTTCTTTAGAAACTTACCCCCTTTATGCATTAAACCGAGTTGAACATCAGTACCCTGGGCAATAATTCAACGTAGTGACCAGTTTAGAGAGACAATTGTGAAAAAGTAGATGAATAGTAATTAGATAACGTAATTATACCGACAGTAAGTAGTCATCACATCTGGCATTGACGCTGATTCAAGCCAGAAATACAATAACACTGTATTACTCTCATTAAACATCCTACCAGCAAGTTTGTGGCTAAAAAAACAACAATAAATAATACAAAGAATTTATCTTGTTTACAGGCCAACGAATTCTGCGTTAAGGTCTAACTGCACCAGTAGGATTTCAGCAGACTGACTAACATGGAATGAACCTAAATTCTGTAAAGCGAACAACCCAAAAAGAAGGAAATATAAAGATCACTTTGTTAGGAAGTCTGGACTAATAAACCTAAGCTCTGTGGTGCTGAGCACTGTTCCTATGCTAAGTAAAAAAGCTAATAGATGACATCGAAACTATAAGAGGAACAAACTTGCACAACTTGCTTCATATTAAGTGATCTGATAAAGCTCTTAATAAATTTCCACCATTTATGACTCAGTTGAGGGTACAAGGATTAGTATTGATCATGTATTTATAAACGATAGTCTCTATTTGACGCGAAAATATGTTCATTTTTCTCCCGCAGATTGTTCGAAATATAATTTTCTGGATGATTGAGGAAGACAGTCAGCTTTTTATAATATGTTTGAACTCTTGGAGTATCATCACAGGATTTTAAGTAAAATAACTTGAAATAACACTAATGTTGAGCTCCTACGTTTTAATTAGTCTGTTAAACGTCTTTGGGTCCACACTATCAACTCGCAGTGATACAAAGGAGCCATACAGTTATCTTTTGATTTAGGTCGGCAGATATTCAAGCTAAGGAGTTGAAGGTCTGTATGTTGCAAGAAGTTTCCAATTTTTTAAACTGACATTCTACCCTTTTTCAAAGTAGACATTTTCTCTTTGACCACTGAGGTTGGAAGCAACATCTTTACAACGTCAAAAAAACTACTCTACATCCTGAAACATCAACAACGTTACATTGATTCACAATTGAACAGATGAGAAATAAATTATGACATTGCTTGCAACAAGAAGTACATTAAGTCGCAGTTCATTCTTTCATTAAAAGTTTAAGCAAAATGACATGCACAGTTCATGGACACACCCCACCCCTATAAAACTCGATGCCACTCTGAGACATATTGTGCCTACAAGGACCTACAAGGAAATATTCTGGTTATCAATAGGATTTCTTATATATAAAAAAAAACCTTGGGCCAGAGCAGTCTCTTAAAAGTTCATTTTCACACCATTGAGGATAGCCTGTACCTTAACAAACTAATATGTTGATGCAAGTTAATGTTGGTTTGAAAGAAAAAATGATCCAACTGATCAAATTTGATGTTGATTACCACACATCAAAACCTTACTGAAGTAGCAAAAGTTGTCAAAGATGACATCATCAATGCGTTAGTTCCTTACGACGTCATGACTAAGAATCAATCAAAATACATGTGCAATTCAGCTTACAATGTAGAGTATTTTCCAGTATGTTTATTCACTCTTGCTGTACTTTTGCTGCTTGTTCAGTATGTTTTATTTGGGGATTTACATCTGAGACAGGAAGTGAGGTCTTCCGTTGTCATCAGGTCTGATTGTCAGAATGTCACATCCAGTTTCAGTCACTAGTAGGGTCTGCTCAAACTGAGCTGACCTCTTGCCATCCTGCAAGGAAAACATGTTGAAGTCGTCACCTGTGTTAAGATGACATAAATGTGCAGTGACAAACTCCTTTTTTTAAGTCTGTCAAGAGGTTTCAAATAGTTACAATCACTGGGCTCACATATGAAAGAGAGCCATTATCAAGGCACATGTTTCTGTCATTGTCCAAGGCCTGAGGTTCTTCAGAAGGCAAAACCATCTCATTCACACTCAATTACCTAGGGTTAGAATACATTGCACAAAAACTGTTTCACACCTGTGTCACGGCAGTCCAGTTGTCAGGCCAGATCTCATCTCGCCAAGTTCCTAGAATTTTGTCAAAATTAACCAATCAAACCATAGAATTGAATTAATTGGAAGCCACTGTATCACACTAGGTGGGCTACATTAATCACACCTTTGAGCGGAGTTCATATAAATAATTCACGCTACAGTGTTTGTTTGAAAATTTTTCTCCCTAGTTGCATAAGTTTATTGCTAAAATACACAAACAAACCAAGGGAATTGCAAAGGAACAGACAAATAAACAAATTTTCAAAGGGAAAAAAAAAAGACAAACCAACACAAACATCAACCATAGAAAACTAAGGGGTGTAACTGTAAACCAATACTTTAGATATCAAGACTCGTGACTTATAACAATAATTACCCAAAAGTGTTTAAATAACCTAACAATGATATAACAAGTACCTTGTGAGATCATCGGTTCAATGGTAAATGTGTGTCCTGGCTTCATTACACCAAAAGCTTTGTTTTCTATAAAATAATGCCATCGTGAATAGAACGCTCTGCACATGATTTGGTTTTAGAGGAAAAATACTGTAATTTCCGGCCGTTTACCCGCGGGTATCTGTTGATTTTGCATTAAACGCGGGCCACTGCGGGTAACAGGGAGGTGCAGGTTATGTGACAATTTTAAAATCTACTGGTAGTTGAAATGTATTAAGAGTGCCACAGAGCGGTACGAAAACATGATGCCGACTAGATTTTATTTCACGCATAATTAGTTGCGTGACCAACAAATTGTTATCGGCACGCGTGAAAACAAAATCTTGATGGTGACAAAAATAATCTAAAGATATCCGGCGCATCAATAACAAATTTCCATTTAATACTAGCTTGAACTAAAGAGAATTTTCCCGTTTTAAGGGACTTGTTAGGCTCGATAGAACCGGAGATATCTATTTTTTTCAGAAATCGCCGACAGTACTTTATAATTCAAGTTTGAACGCTCACCCAGCTTTCTTTCAAATCAACATAGCGCTGAACGATCGCTCGCACAAAATGTGGCCACAAATTCGCATTCTGTCAAGTATGAAACGCTGATATTTGGGCATGGGCCGTTAGTGTTTTTACTGTATAATTTTATCAATAAAGTACATGCTAATATTGACACAGAATTGTGCACGCGCCTGAATTTCTTTGACCTTTAAACTCGACAAAGAAGCTTTCAAGTTTTCGAAAGTTAGATCAGACAACTTTTAAAAGACTGAAATAGTATCACCTTAAAGTCACGTTTTCGCCACCAAAAACATAACGTGCGGGTTATCCACCGTGCGGGTAATTTTTTTCGCCGTGTGCAATAACCGGCCGGTGCGGGTAATTGGCCGTGCGGGTAAACGGCAAAAAATTACGGTAAGTCATATGAAAATACCTGTGGGCAGAAGCGTAACCATGAAGATTAATGTGTTTGCGAGCTGCTTTGAATTTTAGGAAGCAAGAAAAGAACCACCACAAAGACAAAGACAACTGCGTTACATACTTACTTGCATAATGAGGGACACTTGGTGCAGTATGAAACAGCCTGTGATGTGGACGATTTGACACATTAGTACATTACTAATATATCATGGTTGGGTTCTCACAAAGTTGTTATCATAGCAATGCATCAGCACAATCTATATATACTTACTCGTGAATCCCATGGCCACAAAAACTCTTCACAACAGCATAGCCATGAGCTTGGGCATGCTTCTGAATGATGTTACCAATCTCTCTGTATTTCACACCAGGCTTCACTAAGATACAGAAAAGGATTTTAATGCCTTTGCTTTTTTGTTTTGTTTTGTTTTTTTGTTTTTCCTCCGCCACAAAATGGAAAAATTACCCAGAGGTCATTGGGCCCTCAACACGTAAGCTGTAAGATGACATATTATTATATACCAGACATAAAAACTCTTCAGATTCTTAGTCTGCATTTTGTACCCAGTCTGCAGTCTATATTTTGTATCCGGTCTGCAGTCTGCTGTCTGCATTTTGTACTAACAGGTATCTGTGGCACCAATACAGTTTATTTTTGGTTACATTTACTCGCAAAACATACATAATCTACCACAAAATACCTGTGAGTGAGGTAATTGGACATTTTCGTTCTTTCCCACATTAATATTCTTCTCTCCTTTTGTAAGAATGTACACATCACTCACAATGTTTCAAGTAATCCACCCACCCTACAAAAAAGTAACTCTTGCATGCATAGCATGCCTATGTTTTGAAATAGGTGTATGCCCTTGGCCAGACTTGAGCGCACTATTTCAGTATACTAGTCTGACACCCGTAGTACCACTACACTTGATTCCAAGGATCCAGTACCATCCAGGTATCCCAGTTACCCTGCTCACAGGGTCTAGTTGTTTATTTTTTTAACGAAATATCTTTTGAGTTGTTCATTATAAAATGTTGTTAGTATGGAGTGAAGTTCCAATCTCACATTACAAGTTTGACCTGAACAGTTATCATCACCATATGTGACTTTATGACAGAAAATACACTCAACATTGGAACTTTTACATAATGAATTAGCCTTATTTAATACTAAGGATATCTATCACATTACCTGATGCTATAGCCTGACTTAAACACTCATGTGTAACCTTCACTAACTGTTTGCTGTCCTCTGACACTTCACCAACAAAGAATGTCTCATTCAGATCTCCGTGGAAACCATTGTAATAAATGGTGATGTCGACTACAAAACAAAAATTGAGTAGATTTCAAAATCATAGTTAGCATGAGCAAGCACTTTCAAGTGTCATTCATCACACTTAAAGTTTGGAAAGAAAAGGGTCTTAACTTTAACCTCCAAGCACAAAAAAGTATTTGTGACATTGAGTTTGCTCCATAAAACAGTTTTCATAACTGTACTAATGTATCTGTCCATGGTACATGTTAAGTGTTTATCCATTCATGAATAACAGCACTCCAATAGTTATCATAAAGTGTACCATCTAGCCTTGTTTACTATTGTTCACCATTAATAACTGGTAAAGTACAGACATTAAAAAAGAAAATTCAGTGGCAACTTACTGTTTAAGAGATCCCCATCCTCCAATGGGCGCGTGTCAGGAATACCATGACAGATCACTTCATTTACAGACCTGTTCCAAGAAGAGTACTCAATTGAAAGCTGGGGATTTGAACTTATCTTAAATTAAGCAAATTGGCACTAATGAAATATTTGTGTCAATGCTACACAGCTTGCATGGCCTTGAGAGCAAGAAAGCAAAAACATTAACTTTGAGGTTATTGGTAATATTATTAGAATCTCTGAATCAACCTGGTAACACTAGCAACCAAGATAGGGTATGGGCAATTTTTAAATATCTACATATTAGTGTGTTGTGAGATATTACTATGAAGAAGTAGACAAAACCAACTTACGTGCAACAAGACTTTGGAAATCCATGATAATTGAGAGGAGAAGGATAACAATTCCTCTCAAGACAGGCCTAAAGGATAAGAAAAGCAACGTTTACTCAATAATTCACAAATTTTAAGTTTAATACAGCAGAATTTGTGAGAAACATTAATGAACGCACTTTCAGACATGCTGGCACAATGCTAATGGTTTGCTTCAAAAGAACTTATAATCAAGACAAACTGTGTATTTATTTATATTCTGTACCTCATGTACTATCCTGTCCAATTCATCTGTTGTGATACCAACTTTAATATGCCTTGCTGCTGTATCCAACACTTCCCTTGCCAACTGCAGAAGTAAAATACAATACTTTCAGTTGTAGAATTTCTTAACACAAGTTTATAATAACTTTCAAATAATTTACCCCACAGCTTGTTACAGGTGAGAGTAATTACACAAAGTCATGTCATTTCTCAATTTCCTTTAGGTATGCTAAGTTTCTACATGTTAAAAAAAAAAAAAAAAAAAAAAAAAAAAAAAAGGCAAAAAAAGAACCAACCAACCCTCCCAAAGACAAAGTATATAACAACCTCATACTACATGTACAAACCCTACACCAACAGGTAAAGAATAAATCTTACCCTGCATGCCACCTGCATCTTCTCAATTTCCTCCTCATTCAGTACTCTTATCTGCATGCTTTGCTTGGATTTTATCTCTGACAGAGGAACACCTGGTGAAAACATCAAGTACATAGCTAGTCATGCATCTTTGCTTGATTGGTTAACTCAAAAAGCAGTTCTCTGATGTCACTTTAGGGGCAACCAAACTACAGTCCAACCTGTACTAGCAGCAATGTATTAAGCAGTCACCCTGTATTACACAGTCAGTTGTTAAAGTCCTGAATTTGTTTCTTGTTCATCACTGTAATTTTTAGCTTTAGCAAGCTGTCACCTCTATTAAGCAGTTGCAGTCACCCTTTACTCCTAGTCTCAACCACCAGTTTTCAATTGTCCCCCCCCTGTACTGAACAGAAACTGAAAGCAGAACCAATCAAATAATACTAAGAATAATCTTTCAAGTAATTTTTTATCCATGTTTCTCTACCTTAAATCAAAGTACCAGTAAGTACTATTTTCAAATGAGATTCTGCACATGAAGTGGTTAATTATGGCATGAAGTGGCATTGTTTATCATTTTTTATAACACCCCCAATATGTGATACCTGTGTTAAGTAGTCACCCTGCCATTCTCTATGGGTGACCATTGACTACAGGTCCCACTCTGCAGTTATTTACATGAATCATGAATCTCTTGTTTGTATGTTAGTTAACTCTTCAAATATCACACGGAAGAGCTTGAATTGGCCAGTAAGAGTATTTTTTATTCATACTGTATGATAATCACAAGGGAAACAATTGGAAAGTTGTAACTTAGCAAAGAGATCTTTCTGATTCCCCATTGTTCAAACTTCTCTTCTAAGAAGTACAGCTTTGAGCATTGAGTCAAATAAATACTATTTTTGCCTTCATTCAAAATCAAACAAACTATAAATCCAGTGACTGCACCTCATTTAGTAGAAGTTCAGTATTTTAAATCTTTGATAAAAAATCAATTTGATTACAAACCATTCTCTGCATAGTCAGGTTTCTGGATGTGATCAGGGACCTCTCGCCTTGGAGACTGAAAATAAATGTTAATTCCTTATATAAATTACACAAATGTAATATATTACTAAAGGCTTTTACTATAAATAGTTCACCTTTTCCTTGTATTTGTACAGTTATAAATTAAAACAGATGGCTTTAAAATTAGGTAAGAACAAAAAAGTGGAAGAAGTGAACACTGAGGCACCACAAAGACAAAATGATATATACTTAACATTGAACAGACATAAGAAAAGGTTTATCAAAAACTTGCTGAGAGGCACCACCTTTTTTGAACAGTTGCTCCAATTTACTATTTAATTTTCAAGTTGTTATGACTACTTTTTTCCTTTTTTTCCATTTTTTTGGGAGGCAGTAAACAGCTCCTGCTAAACTTTTTCTTGGGTGTCTTCACTAATGCTTCTTCCAGAGGAGGAAATATTACAAGTGACATAACAAAACTTTGTCTTGTTAGTAAAGCAAAACAAGTAATTTTTTAATTACATGAGCCCAAACAAAATGACTAATTAGAGTCTGAAGTATTTCCTCCTTTATATAATTCAAACATCTAGTTTGTTTAAAGATTAAACTCATACACAATACTATACCTGAGGCCAGGGCTTCAGTTTTCCTGTGAATCTATATCCAGGCCATGGATTATAGGTCACTGGTTTATTATTGTCATCTACCAAACAGTTTCATAGAACAATCAAGTCAATGAAAGATATGTGAAAGGTGACAGGCAGACTTGCTGACAATAAAATTAAACATGTGAAATATTGTGCAAATGATAAACCCTTTAGATTTTTAACATGAGTTGTATTAAGAAAAATATTAATATATGAAAAATGTTTAAAAGATCAATATCTATAACAAATGAAGATAATTGAACACGATAATCACTTCTGATCAGTTATTGAACTGTTGTCAATATGGGTCCTGTTTATGAATTGATGTGGAACCCAGGCTTTGTTTGAGTATAATGTGGTACACCTGTACCTGCAGCTTTAGCTGACTTGTGTACTTTTCTGTGTTCACTCCAGTTCTGCTTGAAGCAATCCTGCAACAAAATGAAGTTCCAAAAGTAAATACAACAATCATATTCACAGGTGTTTGATTTATACTCATCCCTGAAAGGTATCACTTTATAACCAGTATCTCCTTCAATGATCACAGAGACCAGTTCAACTATAAGAAGAGTGATTGTTTCATATTAAAGAATTCGCCTGCCTTTAGAAAGGCAGACAATCACAATCAGGTTCTGATGATAATAAGAGGTATTTTCCTTTAAATCCAAATATCCTCAAAATAATGAATCCGATCACATTAATTCTTTCCTAGAGTGACACAAAGTATTATGAAAAGTAGATCAACGATTCCATACCACGAGCAGCAATGGTGAAGATTTTGCAGAACATATTTTTTAAGTTGAGCTTAATTATTAGAACAAGTGCAGAAAATTACTTGTCATAGAGTTTCATTACTAAAAGCACTTTGTATTGACAGAAAAACTGAAAAAAGACTTGTGGAGTGGTAGCAGTGGCGGATGATTAACGACGATTAACGTCGACCATCTCCAAAGAGACTAAAGATTATTCTCAAACAATTTCAAGTCAACTCACAATGCATAGATACGAATCAGTACAAATCGTATTTAAGCCCTTTCCATTATACATAATGTGGCTGCCACACAAACCCGCCTAAAATGGGCAATTCTTAACCATTACCTGAGCACAGAAGAAACTGCCTTGAATTCCAAGCTTAATACATGTAGGACACTGTAATTTAGCTGGTTGTTGACAGCCAGGACTTTCGCAAGTGCGTATCGCGACAGCCGCCATGATGAACAAAATGATCTAACTTCCAGTCTCATTATTACGAAGCAAGTGAGAGAGAACTGGGGCCACTACTCTTTTAATAGGGAAGTGCACAGGCACACTAGTGCACAACCCACCGGCACAAGTTTTGAAATAATCTTCTGCAAGGTGCTAGCGAGGAAAAAAAAATACCCACACGCACTTAATTTTGTCTTCGCTCTTGTACTGACTCCTAGTTAGCCTCTGTATTAGCACTAGATTTAGATTTCTGATGCAACAAAAAGTTTCTTTGATTTCCTCTGTTGAGGGTTACCGATTGGTTTTTCGGAATTCAGGGTTAGTTAGTTAGTCCCACTTTCTGAAAAAAAAGAAAGAAAAAAAACGGAGAAAAGAAAAACCTGGCCTTCTGAGCATTCCCCCATTCCTTTGCCTTTGGGCTGAAGCTTATGCGTTCATCTTTGGTCTTATGTGCAAAATTTTGAAATCCTATAAAACTCAACAATATCATTGTTTTGGTCAGTTCAGATTGGCTGGTATAATTCTTTGGGATCACAAGATTGAGAGAAATCTCTGTTATGCACCATGTCTTGTTCTTTGCAAATCAAAGAAAGATGATGATTGAATAAGATTGTCTTTTTTCATTTTTGTCTTTAGTAGTGAGGGCCCTAATGAAGACTTCAGACACTGCAACAATAAGGAAGTGATTACTTGTTTTATATAATTCTAAGTTTATTTCTTTTTTTTTGCTATAATTCTATGCACACCAGGAACTAATTAGATATCTGGCTATAGCTTGACTCCTTGCATACCATCTTTGTACGGTGACTGTTGTTGATTTGCTTCAAAAAACGGGAAATCAGGAGGTGATGAGTGAGTACCGAAAAATAATTTAATAAACAACCGTCGCCATCTTACACCGAGCACATGGTAGAACTAAGGAAGCAAAGTGTCATGGTTGATTACGTACATGTAGGCATGCAATGCGGGTGTACTCATAATCTTGCTAATACATCAACAACTGTCTATTGTACAAAACACTAAAGCATGAGTGTTTAGATTTGTGAACTTCTTTACTAAAATAACATTTGAATACCACTAATTTTGACATCTGAAGTGGCCATTATATGAATGTGTAACAAGAGCAACCTGCTCCCAGATAATAATAAAATATACCTAACTACTATAACTAACAAAATAACTGTTGTAACTTTACTTCCCATGTAATACAAATCTATTTTTTATTTCCCACCATAGTATAAACAATGCTCCATAAGATTGACGTAACAAAGCTTCTTCTTAACAACACTAAAGATAGTCATTTGAAATCAGCTCTGTAGCAGATCAAAGCCCAGTAGAGTCTCAGATATGGAGTCACACAAGGAAAGTAGTTTAAAAGGAGAGTGCTGAGCAATACTGGTGGCATGTGGGATTGAATCTGTTATGTAGAACTTGCTGAAGGGCACTTCACAGTCTGTGAACAGCTTCCACGAATCTTTAGGAAACACAGCATGTGTTACATATGCACTGATCTTCACCGCTCCAGCTGACAACAAAGCCTGGCAAAACAAAGGGTTTGTAAGTGTGTAGGTTATGATTGGCTATATTCTAAGCCTGATACCATTCTATTCCTATCTTTACCTATATTATTAGCCCTGTGTACCAGTAATGAGGTTTTAAGTGAGGATGAAGTTATGTCAAGGTATCAATGAGCACCAGTTAGAGACAGGAAATATGTTAAGATAAAAGGAAAATACCTCAGAGTTTGCAGCTTCTTTTTTGTTTTCATTGTTTCAAGTATTCACATGTATATTATAAACTGGCAGGTACCATATCTACACTCTTACTTTAGCACACTCCACTAAGGTCCCTCCTGTCATCACAAGGTCATCAACGATGATCACATGATGTCCAGCTGGGTCACCTTGAAATCCAGATAAACAGATACAAAGTTAACTGAAGGCCTACATGGTCAAGTGAGTCATCAATGACTAACAATGGATGTTCTCAATTCAGTTCAACTCTGACCTATTTACTTGTACTTAAATTGTTGATAAGCAATTTATCATTCAAAGAGCCATAAAATGAAATCACAATGTTATCAAAGCTACCATCTTTGACTTTCACAATTCTGTGGTCCTTGTCACGGATTTTTGTGCAAGTGATAGTTGGGAAGGATTTAAACATGGTATGAAACCTCTTGAATGCACCATCATCAGGAAAAGCAATGCTAATGGCATTGTCTTTGCTTAGCATCATTATCTCTCGTAGAAGCAAAGGAATGGCTGTCTCCAATCTGCATGAATTAAAATCAAGAACATCTGAAATTACATTATGGCATTAATCAACTCCATATTTAAAATATGATCTTCCAATAACATGGGAAATTCCTCTCCTAAGAGTATTACCTTGGAATTACATTGTCAGTGAAATAGAATCTTTCCTGCAGGGCATGAATATCAAATACCATTATCTGAGATGGTCCTCTGGCAGTCAATGGAACAGTGGACAACAAAATGGCCAGAGTCTATGGGAGAGAAACAAGTCCACCTGTTGTATTACATTTCTAATGTACATCTTGTCCAGTAATACACAACAGTAAAGCACATGCAAGTTAAACACTCCAAAAATTAGGAAGTGGGTTCCTTTTGAACAGATCAGACTGTATACCATTTGCTTGTGTTTTTTGAGTTTGGTACTGCTTACATACCAAAGACAATAAGTTCAAAGTTAATCACTCATCCTGGTAATACCTTTGCAGTAGCAACTTGACCCTCTGTTTCCTCCCTTTCCATTGTTCCAGTTGGAAAGTATGGTACAATAGCAGTAAATGATCGAGCCAATAGCCTGTGAGAATGTAAACAGATGATTAAAAAAGGGAGAAATTATTGTTTACCTATCCTTCAGGAAACCTCTTTGCTCCCAAAAGTAATGCATAAGGCTTCCAAATTTCTCTTATTTTCTAAGATATAATCATGGAGTTTTAAAATCTTCAACTTTTACAGCCTAACATCATTTTACACATTTTCAGTGCTGTTTCCTATACATTTCTTTTGTTACTAGAAAGGTTAATTTGTTTAACAGTTTATAGCTTCTCTTAATAAGTATACAATCATATCCTCCACTCTCATGACCTTGGCACTTAAATTAGCAATGATGCTGTGAGGAGAAATCAGATCCTAATGCTAATAGATGCAGTCTCTTCATGTCTTTAAAAGGTATAAGATTTTTAACAAACTCTCCACAGTTTCATCTGGAGTATTTACCATTTCCCATTCTTCCTGAGAGCATGCAACGGTTGTAAAAAAGGATAGTGAGCAGACCCTTGAGCTGTGGAAATTTTTGTATAAAAAATAACCTGGGCTTGAAATAACTGGTGGTTTTAATGTTCACCTGATGTATCTCACCTGGGAATCTTATAAATAACAGAAAGCTGCTCAAACACAACTTCTGGTGAGTGGAAGCTTGCCAGAAAGATGACTGCAATGCAGAAATATATATATGTATATATAAATAGAAAGTCTGTGTTTTGGTTTATCCATATATATTATATACATTTTTATATATATATATATATCCTTTTTCTTTCTTTTTTTAATGAACGAAACAAAGTGAAACATATACAGTGCTCATTCAAATGACTGAAGGGGAAAAAAATTAGCAAAGGCAGACATTAAAAAGCTGAAACACAGGACAAGACCTTTTAAGTTTATACCCTAATGCTGACAACGTTCACATACCATCTCTTCCTGCACAATCTTGTTTAGCATTTGCAATAAATAAGTTTGGCCATCCATCCGGAAATTGTTCCCATGATACAGATCTCAACTCCACACTTTGTTGATAGTATAAAAGTTCTTTCTAAACAACATAAATAATCTTGTAAGATAGTTTTCATGCAAATTTACCGCTGCATATATTTATCACCATGGTTTGATCACAAATTCACAATCAAATCCATGGTCACTTCTCAAGCTTAGATTTGAAAAAGAGTAAGTCTCACTTGTTTCGTGCTTGATGACTGATCCAGTGCACGGCTGCACCGTTCACAGATACTTTCTGCCAATTGACTCATGGATTTATGATAAAACAATACTGCCGGAGGGCGGGGGACATGACTTGTTTTCTGATGTTTATTTGCTTTGGGATCCGCCATGTTTGTCTCGATATATTTAAAGTGAGTGGACACTAGGTCTAGTGCAGTTTACACTAAGGAGTTTCCGTGTGACTCAAGTCAAGACAATGGTCAGCGGATGTCTTAATAATCAACATGACTTTACAACGGCTTTCGATACATCTGTGTACTGTGATGTTTTGTCCATCTTAGTCTATTTTTATTCTAAAAAAATATTTTACAGATGTCTGTCAGAGCTGTAGACTTTTCTTCTAGTGCCTATGCTAAAACTAAGAGCTTCAAGGCAAAAGAAAATGTTGCAACAGCCTCCAGAGTCAAAAGAACACCTGAAAACTCTCCGTCCAGCGTGAAAAGTTCTTGGACGCCATTGAAACAAGACTTAAACGAAAAGGTCTATATTCAGGGAGTCGTCGTATTTCCCTCGCTATTGATTGCTATTTAAGTATGTGTGCAGATAAAGGATATTTACGGACAAGTGATTTTTTTTCATTTTGCAGTTGTTCGATGAAAGGAAAGAGCTTGTCAGTAACTGGGTAAGTGTTTATTTACTTTAGCACTTAATAAATGTTCCATGTAAAACTAACGCAATAGGGTTTCTATTTTTTAAAACGAAAACAACGCTCAACTCGAGATTAAGGACATACATACATACATACACACATACATGACCTTTATTTAAGTGTCTAATCGTTTTAGTGCCTATTGGCATTAATTGGGGACACCTTTAAGACTAAAAAATCTAATTAAAAACTATGAATCTTAAAAGCAGGAAAATAACATTATTCAGACTAAGTACTCTTCTACACTTTAAAACTAAGTTACAATTTTACTCTATAACACTTTGTAGCAGGGTGCTGAATTCACAATGTAATATATGAGCTCGGACACTAAAAATGAATATGTGTAAATATGCGTACGTCAAGTTAACCTAAGCATAAGCGACATTTACTCCCACATCCTTCGAGAAATGATGTTACATCCTTCTCACGTATAGTTGTCCTAAAAGTTGCCAAAGTTCCAATATTTCTCTCTTCCTTGCTTAATTTTGACCACAATTGTGGTCCAAGATATCTAAGAGAGTGACCGTTGCATCAACGGTCACTCTCATCTTAGTTCATATGATTGTTTGATAAAACCTTATCTAGCTGTTACTGAATACAGCTGTATTTATTTTGTAGTCTTCAAAATAAGAAACATTCAGACGAAAGTCACAAATAGCTGAGGTTTGATTGTTACTTTCAATTGATGGTTACTGGTATAATTTCTCTCGAAGCTCCTGCATCTGGAATTTTCTCTGGCTACTTGTTTATTAATTAGACAAAAGAGTGAAGTATTATAGCCTTGTTTATCTGAAATTTATTTATCCCTTACTAGTCAGTGTTTTCTTTCCTCCTTCTAAATTTTTGAATGGCTGGCTGCTACAAAATCCCTAGAGAATGCTGCTGTTAATGCATGTAATACACATTTACAGTTTGACAGGTGGTCTGATGTGCAAAGAAAACTGGTTCTCGAAATCCTAATATCAAAGTGCAAGAATTCTCAGCTGCAATATACATTCTCACTGATTGATGAAAAAATTCCAATAACACATGTGGACTTTACCCGTAAGCTTCCACGTGTCATTTCTATCTACATCATGTCCTTTTTGGATCCTCGAAGTCTTTGTCGATGTGCACAGGTTTGTTGGTTCTGGAAATATTTGTCTGAGCTTGATCAGATCTGGATGCCCAAATGTTTTAAGTTTGGTTGGATTTTACCATTTGTGCCAACACCTTTTGAACAAGGGGTGTGGAAAAGACATTATCTGGAATGTGTTAAAGGATTACAGTATGTTCGACCAAAGGTAAGATAATTTTTATATTTTATTTTTAAGACCTTTGATAACATTAATTTGATTAAAAAGAACAGCTCTTTACAATTTTTTTAAGGTTGTAAGTCACACTAAAGAAGTGTTATCAGCAATTTTCAGTTCTTTCAAAATACATTATTTTTCAAACCAAACAGTCTCCTCCAGGATCCCCAAAGTCCATTCCAGCAGGTAGAGTGATGTCAAAAAGCCTAAGTCAAGGCAGCCTATACAAAAAGGTAGGAACAGGAACCAAAAAAACATCAACAGCTTGGGAGGCTCCTCCCTGGCGGGGTCCTGATCCACATCCCAATGACATCAAGAGGAAGTCATCCAGTGGTGGACGTGTAGGAGGCTGCAGGTGAGTTTGTATATAATATGCAATGGAATTGACAGATGCTATAGCAAAGTAAAACAGTTATTGCACAAAGCTTGTGATTCCTGATTTATACCGCTTACTTTAGTTCATCATTCAGAGAATTTTCATTACTTTCCATGAAGTAACTTCTGCAATTTTTTTTGTTGCAGACGGTGCCACATGTCAACAAACCTGTCGAATAATAGTGATCAACATGATCATCTGTACTCATCTAAGAAAGGAACTGCATTTAAATCCACCAAACCAAGAATCCACTCTGTTACTGTAAGTAAGGATCATTCTATAGAGTGATCCACAATATTGAAAACTTATGTCAAATTCCCATAAATACTGGATTTGAATAAATTCAAGGGTTATTAGGGTGAGTCATTGGTACAGTGTAGGTCATGTCCCTGTTTTTAAGAAAATGCTTACCTCAAGCTGGATGGATGGTTCTAGGCTGAAACATGTCGATACGTTCCGCTGCCTTTAGTGCCCAGGGCAAAAACAAAGTAATTGCGTTACAATTTCCACAAACTAACCACAATGTAACCAACTTAAAAGCACCTGTTGCAGAGTTTGAAAACAGTAATTAAGGTTTAGGGAGAGAGTGGGTGATCAAAAATACCCTGAAGAAGTACTCTGTCATGTAAACTCAGTTTATAATTATAATTCAGATGCTGGTACTGTAGTGGCAAGTGCTGAGTTTGAGGTCAGGGTAACCTTACTGACTTGAGTACCTAAATTTTCTATTTTTTATTTAATTCAAGGCATAAAATGAAATACATTATTACTACTACAGAAAAAGCTACTATTAAAAATTATTTGGTCTTGTGTTTTAATTCATTGAGTCAATTTATGTGCAGCAATATGTGCTTAAGTAGAGTTCAATTTGGCTTATACAGTACCAATCCACAACAGGTTATCTTTTAGGAACACTATAAATGATTTTTTGATCAATTTAAATGCTCTTTTTAAGAGAATCACATTTATCCCAAACAACTAGAGAGAGACAATTTACTTCACTTTATTGGTTTGACTACCTGCACTTATGAAAAGCTGATCTGATAGTTAGAAACAACTACTTGTGTGCAAATATAATGATGCTGATGTAGGTGAGTTAATGTTTAAAATCAATTGAACAGGTTAACTATTAATTAAAGCTAGAAATCAAGCTAAAACAGGAATCCCGTGCCCACATTTATGGGAACACATGCCATATTTTTTTTAAATTAGGGAAACTCTGTCTCTGAATCAGAGCCTGGTGGATCAAAAATAAACTCACGAACAGGTCGGCCGGACTGGGCAGTGCAGGCATCAATCACACCTCTGAAAGCCAGTCGGCCACCAGCTGGGTCTGACATAAAACCTTCTGCTCAAACACTCGGAAATGCAAGAGGTGCCAGGGACCTACCAGGTAAATACTTTATTCTAACACTCATGTTAAGTTTTTTCATTTCTATTTGTTGACTGCATACTCAGATGATGTGATATTAGGCCCATATGGATTTGTTAATGGACTCTACTCCTGCTGGTTACTGATCTTTTGATGTTTAATTTTCAAAGCAAAAACATAATATTCATACTTGTACTAATGTTCACACTTGTAGCAAGCAATATTTGTTCTAATTTTCTGTGCTACAGCTGAGGGTTTATTTAAAATTCAGCCATGGCGGAGGCCACCTGAATATGACTCAGACTAAACAACATACATGTATGTTGGGGCGTGTCATGCCTGGTATGGTCACTGTGAGTTGCCCTGTCAGGAAATGGAGGAAGTACGCTGTCACTGGTCCTCTTGCTGCTCTGGAAATTAAAGTCATAGCTGACCTAATAGTAAAGCTTATGGACTTGTCATCGAGAAGGCCAAGAGAAGGCAGGAATGGTGGATGAAGTGAAATCTAGACAACTCTATTTTCAACCCTCAGCTCCCTTGATAAGTGTATGCCACTGTGTTACATCAACAGAAAAGCAGTCTCCTGCACCAAGTTGGCTGTAGTGCAAGAGAGTAGATCTTGCCATATAGTACATGTTATCAGCACTACTAAAAAAAAACAATGTACATTTGCTTATAAAGAAAAGAAACATATGTATATGGTTGTCGTTTATGAAAGCCTGTTACCAATGTAGGAATTATTTATTTTATATGGACAAGGTAATAGAGGAGTTAGCTTAGGTTTCTTTTGTCTGCATGCATGTTCAGTAGAATCAGTGTGCCATAAATTCTTGTTTGCACTTAAGATTGCTTGTTGCAAGGATTTTTAAACATGCTTCGTGTACATTGCTTGGAATTCAAAATGGAAATAGAAAAATAATGATAAGTGCAGTTAATGGCTTATATTTTTTAAAAATGAATTACAGTTTTGGCAAAAAGGAAAAGAATGGAAACTTTGTCTCACATCAGTGAATAGAGAAGGGTTCAGTGAATGCAGCAAATAAAGAAAGAGGTTCGGGGGGGGGGGGAATTTCAGATAGATGGAAACCACAATACACACTAACAATATATTATTATACCCCTCCCCCCTGGTGAAAATAGAGGAAAACTGATGGCACTCCCCCTTTTGGTCCCATTCCCCCCAAATCCATTCATGATGAATGTCAAGGCTAAGTTGCCGTCATAGGCCTATTTCGTTTACAGGAGATTGCTTCTCGATTCGCTTTCTTTACGAAGTGAAAATTATCAATTACACTAAAAGTAAGTTTCAGTTTTGGACGCCAATAGTGTGAATATTGGCTGAACAGCTTTTTACATATGGAAAACTCGCCTGATACAAAGACGAAAGGACACTGATTCGAGTGAGGAAGAAGCACGTGATTCAAACAGTACTATTCCCATCTTTTATGCTGTTTCTTTCTTTTTTTTTTTTTAATCTCAATTAAATTAACGTTTCCATGTTACTCCAAAATTCAACCTTATCGACCTCCTGAATTGAAACAAAAGTTCTCTTTATTACAACTCGTCTTTATCTATCCTCGTCAGTATTTTGATATTCAGATAAGACGGAAAAAGGCCCTCAGTACACTCTGGGTCATTTTTAAAGTATTGGGTCATGCCTTGAACATTTTGGACTCTTTCATGACAACTCCTGTGAAATTGGACTTTGTAACTCCTGGTTTGGTTTACGGTAGGCAAGATGTGAATTGATTATTTAATATGTCTGCCGGGACTGGTCAAGCATGTATGAAGTTCAAGTAGTGCTAAACTTGGTTGTGCAGATTGAATGTATTCAACTCTTGTAGCTGGCGTCGGGATCTTATTTCAGGCGCATAAACTACATAAAATACAACCCTGTTATCGCACTAAAAATTACGCAACAGTGGATTGCAGACAAACAAGCCCTCTTTAAGCAACATCCTCCAAGGGAGACTTTTGTCTTTCGTGCAACCAATCTGCATTTAGAGATAAAAAAATGATAGACTGAACTGTGTTTCCTGTGGTTTTCTCATTTAAACCTTTTGTCCTTCTTGAATGACGGGAAGACCAGTAACACAAGGGTCCTCTGTAGTCTTAGCTTCATAAGAACTATTAAATACTTCTTCGTCATCGTCGTCAATGTTACTATTTTGATCAAAAGTCTTCCCCGAAACATCACGAATCCAATTCAATATTCGATCATCTTTAAACTTGTCATCAACCTGTTCGGAATCAGTCGACACGTGTCGCAAGGAACGATGGAGGCTTCGCTGTAACGCCGGGCTGGGAGGAAGGCTTCGAACACACGGCCGAGGGCTCCACTCATCGTTAGTGGAGCTATCCGCTAAGCCACCACTGTGCCGTCTTAAACAAGTTCCTTCTATAACTGGTCTCAAATCAAGTGACAGGGAGAGTCGTTTTGGGGAGGTCCTTGGCGATAGCCTGGATGTTTTACCGCAAGAAAACAATGTTTGTCCCCTACACACGTTGGGAGTTCCAGGTCGACTCGGACGTATTCCGCTGCTATTTAGCTGCTTTGATTTCGTTTCCTCAATGCGGTTTTGGATCGGAGGAAGCGATGATTGCAAGTCTGTGTCGCTTCGCCATTGCCGACAATTCAGACGATTGGCGAATGGAAATTTAGATGGTTTAAAACTTTCCATGTCAAAATCAGGGTACAGATCTCCTCAAAAGTGACGCAGAGGCAGACTAAAATCTTGGACTAGCCTGATTTCCATAGTAATGTTTTTCGGATTTTTCTCTCTCATGCTCAAATCGCCAAGTTGTATCCAAGTTCTGGGTTAATTAACCACATTACTACCATGGTATAACAACTTTCGCCAATTAAAGATCTTTTCTTTTAACCGGCGTTTTACAGCATTAACCTAAGCTGGAATTTGCCTTGCATTCCTAGACTCGTACGTTCCATCTGATAGCTTGTCACATGCAAACAAAGGATGTAGACTCAGTGCTTTATTTTAATGCCAGGGATCAGTTTACTAAATAAATGACTTCTGTCAGAGTTAACTAATTATGTTAATTCCTTTGTTTGAGGACTTGTCAATTAGCAATGTTTAAAAATCTAAGCCAACGTTTTTATTTCGGAATGATTGGATTAACACATTGTTATATTTTGAAATTGTCTTTACGATGCGTTTCTTGAACTGATACTGATGAAGCGGGCTTTTATTGCTGGATGTTCAGGCACTACTGTAGAATTTTTTCTCTTTTCTCCAGTCTCCCTGTTACACTTTATGAGGTTTTGAAAGTCATTGATTACGGACTCTTTTGTATCATGTGGTCTATTTAAATTTAGACCGACATACTAATTCATGAAGTACGGGTGTTGATTCCGAAACCGACCTTGGATAAGCAAAAGAAAACTTCGGCGTCGGAACTAAAGCAGTTACACAGTCGAAATTCCAGCCAAGACTAGTTGGGAAGAACGGCTGAGCCGTGTCAAATGAAAGTGGACTTAAAGCGACGAACTTTTCTTGTACACACATGGTGATGTAAAGTTCAGCGTTAAAACCGAGCATACGTTAGAATGAAAGGCTTCATAGGCGCACAAGCAGTAAAGGCTGTGGACCACAAGATCGACCCGACGGAATTGATGGAAAACTGGTAACTACAGGTATTCCTAGGCAGCGTGCGAAAATCGTCGACGTGAAGTAATAAATCGGTAAGATACCAATGTATAACCTCAGCCCCACCCACCCACCCACCCCACCTTAAGCTATCCACCCGTTTCTTTTCTAAGGGCTGGATGGGCCTTTACCCTCTCCTTGTTCCCTCCAACTCACTACTGAATAATGCTGCAGAAGTTAACTTCATTTTCAGGAAAAGATCTGTGAGCATTGACTTAACAGCTCTCTCGAGAAGTAAATAATTTATTGCCAGATAGAGCTTTTCAATTTACTTGTGCCGGAAAGAAAAGGCTTTGCCGGCCAATATAGCCTTTAAGTTGTATTTTTCAGGGATGAAAATATTCCTTGCACAGTATTAATGATCCTTTTGACCCGTTACATTACTGAGAGAGAAGTGTACAAATAGAGATCAAGCATTGCTCAACATCCAACCAAACATGCGGGTAGTGACAGGTAATCAATTCTCTTATGTACAGGCAATAAAATTACTTATCAACTGACCATCATTATATATTGACAGGTATTGTCTGGGAACGATCCAGTGTTACCGGTCGGCTGTCATACGCCTTTTGGGATGAATCTCGTGGCCTTTCTCGTCGCACAGTGATATGATTCCACCGGAAACGAGCGACACATGGGTAAGATCCCTTGGTAAAGATTTAGTAATCTGAGTAGTTGTAACGTGTTTATTTGAGGATCCGGGGCTCAAGTTTAACGCGCTGTTTGTAAATTTATGTGGCAATCCAATGCAAATTAATGACCAGTTGACGATGATGTTGGCGAGTATTGTGTGTCGTGATTTACGCTGGAGAAGATGACTTACCGCTCGCTAATGAGGGAGGTTAGTAACCATTTCCTGTTTCCGTTTTCGATCAATGTTCAAAACAGAGAAAGTGGAAGATTTTCAAGCCGTTTATTATGTAGCCATTTACGGTGTTTTAACGAGCTTTGACAAGGAAAGATTGATGTTATTAATAGGATTTTCGACAAATTGCCTCATGGTCTCATGGCTTAAAAACTAAAATCGCGTGGGCGGTCAGACCTTAAGCGTTGAGATGAGATAAGAGCTCTAGTCGTTATCCTGCCATTGCTGTATCTTGTAGTTCAACTCAACAGATGCCTAAAATTCCCCACACGGTTATTGGCTTCGACCTCTCTTTGCAAAGGATCTAGAGTCAAGACGTCAGTTATAACCCTTTTAATCAATCGCCGACCATACTCAGGGACGTTAAATGGCTTTCTTTTGTCCGTCCGTAATTGGAAGGAATAGGAAACCTGCCAACTCAGGGAAGTTTAAAGGTAAGCATTCCTGGGTTGAAAATTTCTGAGCTCATTTTTATTCATTGAACCCGGCTCGTCGCCCTGTTGTTGTTGTCCTGTAACTGTGCAACATTGATTTGTCGATTTTCTGAATAAGAAACGAAATAAATTCCACGGCAGGGGTTGGGTCGTAAAATCTTCATCTAAAAAAATAACATTCTTTCCACGGTGATTATGAGTAAATATACCGTCAATATTGCTTCATGATCAACGTTTTGAACATTTTTAAACTGGGTTTATTTTCGATTGCACATTACAGTAATAAACTCAAGATGGAAGTTTTAAAAAATAAAAAAAAAATAAAAAACATGAAGAACATGAGATGAAAAGATTAAGAATTCATAACAATGCTTTTTAGTTGTGTAGCTTTACTAAACAAACATAAGCTTGATAACAATTCGCGTGGTCTACTATTCTTGTTTTAGGTTTAGAAATTTCGAGTGTAGAGTGAGATCCTCCTTATACTTTCCTTTCAACGGTTGGATCTCTGGACGAACTATTCATCTCGTGTTGTATTTCAGAATTCGTTCAGGCTCAGGCAAATACGAGTTAGTCAGCTCAAGGTCTGATACAACAAATGTCTTTACACTTGGAAGGATTAAGCCGAATTGGTAACCGGTATCCAAAACAAAAGAGTTTGTTTGTGACTCTTGAAAGAAAACTGTTAACATATTATCGCGCTTTTCCACTTGAAATACGCCCAACTGAAAAGCTCTGCGATGGACATCGTTCGCTGAATGGAGAACAATTGTATCTCGAACAGCAAATTGTGCCAGGTCCACTTTTCGTCCATACCATCTCTTTTTTTACATTTAATTTCTGAACGGCGAAGAAACAATTATGCGCAGTCATTTAATTTAAAGACTTGACCGTTGTGTTTTCGATATCAACGGACAAGGCTGACCGAACATTGAATTAATTGTGAATTTTTTTTGTAGTTTTCTACCGGAATCAGTGATAAAAATATTACAAGCATGACACAGCACAGACTTCTTGACGCAATATTAGAAAGTCGTGTAAACTTGTCGAGTCTCAACTCACAACACTGTTTACTTTTTGCGCAAGCTTTTGGATTTTTGCATAGTTTTGTTTCCGCTTTAAGTAGACGAATGGTAGAAGTGTTTGCACAAAGCTGATAAATTATTTTATCAAAAGATAAAGACTTCATCTGATTTCTAGATTTATTATGTCAATAGGTCGTCTCCATGGTTCATGGTACAACTATGTATGAAAGTTTTCAAGATTTATGTGTCAAATTGTAATAAATAAAATATTATTAGAAATCGATGTAATTGTCATTTTAATTGTTGTTACGGTTTTCTTATTTGTGAAAGGTCTGCGAATTCATTTTACATTTAATTCTAGAAATTTTTCGAGGTTTACCAAAGCAACTTGGGCTATAACCTACGCTCATTTTTTTTTTTTTTAGATGTCGTCAGAATATCGAAGTATTTAGACATTGTAGTCGTCATTGAAACGGTCGTTAGGTCGTTATCACGAAAGAATTAAAACAATCGTGAGAAATGAAGGAAAAAGTATTTAACAGGCTTTTGCTGTGAACGAAGGGAATTGATACAGGCTCCCTCTAGCTAGAGTGGCATTATGAGAAAAAGAGAGACAAAACGAAAAGCAGAGAAGGGGAGGACAAGAATTTCGAATACCCTTCTTGTATTTGTAGGCCTGTAGCATTAGACCTCTCATACTTTGGACCCATTAAGTGTGGAATTCGACAACGTTTTAACTATATCATCAGGAATGTTCTAGTTGCGTACTTTACTAAGACTTTCGATGAAAATGAGCTCACATCAACTTCACTCCTTGACCTCAGTTCGCAATGCAAATCAATTTGTTTATTATCTGCGCGTCTCAGCCTCTTTTTCCGTTTGGCAGCTGGACATTTTTGGTGGGGCAGCATCCTGATCAGCTTTGGTCATTACATGATATTAGTTAACTGACGCTTTGAGATTAGGTTAGGTTGCTAATCGCCTTCAGCCTTCCCGGCTCGAATTACGCTGTGTTCAGCTTGTTTTCAGATTTCACACGGTGGAGTTACTAACTGTAACCAGAATCAAGTTTCTTTTCTCCATTCGAGCTTTTCGTAGACTAAAGAAGAAAATACTTTAAGGTACCTGTGTTGGAAAGGAATATTATCATCACAGGTTTTTTTTCCTTTTTTAAATCAGTGAAGGTAATCGATCGATGCTCAGGAAAGAAATCAAGTATTCAGTCGTAGCGGGAGTAAAACTTCTGATCAGTGTGTTACAAATTACTTCAGGGACAGCTTGGCCATTGGACTAAGATGATGTATGTCGATATATTTCTCAAGTTTGTGCAGTGATGAAAATAGAGATGGTACATTACTGGGATAAGCCTGGTGACTAATGTGTCTCGTTCCCACACTAAGTGGCTTACTGCACAAATTGACAAACCTTATCAAGTTCTATTCCTACAACTGTGTTGTGACTCTTGGTTTTTTTTATGGGTAATAAGTCTAATCCAGTTGATTTTTTCAACCTGACAGCCCAGCTTGTAGAGCGTTTAGGACTGACTGGGTGGTGCTACCTTAGATATCAAAAGTGCACATTGTTTAAGGGATAAAGTAATTAATTTTATGATAATCTTTCCGTTGTTAATTCAACTCAGCGCTCTCAACACAAATATTCCTGCTTTTGTAAATAGGGTTTCATGTTGTCAGATTTACCTTTAATGGCGCCGCTGACGCGTATGTCTTAGATTATCCATATTATGGCGGATATTGCACCTTCGAGTTCTCTTTAGCGTGAGTTTTCTCATGCAATCGTTCTGAAAATTTTATGAGGCGGTCTGGAAGATATTCTCAGTAAGTCAAATCAAAACATCAGAATGTACGGGTTAGTAACATTCTTTACCTTCTTCAATATTCATGTTAATAATAGCAACACAAGAGGATGATGACTGGCTAAGCAAAAACTTATTAGAGACAATTAAACATGACAAAACTCACGGGAGAATGATTGAGAATAAATTCTTGTTACTAATGTTGCTGAAAGTTTTTTTTAAATTTAGATATTTTTTTTACTAAAGGCCAAACTGGTGCACAGTCCATTCCATCGGGTTTATAAAACTGTAACATTAAATTAGCGCGCAGAAGCGTACAAACGGAATCCTCTCAGAAGGAATCCAACAATGCACACAGGCCATTAAAATGTCTTCTGCTCGTTAAAGATGTTTTGTACCAAAATAGTATCAGAATGCTTTGCTTCAGTCACTGATGTGTAATTCGACCACGAGATGCTAAAATCTCCATCAAAAATGCAATTTCAAATCAGGATTCCACAGAGATTCTCCTCAAGGTTAATTACATTTTCCCATTGACTGATCGAAAAAGAAGATGGATGTTGAAAGTGAGATGTTCACTTTAGGTTGCCAGATCGCTAGAAAACAATTTTTTCCACGCCATTCAGTTAATAAGCTTTCTCGGAATGGAAAAAGCAGCAGTGCAATCAGCTTTTTTGTCTAGCTTTCTGGAGAATAAGAAATTATGAATTACATTGTGCAGTAATACAGGTCTGGTATGCCAGCTTTCTCCCTCTCTCTTTCTCTAGAATATTAAAGATGACGTGTTCCCGCAAATTGTCAGCCAATAAACTTGAATAAACTGATATATGGATTCTTTAACCACGCAAACAGAACGGCTAAAGCATCTGGGGGTAAAACAAATCTAGTTTAGCTCTTAAATGTGTTAAAACTCAAAGACAGACAATTGATTCGATGAACTGAATTTTGCTAACAACAGTTATCCTTCGTTAAAAGAAGAAACTTTTCAAATTTAGCCAATTTCAATAATGGATAATTGTGCTTGTGATTATAAAGAGTTATTTCGCAAATTATTGTGCACCTCAAATTTAGGTTAATATAACTTCAGTCACCAGAATTAGGTATTGAAAAGAGATTCATGAAACCGTGAGTGGTTTGCGAGATAGACATGAATGCAATATTTTCTTAAGCAAATATTTGGAATTTTTTTTATCATTCAAATACATTTTATCCTCTTCTCTTACTTGTGCTGTGAAAAAACAGTGGGAGGGGCAATACGACTTTGAACAATAACTTTTAAGTCTCCTTCAGCTTGAATTAAAATTTGCATCTTTAAATTGAGTATTAATATAAGAATAGTTGATCTATCCGATAGCTTTTTGTGTATATTCAAGGTTTGAACATGACAAAGAACTCTCAAATACAGGAAGATATCGAATTCTCTTTGATATCCTGTCATCCTTCCGATTTCTAATTATGTTCCAAGCACCTGCTCCCACTTTTTTTCGCCGAAAAGAAAATATTTTTATTCTTTTCTTAAATTGCTTATTGTTTTAGACCTTTCAAATTGGACGGCTGCAAATCCAAAGCGTAGCTTAACGTCTCCTTGATATTAAACAAATGATTTCAATACGCCATATCAAGGATCACAGAGTGAATCTAAATCCTGAATATTTCGAGGTATCCATTAAAAACTCGACATAAGTAGGCTGTAATGAACGTACGCGTCAAGCATCTGCCGTAGCCATGGTAACACCAAAAGCTGTGAAGCACGAGACTTGTATGATTGTTTGCTAATGAGTTTCCCTCCTTCAACGACACACTACATTTTGACTCAAGTGTCAAGCGACCTCCCTAAAGCTGCATTTCAACCGAAAAAAACCGTCAAACATGGATTGGGATTACGATCAATCAGAAGACGGTGAGCAAAGTGCCTGTTATTCCAGGAAATTTCGAAATTCAAACTTTGTGTAAAAGTATTATCAAAGAAGTGTTTGTAATATTGGTAACATTCCAAACGATTATGCATAAAATGGAACTGAGGACTAATCAACCGGCTTTTTTTGGCAATGAAATAATTGTAAAGCCGTGTTCTTGTGCTTCGATCGACTTTCAATGATGGTTGTTTCCCTAGTTCGTAAGTATAGCTTAAATTTTGTCGATATAACACTGATGGGATTGACTTTGGAGTGATGTAGGTAAATCAAACCTCCTAATCTGCGAAGGTTTTGAATTATCATAACATGACGTCCCCAAGGACTGGCAGAAAACAACAAAGCAATTCCCTTAGAATATGAGAAGTGTCATAGAATATTATGCTTATATTTGCACAATTTTCACAACGACTGATGGACTGATCTGTGGCGTTTTCTTATACCATTTTTTATCTTCTTTAGTTTTCATTTTTGGAAAGTCCTATATCGATTTCAGAGAAAAAGAAGGAAGTTCATTTAGTAACTCGAGAAATGCGTCAATCGTACTATTTTTAGTTTGTAAATTGGAAAAATTGGGGTGTTTGTCTTATTGAGGAAATTAAAGTTTTTAATTTTAATTATTTTAATTGCTCTCAATAAAAAAAAAAACTATCCTTAGAAAGAGAAAAGGTATCAAAAAGCTCACTTGTAAAGTGACAGTGATTTACACTGTCATCAAAGCTCTAACATCTTTATCTTCGAAGAAAAGGCAAAATCATTTGGAAAGTATGAGCTTTATGTTTGGATATTCGATGAAAAGGAACTTGTTGATAAGAGATCAAGAAATATAATCATTTTTTAAACGTCCAAAACTTCTATGGTGTATCTACGTGCAAGCATGAATTGATGAGTGCGTCATTCAAAGCACAAAGCATTCTTATTCAAATTTCATCAACTGGAAAAAGGATTCTGTTTGGATTTTGGGTCAATTTCACTTAAATTCATGGCACGTTTTCTCTAAATTATGTCACTGAATACCTTGCATGTAGAACTTGATTAAGGTTAATTTCTCGTAAAAGAATGAAAATTCGGTCATTTCCGCTTTTTTTGTGCATGGCAATGAACAAATGTCCACGTACTGCATACATCAGTGATTATAAGGCAACTTGTACCACTGGTTTAGCTGTGTGAAACCCAAACAAAAGGGCCTGCTCGGTAAGAGGTCTTATAGGCGGCAGTAGTAACTGATAACCAGATTTTGTTGAAACTACTGGGTATCACGTATTTATTTATAATCAGGGATTTCACTGATATCGAGTAGTACTTAGGTTGAAACGAAAAAGTGCCCTGTGACAGAGGAAAAGATTCAGTGGCCCATATAAATGTTTAGGTATTGCTTGGAAAAATTATCACCACACAATTGCCCTTCCTGACAACTCAGTTATAAACAAGGGAAAGAAACTGAAATAAGAGGATTGTATTTGTGTTTCCAAAATACTGATAATCAAATTGTTAACTTTAGATATGTTGCACGAATCCAACGAAAGTAAGTGCTCCCAATACTCGTCTAGACCTCTGTGCCGCACGCGCTACAGGAAAATTCGCGCGCGTAGACGGCATTAGAGAGCTTAAGCACAAACGTTTTTGAGACGCGGACGGGAGGTGGAAGTTACAAGTTCTCATTCCTGATGCTCTAAAAACCTTTCGATCAGCACAGTTTAATTTAAAATGCTAAAAACGACGACCCTACTGTAGATAAATTGGTGTCAAAGCCCGCGAAAGTTATATTTTTCTGCCGGTTGCCGTCCGCGTCTCAAAATCGCCTCTGCCTAAGTTCTTTATTGTGAATACCACACTGATGGACAACTTCCGTTCAAAAAATCAGTTTCGAACGTCAACCAATTTCATTTTTTTTTCCTCAGTTTATACAATGAAAAAGGCAAGGAAAATGAAGCTGCATACATTGAATCCACTATTACCGGGCGGCGGCGGACAAACAGAGCTGGGCATTGACCAACAAGATGATGATAGTGACAGTGGTATAAGTCAGGTGTATAACCCAGTCAGTACATACAGACGCGCACAGTTCTCTCTTCCAGACATTGCAAAAACTGAACTAGCATCAAAGCTTTTAGCCGCCACTCCAGCTCATCCAGCTCACATTAAGGCCAGAGTTCTATGGAGATATAATGCTGTTGAACGAACAGACTTACAAGTCGAAAAAGGCGAAATTATACTACTTCTTTACCGAGAAAAAAGCAAGGTTTATGCAGTCAACAACAAAGGAAAAAGTGGATTTATACCCTTTAATTACTGCACTGTATTAAGGAAAAACGATTTTGTGTCAAATTTTTACCATCCACAAAGTGAGAGAACAAACTACGAAAAATGTTCATGGCAAACAAATGGCTGCCATCACGAGTTTATAGATGCCTCTTATTACTCAAGAACAGTTACTTCCACTAATTCTCATATTCATCGAAGTCGGAGTGAGGAATCTCTTTGTTCTCACAACGACTGTGAGTCGCTAAGTAGGAAAATTTCATCGTCACTAGAAGACTTATCCGACGACAATCGAATTGCCACGATGATGTCCGATCTTATTAACTGGGATCGCAAAGCTCCTGAGACCTACAGGCGTCGGCAGAAAGTTCAAGTGAGCCATTTCCGAAAGTTTGAAAATGAGTCTGTAATGGTTTTATTTGACTTTCATGCCGCTGATGAGAATGATGTGGACGTTCAGCGAGGAGAAGTCGTGACGGTTTTCAATAGAGATGATCAGGATTGGTGGTGGGTAATGAGAGATGACGGGTTGGAAGGATTCATTCCAAGTTCTTATGTGTCTATTGAAGCAGTTCGAATGTCTCCAGGTAAGTCTTCGAGGCTATTCAAATAGTCTCCCCGCAGAAAATTTACTTGAACTTCAGACATTAACTGTGTTTTAAAAGAAAGGAAGTGCTACTAAATTCAGACGAGGTACACATGTTTAGGTGCTCGCCGACTTCTATAAATCTCATGGTCACTGAAGACATCTTAAACTTTTCAGATTTTTCCTGCTGTTGTCATTGTTTTGGTTTCACGTCACATTACATTTTTATTTTTTAGAATGCACACCAAGGAGTACAGATAGTTCAGTTGGTAGCTCAGAGGGAAGCATTAATCAAGTCAGGTTCCAAGATCCACTCTGCACTATACACAGTTACGAGATAGAGCACTCGGACTCAGACTCTGTTGGACCACATGAAACACATGACTCAGATGACGAGGAAATGTACATGGACTCAAAGTGGAGTACGTGGTGTTGAAGTAAAAATGTAATAGGGTTCGTCACTTGAGCATAGATAACTTCATTACTATTAAGAGATGTGAAGTGTAAGAGACAAACTGTTTATCAGATAAACCTACTTTTAGGGAAGTTTTCAAATCTTTATTTGGTTTCTTTTCATCAGCCTTGTGTAAATCCGAAATATTTTTTTTGCCATCATTTTTGCAAGCTGTTGAAGGAAATTTTCTCCAGCCGCTAAAAAACAGCAATTTCAGCTTACCACAGGCTAGTTCATCTTTATAAACATGTAAACGTAAATTTTCTGTGGGAAACTCATCCAGCTCCTTATCGTGTGCATTTCCTTTAGGACTAATGTAATAAGAAAGAATTAAAATTTATGTAAGTTCTTAAACTGTTGTATTCAAGTTTGTGAGATGGCATCATTTCTATCCTTGGTATAAATATTATTCCTGAAAATTGATCCATGTTTATGATAAAAGCAAACATAACTTAGGTAGAATTACCTCCGGGGTTTGTACCCTTTTCTCCGTTGAAGGCCGATGTTTAACTGATTCGCAGGCCCGGTAGTAGCTTCAGATTTCGCTGAAAACTAATATTTTGATACTTACTCACTCTGCTTATCAGCCTGGGGTTATATTTCCCCTACTGAACTTATCGTTCTCTTACCCATTTTCCCTGGCCGATTGGCCAAGTGGATTTAAAACAATCTGGGTACAATCCATACTTCCGGCCGGCGTCACTTTACGAAGGGTTAAACTGATATCTTTTTCCTTTTCTTTTCTTTCGCGCTGAAACTCGTCTTTCTATATTATCAATTGGACTGTGGATATAACTTGTTCTGAGCTGTAAACGGTTTATTCAGACCTTTCTATTGGTCCTCGGTAGACACCTCTCTCTGCTCTTATTTCCTCGCTCTCTTGGTGGTAATCTAAGCGAAATTAGTATAAATCTACAAGCGCTCTATCGCAAATGTCGTAACCTTATTGGCTGCATAGCTCACTCTCTGTTCCATGATGGATAGTGAGTGTGATACAGTTTTCAACTGTAAAAGTCAAAGTAGTTACGATGTTGAGAATAGAAGATCAAATGAGGGAAACCAACGCGCCATGCCGATATTTCAATGGAGCCTTCGTTAAGTATTTAATCACCTTAGTGGTTACATGATAAAATGAAAAGAGTAGCAGTGAAGTATGTTCGCAAGTTCTAAAAGGTTAAAATTCTTACAATTCTCTAAAAAATATTCTATCAAAGTCTGAAGTGACTTGAGGTTGGTTAAAATCTTAAGAATATAAGTTTTCACCTTTGCTTTTAAATAGATAAAACGTATGTCTTTTCTTAGGCAATTATTGGCCAGGCTGTTTCAGTCTTCATTATACACGTGGTGTGACCTTAGTTGTATCATTACACAATAAAACACGAAACTGAAACGTTTGACTGGTCGATTTATTTCAGGTCAATGATAACAGTAATGGTAACAATAATAATGATAATAATACCAAAGACCATAGTGATGACAATGATGTTGGTAGAGACCTTGAAAACATTACAAAGAGAAGGAGCTTCAACTTTTATTATTTTTTTTGTTCTGAGACATAACTTAAGTTTCACTATTTGAAAAAATGTTAAATATGAACTTTTTCTGTGGAGAAAAAAAAAATGTGCATGTCAGGAGTGGGATTCGAACCCACGCCTCCATTTGGAGACCAGAACGCTCGCTCTCGTGAGGCACGAGAAGGATATTATCCTTGAGTCTGGCGCCTTAGACCGCTCGGCCATCCTGACAACACGTTGGAAAATGATTCATTTTCAGTATTTATTAATTTACTATGATATTTGAATATTTCGATCATTCAAAGTAGTAAAAGTTTTGTTTTTCACCCACATTTATTTCTATCTATGGGTAAGTCTCGTTTTCTTCGAGGCTCTCCTAAGTTTTGTACGGCCTAAGGGAATCTTTCATTCTCTGCATTACTACGACGCGCTAGAAGCTTTCGGACTGGAACCTAGTTTGGCGAATGCAAAGAAGTAATGGCCTAAAGTGCCTGAACGATATAAATGAACAGTAATAACTTGTTTTTTAAACTGGGGAAAGTGATTATTTGCACAAAATATTACAGCCCTGACTTATTTCATGAACGAGGATCAAGAGAGACCGTGAGATGTGTTTCACTCGTGGAGAAAAGTGAAGGGAAACATGCTCAGTGTTTAAAAGTGACATTGAATGCTAATACGATCTTTGCCAAGTTACTTTGGCAACAGATCACTACCTCGCGTTTCTTTGGTGTTCATTTATCATCATGGCTTTATTCCCAGTTGAGAAGCAATACTGAAAGAAACGGTGAGAGAACTTTGATTTTTACTGGGAACTGACAATCGTTGATTTTACACATAAATACCACAGCGTACCTACAATGTGGGAAAGGAAATTAGGAGTTACTCTTTTTAACAAAATCTGCTTCACGTACAACACCCAAAAAATATGAACTACTTGAATGATCGCAAAATTTACTGATGCATATCTACTTCAAAGAAGGAAAACACCAAGCATTCAATGGGGAGGTTTCAATTAAAATCGAATCATGAAATTCTCCTCCCACCTTCCCTAAAATCCATTCCCAATCTGGTATGATAGACCTTGATGTCAGCTTTCTAACTTTGGCAGCCTGGTACTATGGAGGGGTTGAAGAAGAGGTCTCATTCCTCCAAAATCCCTCTTCCTAAGGCAGAGCACAGGCAGAAGAAGGTCAAATCACATCAAACTGTGTGCCATTACTATTATGGTTTCTCGTGATGATGTGACCTCAGCATCTAGGCTGACATGGTTATGGCAAGTTGGATTTTGCTGCCTTTTTGATGAGCTTGGGTGCCATGTTTATCATTAATTTATAATTGTAATAGGATCAAGTGAAGTCCAATGTGGTCTGTAATTATACAAGTGATTAACAAAATCAGACAACCACAAAGCAAGAGTCCACTTTGTCAATCACTCTTATAAGTACAGACAGAATTGGATGAAATAAAGTCCTGATACCAATTAATCAAAACTATGACAAAGTTTGGGAAAGGAACTAGACATTGGTGATATGTTTTTATAAAAAAAAAACAAAAGTTAATGTAGCAAAATGCGAGACAACAGCACGCACACATGATGCGTTCTGTCCACTTACACAGACATTTCATGCTAACTGCCCCTTTAACTGTCAAATTACAAGCATGATGCACAGACTGTCCTAGTAGTGTTCAGATGGCTCCCCCCCCCCCTTCCCCAAAGCAATTCTAGGCATTTGAACTTTTAAAGATTGGTTCATTCAAAGTTCTGTCCCCTGCGCACCAAAATTGTGTTCAAATGCCCCACCAAAGAACCTGATTTGATCGTCATTTTTTTAGTAAAAGGCAAGATTAGCATTGGTGTATTTCTTGTAGACTTTTTCTTCAGAGCCATCTACTTGGGAAAGTGAACTTTTACCTTTAAACACCTTCATATGAAAAGATAAAACACATTTATTCTGTTGAAAAGACTTGATAGTTCTGTTTCAAATTACTCACCTCAACCAGGCAAGGTTCAAATTCCCCACTCCACAATGCTTGGATAATAATCAAATGCCTGTAGGTTGTGCTTCTTATAAGACTGTGGAAATTAATTGATTGTTTCAGAAGCTTCCAGCTAATAAAGGCAAATTTGTGGTTACTAATCAATCTCAGGAATGTTACAATTATGGTATAAGTTAATATTAAAATTTTTAGTCAGGGCAGTCTACATCACTATAGCTCCACTTCAGGCTGCAGTGCACTTTGATTATTCTTTTTCCCTTGTTTGAAATAACTTAAGGCTTTCTATTCCTATTTTCCTCTCTGTGCTGCAGAGCAGCTGTCCTCTGCCTTTAATGGCGTGATTGATCTTGGTGAATCATGTTCAATCAATATACAAGGAGAGCTAAGCCAGATGAAGATTCCAACATTTTGTAAAATTGTGGTGAACATTGGTGTTCAGCCTTTAGCACGTTTATGTCTGGAGCCTGATCTCAGGTGGTAGGTGTATCATTGAAGTATTGTTATTCTCTCCTCATTGTACCTTTATAGTAGGAGATATTTATTTTACTGATTGAAAGTTTTGGATCATTACTCATTCACATTAATGGTGAATTTGTAGGTCAAAGCGACTTGTAGCTGAGCTTGTAGAGTTCATGCAGTTACAAGATGTGATGGCATGGTTGTCAACCTTAGGAGGGGCATATTCTGCAATGGGAGACCATCTTTGTAAATATGTGAGTGATCTTAGACTATGGGCAGTTGAAGCAGATGTTGACTACAATCACTCTATGTTCACTTGACTTTTAGCGAAGTTGTAATTATTTTCAATTACTAAGCTGGTTGGGTGTCTTTGATAGTTCGTAACTAGACTGAAATGTGATTCCCAGAATTAATTTATCACTAGATTGCTGTAAACTTAACAAGTGAATCAATGATCACTGAACTACTGGAAATAGTACAATAATTAGTGACTGTGGAATAATGGTCTTACAAGCTAACTCTTACTGGTGTCATAAATTCTAAATTTTTTGTTTTTTCACAGTCTGAGAAAGCTGGTCAGATCTCTCAACATCAGTTACTTGTGGCCTTGAGATTAGGGAATCCAATTCTTGTGGCACAGTGCAAAGTCTTTGCTGCATTTAGTTTTATACAACGTGGACAGCTGAAACTAGCAGCTAAGATAGTAAGGTATATCACTAAAAATTTGTCATCAAAATAATACTCTGGTTTTTGAAAATAAAACAAGATACTCTGTTATCAGAGGTGAAACAAGGAAGTAAAAACAAATTGTCTTAATTAGCCTTATATGTGGTAAGTCAAATTGAAAATTTTATTTTATATAGCCAGACAGCCATGCAGAGTCAGTTAGTCATCCATGCAACCACAGCCTTCATGCGGCTAGTCTCACCTGCTGGCTAGTTCTTAGTAATTTGTTGTTTTCATGGTAAATCACCTAGTTATAATCATGGGTAATTTAGTATTATTAACTGAGCTAATAATGTACACTGGCCACTGTAAAGAGTTTAAAAACTGATGTTTCGAGCTTTAGCCCTCTGTCAGAGTGATTGGAGGAGTTGTGGGTTGTGTATGGGTATATATGCAGAAAATGGAGCTATGCTATTGGTGGGAGTATGGTGATAAGAAAACAAGTATAAATTAGTTGAATGAAATGCATTTGATACTGTGGGGATTAAGAGTGCTGATTTAAAAGATAACTTTATACCATTGCATTACTTTTGGCAATAAGTGCAATCTATAACCCTAAGCCTAGGTGTGAGGGTGGAAGTGAGAGTGAATAAAATCCAATCAGTATTTTCTTTCTCAGCTGTTTGTAGTACTAGTTATACATTGGTAAAACAGGAAGACAAGTAGGTGACTGATTCTGAGAACACCTTTGCAACTTAGAAAGAAATGGCATGGACATCAGTCACTGGACACTTTAATCTCCCCAATCATTCTTAGCAGAAAATGGCAGTTTGCAGTCTTTCCCTACATCTAGACAGTTTAGAAAGCTGCAAAACTCTAGAACAAAAATTTATCTTTTAAATTGGCACTCCTTATCCTCATGGTATCTATGAGCACTTTTTATTCAACTAATTTATTCTTGTGTTTTGGTCACCATATTCCCACCAATAGCATAGCGCCATTTTCTGCATATAAACCCACACACAACCCACAATTCCTCCAATTGCTCTGACGAAGGGCTAACACTTGAAACGTCAGCTTTTCAACTCATTATGGTGGCCAGTTTATACTGTCAGTCATTTAGTTAGTTAGCTTTTAGTGCACCGATTAGCTGGAAGGAACGTTTTCAATCTTATTCATTCGTTTAATGTGCTCTTTCAGGGAGCAGTACACACTTGCAACATCTCATGGTGCTGGAAGAGATGATAAGGTAAGTGACAAGCTGGGTAAAGTTTGTCATTCAGTCAGGAGGACTAGAAATAATTATGATAAAAATAATAATAATGATCAAGAGAATAAATGTTACTTATTTATTTATATTGTGTTCATTAGTTTATTTTATGAAATTAAATTTTAGGGAATAATTTCAAAATAATAATTCCTCATTATCTCAAATTGTTCAACACTTAACTGCTGTCATTTTTGTTTCATAATATCAGCTGATATCGTCATGTAAAGCTGCTTGGCACAGAATAAAACACTTGAAAAAACAGAAAAAGGTATCTTTATTAAAGCTAAGACCTGTTTAAGACAGAAAAACTGTTTCTAGGTGGTTAAAGAATTTACCTTAGGGAATAATATTGATTCCTACCTAGATTTACTACTAGGTTAATCTATTGATTGTCTAATTGATTCATTTATTGATCACTCATTGGGTGCAATAATTGACTTATATATGTCCTGATACACCTGATTGGCTAGCATAACCAAGTGCTAAATTGTTAGATGTTTGTTCAAGGCAAAGAAGGGCTGGAAAAATTAATGTTTTTCTCGCTATGTTGCCACACAAATGTTAGGTTATATCACTCACACTATTTCAATTTTTTACTTTTTTTAATCCTTAGATTGACCAAGAAATCATGAAATCAATCACATGATATGGAGCATTTAGCTGTTTTGATGTTCCCCATCTGGTCTTGCCAATATTTGTCATCTTATTGCTGGACAAACTTGTAGTAATTTGTCACTCTTCTTCAAGAAGCAATTGGAGGAGATTTCTGAATGAATGCAATGTACCTTGCAAGTAACTTACAGACAACTGATGATATTGAAAATTATACTATCAGTATTATAACAGTTCTTTACTCTGCTGACAATTTCAGTAAAGGACAGTGAGGCAAATGCAACCAGCAGGATATCTTGTGTCCGAAGGCTGTTATAAATTTGAAATGTAATTTAGAAAAGCCTGTCTAAGGACCCATACAAACAATAAAACAAAACCATGTATGACAAAAATTACCCATTAAAGTAAACCAGTTAACCTTCAAACATGAAAGTTTACAGGCTGAGCTTGCATGCAGTTAGTGACATTAATGTGGGTTATTTGAGGGACAATCACCAATTTGGAAGAATTAAAACTTAAAATGTAGGTTTAGTGCTGTGAGGGATCTGGAACATGATTCCTTGTTCTTACTGCTATTAGGAATAAGTTTGATATATTAATATAAATATGTGTGTTTGGATGGTTTTGTTCTCTTTGTTTGTAAAAGGATGGAATGTTAAGTCAGGGCTGAAAGTTTTATTTTGTGGGGGAATGCAATGTCAGGACAGTCGTCTGTATTCAAGATTCTTGTGAGAATGATCTGCATTCAAAAAATTAGGACTGTACTAAAACAAACCAGTGTACCAATTCAGCGTTTCATTTTAGTCATTTTGAACTGTATTTCGCTTTACTCTCACATGTATTGAGCACTTTCCTTCAGCATTTGGTACAATTTCCCACAATAATTCCATACTCACATTTGCCCACATCCACTGGGTTCGATTTTAAGCTCTCTTACTCTCATAGGCCAATCATTTGCTTGTAGCCACATACAAAGTGTGAAACTTCAGTCAATCAAACTGAAGACAGTTATTTTCCAGCATGAAAGGGTATTACATTGGAAAACTATCTCAATCCATTTTGAAGAGTGAAAACAGAAGTATTTTTCTAACAAACTTCACCATTAAGAGTGTTTTCAAGTAAGGTCAATTGAGTGAAACGTAGATTTAGAATAACGTAAGATTAACTGACAAGAACCAAGAAGGAGAGATAAAGATCTGTGTACCTCTGACTTACAGCGGGGGCTGGGGGTGGGTGCCGTTTGGAGGTCAAAGTTGATCACGTGACTCGGAAGCCATTTTGGAGTTGATTTGTCACTTGCCTACATTGTAAGAAAGTTCAACTTTTCCTCTTTTCTTCAGATAATTGTGGATTGGCGATGGCTTTTATCAAACGAAGATGAGTGTTTCACTGTTGTGTCATGAGTTTTAAAGCTACTAAGGTGAGACGAAAAGGGAAGTTGCTAAATTTGTGAGAACAAGGCAACCTACTATCGCACTTGCAATTCGCTTGTAATTTGTTTCTTGTTCATTTCACGATGCCCTCGTTTGAAGTGCTTCCTTTCTTCGTACTTTATCGATCGTTTTTCTCTGTGTTCCACGTTTAGATCTAACTAATTCTAGAGCGTTTATTTGTGTTAAGGACGATCGCTGAAACAAAATTGTGGTCTTTTATGAATTGTAAATGGCTTTGCTTTGTTTATGTCTCAAAGGTGATCTTAAAAAGTCGCACTTTTAGAGGCGCAGGCCGTTTATTGTCCAGGTTTTGTAAATGAAAATGAAATGTTCTTAATCCACCTTTTTTCTTCGGCATGTAAAACTGAAGCTAACGGAAGTTGATAATTAAACGTTTGTTTTTAAAAAGGACATTTTAAGATAAGTTAACATTTCAGCGTGGCACTTTCTTAGTTCTATTTGCAATTACTTCCCCGATCTTTACATTTCTCATGTCAGTGTTGTCACTTGGCCTATTTTTGGATTGTTCATATTACCTTCATTTAATTTATTTAATATCAGTTCAAACTTTATAAACATTATTCAGTGCCGCTGGTAACTCATTATTTTGACTTCATTGCTGTCGTAGTTACGGTCGCGTCCCGATCAACAAGTTTACAAATCCAATATTACTTCCTATGTCTTTAAATATAAACATTTATATTGTTATCATTTAAATGGTTAAATGACTCGATATACCGTCACAAACTTGTAATTACTTACATGTACTTGAGGTGCAGTGATCCTTGTAGAATGATTGCTTTACGAATATTTACAGCCTCATGGTTATATCTACCTGGTAATGGAAAAAAAACCGCTAAAGCAAAGCAAACATTAATACAAGTAAAACTTAGTTATGTTTTAGTGAACCAAAATGCAAACTTGATATAAAGCAGAGTTTAGAATGGATTTAGAATCATTCTCAATATTTGAGATTTAAAGGGGAACAAATAAGGTGTATCACCTTTGTATTGAGTGGCTTGTTAAAGATAATTTATCTGAACAGGACTCTGAATGCATACTGCATGTTACAAATTTGCACCTTGTCACAAGGGACAAAGCACATCTTACTGATTACAGGTAATACACACACACACACACACACACACACTAATTGATTGTTAAAAGTATAATGCAAGTAGTGAGCAAAATATTTTTTTTGTATTATGTGGGATTCATTACTTTGGCCTCTAGTTTTCTAAAAGTACTCTATGGCATTACCTGGGAATCCAGTTAATGGCATGGGGTACCTTCTGAAAGGAAAACAAAAACAAACCTTTAAAGTGCCTTCTATGGGACAAACAAAAATATCTACTTTGCTCAAAAATTTAAGCCTGAAGGACACAAATGAATCAAAGTTTGGACTGTTTAGTGCGGTTATCTTGTTGCTATAATTTTGGCTGTCATTTTGCATTGTTGCACAATAGAATTATTCGACCTATTTTGTGCATTGTGTTGTCCTGATATGGTATAAGGTGTAATGGTGGAAAATTAATGCTCACTGCTACAGCACAGGTTCACACTATAGCCTCCAGTCACTAAGTTTATTACATGGTGCAATTTATTTTGCAAAATCACAATCATTTCTTTTAGCCACAAGAAATTGACAGTGTGAGCCTGACCTTTCTTAACCAGCTTTAATGATAACTGAAACACTGTTTTTTCAGTTCATAGTCTTGAGAAGACATGGCATTGCGCATGAAAGGACGAAGTGGTTATCCACCAGACCAACAGGAATATGACATATTTTGGACAGAATATAGGGCCATTGAGGAGAGTCGGATTCCAGTAGCTGACGAGGATCATGATGATGAACACACTAAAGAACCTCAAGGAGGTACAAACTTAAGTCAATATTTTATTCATGTGACTGGCAAGGAGTAATAAATAGACATGTTGTGTTACACACAGTTTGCTTCAAAGGTCCTATACACTGCCTCAAGTTAGACAATTTTGGGCAGGTATAGCATATGCAAGTTATTCATTAAAGTTCACTGTTTTTACATTATCTCTATGATAATTAAAATTTGTTATGCTTAGCAATGATTAATGCTATTTGTCCCTCTTTGTGTTTGTTTAGGGATTGAAAATGCTATACAACAATGAAATCTGGTCAGCAGTCTGCAAACTTTTGGGGAAATGCTCGCAACTGTAAAATCTGTTACTAACTAAACTTTCATTGTAGACTAAGATATCCATTTTACTACTTAAAGTTTCTCTCACATCACTAATCCTTAAGAATATGTGTCTTCTCCAATCTACAGAATGTGAACAGGAACTACAGTGGCTCAAAGAAGCTGGATTTGATACCATTGTAAAGAAATATAGAGGTATATGTTAACCAACTTCAGTTTAGTATTTGCTGAAAAATCAGTGCAGAATATTACTGTTGTTATTACATTATACTGTATATTCTATAGACTCTCTATTATGGTGTCTGGTCTTGGTGATGGACAAAATGCTGATCCCCAGTCCATGGATTACCCTAATGGACTACCCAGAAGGACTACCCCAGCAGTGCTTGTAATTAAAAAAAAAACCAAGTTGTCCCTATTTCAAATGCAAGACAACCTAACCCCTGGCTCTGGTCCTCATGATGATGGCTTGGTTGCCTATAAAATATTGTATAATTTGTTTAATAGTTATATCAGGCCCCCTAAGATAAAAAGAAAATGTACAATGACTTACTTAGAGTAAGTCCTTTAAAAAACAGTAGTCTATTATATTATTACTAAATAATAGCTGGGTTTACAAACTTATAATTAAGTATCAACAATTTTAATGGAAGCTGGCTTGCTTCTCTCTGACAGCCATGGTATTTATTGGAATTTTCCTCCCTATAAATGTATATTTGATGATATTTGACAACTTTGAAAGTACTTTCCCCAATGCTTCAGAAAAGAAATGACTACCTGCTTGCAATCCTATTTTGGGGAGGCCTGGGTTTGAAGGTTTAGTGGTTTTCAGCATTGGTCAATGAACAAAAACACCAGATTTAAATCTTTTATATACCAGTCCAGAATTCTGTTGTGCCATAAGTATCATTCAGCTTCTTAAGTACATTTCATATCATTCATTTCAATTGGTGATTCCACATTCCTAAACTATAAGGAAATTGGAGTAAAAGGTATGAATGATTGAATCTTTTTCAACAGATAGCAAAGAAATTGATCATAATGATGTAGATTTTGAGAAGATCACTGGTTCCCTTACAAGGAAACAAGCGGAAGCTGTCAGAAAAAGAATAGACACCTTAAACCAAAGTACCAAGAGAAAGTTAGGTGTGTGTGTGGCCCAGCCAGCCAAACATTCCGACAGTAACTATCCAACAGATGTGAGAACAATTTTTCCAGTAAAAACTTGCGGGCAGCCCAGTAATGTAGAGCAGATACCCACCACATCAAGGCCATCACTGCTCAGAAAGTCTTACAGTGAAGGAATACATGTGCAGAAGTCACAATCATTTAAGAATGGAGCAAGGGACAATGAATTTGCACAAACCACATGTAGGCTTTCGCATTCAGCTGGCATGCTTTCATTTCCAACAGTGGGTAAAGAGTTAACAGGGCTTCATTTGCATCCAGGACATGCAGTGGTTCCTGAGAGAAGATCTAGCGATGAATCTCGCTATCGTAAAGGTAAACTCTTTATATGATTATCCCCCTAGTTTGGCAATACATACTGGATATCGAACAAGACTTACCAAAGCATATGCCAGCCAAGTAAAATTACCATTTAATTTAAAGTCTGCTCAATTTCTGAGATAACACATGTTTCAAATTCTTGTTTGGTGTCAATTCTTTGCTTCTCTTCTACTCTGTTCTGAGCAAAATTTGCTGGGTTTCATCAGTTGCTCCCTAAATAACCCTGTTATGTCAACATTATTATTATTAATAAATAATCTGCATGTCACTCATTAGTTTTTTTCCTAAGCCAGGATACATTCTAGTCAGGCAAGTATAAAAATGGTCTTTGTTATATTATTATAAATAATCTGCCTGTCGTTCTTTTGTTTTTCCCTAAGCCCTCACAGATTCCAGTTAGGCAGGTGTAAAAATGGAAAATGGTCTTTTATTATATCATTATAATAACCTGCTCAGCAGTTATTAGTTTGTCCTTAAGCCCTGACACATTCTAGTCAGGCAGGTATAAAATTAATGGTCTAATCTGTAAATTACAGGATTCCAGCAAGTAAAGCATCCCCATGGGGGATCTGTATTTTATTTGACTGGAACAACAAAACAAGAGCTGTTCCACACTGCCGAAAAAACCAAAGAGTCATGCGTGGATGAGATAATTAATGCTGATCTTAAAGGTCTAAGTGTATCACCACCTGATTCCAGCCCAGACTGTTTTCATGAGGTTCCTGTTGACTGTCCTGAGGAGATTCCAGTCGATGTTCCTCCAGACAGGGTTCATGGAAAACCAGTAAGAGTTAAAATGAGTAAGACCCTAACTTTGAACAGCATGGCCAAACAGCTTTTCTAGTTTAAATTAAAGGATAACAATATTGTACTGTCTGTTCTCCCTCTAAGGTTAAGGACCCCACCAAAGAAGTTTTAGTATAAGACTGACAAGCATCTTAATGATGTAGGAGAACATGTTTTTTTATTTGTTGGCACAGAATGGGAAAATAATCTGCAATGAGAAGCCTTTCAGGGAACCACAATTTCCACGATTACCAGTAAGCTTTTTTTATGTTTTTTACATACAAGGATACAAATAAATCTGGAATACAAAGTCTGCCAAGTGTAGCTGCAATGTCTTGAGAATAATTACCCTTTTTGAGCCAGATATATGCAAAAGCTATGTTGCTACTATTTTTATTATTACTATGTCAGACTATTTTTTAGCTATGTTTGCTAAATAGTGCCCATGTATTGCCTATGAAACATGTCACAAGCCTAGAACAAAGAAAAAATTCTGAATCCCCACGTGGAATCAAACCTCAGACCTTTGGATTCTGAGCTCCGATACTCTACCACTGAGTCCCAGATACTCTATGGTGAACAAGGCCCATCGGAGCACAGAATCCAAAGGTGTGAGGTTTATTTCTAAAATTACTGTGTTAAGCACTGAAAAATAAATTGAACCTATGCACATATTGTGTAGGAAATTTTCACATAGTTTTAAAAGAGCATAAGGAATTTCAATAAGTAGTAAAGTAAATTTAATTTGGTTGTAGTTTTATGGTTTTTCATGGTTGAATGTATTTGAATACTAACTTGTTTATTTGTGAAGAGCCCTTTAACAACACAAATTGAAGCAATGGACTCAGAGCCAAATTCCTTTCAACCAAACAAACCAAACATACTTCTAATATTTTTAATACAATTTCTGTACACAGAACTTTACACTCACAAAAGATGAACTGGGTGTGACAAGTGTAGGAGATATCTCCTTACAGGATATGGAAAAAGTGCGGTCCCTGTCACTCATAGAACTCACAGCACTGTTTGATTCCCATGGACTGGCCCTTCACAGACGGAAGCCAGTCAGGAGAAGAGTTAGAGGTATGGAATATTGTCCAGTGAAACAAAAAATTGGCTTGATTTGTTATGATTCCTTGTTATCAGTACACCTCTGCCAAAGAGACAGACAGGCAGACAAACAGCTAGAGTTGTCATGATTTACTACAATTCTACAGAAGGTAGATTCCTTTGCACTCCGTGTATTGCAACAATAGCTGCCATTTGGCATGCAAATATGTAGGAATATTTATTTGGGAACAGTTTTCTGACAGAGGAGCTGAAGGAAAACTGTGAGCTTTGAGGAACAGATAATGTTCAAGGACAAACATACAAGCATATTTTTGCACCATATGTGGGGAAAAATGTTTAAGAACAGCTTACTGTTTACTGCATACTCTCTGATATGAATTTATGAACATGAAAAAACATTGAACAACCACACAATGCTATCTTATGTTAGGTGAAATTTTAAGCAGATTTTTCCATATTGGATACATGTAAGGTTTGAAAATTGGGAATATCAGTAGGGGTATGTCCTTGGATATCCCCCAATTTGAGTTGGGAGACATGTTGTCATGCGATGTGTTTAAACCAATTGCATGCAAGCAAAATATTTGTTGGATTATAATCCTCCTCATTGTTGTTACTATTCATTATAATAATTCTAATTTGTTATCTCAGAATCAGGAATCTTTGGGGTGCCACTACAGAATCTACTTCAAGAGGACAAATTGAAGAATGAGAAAGTAGTAGTTCCTTCCTTTTTTACTGAGGTAAATTGATTACAGATCTCTTAGCTTTGTAAAGGTTAATATTCAGATCTAATTTCAGACTGCATTTGAAGCACTTTATTTCTGTTTTTCATGTGGCTGGTGTTAAATTTCTTTCAGCTCATTAGACAATTGGAGTCAAGAGGTATGTTGACCTGTCTGCATTTTGATACTCTTATTAACTCTCTGTTACTGTGTCATCTCCTCCTCATTACTTTGGAATAGCCTCCACCAAAAGTGGTGGAAGAGTGTTTGCATTCCTTTTTTTGTGAACTAAATGTTAGGGCCATGTGCCTTGAGTTTCTTGTGGTGTAATTCAATTATTTTTTAGAATTTTTATTGTATACTTAAGTCATATTGTCATGGTCAGTTAAAGGGCTGTCACAACTTAACCTTGTTGTAATTGACATTTTTTCAGTTAAATTACTTTGCATTAGTAGATGAATCTCTATAATAATTATTTTTCACAGGGCTAAAGGAAGAGGGAATCTTGAGAGTTCCTGGAAATTCAGGAAGAGTTAAGGTATTAGTGACTTTTGTTCTGCTTCTTTTCTTTTTTTAAATTTGCTTTACAGTCATCAAAACCTGTGTCATATAGTTAAGTATGGCTGGATCTTTTTACAGGCACTAAGGGAAGAAGTGGAGGAAAAGTTCAATGATGGGTACTTTACATGGGATGACAGAAGACCTCATGATTGTGCAGCTTTGCTTAAACAGTTCTTGAGGTTAGGGTTTTTAGTGGTTGAAATGTTAGTGTTCTAGATTACCCTGAGTTATGGAGATGTTCCCTTTCCATTCCAGAATTTAACAAAAATATTCTGAATGGTTACTTCTCAAAATTTCACTTTTAATGATCATGTATGACTACAATCCCATCAAATCTCTTGAACAAACCTGCCAAAAAAATTCCTGTTCATTAAGGTAAAGTAGGAATATTCACTAATAACCTTCAAAATTTTTCTGTGTCCGTTTTGTATTAAATTCAAAAGTTGTTATTGTATCCTAACAGGGAACTTCCTTTTCCTCTTTTAACTCAAGAATATCAACCAACATTTGCATCAGTAGAAAGTGAGTGGTGATTCATAATGTCACTTATAGGCTAAGTAAAAGTAATAATTTATTTATTGTCCATAGTGTGGGAAGTGGTTGCCCAATCTTCTGAGCAGGGAAGCTCATGTATAAAATGCTCAACAAAAAGAAAAAATATAAGTTAAAAAATTAGGTAAAAATAAAGCACAAATTATATAAGATTGTATATAGATATGTGAGGATCTTCATAGAGTTTCTGAATGTATCAAGACTATCAAAAGGATATATTAACAATGAAAATGATGAATATAATTCACAGGCAGGAGTGACACAAGCACCCTTTAATTTTAGTCTGCTTACTAATAGTTAATATATCTTACTGCCTTCACACTTGCCTTGCTCTCAACATTTGGCATTTTGGCTGAGTTGGTACAGAGTTGTGGCAGCCATTCACAATGTGTGAGTTACAGGTTTGAGTATGGTGCAAGCCAAAAATATTTTTTTGCCATCCTACGTGAAAGAATAGATTCGTCCCTTGACAAAAACTGGTCAAATATGATGCAATCAAGAGATATTAAAAGTTACTGAGCTCGGTTATAGGAAACAGAGAAACCTTTCATTTGTGGCTTGACAAATACAAAATGTATCTAATCTGGCTCACAATATTTAAAATTTTTTTTCAGGTATACCAGATAGAAAGCAACAGCTTCAGGCATTGAATCTGCTTATTATGTTGTTGCCTGCAGTTCATCGGGACTGTCTAAAAGTAAGTTGTTGAGTTATGAGCATTTACAAAGTGGTTAAATTTTAAGGCAGAAAAAAAAAAAGACTACCAGTCATAGTGCCTGATGTAGAGAGAAAATTGTTAATGAAGCTCTTAGAAGTTTGTGTTCTCAGTGCAGTACATTATTGTAAACATGTTCTCGTGTTGCTTGAAGATGTTTGGTTTGCAGTCTCTTAAATACAGTATTTCAACAAGGTTTATAACCAGGAAAAGTAAATTTTTCTTATAGATCCTTGTTCACTTCCTAAGTGGAGTTGTTGCCCAAGAAAAACATAACAAAATGGGCTTAAACAGTGTGGCTATGATTGTGGCTCCAAATCTGTTCATTTGTTCAAACAAGTCTCAGCCATCTTTACAAGAAATCAAACAAGCTCAAGGCACTGTCAACATCGTTAGAATGTTGATCAAGTATCAAGCAATTCTATGGACAGTAAGTTCGTTACTACTCAGTGAGTATGAATAGTGACATATGTTATCTAAAACCAATAGGGTGATTTGTTATAATCATGGTCATATTACTCTTGTGTTCAAAAAGCTGGTTTTACACATAAAAATGATTCATTGAGGATTAAGGTGAAGCAAATTGGTTGAGTATGACACTGTCCATATAGAAAAGAGTCAAACTTGTCCTTAACAGTCTCCTCTGACACTAGGGGGAAGAGAGTTGACCTCCCAACAATGATATAGGGGTTCAGTAAGACTGAACGTTTGGTGAGTTTTACTCTGATCTATGTATGTGGCATCACAAAGGAGAAGGTGAATAGATGGGTAGAAGCAATAAGGTTGGTAGAGATTTACTTGGATAGTGTAGAACAAATTTTTTTGTACACGTTTCATTTCTGCTCAGATTCCTGGATTCATGGTGATGCAGGTTCGTTATCTCTACGAAGCTGAAGGGAACAAGAAAGCCAAAGATGCTAAGGCGGTGGGTGTCTTTACTTCAGTGTCTAAGAGACAGTTGGCTTGAAGTTAGGGGTTGTTAATTCGAGAAGAATTCGTATGAAGAATATCAAATTTAACTGATTAAAGAACAGTCCCACAAAAAGTTCTACATGTCTTTTTGAGCATATATTGTTGTGATTGACAGGTCAAGAAGTTATTAGCTAAACGTGCACGAAGTGAGGGAATGGGTGGATCTCCTCAGAAGAAACACTCAACTGGAGGAGATTCTCCTCTTGTCTCTATGGATGTAAGTGTCATCAAATAATTACTGCAGCTGTAGACTGTCTTCATGCATGTAGCACATCAATTTAGAAGATTGCTACTTCTTCCAGAGATGATGAAGACTCAGAGCTGTGTACTAAAAGGTTCAGGGCAAAGAATTTACTGCAAGTAATTAATTTTTGTTTGTCTCGGATTCGTTTATCCTCAGATGGATCATTTTCAGTTGATTAATATGTTAATATTTAGTAACAACTAAAACAATCCATTTTGTTTGTCGTAGTCTGATCATGAAAACAACATAATAAGAGTGCAGGCACCAATGCTGAACAAAGTTCTCATGGCAATTCAGCTGACTGAGTTCATGCGTGCTGGTCACATTGTCTCCAAGTTCCGTCGGCGAGCATCTCCATCAGAAAGCCCAGATAAAAGCTCCAAATTTTTAGAATCATCATCCAGCAGTTCTTATCGCAATTGTGTCAACCCTCATAACAACAACAGATATGCGTCTGATAACTTTTTTCTCTTTGAGGCCGGCGGGAACATTGGTACTATGCAGTTTCTTAGCTTGTTTAGTCATTATTCTACTTGTAAATAGTTTGCCAGTTACTAACTGAGACTAAGACAACTATTTTCAATTGATAACTGCATGCATGTCTGTTTTTTATGCCATGTGACAGTCTTCACATTCAGCAAAATTGTGTTGTTGTGTGTCTACTTGTACGCACGTCCGTTTTTTAAGTGGCTCAACAAACACCTTATATTTGACTTTTTAAGCCATATTTAGGGGTTTTAGCCATTCTTGTACACGCGTTAATCTGTAGTACACATAGATATGTGTGTAAATGTAAATATTTTGTTTATTTGTATTTATGAATGTTTCTAATTTGATTGACAGGTGAGCGCTGCCTTGATAATGATACTAATATGATGGCCTTACTGAAAGTCAACCCGCATGCAGAGTGGATTGTTAAACCTCGTGATTATTACCTTAACCTGTAGAAAAGCTAGCAAAAAGTTTTATTCCTTGTTAGATTTACTGAATTGTTGTATAGAAAGTGTCTAGCAAGTGATGTATAATCAAATTACCTTGCTGGATCATTTGCATTTATATTTTTATTAGTCTGAAATATTCTGCGGAAAACTCTAATATTACTGCTGGTGGAAAGTTAATTATTAGAACTTTACAAAATTATTACATAAGTTGTTTAATTAATTGAATACACTAGTGTTACTAATTTATTCAAATGAGAGTGAGAGAGAAAACGTCATAAACAGTTTTTAAAAAAAATGATTGTTCCATTCTAAGGCAGTATGCTTATTTATTTTAATGATTTATAATGAATTAACGGAAAGGAAAACAGTGATGTAATATACACTGTAGTTGAGTCTATCTTTTAACGTTCTAATAAGTTAATTATTTATAAGGAGAACAATTATCTGTTTTAAAAAGATGTTCTTGGTAATAGTCGGCTTGTTTGCTCTCATTTTTCAAACAAAAGTTAACAAGTTTTGTACCGTTCACCAAAGTTAGAATCATTTTTGAAATATTAAAAATTTGTACTCTCCAAGTGAAGCAAATCAAGTACTTATATTTCTACTCCAAGTTTCTTACCCTCAGCAAAAAAAAGGCTTGTTGATAATAACATTGTGGTGGGAGGAGATGGGCATTGCGAATCACCGCGTTTCGCAGCAAAGAACTAATGTTATCTTTTGATGGAGATAACAAAATGATATATCTTTGAAATTAAAGTTAAGGACAAGCAGCACGTAGGATTAGCACAAATATGGAAAATATAGCCCTCCAGAATGTCCAGCGCCTCTACCTCCCTCTCTTTCTCTGATTGGTTTTTTTTTTTGGTTTTCTCTGATCAGTTTAGCCTGATGGTGCCATGCACATCCGTGACCTTTTGGCTCTACAGAATGTAGACGGGCGTCACAAGACTGCAGATCAGCAGACCGCGGAATCTGTGGAACCAAAATTTTTTTGGAAAAGAAACGTAATAGGATAAAATAAAAGCTAAAAAGACCTTTTACACTTTCTGGAAATTCGTTTTTGGGTATAAAGAAGAATATTTTAAAAGAGAAATATGTTTTGACTGTCCTTGATACCCAACTTAAACTGTGGCGGCATTCACAATATTACAGTAATACAAAGGTATGTAATGTCATAGGGAGAAATAGGCAGTCACCTACCCTGACAGCAAAAAATTGAACAATAATTTGAAAGCTCTGCCGGTTTGGGTGCCTCGATATCCGAATAACGCCCCATCCGAAGGCTCTAAGCAAACCTTAAGGCTGGAATTCACTATACTTGACCCTGAAATAAGGAATACGAGCGTAAAAAAACATCATCGCCCGCGATGCTTGTAGAATTTTGGGGATATTGGGGCGTCCGGAGCGAATTTACGGCATTTTGCGTCCAGTGTATTCGTTTGGTTGGCGTTCATCACAGACGTATTGTGGAAAGGATTATGTAGAGAGCAAAGCAGATGAACTAAAACCGAGCTAAATTGCTCTAAATCAGCCCCCAAAAAACACAAGATGTAAAAGAACAACCACTCGAGCGGGGTAAATTTGTTCTTACTCAAATCTAGTTCCGACCTTTTTAAGGTTGAGAGCGCAACTGTTTATTGCCATGCAAATCTTTATATTTCACCCATTGCGCAAATTGAACGTAATTGCTTATAGGTAGATGCTCACTTTTGAACTTGGACTTCCTGTGGTTGGACGTCAAGGTAGATAAAAAATAAAAATATTTCTCTTTTAACGTTATGTTCTTTATACCCGAATAAGACATTTCGAACGGCGTAGAGATATTTTTAGTCTTTTTTTAAAATTCCATTATTATTTATTTTTACAGAAAATTAATGGTTCCGCTGGTTCCGGAGGTTTTCTAGTTTAGTAACACCCTAAAGGCCTGTTTAGATGATGGTGGGGGACCCCAGGTAGGTGAGGTAACCCGCCTAGGTGGGTAACCCGCCTGTTCATATAATTTCTTGTTTTATTTTGATCACGTTTACATGATAGGTGGGGTGACCCGTCTAGGCGGGTTGCCCGGTCTGCCAGGTCGGTTAACCCTGTCAGCAGGAGTGACAATTTGTCATGTAGACGTGACGAGGTGAGGTAACCCGGCTAGCCGGGGTCGCGGTTCATGGCAAAAAGCTCAAAAGCGAAACATATATGTTTTAAAACTTTGTACATTTCCTAACCGTCTCATGGCAGAAATCACCAGAAACCGCAACGGAAGTACAAGGAGAAATGTTCACATTTCGGAGTATTTAGCGTCGTAAATCGACCATATTTGGTTTCCCAAACTATTCCGTACAAAGTCAACGGTCTCTCGCGAAACCAAACACCGCGTAACACAACGCGTGACGCTTTCCTGAATAAATACGTATTGTCCGAGACTTAATCTTTCGTCCTTTTCGAGATGTGAGCTTGGGACGCCTCTGCTCAAACTCCTTAATTGTAAGCGCAACAGCAATCTCAAGAAACACCACCCCAGCACCCGGGGTTGTAAGATTGCAAGTAAACGCGTTTTATTTTTACGGGTTACCTCACCTGCCTGGGGTCCCCTACCTCCATTTAAACAAGCCCTAAAAAAAACACTTGTTTTGAACAGTCCAGAACATTCCAACGTGCGTCTTATATTCTCGTGACCCGTTTCACGCACGAGTGATTCAGGTGTTCACAACTGTTCTTAATTGTTCTTCTTATTATTATTTAGTGACAAACTCATTAGCACATAACAAACAGGCTGTGCGAATACGCTCTTATCAATGGTGCTAATCAGAAAAAATTCAACGCTCTAAAGACCCCGTGCAGTTAGACCAGCCACTCAGGGAAGAGCTCAGTAACCCACGTGCATGCACAAGTTTTAAAACGGCGCAGTGTTTGAAATCATCCCAAGCTTCAAGAACTTCTACTACAGGTATCACAATCTTTAGCCCCAACACAGTGTTTTCTCCTTCGGAAGCCTTCTTTCGCCTCTCGTTTTGTCAAACTTTAGCAACAAGATAAGTATCATTTCTGGCAACGTAACGGACAGAAGCAGGTAGGTGTTTATCGACGCTTATGTAAGCAAGGAAAACTATGTAAAATAATCCTCAAAGGAAGCCAAGCCATTTACAAATTCAAGGGAGGTTTAAGGTCGAATCTTCGTTTCACTACGTCCTTTAATTCTTTTCAGCCGCTTGTATTTCTGCCCAGAAGCTGTCAATTACTTAGCATTAGACGTTCCATAGCGTTATCTTTTTTTGGCAAAATCGGCTTCCTTGAAATTCGTCTTTAAAACTGCTGTCGCGAGTAGAACCATTTCTACTCTTTCATCTTCTTAGCTGAAATTCCGCATTAACAATATGGCAAAAGTGTGGTTCCTGCTCTTTAATTTTAATTTGTTACAAGTTTGAAGCGAGACGAGCTCAAAGAGAAACTCAGTGTCTTGAGTTTGTAAAGTTGTTGTAGAGGCGTTAGTTTCGGCCTTTGTGCGTAATAACGTAATGACGATTGAATTAAGGAAATAATTCAATTCACTTCCAATTTAGATTCTGAGAAATTCCTTCGTCTTAACCTTTAAAATCCAAGTATAAGATTATTGATTCTCTCCTCTAGCTGCTAAACATTTTCTTGTAATTATTTGCAAGAAACGTGATATATTTGAATATTCTCATTACCTGTTTGCTGGATAATGTATGGATATTATAAGGAGAAGTCATATGTTAATCACTTCCTTAGAGTCTAAGAGTTAACCGTTCATTATGAAAAGTGGAAAATTAGGCCCACAATTATTTTTTTTCTTTTCAATCGCAAAATCAAAGCGCTCTGAATGATAAAACCTCAAGCAATACGCTTTTTATTTAAAGGTTTTCAAATCTTCTGATATTTTAGATGAAAAGCCCATTTTTCAAAGAAGGTTTTGATTTTCGAGCATTTGAGACATTAAAAACTTTTCTTATTGCAATTGTTTTTTTTTAAATTTAAATCTTGTGTACACGATTGGCTGTTTTCTCCACTATTTGAATAAGATTTCATTTGCCTGTTTGTTTGCTTCTTTTCTTGGCTTGAAATGAAGCGATAATCTGCAAACTTTTAAACTTAATTCTACCATAAGATTCTCCAAAATTTCACAAGGAAAAATTTAGGATATGCCTCGATGTTTACTCAGCATGACTCCAGATGAAACTGTTATTTGGCAACTTGAAGGAGGTTTCGTTCTCAGACGTTAGTCATTTTTTTAGTAATTTTAAAACCCCAGGAATGAATTATTAGCATTTGATTTCTCGTTACAATATCACCCCTCAATCACAAATTAATCACACACAAGAATAAGGAAAATCATCACCAACAAACGAAGCCCATGATAGTTAAACATATTCTCCTTGAGAAATGTGTAAGGAACAGTATTGAGAACAAAAACACTGATGTAAAAGCGTAAAGGGTTTAGGAGTGACTCAAACTAAACAGTTTTCTAATCTTGTTACTCCCAAAGGCTACTCTGTAAAAATGACTTAAATTTATCGCGTGTTGACCAACCAAGTTTTGCACTGTCTCGGTAAAAAGTGTCCAACAGAAAATCCCTATTCAGTTCTTCTGACACGTGCGATGGTTGCGAACTCAGAATAGGATTATTTTGCAATGTTTTTCCTTTCACAATGGGCCACGATGCTTTCACGTATTATTTATTTCACCTAAATATCCACAATATCTTTCTCATTTAGACCTCTACGACACGCTCCAGTCCAAACACCGCTCAGTCCATTCCAGTCTAGCTAGTCCAGTTCACTTAATTTCAGTCCCGCTCACTTCATTTCAATGGAGTCCAGTTCATTGTGCATTTAGTCTAAAACTCAGCGTCCAGTTCCATGCAGTCCAGTACGGCCCGGTCCAGTCCTCGCCATTCCTTTCCAACTGGTGCAGTTTATCATCACAAGACAAGTGCTGACTCTCGTCATCGGTACAACTCGCATATGGACGGGAAAGCGTGGTGAAAAAAGTGCCAAAGCTCTAATTGGTTTTTTCTTCTCTTCCTCTCTGTTGCATACGCAGAGGCTAGGAACAGATCAGTTGGAAGACGCTGATGTCCGGCCGGTTAGTAAGATTCTTTGTGGGTTGGGATGAAGAGAGGGTTACTAAATGGTGCGCTGGTTAAACCTTAGAATCCAAATTCTACTATAAGTTGTCATAGTTCTGATTCGGCTCAAAGTAGTTAAAGTAAAAACTTTAGCCAGCTTGGTTAGCGGGTTCCCTTGAGGTTGGGCGAGGTCCTCCCTCCAAATTTTTCTTTCGATCGAATACTGTTCGGCATATTTTCGGTTTGGATCATTTCTTCTTCGTCGCTTCTTCGGTTTGTCACAATGTCGGCTTCGTTTATACTTCGGCTCTTCGTCAACAGGTCGTTCGGTGTTAATCAGCTGCTCATGGTTACTTCGACTGTGGCCGATTACATTTTCAGTTTCACTTGATTGAAGAGATCTTAAACACTGTGATCGAGTAAGGCTGTTTAACACAAAAAAAGGTTTGGCTCGAAGGTTCAGCTAGATTTTAACGTTATTATAGGAGATCGGATTTGAGCAATTCAGCTATGACAGCAAATTAGAATTGAGAATTAGCCTTTTACAAA